CAAATGAAGAATATGTTCAGGGTTATATGAAATCTCTAACATGTGTTCCACAGTGGCCTGTGCTAGATATGCCTCTGATTGCAGTTTTAGTCTACATTTCCCTAATGAAATACCACATCAAGTGCCCTATCATGTCCTTATTTTCTCTGCCTCCCTTAGTGAAATGTTGGTAAGCACCTTTCACTCTCTTTTATGTTGCTTGCTGTCTCCCATTGAGCTTTAAAGTTCTTTGTATTTAATATTTGGTGACAGTCCTCCCTCACCAGACACTCGTCCCCACCCAAGTTTGTAACTTGTTTTTTGACTTTCTCTGTAGTGTTAACTCTTCAGTGGAACAAATTCTAAAAATGTTTGATGAAGTCCACCTTTACAATTCTTTCTTTCATAAATCATCCCTTTGGTGTTATATTTAAACATCTCCAAACTCAAGGCTATCTATGCTTCCTTCCATGTCATTTTCTAGGAGTTTTATGCATTCACATTTTATGTAGAAATCTGTGATCATTGAAGCAAATTTTTGTGAGCAGCGTATGGTTTGTGTATAGATATTTTTCTTCGCTTGGCTGTGGACAATTCCAGCACCATTTGTTTAAACTTCCTTTTCTCCACCGATCGCCCATTCTTCAAGTTGATTGTGTTCTGTAGGTCTGTTACTGGGCTCTCCAGTGTGTTTCACTGTTCATTCTTTTCCCAGTAACACAGCGTCATGAACGCCTTAATGTTACTCTAAGTCTCAAAGTTGTGCGGTATTGTTCCCCTGAAGTTGACTTCCTTCAATGCTATGCTGCATTTTCCGAGTCTTTTGTGTTTGTTTAATCCTCTGTTAGCATCCATAAATTAGCATGCTCAGGGTTTAATTGTGATTGTATTCAATATATAGGTATTAATGACACCTACTAACATCATGACACTATTTAGTCTTCTAAATTCTACTTGTTCATTTTTGCTATTTGGGCAAGTTATTGGCTTGTAGCTTTGGTAAAATTGGCTACCAGTGTCGAGACTTGTTACTTTGCTTCCATTGAAACTTATTTTAGATTTTCTACACAGATCACATCATCTATGACCAAAGATATATTAAAACCCATTCAGTCTGATTTTTATAAACATTATAGACTACATAGTTTATACACAAATGTATTTACTTCTTGAATTTCTGGAGTGTGGAAAAATATAAGATCAAGGTACAAGAATGTTTGGTGTCAAGTCTGCGTTCTTGGTAAGATCTTATAAAAATATATATTAGTAATTATGGGTAAATAATTAAGTCAAAACTAGCCAATGAGAAACCATAGCAAATGGCCAACAGCTTCATAATTAATATAGTGTTTTGTATGTTATTTGGGGGCTAAAGCGGCAACAGAACCAGGCAGGAATCCTGCAACAAGACTATCCACATTGGGTAGGTATATAGGCATGTCTGTAGGGGATAGTCCTAATTAAATTAATTGACAGGGCAAGACTTAGTCTACTATGGACAGTACCATTCCCTAGGGAAAAAGTCTTGTGTGAAACAGAAAAATTGGGTTGCGCACAGCAAGCAAGCATATATGCATTCATTTCTTCTGTTCTTGATTGTGGATGTGATGTGACTAACTGAAGTTCCTAGTTTGATCTTTGTCACAATGTTTGACCTGCTATAACCTGAAATTTTAAGTTTAAATAAAACTATTTTCCTCTTAAGAAAAAAAAATGTTTGGCGTCTGGCTCACAAGTGGGAAACTTTTCTCTGTGTCCTCATCTGGCAGAAGACAAAGTATTTCTCTAGTTTTTTGTGGAAGCAGCAATCTCTACTGATAACAACTCTGTCCTGGTAAACAAGCCACCTGATGAAGAGGCCATCTTGTATTCCCAAGTTTACAGGGGAGCATGTACTTTCTTAATGTTAGGGATGCTTAGGTGAGGGTTCATGTTGCAGTCCTTGTTAAAAAGAAATTTTCCTATAGTTTTCTTATTGTCTTTTTGTAGTTCCAGCACTGGTAAGCTGAGAACTGATTCCTCTCCTTCTGTCTTCTGGAAGGAACTCTATAATATTGGTATTCTGCTTTAATTGTTTGATAACATCTATTGTTGACCCTACTAGGGCTTACTCCTGCTCTTTATTACTTATTACTTATTATTATATGTGTATTATTAACACACATGATTTTCTCTCTCTCTCTCTCTCTCTCTCTCTCTCTCTCTCTCTGTGTGTGTGTGTGTGTGTGTGTGTGTGTGTGTGTGTGTGTGTAGGCTTTTTTTTTTTTTTACAAGAGTGTGCAGTGCCTGCAAAGGCCAGAAGAGGGTATCAGATCCCCTGGAGTTGAAGCTGAAGGTGGCTGTGACCCACTGTATGTATATGCTGAGTCCTTTGCAAGAGCAGTAGAAACATTTTTATTTTTATTTCTATTTTTGGTTTTTTGTTTTTTGGGGACAGGGTTTCTCTGTATTGCTTTGGAGGTTGTCCTGGAATGCCCTCTGTAGACCAGGCTGGCTCGAACTCACAGAGATCCACCGAGCAGTAGGAACTCTTAACCACTGACTCATCATCTCTCCTGCATTTTAATGAATGTTTGGGGTACTTCATGACAATGCCCCACGTCAGAGCCTCACACTGCTGCTTTCCTTCTTGACCTTGAATTTTATGTCTTCTTTACATTGATACCATTGTTCTGCACTCTCCTCTAGAAAACTGTCCTCTCTCTTCCTCTCTCCTCTGATTCTTCTGCTCTGCTTCCCTGAGCTTGGAGTTCATGCCTGACTTAGTCGGGGTTCTCCATAGGAACAGAACTGAAAGGAAGGATATATGTGTATGTGTGTATAACAGAATGTATTACATGAACTTTAGAACAGGAACAATGGCCAAATCATACCAGAGACGTGAAGAATCCTATATTTAGTCCTTGAGGCTGAGTGCATCAGTGGTTGGCATTGTCCCAGAATAACTATCTCTCACTGGGGACCACAACCAGCAATCACTCAGACCACAAGGTGCAGTGCTTCAGTACCGGTAGTCTAGTTCCAAAAGTACAGGAAGCTCCCGGGGAGTTGCTGGTCCCTATCCCAGGTTGAAAGCTTGGGAATGCCGGTTCTGTTGTCAGCCAAGGAGTCAGCAGCAATGGAGCAGAGCAACTCGGTGGTAAGAGGGAAGGCCAAGCCAGAAAAATGCGTGAACAAACTTCTGTCTGAAACACCCTTTCTTACCTGGGCTCCTGCCAGAAGGTGCCACCCACAGTCAGGGTGGCTCTTCCTGATGGATGAATCAGGACAATTCTTCAGGGGAGGCTCCCTACCTAGGTGATTCTAATTTGGAGCAAGTGGTCATTAAAACCAGCCGTAATTGTTAGGGTTTTGTGGTGATGAGGTTCAAGGAATGCTGCAAAGATCATACCACGCAGTGGATCTCTCAAAAGAGATTTTTGGGGGGTGTGGGGTATACAAAAGGCTTCCTCTGAGTGGGGATGGAAAAGAAAAAGTACCCGACTCATGGCGGCAATGGAAAAAAATCGCATTTGGTGACTGATGATGATATGGCTGCTGTTGCTGAGTCCCTGAAGGCAGGCTGGGAAGTGCCTGGTTCTGGAATGTGGGTGGTTCTCAGTTTACCAACAACATTAATGCCTTTTTGATTCCTATTGGTATATGAGAAACAGGGGGCTCAGAAAAGTCAAGAAATGCCCCAGCTCTTTGAATTAAGCTGTGGTGAGCTAAGACGGGCTAGCTGCAGTGCACAGAGCTGCCAGAACTTCTGAAGAGTCTATGGGTATCTATGTGTACACCATGCATGGCTCAGGTATTTGGACACTTGGCCCCAGTTGATGGTTTGGAGTGGTAATGGGTAAAGCGCGGTCTTGCTGAAGGACGTACATGACTGGTAGAAGGCTTTAGTTTTCACGGTCTCACTTAGCTTCCTGCTGAGATGTGAGCTCTCAGCTTCCTGTTCCTGCCATCATGCTGACCCTTGCTTCGACGTCTCCCTGCCATGATGAACTCTTATCTTCAGGTACTGCAAGCCAAAATAAACACTTCCTTCTGTTAACTGCTTTTGTTCATGGTGGTGGTTTTTTTAAAGCTCTTTTTTAAAAAATATTTATTTATTCATTATGTGTATGGTATTCTGCCTGCATGTCTGCAGGCCAGAAGAGGGCACCAGATCTCATTACAGATGGTCATGAGCCACCACGTGGTGGCTGGGAATTGAACTCAGGACCTTTGGAAGAACAGTCAGTGCTCTTAACCTCTGAGCCATCTCTCCAGCCCTGCTCATGGTGTTTTATCCCAGCAATGGAACAGAAAAGTAACTAAGTGAGAGGGCATTAAGCATAAACATTAGAGTCGTTTACAAATGTTTGCTGGTTTTAATCGACATCTTCTATTTAGTATTATCTTGTAATAGTTTTCGGTTTTAGAGGAAAGTCATCTACTTCAGGATAATTAGATGGAATTGTGAGTTTTCAACTTTCATAACCTGTAAGTTATTTTATTATTTGCTTGTCTTATTGCTCTGAACAAATGAATACCTGGCCAGAAGTCCCTTAAAGAGAGTAAAGGTTTGTACACATGTGCATACATTTGTGTATGTAGGTATATATTTGTGCCAATGCATGTGGGGACCAAGGTCAGCCTTGAGAGTTGCTCATCAGGAGCTATCCACCTTGGTTTTTGTTTTGTTTGTGGTTTTTTTGTTTTGTTTTGTTTTGGTTTGGTTTGGGTTTTTGAGACAGGGTTTCTCTGTATTGCTTTGGAGCCTGTCCTGGAACTCACTCTGTAAACCAGGCTGACCTCAAACTCACAGAGATCCACCTGCCTGTCATCAGTTTTTACCCCCAAATTGTGTCTCTCTTTGCACAAACCATGTTTTCCATTACTTCGGCAACCTTTTAAAAAAATTGAAGATTTCTCATTATTGATATCTATTCCTAATGATCTTTCAGGTAAGTGGGAATTTTTAGAAATGAGGTAGCAAAATAAGTGAAGGAAAGAAAATAGGGGAAGGGAAAAAAGCAGAGGGAATTGCACTATAGCGACATACTATTTTTATTGAATATACATACTCATTCATATTTTTACATATTAGATATATTTTACCATAGTAGCATCCTTCTGATAAAGTGGCAGAGATGTAAGTGCTCAATTAACTACTTGAGTCAAAGAACCAATTTGAAATTTAAACTTCAACCTAGCAAATGCATGATAAGTTGATTCCAGGAATGACACTGAAGTGCTGACCCTATTCGGCTTCCTAGAAACTTTTCCTGATAAGATTATTGTTTTTTTAATGAAGAAAATATAAAATATATTTTAATGTTAATTACTAATATAGAAACAACAATAACATTTATAAAACAAGAGCATTCAGTATGATTAGTAAAATGTTTTTTTGAAGCCAATTAAAATAGCCTAATTGAGATTAAATATATATTTTTTACCTAAAGGGTATAAAACGATAAATGTTCGGTATTTCTGGGCTTCAATTTGCACTCAAACTATTAGCAAACATTATAAAGTAATGTTACAATGTTTTATATGGAATGCTTAAAACTTCAAGGCATAATAAAATATTGTTACGACAAATTTTGCCACATGGCTCTAGAATTAGTCATTTCTGTGTAACCGGAAATCGTTTCAAAATATAAAGATTATGGGACCAAATGCTGGGAAAAGCTGAGGTTTGTGAGTCTCTTCCCTTTCAGAGTCTCGCAGCAACGCTCCACACTGTGGTGCAGACGGGATGGCAGAGGTCAGCTTCAGGAACACTCTGGTCTCAGCAGTCACCAGGCCAGCAAGGCCACCCAGAGAAATGCAAGAAACCAAAGTCCACACTTATCCCGCATTTGCTATGGTGATCTCAACTCTACTCAAGGCAGGCTGTTCCGTAAGACTCTACGTTAATAGATTAGAACAGAAGCCTGAAAATAAAGCTGTCCATGGTCACTCTACAGACAGCAACTAAAAGGCTTGTCCCCAGACAGCATGTCCAGGTTTATTTGAGCTCGGCGGGCGTTGATTCTGATGGTGATCCTTCTGCACCTGCAATGCAAATAAGATAAAGCTGCATTTTTCATAAACTTAACATTCTAACTTATTAATTGGAAAGGATATGACACACATATTTCTGCTCCTATTTCTTAGGGGTTAATCCAAAAGTCTATAAAAATTGCAACCCTACCTTACAGCACAAATCATGATCGCGAAACACAAGGCACCATCCAGCTTCGGCAGTAAAGCAAGTACCAAACTTTCGTGTCCCTGCCTGCCTGCCCATGATGCAGAGTTTTTGCTGCTGACTCACAGGACAGGACTAAGCAATGTGGCTAAGGAGAGGTCTCTGTGGGGCGCCTGTCTCTCTGCTCCCACATCTCACACCCACTCAATAATGGGGACCCTTGCCAAAGTCCATAACTGGGCCTGTGACCTAACTAACAGCCAGCTTTCTTTTATGTCAACGCAGCAAGACTTTCTATAAAGGATCATGTTAAAATAGCAACAACCTTGTGTCTAGGGGAGGGAAAGAAATATTAATAATCAGAAACTTTGCACAAATTCATTTCCAGAAAGTTACAGCTCCGAGCGGGGTTTTCGGGTAGGGAGGAAGAAGACACCGTCTGCCTTCATTTTTGTTTATAAATTGTTAACTGTGATGGACAGAGAAGCTACCACGATCAGTCCCAGCCCTGGGGAGAGAAGGAGCCAGGGTTTCAGTGGTGATGCCTGCTTCCCATGTAGCAGGTCCCTAGACCCTTCTACCTGTTAGCCTCAAGGACAGTGTGCTTTTCTGTTTATGTGAGGGTTTCACTAATTTTGATGGTAAAATGTTTTTTTATGTAATTAAAGAGAACCTGCTGCCGGTGGAAATATGGATTCCATTGTAACACCCGGATTAGATAACACTTGCAATGACTTACTTCCAGAAAGTTAATAAGTTTACACCAATGTCAAGTGCTATCCCTCAGTTGGTTCTTATGTGTATACATGTAGATACATGCTGATGGTGAGGTGCTTTTTATTTACCTGAGGATGAAATGCAGAATACTAAAACATAGCTTATGCAGGTGAGCCCGTGTGCACAATGCATGCACATATTTAAGTTGGGGGTCCTAAAAATGAATGATCTAAAACCGAAGGTAGAAAGAAAAGAAAGAGTGTAAGACAAGAATAAAGACTAATGACACAAGGGATAGGACTAACAAACTGAAGATTTTGTTTTTAACTCTTTAAAGGGAAAGGGATGAAATATCTGGAACTAAAGTAGAAAATGCAAATCAGAAAGCAAAGGCACGTGCGGTGCTGCCATAGTACGTAAAGGATTGTAAGGGAGAGACGCAATAACGACGTGGGCAACCTGGTCAAAAGTGCATGACCCTGCAGAAATAAACCCACAGAGACCGAGGCAGGGGTCCAGGTGAGCAGATCTGAGTAAGGAGGCTGAATGCCCCTATCTGTGATAAAAAGACCCTATGATAGGAGCGTGTGGGCGATTCACCGCTGGAGTCTATCAAACATTCAGAGAATAAACACTATCAATCATTTTCAAACTTCTTCAAAAAGTAAAAGGTAGAGACACCTCTCTTTTTCATTTTATGAAGCCAACACTGCTTTCATGCCCAACCTGACAAGGACACTGAAAGAAAAAACATTACAGACTAGTATCCTTGGTAATCAAAGATGTAGAAAGGTTTACCAAAATACTAGCAAACTAAAATCAATCACACATTAAAGGGATCATGTACCATTATTAAATGAGATTTATCCCTGGTATGCAGGGGCAATTCACACACACACACACACACACACACACCACTGTATTAACAGAACGAAGGACAGAAATTAAATGAACATTTCAATAGACACAGCCAAAACATCTTAAAAATTCAACATCATGTTTTTCAAAGGAATAGAGAAAAATTCTAAAGTTCATATGGAACTATGAAACCCTAAATTTCCAAAGCAATCCTGACACACACAATAAGACTGGAGGCATCACATGACCTTCCTGCAGAGCACAGTGTGAGCTCTGGGGATTAAGGCAGTCTGGGAGCAGCATGCTGTGGTCCAGCTGGCCCTGCCCTGAGTTACTCTGTGCTGGAGAATGCCCTGGTTTCTCAGGACGTGTCTCGTCTACAATGACTCAATATGAAAAGCAGCAGCTGACTACATTTTGCAGGAGTACAGAGACAGGATGACTCTGCATCCTGTCCCACATACAAACACCAGCATCAGTCTGGTACACCCACAGAGACACAGAAGGAGAACTAACTTATTACTAGCAGTAAAAAGGGAGTTACCACATACATTTACCAATGTACATTGTGAAGCTATAAACACAGAGGCATATTAAAAATCCACCAGGAAAACCAGGCCCAAGAATTTACAGAACACACCAGACAGAGGTTAAGGCACATTTTCACTTAGACCTCCAAAATGAGGGACATATAACACCACAATGGCTTCTGCTACTACCAACTTGTCTTCTGACCACCCAGTGTATACATCAAAAGGCCAACAAGTAAAGAACTTCCCACTGTCTCCGGGGCTTCAGGACACCCCCCCCACACACACACACACTGCTGATGCGGCCTACCTGGATCGCCATCCATGCATCCATCCACTCATCTAGACTTGCCGTCTGTCCATCTGGACCAGTCCTGAGCTTTCCCTCTGTAGTCTCTACAGTCCCGCACCTTTTTTTTCATTTTTTAATATTTTTTATTTAAATTAGAAACAAGGTTGCTTCACATGTCAATCCCAGCTCCCTCTCCTTCCCCTCCTCCCCTGCTCCCTCCATCCCCCCCCCCTCCCGCCCAATTCTCACTCCATTCCCCAGGGACAGTGAGGCTCTCCATGGGGGATCTCCAGAGTCTGTCTTTTCCTTCAGGGCAGGGTCTAGGCCCTCCTTCATGTGTCCAGGCTGAGAGAGCATCCCTCATTGTGGGATGGGTCCCTGATGGGAAAGTCCTGTGTATATGTCAATAAAGCACTGTTGGCCAATAGGGAAGAAAGATAGGTGGGACTAGGAGTTGAGGAGGATTCTGGGAAAGAGAGACACAGGCATTCATGATGTAGCTGCCATAGGAATAAGAGGCCCGGACCCTTTTCTCTGGTAAGAGAAATACTTAGATTAGCAATTATGGGTTAAATTCTTAAGTCAGAGATAGCCAGTAAGAAACCAAGCAAACTGCCAACAGCTTCATAATTAATATAGTGTCCTGTGTGTTCATTTGGGACTGATGTGACTCTGGAACCAGGCTGGTGGGAAGACTTCATTCTACAGGTCCCCAAAGTCCACTTGTATGCCAGGGATAAACATTGATCTACCACCCAAAGCCCCCTAGGTTGCCTAGGCCTCCCCCACTGACACCCACATTCAGGGGGTCTGGGTCAGTCCCATGCTTTCCACACAGCCATCAGTCTGGGGTCTAGATCCCCCCTTGTTCAGACCCACACTTGACTTCTGCAGCTTGGCTAGCCCTTGAGGCTGGCCTCAACTCTGACCCTGAGGCTTGACTGTGCGGCATGGTTTCCAGCAGACCTGCATCATGGTTCACTACCTGAGCTCTTTGCATCCCTGTCAGCTCTTGGCTTATCTCCAGTTGCTTTTTAGGAGCTCCTTGAATTCTGCTGTGGTCTCTTACGCCCTCTGTAGCTGCTCTATGGCTTACTTATATGCATATATGGAGATACAATTGTGTGATGTGTAAGGTGTGACTGGAGAGTTAGTTAAGCCTGGAATGAAAGAACTTGTGTTTGCTTCAGGCAGCTATCAAGGGAAGCAGGACTACTTGGCAAATGGCTGCCAACAAACTTACTGTTACTTGTGTGTATGGTTGTTTGGTTTTTTTTTTTTTTTTTTTTTTTTTTGGTTTTTCAAGACAGGGTTTCTCTGTATTGTTTTGGAGCCTGTCCTGATACTCGCTCTGTAGACCAGGCTGGCCTCAAACAAGTGCTGAGATTAAAAGCGTGCACCACCAACGCCCAGCTGTGTGTGTGATTGTTAATGGTGAATGTGTTGTTACTCAATTAGCTCTGACATGGTAGAAATACACAGACATATTCATCTATGTTTATGACATAATCTGCTTATAATATGGCCCAAAATCAGACTCACAGAACAATGGAATAGACTAGTGCCCCTAAATAAATCTACAGATTTAAGCTTGCTTTTCAGCAAAGGTAGAAAGAATGTATAGAAGGAAAGGACAGATTTTTCTCTAAGTGTTATTGAAAAGTGAATACCCATACGCAAAATGTGCAAGTCAACTCGCAGCTCAGACAGCATACCCAGGTACGCATTAGCAGTTGAAACAAAAGACCCATCACTGCAAAGCTACTGGAAAACCACAGGGGTTCCTTCAGTGCTGCTGCTGGGATCGACTTGTTGCCTTTTTATAAGATATGCTTTATGTATCATTATTGCTTTTATTTATGTGTATGGGTGTGGGGGCCTGCGTGAGTTTATGTGCACTATGTGAGTGCAGGTGCCTGGGGAGGCCACAGACAGCCCCCTGCTAGCTTCCTGATATGGGTGCTGGGCTAGACTTGGCTGCTTGGCCATAGAAGTAAGCACTTAACCTCCATGTTAGTGGTTCTCCACCTGTGGGTCACGATCCACACAGGGGTCCCATATTCGATATTTATGTTACATTCATAACAGTAGCAAAATTACAGTTATGAAGTAGCAACAAAAATCATCTTATGGTTAGAGACCACCACTGCATAAGGAATTGTATGAAAGGGTTGCAGCATTAAGAAAATTGAGAACCGCTGCTCGAGGTCATCTCTCCAGCCCCAGAGATGTTTATAAGTAACATCTATATATTTATATATGTTACATATTAATATTGTTTTATACATAAATATATAAATATTATATGTTGTGTACACAGCATATGTTGCATGTTTATATATAGATATTTACATTGCCAAAACACAAACAACACAAGCCAAAATAGACAAATGAGATTGTATCAACCTAACAAGCATATGTACAGCAAAAGAAGAAATCAACAAAATAAAAGAGCAGCCCACAGAATAGGAGAGAACACATGGAAACAGCTTTTCTGGCCAGGGATTAGTATCCAAAATATATAAGGAGCTCAAGTAACTTAGCAAGAGAGGAAACTGTTGGTTTTAAAAATGGCCCAGGAACTGGGCCTGGTAGCTCATGCCTATGATCCTAGCCCTTAAAGCCTGAAGCAGGAGGATTGCTGCAAGTTGGAGGCCAGCTTTGGGAATGTGGAGACTTGCAGGCCACTTCGAGTTGGCCTCAAAAGTAAATAAATAAATAAACTAACTAACTAAATAAATAAATAAATAAATAAAAAGCGACAGCAAAAGCTAGGCAGTAGACTCAAATAGGTATTTTCCAAAAGAATGCATGCAATGGCCAACGTGCATATGAAAATGTTTAACCCTGATAATCACCAGAAAAACACAAATTAAAACCACAATTAAATGACACTTTACACATGTCACAGTGGTTTGTTGTTCTTGTTGTTGTTTTGGTTTTCCAAGACAGCGATACTCTGAGTAGCTCTGGATCCCCGGAAATCTGTAGACCAGGCTGGCCTCAAACTCAGAGATCCACCTGTCTCTGCCTTCCAAGTACTAGGTTAAAGGCGGGTGCCACCACCCAGCCAGTTATTCTTTAAAAGATAAAAAGATGGAGCTGGAGAGGTTTCTCAGCGGTGAAAGCCACTGACTGTTCTTACTGAGGACTCAGTTTTGATTCCCAGCACCCACACGGTGGCTCACATGCACCTGTAACTCCAGTTCCTGGAGATTCAAGCACTGGCACCCACCAGGCGTGTGGTACACAAACACTACATACATGAGATAAGTAAATCAAAAGATCAAAAACACTGCTGGCAAAGAAGAGAGGAAACAGAACCACAGCCCACTGTCAGCAAGAGTGTGCATTAGCACAGCATACAGAAACCAGCAGGAGGCTCCTCCCACTCTCGGGTATATATCCCCAAAAACCCGGAACCAGGAGGTCAAGAGACAATCCTCAGCTCTGTGTTCACTGTAGCCCAGTTCACAGTAGCCAAGAGAGAATATCAGCTAAAGAGGATTGATAGAGGAAACACACACACACACACACACACACACACACACACACTTAAAAGGAATAGAAACGAATCTAAAAAAGATAATCCACATTCAAAGAATGAGTAAGAAGTCTATTCTACTTCAAGTAGCAATTAGCCATAAAACTCTATCGGCTCTGTAACATTCAAGAGGGCCCCTTTTGACCGGTCAGCTGGTCATCTCTGTAAGGATGGAGACTGGCTGTCAGGCATACTCCACCAACACAGGGAGGAGTCAGACGTGCAAAGCCATGCAGAGCTCTGTTCACAAACCAATACTGCAGCATTTCAATGCTTGCACCCACTCCGCACGCTCCTGCCGTCTCTGCCATTACTCAGAGCTGCGAAGCCTAGAAAGAGGAATGACGTTTTTCAAGAGGCAAGTTCTCTCGGTATCATCAATGACAGAAGGTGAAAACGATCCACTGTAAGTTTCCACAGGTGCAAGCAAGCAGACTGGACTAATACTGTGAATGCTAAAGAAAAAAAAAACCAGTGTTGTATTCTGGGTATCCCAAGGCACTCTAAGAAATGCTGATAACAAAGAAATGGAACGCTTGAATTTGGGTTTCCTTTCAGGGGACAGGTGTGTCACAGGACAAGCTCGTGGGAGAATGACAGTCTCGTGTGAGGACTCTTCACATTCTGAAGACTAAAATAATATAGAATTTTACACTTCGTTGTACCAAATGGAATATAAAGATCATTCGATAAATATAGTAACAACACGAAGCCCCATAAGCCATAACTTTTTGCACTCTCATCTGAGTGAAAGGAAAAGAACCCCAGTACACACTATTTGCATGCTTACCCCATACCGCAAGACCTCTGTGAGTTTTAGCATGGCTTCTATCTGCACTGTCTTTTGGACCAGGAGATAAGAAAATCACCTACCATCCTCACCACCAAACGCGCCTGGAGTTTCCTCAGAGTCTTCGGGGACCTCTGGATCTTGGGGTGTCTCTGTGTCTTGGGTACTTTCTGAGTCCTTTGTGGACTGGGTGGACAAGGATACCCTGGATGTCTTTGGAGTCCTCTTGTCAGCATCAGCTCGCGGCTGCTGTAACCACTCATCCTTATAGCCGTTGCTGATAAGTTTGGAAAAGTTTGTGGGTGAACTGGTTTTTTGACCAGGCCTTAAAGAGAGACATGCAAACATTAAACTCCAGTGCAACGATTAACTTAAAAAGGAAAACCTGAGGCAGTGTTCAGGAACTTGACTTGTGAGGGAGCACTGGTACTGAGCTCTGCCCGCTCCCTCCCTCTCCCCCTGCCCCATCTCTCACTCTCTCTCCATACCTCTCATCTTTCCCCATTTCAAACAAAAAATGGTCTTGGTGCATCCCTATACACGAGTGGTACCATACTTAGCCCAGTCTCCCAGTCCTTTTATTCTTATTACCCAGTTAAAATCTGGTAAAAACGCTGGTTATCACACAGGGGGTCCACACACTGTCAAAGGGTTACTTAGGAGAGCTGTTCCTGTCTTAGTATCTTCCTTATTGTCCACCCTCTGCCCAACTCTGTGTCCTGTCATCTGCCACCTGCTTCAGCCTCACAGATCCTATCATAGCTGACACTGAAAAGTAGTAGGGCGGTAGTGTGAGCCGTCCAGTCAGGCAGGTGACAAGCACACTCTTGTCACCTCCCAAGCCACAAGTTTCGGACTTATGAATCACCTTATTGAGAATTTCCCCAGCAAGTCCCTCCCCATCTGTCACAATGTCATGAATGTGATTGTTTTCCCCACTGATGAAAAGCTGTTTGGAGACTCAATCAGAAATTTCTCCTAAACTAGACTTCTGGCAAATGAGGTGACACAGAGGCCCCGTGGTTTACTCCCTTCAGCTGGAAGACCAACAGGTGTCAGCATGTTTAGGGAATCCCCAGTTGCAAGTGGAGCCAGAGTGCGCTTGCATTCAAGATGGAGACCCTGTGCTCAGGCTTCGATGGCAGCAAGTTTCAGTACTGAGTGCATGAGCAGAGACAAGTGACCACAGACCACAATCCTGTGCCACAAGCAGGTTGCAAATAGACAAGACATGTGATCAAAGAGGTGAAATTGGTGTTAAGGAAGGAGCAAAAGTGCAGCTAGGTTCTCGGGCCAGGCTGGCCGGGCTCTGCGGGCAAGGTGGGCGGGTGCTACCATTGGCAAACCTGGGTGCCATCAGCTCACGATTGCCACCTGACTGAAGGATGGAAAACCAACCGAATCCTCATAGAAACAGCATTCATTCTCATAAGTTGGGCACTTACATAGGAGGCAATGACAGCCTGCTTCCTTCAAGGTCTTTGTGACTAACTGGGGTCCCCGCTTTGCTGGCATTCTTGGAGTTAATGGCTGGCAGTTTCACCTATGTGAAGACATGCAAATCTGTGACTTCAGGAAGAAGAAAGGATTCCAAACCAGTAAAGACATCAGTACTGGACGTTCAGTACGACCACAAGCTGTTACAATAAGTAAAATTAATCACTAATTTGACAGGATGACTTATAAAAGGGACAAAATGTGCTTCAAAAACAGTTGCTGTATTTTAGGTAAAGAGGTCCCCTGCTCAGAAGGAGAACAATCAATGAGCATTGGGGATTCCAAATATTCTGAGGGGTCTTGCTGAAGGGAGGGAGAGAGGGCAGGGAGGGAGGGAGGGGTCCACCGGTCCATATAAAATGGAAATGGTGAGGTTCATGGGAGCTTTGTAATAGTCACCAAGAACTGGAAAGAAAACAAATACCACCAAAGGAGTGAATAAACAATCAGTAGCTGGTCCACAAAGGAACAACAATACCAAGAGCTGGGGTTCTGACGCATGGCCCCACATGGCAGAGGTGGGCTAGAGGGACTGTAGCCACCAGCTTGATGCCACTGAGTTGAGATTCTAGAGAGGGAAACTCTCTAAAGACTTATCCTAGGTAGGGTTTGTTGCTGTGACAAACACCATGACCAAAAGCAACTTCGTGTTATGATTTCAGGGCACACTCCATCTTGGAGGGACATCAGGGCAGGAACTAAATGACATAGAGGCCAGGGAGGAAGGTTGCCTTCTACTGCTCTGTGTGGCTTGCTCAGCCTGCATTCGTACACAACTCAGGACCGCCCTCCCAGATGTGGCACCACCCACCACAGCCTGGGTCCTTCCTCATCAGTCATTAAAATCAAGAGAATGTCCTGCAAACTTGTCTACAGGCCAATCTGATGGAAGCTTTTTCTTCTTAATCGCAGTTGCTTTTAGACAACCTTAGCTTGTGTCAAGCTGACAAAAACTTAACAATGACGAGGCTGAATCGAGATCAGTGACTGCTGGATATGGGAATTAGGAGGAATTGGTGACAAAGGAGCTGAGAAATCTGAGAGGTGACAGAACAGCTCTGTAGCTCGGTCTCTATGATGTTTGCATGAGATACGTGTAACAAACAAGATGTGAATCAGTACTGTACAATAAGTGAACTGTACTCCATGTAAATGGCCTCAGAAGAAGCATCCCCGAGTCACCCCTTAGAATGGTGATACATCTGTCCTAAGGACAGAACAGAGTCTACACCAGGCTGAGTGACAGCTAGGGGAAGAACAGAGAATTTAATGGACATCCCAATCTCTCCAAGGGTGGAGAAGACGTGTAGCATTGGGACAGACTGGGCAGGGTGGCACGCCAGAATCTAGGACAATAGCCAAATGTTGAAATGATTCTCACATTAAAGTCCTTACTCTGTCTGTGCCCAGAGGTTTTGCAAGATTTGAGAACAGGAAAACTCCCTCAGTTCTACAGAATAGATACTTAGGGGGAGCTTTGTGCCCAGTGGCCCTCCCTAATGTGACTCTTCCTAAGTTACATAATACTGTCCCTTCAGCTAGTGCATAGTCAGGGTTGGTGTCCACAATCTGCCTTTCTCCTTCCTTAGCATTGAGAAGGTGGAGGACAGTCTGACTCCAAGTATTTCTGCAGTCGGCAGGACCCTGTGTGAGTGATTACTACATGAAGTCAAATTTTACAATGGTGCAGCATTTTTTGCTTTGTAACTTTTCTTAAGCTATGTGCTGGACCCCTGATTACCACGCAAGCCTTCTCTTTATTGCTTAAGGTTCGGCTCTACACAGTCAGCCACTTGTACACCATCAGGAAACAGGCCTGGTCCTCAGTCGAGTCCTTTAGCAGGGTTCACGCTAGTGACCCGAAGCCTGAATCACAGCTGGACACCGGGGAAGCTTGAAGAACAAATACTGCAGCCAATGAGTGCTATCTTGGTGTCCAACTACCAAGTCCCCACATTATCTGAGGGTATCTCCCACCCTGCCAACTGGTCTCCTTGCTGCTCAAACCACAATGGTGTCCATTTTTGTTCTCTGTCTCAAAACATCACTGCTATTTTAAATATAAATGCCACCATTTCCCTTCACTTGAAAATTTTGATATCTCATGTGCTGATATTCATTTCAGACCTGGGTGCTAGCAGCAATGGGGCTGGCTATGCTCTCATAGGTTGTAGGAAGATAGAGTGGAGATCCCAACCCGTCTGCTACTCATGGCTTGTTTCTGGGATCTCCAGTTGCTCAGACAGGCCACATCCTCTGAAAAGGCTTCACCACAGTCAGAACACCCCTGAACATTGCTGCAGAACAAAGTACTTCCTTTTCTCTTTCTTATCAGCAAGGAGAACTGTAGGTAATTTGGACTTAAATAAGATGGAACTATCTAGAAGTGGGATATTGAATGCATTCTTTCTCTGCATGCCAGATAGGAAGCATTAGGTCAGTCTTCCCCAAGACAACATTAACTGGTTAGATACCAGATGGTAAAAAGCAATCTTACCTATAAAGCCAACATACACAGGAAGAAAATGTGTCTTCTTGCCTCTTAGTTTCAAACTTAAAACAGAGCATACAGCTCAGAACCCAGAGCACAGAACATGGGGGAGGGCCGGGCCAAGACTTCACGTGGTCTGAGTAGGCTGCAGCAGCAGCTTAAGAACACTCCCTTAGTTATTCCTGGAGTCACAGGAGCAAAGCACCTGCGTGCAGGTGAGGCCCACTTGCCAGCAAGGGTTACCTTTCTCTTCACATTCTCAAGTTCCTCAGCCTCTCTTTGCCAAACTGTTTTCATGTCAAAATCAAAGGGGCCTCGCCTGGACTCATAGCTGCCATTGGCCTGATCAGGGTTGAATTCTTCATACACCATGTAATCTGGCATGGAGAACACGGGGACTCTGCAAGGACAGACAGGACAAGTTACCACCTGGCACCTGGCTTTCTCTTTATTCTTCCTCCCTCCCTCCCTCCCTCCCTCCCTCCCTCCCTCCCTCCCTCCCTCCCTCCCTCCGTCTATTCTGTCTCTCCTTTTTCATTTCCTCCTTACCTCCCTCCCCCTTTTTCTTAACCCTCTGGTTCATCTGCCTCTCCTCGTCCCTCATCTTCCCGGAAAACATAGGCAGATAGGCCCTTTCCTTCTCCCACTGAATAAACACATCAGTGCCTCTCCAAGCTAGCCCCAGGATCCCCAGCACAACAAAAGAAATCACAGGGTGACATTCTAAAGCATGCGCTTAGAAAATGGATAAATTATAATTATTTCCTGTAGACCAGCATTTACTACTTTGTTCCCTGCAAAGAGACAAGTTACCATTTAACTAATAACAGCCTGCTGCTCTGCCAGATGGCCAATCTTAATGGGGTATGTAGGCACACAACTGGCCTTCCCACACAACCTGCAGGCAAATGTCAGCTCCAGGGTCGCCTGTCCTTTCTTGCCTGTTCCTGCTCTCACTACCTGCTTCCTCTTCTGAACTTAGCACAAACTCTTAAAAAACAAAAACAAACAAACAGGGTCTCACCATGCATCCCTGACTGGCCTGGAACTCAATATGTAAACCAGGCTAGCCTTGATCCCACAGAGATCCCCCTGCCTCTGCCTCCCTAGTGTTGGAATTAAAACTGTTCCAGGCTAGCCCGGTCTGTAGAGTAAGTTCCAAGACAACTGGGGCAGATGAGCAAACAAATAACAACAAAAAAGCCATGAACCACGAGTCTGGCCTACAAACTATTCTAAAAAAATAATAGGAGTTTGGCCGGGCGGTGGTGGCGCACGCCTTTAATCCCAGCACTCGGGAGGCAGAGGCAGGCGGATCTCTGTGAGTTCGAGGCCGGGCTGGACCGACAGCCTCCAAAACAATACAGAGAACCCTGTCTTGTAAAAACAAAAAAACAAACAAACAAAAAATAATAGGAGTTTAATATTCACTTGCCACAGGAATGTAAAAGTAGTATGTGCTCTTTTTATTTACATATGTTAAAAACAGCCGGGCATTGGTAGCGCACGCCTTTAATCCCAGCACTCAGGAGGCAGAGGCAGGCGGATCTCTGTGAGCTCGAGGCCAGCCTGGTCTACAGAGCTAGTTCCAGGACAGCCTCCAAAACAATACAGAGAAACCCTGTCTCGAAAAAACCAAAAAAAAAAAAAAAAACCAACCAAACAAACAAACAAAAAAAAACAAAGCCAGGATAGTGGTGCTGCCTGTTATTTCAACACTTGGGAGATAGAGGCAGAAGGCTCATGAGTTTGAAGTCAACCCAGGCCTCAAATTCTGAGGCCCCAAATAGCCTGGGATCTGTTTACAATATAAAATAACACACCTTACTGTAAAAATACAAAAGAAAATAAAACAGAAAGAACCAGAGTCCTGAAATCAAAAAGAAAACAACCCGCAAGGTGCCTGGGGTCAGTCAATAGACACTGCATACTGCATAGCAGCTTGGAAGGATGGTCAAGCAAAAACACAAAACCAAAGTAAGTCTTTAAAAAGCAGAAAAATAGACCCCAAAATTACTTTTTATGCTTCCTCTCAGACAAAGAGAGGTGTCTGAAGGGTCAAGTTTGCATGGTCCCAAGTAACAATAGTTAGACATTGTGACAGGGTAGGGGCCATGACTCTGCCCTTCTATGCGTGTCTTAGAGACTGAGAGCTGTGTGCGTTCCTAGTTGCATGGGGAACCCTTCTTCACCCACAGTGAGAAGAAAGCTTTGGGGCAGGCAGCTCTGGGGTAGGCAGACGGAGTCAGGGCACAGGGGACAAAGAATAAAAACCTAAAGCTACTGGCTAATAAGTGGACAAAAGAACCACACCCTGAGGGGACATGGCTGTGTGTCTCCTTGATGCAAGTTTCCTGTCTGTTTGGGCCACATCTCTCAAAGCATTAGCTATTACATACCGCCATACTCAGGACTATAATGCCACACTTTCTGGAAATAGGAGATATTTGTAATTTTCCAATTGAAATTGAGACTTTTCAAACTTGCTTTTATGACTTTTTTTAAAATTTGTGCTTAGCTACACATTCCACCATGAGCATGTAGAGATCAGAGGGTAAAATGCATGTTTTAATATATATATTATTTATATATATATATTTAGAGAGAGACAGCAATGTGGGAGGCTTAGAGGTACTCACTCTCGCTGGTGGGCTGTCGGAGGTTTGCTGTGGTGGATATACCAGTCTGGCAGGGAGTAGGCTACTGGGGAGCCCTTCCTGGTCCCGGGGGTAAAGTGCTTCAGCAAATCTCGAGGAGAAAGGGACACCGTTATATGTGGTCTGGCTGCCCACAGGGCATGTGGCGCTACCAACACTCCACGCTGGGACCTGTGCCGTCTTCCCTAGGGTAGCCTCTACCCAGGCTGAGAGTGAAGAGTCCCGCTTGGCACTCAGAGAGAGACATCCCTCAGACAGAGACATCCCTCAGAGAGACAGAGACAGCCCTCAGAGAGACAGAGACATCCCTCAGACAGAGACATCCCTCAGAGAGACAGAGACATCCCTCAGAGAGACAGAGACAGCCCTCAGAGAGACAGAGACATCCCTCAGAGAGACAGAGACAGCCCTCAGAGAGACAGAGACATCCCTCAGAGAGACAGAGACAGCCCTCAGAGAGACAGAGACAGCCCTCAGAGAGACAGAGACAGCCCTCAGACAGAGACATCCCTCAGAGAGACAGAGACAGCCCTCAGAGAGACAGAGACATCCCTCAGAGAGACAGAGACAGCCCTCAGACAGAGACATCCCTCAGAGAGACAGAGACATCCCTCAGAGAGACAGAGACAGCCCTCAGAGAGACAGAGACATCCCTCAGAGAGACAGAGACAGCCCTCAGAGAGACAGAGACATCCCTCAGAGAGACAGAGACAGCCCTCAGAGAGACAGAGACAGCCCTCAGAGAGACAGAGACAGCCCTCAGACAGAGACATCCCTCAGAGAGACAGAGACAGCCCTCAGAGAGACAGAGACATCCCTCAGAGAGACAGAGACAGCCCTCAGAGAGACAGAGACATCCTTCACGCACCCTCCACCTCTCATGGCCTCTCCTCTTGAGTGTGCTCAAAGCTCCTGGTACTTAGCTGGCATCCTGTGCCAGTCGCCATTAGCTCTCCCTCAGTGGTTCTTCTCGCCACTTGGAGATCACCAGGGGCTGTGGGCAATGCTCCTCAGCCTTCAGCGACCTCCATTTTCCTCTCCATCCTACAGCAGTCTGGCCAGCTGGGTCCACCACGGTGGGTCAGCCCCATCCCCACTGCTGTTTCCTAGAGAAACTGCTTCCTTCAGATTCCCAGACGGGAAGTCCCAGGTGGATGCATCAGTGACTCCTTCCCAAATGCCCCCGCACTGCCCAGTGACTTTCCTCCTCTCGGCTCTCCTCTCCCTCCTGGCCACAGGTGTTCAAGGGCAGTAAGTGCTAAGAACTGGTTTTGCTAGGTAATTCCAACAGCAAAATAATTTACAATTCCCATGGCCATGGTAGCAGCAGAAGGTGTGTGGACTTACTCCCCGCGGTGAGGAATCTTAAACTTCAAAGTCTTTTTTGTTAAGATTTTCAGACTTATGGGATATGAGAGAATGGTGCGAATTCCTCTACACTCCTGAGCCCCCTGCACATCCTGGCTGCTCGGTCACTGCTCTCTCCCCACATCTCTCACTGCTGCCAGCATCAGTAGGGTCTCAGCACTGTTGAGTGACAGGCTGCAGGCAGGTTTGTCCCTTCGTCCTCTGTGCCTTAGCGGCTGCTCATGAAATCTGGTGCTCACATATGCACAGCACAGTGAAGACACTGTCACTGTGTCACTGATGGCCTCCATCTGATTTGCTAGTCCCTTTGAACCAAGAGTAAGGAGGTGGAGCTAAGGAAAACCTGCCTTGATCCCGCACCCCATCCGCCCCTGACTGAGTCAATCAAGTGACATGGTCTAGGTTCAATCGTAGACTTGGCCACTGTTTCACCTCTGATGTTCAATGTAGGGACCGTGACAGCCAGAGGGAAGAAAGGAAAACTTTAGTCTCTCTGGACTTGGTGCTCCAAAGTCTAGCTGAGACATGGGGCATGTGGTCCCTTGTCCCTCTGAGCAGTGATTTCTATTAAACTCAATATGTTTTCCTTGCATGCTTGTACAAAAGTTGATTTTCATCAAAGACTATACATACCCAGTGTCCACAATGAGCCTAAGCTTCCAAAGGCTTGAACAAAGCATATAGATACCACAGCTTTATTTTATGTGGACAAGATCGGAAACAACCTCCGTTTCTGCTCACAAAGTCACTCAGTTCACGGGACTTACCAGGTCTGCCACCCTGCTTGGCCAGCTTCACATACTCTGAGTCTGTTTCTTTTATCCAGTATCTCCGAGCACGGGGCATGTCTCCATTTGGGGAGTCTCCCAAGTCACTGAGCCCTGGGATCTGGGATGCGGGTGGGGCATCCACAGCCTTCTCAGAGCGCTTCACAGGCAGGTGGTAATACCAGTCTAGACAGGAGGGAGGCCAGCACACAGTCAGATGGGGTCAGGAAGCCCTCTACTGCCTGACAGTTGTACTGTGTGCATGTAACATATGTGTCAGGCAGCACATACCACAGAGCACACAAGCAAGACAAGAATTGCCTGTTCTGGAACATGTGTGACTGATCAGGACACTGACAGGGCAACCCAGAACGCAGTTAATTTTCCAGAGCCCCCAACTGCATCAGCCTCTAAGGCAAATAGAAGGGACATCACCTCTTTCCTGCCCCCCCCCATCCCTGTTCCCAAAGCCTCTTCCATTGTTGCAATAATTCTAGGAACTATCCAGAGCTCCTGAGTCTGTCTTCTTCCCTCCCCATGCCTGTCCTCCCTCCCTCTTGCCCTCCGTACCCCAGGAAAATGCTTAACTGTATTTCTGGTAACATTAGGAGAGACATACAGATTTGAATCAATGTCAAATCATTTAAACCATTATGGATAAACCAGATACTGGCCAGAATTTAATAAGCCTCACACATTAAAAAATACTACTATTCTATTACAGACCCACAATCTGACCAAACTTGTTTGTCACTTTTACAAGAGCAGAAGGATGTAGGCCAGGGTGTGGTCCAAGGAACCTCACTTGCTTAACAGCTGTGTGGAAAGCCAACATCTGCCTCCCACACCCTCCAGCAGCCAGACAACCCTGTGTCCCAGTGGCAACCCAGCTGCATACAAGCCCCATGCTGGAGGCTACAGTGGGCAGTGGGAAGCAACAGAGGCCTAGGTGTGTCCTGAAAGGCAGATTCACCAGGCAGGGGAGCAATCACCTTTATGCAAAGCCTTCTCAAGCCCAAGACTTCAAAGGTCTTCCTTGGGAAAGGCTGAAGGGAAACGGTGAGTGTAGATTTTGTGACTTCTAAAGAGGGAACTTGGGGACAGCTCACAGGGAGCTTGCCCCCCCATCCCTCCCCAGGGTGACATCAGCTTTCTGCGGAAAGAGATAGGAGTTGAGCATGGCCTGGGGAAATGAAAAGGCTCCTTAGACTCTGAGCTGATGGTATACCGGGGGCGACCCCCAGGCTGGCTTGGAACCACCCATAAGATTCCCTGGAGACATTCAGTCCCAGAGCAGGAACTTCTATCAAGGGACAGAGGGATTAGCAAAGTCTCAAAGTCCTGGAGCTGGAGTTACTAAGTTACTAGTGCTGATGGGTAACCACACACACACACACACACACACACACACACACACACACACACACACACACACACGGATGGGAGAGAATGGGGTATGAAAACTGTAGGCATTTTAGGTAAGTTTGCATCAGAAATCGACCAAGTACAAAAAAAGTTAAAAAAAATCATCACATCAGTGGAGAAGTTGGGAAACAGAGACTTGGAAAAAGTAAAAAATACAAAAGACACAATTTCTTCGGCATGGATGCTGGCTGTGTTTCATAGCACTTGCCAGACTCGAGACATTTACAGTCAAACACAGAGCCTTAGTGGCAGTGTGATGGTAAACTTTAGGGTCGATCTGACTCAGACACAGCACCCAGACTCTGTGCAGGTATCACTCCCATTGCTTTTGTGAAGGTATTTTTAAAATGAGAATTATCACCTACATCAGAGTAAAGCGGATGATTCTCTACAACAAACTGACTCTCCTCTGCTCAGTTGCATCTTAAGAAAGACTAAGGAAGAGGGAATTCTGCCTCCAGATGGACTTTGAACTTGATCCACAGCCTCAGATCTTCCCCTGCTCTCCAACCTGCCCTGCAGATTGTATACACAATGGGCCCCACAATCAAGCAAGCCAGTGCACGCAAGAGATCTCACTCTCCTTTCACAGGTAGGCGGGTAGCTGATTCCTCATGCTACTTGCTCACAGAGTTGGGGCACAGGGAAAGAGCAATGAATAAGCTAGAACAAACATAGAAGCAAGAAGTTGATATTCTCTGGAGCTAAATGCTCACACCACCGATTTTTTCTTAGAGCTAAGGCTGGGCTTGCTGCCTAAGAGTATAGGATATTTTACCTGGAAACTTTAAATGGCTACAGAATACTCATTAGCTGAGTCAACATGATCCAGAGAATTGAGAATCAAAATTCAGCAGCCTTTTACTGACCAGGCTCAACTTCTTGTTTCTTCTTTTAGAGGAAAGCCATTTGGTTCTTCCTTTATGTTTTCTCTGTGTGTTTATTGCTAATTAATCCACAGAGAACAGTGTATCTTCTGCCATCTCATTACTGCAAGCTTTGGACAGACACTGAACACACCAAGGCATTTGTAAATGTGCACACAGGGGCAGCTCAGAGATCTTGGGCCCCATCAGTAAGGAGAAACCACTGCCACTTAGCATACACATGTAGAGGTATCTTTTTAGCTTGTTTAGCTTTAGTTTCTGTCACTGAAGCATGCTTGCAGCACCAGGTCAAACACTGGACAGATGCTTTTCTCTGTACAGCTTTGCCATTTGATGCTGTGCCCTTATTTTCACTTATTTTCCAAATAAGGAAACAAAGGCCATAAGAGACAGTGCACCAAACTACAGGGTGCCCCAATTTCTGGCTTCTAAACTATAGGTAACTATATATATACACACATGTCCATGGAGGCATGGGCTGCTCTTTTTCGGCTGTATAGCCTCAGAGAAAAAGCCACTTGGTAGGTGTTCTTATTCCAAGGGCAACCTACTTCAAACTCTGCATGCCTTATTTTCCTGGTCTCTAAAATGAGGTGATGATTTCTGGTGGGGTGCTATGAGGTTAAATGTGTTAGAGGACATAGGCTTTGCTGAATACACCTGGCACCGAGTGTCTATCAGCATGGCTTACAATTCCTAGGACACAGAGAAGTCACAGAAAGGTCACAGAGCCTAGGCCGGGAGAAAAACTGGTCAAGTCTCCTGAATTGTATACAGACTACCCAAGTTCTCAGTTGGCTGTCACCAACAATGACATGAGCTAGCTTGCATAGAAAATGTGGAAAGGTCACACTCTTCCCCTCCATACAGATGACATGGCTCCAACTGCCCCCTCCCAGCCGGACACCAGACCCTCTTTTCTCTCTTCTGTTGTCAACCCTTCTCTAGACATGGAGAAATAGCAAAGGAAAAAACCATGACAGCGTCAGGAAACGTCTTCCTTCCCTATTTAGCTTCAAAACAGGTGAGTACAACCCACGAACCATCAGTGAGTTTAACTTTCCGAACCCAGATGCTGAAAAGGGGGGGACATCTGTCTTGGCTGGGGCTTAAATTAGGAGCAAAAGCTAGGAAGTCAGTGATAAACCTGGTTTATGCTGTCAAAAATAAGACTTTTCTCAGTCAACAGCCCCTGCCAAGAGGTGAGAATGATGAGTTAACTTGCTGCAAAATGAATGTCAATGAGCAACTGCACTCCCCATCGAAAAGGGAGGTAGCTGTGTTGCCTAGCACGCAAAGGCTCTGGCTTCCACCCCTGCACGCGAACGGTAAAAGCAGAGGTGCCCACCCTTCCAGCTTGTATCACCCTCTCACCCATCCTCACCGCAAGGAGCGTAGCGCTGGGAGGCGCCCTGCACCTCCTTGCTGGTGTTCCTCATGGCCTGATGCTCCTAGCAAGTCGTCGGCGTCGGGAAGAGAAAGGAGCTGCTGAGCCGGGCTTCTCCGGGTATCTGGGCGCTGCCGACCCGCCCTCTGTGAGCAGAAGCTACAGGGGCAAAGTCAGCACGCTCGCGGTTCCGCCCGCCTCCAGCTGACAACACCTGCAGACGCCTCACACCCAAGAGCTGGCACAGCACACCGCAGCGCCGCGTCCACTCCGGACACACAGCAGGGGAAAACATGCGACAGAGTATTCACCCGGGAGCATTCAGTGGGTGCACCGAAGTGATAGACAGCACCCAGCACGTTAAGCGGGGTAAACAGCAAGGGCACGTGCACGCCAGGTAGACAGCAGGAGTATACTAAGTGTCCTATAGGTCATCGCGGGCCGCAGGGTTTAGCAGGCTTCGGGGTCACCGCGAGGCTCCCGGCTCTCCGGATCTAGGGTCTACAGTCCCTGCCGCTGAAGTTCTTTCGAGGACTCCCAGACCCACTCCAAACTCCTAGAGAGACGCGGAACCACAGCAGCACGCGTCGCTAGGGCAACGGCCGGGCGGCCAACCAGCGTGTGAGGCGCGTGTGCCCAGAGCCAATGGGAGCAGAGCGCAGGAGCCACCTGTCAACCGCCCTCAGTCTCCACCTTGCCAGGTGGGGCGGAGTATGAGGGCGGGGTCAGCCCTAAATGCTCCCACAGCAGCCTCGACCCCTCCCCGAGCTCCCTACTGGAACCCTAGTAACTTCAGGTTAGCTACAAACAGCTACCACATTTTTCAGTAAAGAGTTTTAAAAAACAAAAACAAAACAAAACAAAAAACCGGGCATGATGACAAAAGTTTATAACCCCAGCACTTTGGTGGGATTTTGAGGCAGGAGGATGAAGAGTTCAGGGTCATCTTGGGCTTCATACTGGGTTCTAGAAATTGGAATGTGAGTCGCTTAATTGCATTAAAGAAACACTGTCCCATACTTGGGAAACTCAGATAATAGAAATTCCTGCAGATTGGGTCAATACTCAAATTACTGAACAAAATATTCTTTGACTTATGTGAGAGAAACATTTGTCTTATAAGCCAAGACATCACTTTTTTGAAAACTCTTAACCTGCTTCTACTGCAGTTTAGAGCTATGAACTTTGACCTCATGCTTATCCTGAAGGTTTCATACCACTCTGCCCAAATAATGGATATAACTACTCACTTTCAGTTTCTGCAAGAGGATAAATTACTAGAATCATCTAAGAAATTCTATTGACAGTTGAACTGTAAGTAGCCGGGGTTCCCTCTTGCTAAATTTGTCCTTAAAGTTCAAGACCTTTTTGAAAGGGCGAGTATTTGACAATGATCTAACTAATGTGCTGTGTCTGTTACAGAAGTAAAGCCTTAGAAATCTAGCAGAAGGCAGATAATGTAGGGTTGGGTGAGGAGGTAGGGGTGTATGTGCCTGCCTCTGTGTGTGTGTGTGTGTGTGCGTGTGTGTAGGTGTGTGTGTGTAGGTGTGTGTGTGTGTGTGTGTGTGTGTGTGTGTGTGTGTGTGTAGACTCTGGCTGTGCTCCATCCAGCTCTAACGTTTTATGATAGACTTCAGATATTCCACTTGCCTGGTCACACAGTGTCAGACCTCTATACTGAATAGCATCATTACTCCACTGTCTGTAGGTGCTTAGCTGATAACCACACACAAGTGCTTCCATTCCTGGAAGTCTCACCATCACCTGAGTAGAGGATCATGAGATCAAGAGAGGCTATTTTTAAAAACAGCTGATCATAGTAACTGGAGCTGTGGTGACTAAGGCGTGTCTTCCTGATTCTCAATTTCATTAACAGAAGATCTTGGCGTTTCCCCAAGCTGGACTCATCAACTGAGTGATGATGAAGGGCGCTAATGCTTTAAAAGACAGCGTTGATCTTTGGTCTATTACTGAAATGAAGGAATTTGCAGGTGCCACATCAGTAAGAATCTAAGCATATGCAAATGGAAAATGACTCAAGAATAGCCTGTTCGAACTTAGAGACATCTCAATGTCTTCATTTCCTAAGTTTCTTCACATGTGCCTCTGTCATAGAACGGCTTCAGGCTTTAGAAGTGTGGCATATCCCTTGTCACGCACTCTCACATTATGCTCTTTTTAACTAGCTTTGTTGGTAGACATATGTCACTATTTCTTGCTTACGAGCATGTTGAGAAAAGGAAAAAAGTGTACGTACAGATTCCAAGGTTTCAAAGTCTTCTGGCCCTCCCAAGTCTCTGTTGGCTCCCCTCATTGGATGCAGCTGTGTTTTTGAACCAGCAAGACTTTACATCTTTCCGACTCTTCGCATGCTAGCTTTCATGCTAGGGAGCTAAAAGGCCTAAGTGCAAGCCCCTCCCTGGCCTTTATCCCTGCTGCAGGTTCCTGCTCTCCCTTTATCAGGCAAAGCACAAACCATTTTCTGTTCAGGGATGACCAAACTACTTTAAGGGTCAAATTCTTCATTTTGACATATAGTCACACCATGTTTGGGTTGTCAACCTAATCAGAAAATCAAGGGCATTGTGTCCATAGCATCAAGAGAAGTCTGATCTCTGTAAGCACTTTCTCCAGTGCCCTGCAGGAGGTATTAAAGCCTTTTTGCTTAGGTCAAGACTTTAAAAAAATTGGGACATTTTGATGTTTCACTTTTGAGGTACAACTAACACAAATTTTATATATGTTAGTTATATAATTTGGCATTCAATATATGTGTACATTTGTGAGATGATTACCCCAACCAAACTAATTACCATATTCATAACCTCAGACTTGTCATTTTAGCGTACAGTGGGGAAGAACACTTTATCCTTTCAACAGATTTCAGGCAGAATGGTTAGCAATAGTCATGTGCTGCATGCAGGGTCCTCATGGTCTTAGAGCTGTCTCAGGCTGTGTTTGACAGCCTCTCCGAATTCCAGGGTGCCCTCACCCCTCAGCCATTGGTAACTACCATCTTGCTTTCTGCTTCTGTAAATGTGATGTTCTGCATTCCACATGTGAAGTTATAGAGTATGCTCTGTGTCTGGCTCCTTTCACTTAGAAAATTGTCCACTGGGTTCATTTACGCTGTCATATATGACTGGATTTCCTAAATTTTATAGCTGTGTATATGCCTCTGTGTCCCGTGTGTGTGTGTGTGTGTGTGTGTGTGTGTGTGTGTGTGTGATTCTTTTTCAGCCATGTACTGTGATTTCTTTCTCACCGTTTGTTTGAGTTTTCCTTTTGTCTGTGGTAACTGTGAAGCTTACATAGAACATTGTAGTTAAAATGACTTGTAGAAGCAGATAACTTCCATAACATGCAGAACTACATTTCCACTTTCCGTGACATCTCTTTATATGAATATCATATTTTGTATCTTTTTTTTTTCAGTTTTTTGAGACAGGGTTTCTCTGTATTGTTTTGGAGGCTCTGTAGACCAGGCTGACCTCGAACTCAGAGATCCGCCTGCCTCCGCCTCGTGAGTACTGGGATTAAAGGCGTGCTCCACCAACGCCCGGCTATTTTGTATCTTTTTTAATAACAAGGTGCGGTGGCTGTGCTTATTTTGTCCTCTAGCTTGTGTACTCCAGTTGCTTTGATTGCCCTCCATCCCTCTAATGTTACTGCATTCAGAGTTCACCTCCAAATGTTTGCCAGTGAGTTTGCATACTAGTACCTAGCTCCCTGCCATTTAAACTTGAATAATCACCTGGGTTCCTTATAAGGTGGGTCTTACAAGTCAGGACCAGTGCCAATGACCCTCTCTGCTTTGCTTCTGGTGATGTGTTTATTTCACTTCTTTCTTGTTTTAATTTTAGAATTTCATATGTCTACCAGTATTTTGCCCACATGTGTATATGTGTATTATATGCATGAAGAAGCCCACAGAGGCTAGATCAGTGGTCCTCAACCTTCCTAACACTATGACCCTTCAATGGTTACTCATGTTGTGCTGACACTTCATAGCTACTTCATAACTGGAATTTTGCGACTGTTATGAATCATAATGTAAATATCTGTTGTGCAAGATATCTAATACGCAATCTCCAAAGGGGACTGCAGCCCACAGGTTGAGAACCATTGGGCTAGAAGAAGGTGTTCAATTCCCTGGAACTGGAATTCAGACAGTTTCGATCACCATATGAGTGCTGGGAACTGAACCCCGGTCCTTTGCAAGAGCAGCAAGTGCCCTGAGCTGCTGAGCCATTTCTCCAGCTTGCCCTCATTTGTTCTTGAGGGACAGCTTATCCGGGTTTGCTTGTGTGGGTGACAGCGTTGTTTTTGTCTCAGAATTCTGAGCTTGTCATCTCCCCCTCGAGTCTCTGTGTTATGTGAGAAGAGTTTTCTCTTAGTGCTTTCACAGTTCTCTTTCTTTTGATGATTTGGTTGCGGGGTCTCTAGGTCGTCGAGGAGAACTAAGCAGGCAGCGATCCCAGAAGACATGAGAAATGGTTCAGATCAACTTCATCTACCTGGATCAGACTTTGGGGCGTCTAACGCCAGGCGGTTCACTGTCAGCACATTTAAAACACAGTACACTTTGGGGAAAGGTTTCCAGGCAACAAGCATTCCAATTTAAGAAGCACAATAAAGGTCAAGGTGTGACTACATGGAAACTCCTTTACAAAATACACGTGACCACGAGGGGAGGTTCTACAGCTAAAAGCCTAGAGTGGAGAGAGGTCTCTGACCAAGATAGCAGAGAGATCAGCAGACCATGAAGTATGTGTGACATCTCTCCTAAGGATGGGTAACTGTCTAGGGAGAGAAGAGTCTAGGACAAACATTCTGCCTCTATAGCAATAGGTGGGCAAGGTCTGCCCTCACAGATAGCAAAAAAGCCACCAGATTGTTAACAATATCCACTCCCAGCTTTCTGGGCAGGAAAACAGGTATTTTATCTTCCCCTTTAAGAAGCCATTGTGTTTCTTGGCTTCCCCAGTGATCTGTGGGCACAAGGACTTTTGTGGCCCCCAACAGGTTGTATTTTGGGAGTCCATCTTACTTAACCTTGAAGCATTACAAATCCAAATGTCCCAGTCAGTGGCAAGATACAGAAAGTGGCCAGTTGGCGTTTATTTAAATAACCTGTCTCCTCTCCTTGGGTGCATTCAACACACCTATTCTTGTGCATGCTGTTACAGTTCTACAGTCTCCTCATCATGGTCACTCTTATCACCTCAAACGGATTTCTTTCAAATAGACTCTTTTTCTTGTTATTTACTTTTTAGTTTTAATTTTCATAGGTTATTATTAGTGTGAATGTGTGTAAGCGCACATGACACATTGTGTGTGTGTAAGACAGACGACAATTTTCAGAAATCATTTTTCTCTTTCCACCTCATCTGGAGCAAGAATAATAAAAACTCAGAGACACATTGGGGGGGAGGAGGGCCGAGAGACCAGACAAGCAAAGCAGACAAGTCACTGGAGAGTTCTTACCTCTACCTCAGACCAAAGGGGGCGGTCCTATCCTCGTCGTGACTGCAGATTGAACGAATACACTGCACTCCTGTCTCCACCTGCCTTATTCTCCTCTCTAGTGCTGGGATTAAAGTCGTGCACCACCACCGCCCAGTTTCTATGGCTAACTAGTGTGGCTGCTGGGATTAAAGGTATGTGACACCACTACCTGGCCTATATAGATGATTAGTGTGGCTAGCTTTGCACTCTGATCTTCAGGTTAGCTTTATTTGTTAAATGATGAACAAAATATTACCACACTCTTTAGGCTCCCTGGATCTAATTCAGGTCATAGGGATTGCAAGGTAAGCACTTCCCCCACTGAGTCATCTTTCTGGGCTTCAAGTGGAATGTCTCTGACTTAATTGATTCTTTCTTCAGATTACTGATGCCAAGTCTTTTGACGGAAGACTTCAGGCTGTAACTTTAACCTTGGATCAAGGATTTCTGATCATTTGTTCCCGTGCCTGTTTTGCCTGTGTGCTACTAATTCTGATTTGTCTCATTATTTGTGCTCTTTAGCACCTCACCAAGCTTCTTTAAAGGCAGTATTTGTATCATCTTTTTAGTCAGGCAATTAGTAGACCTCAGTTTCCTTGGGGTCATTGACTTGAACTTTGTTGATTTTGAACTTGAACTTGCCTGATCTTTGTCATCCCTGTAGACTTGTTCAGCGTCTGTGCCTCTGATGGAGCAATCACATCCCCCGTCTTTACAGAATGATGTCAGCTGTCAAAGACCTCACCCTGTTGTGTCTTCATGTGGACAGAAAAGCATCTCGAGCCATCTTTAGTGAAGCAAAGCTTGACTGCTGCTGTCTTCCATCATGTAGCCTGTTGCTAGAGGCTAAGGTATGCCTGGCACTGGGCTAGAATGCCTCCAGCTCATAGATCAGTGGAGTCCGCACCATGATGAACCAAGTTCAAGGTCCACAGTGGTATCTTCAGATTCAGGTCTGTTATTTGGTGTGTGAGCAGATACAGGTCCCGAGGGAATGTCAGGAGACTTCTCTGTTTTACTAAGAGGGTCCCTGAGTCAGCCTCTGCCGTCCCTTAGGAAGAAGGAAGGAAGACTGGAAACCAAGCCAAAAGGCTGCTCCAGAGCCCGACAGCTAGGGCTAAAGTCAGCAGGCCTGCCTCTGGGGATAAGGTGGGCTCATTTCTCAGTAGGTTCCGGGTGGGCATAACAAGTGTTCTTGGGTCTCAGTTCACAGACTCAAGTAGAGTGACAGACATGTGCCAGGGTCTTCCATAAGATAAAGATCAGTGGGACTTTCTCGTGGGTATCTGGATAGACTGGATGCCCCGGATCCTGGCTAAAGTATTCTAGATCTATGTCACAGAGATGCTTCCGGGTCTGCTGTTGGATGGCTGACATGCCTGCCCCAGGCCAAGATGATGAGTGCTTCCCCAGCAATCCCTGTGTGGCCACGACTACCAGGACTATCAGGACTGTTTCCAGACTGCTTGGCTTAGGGGAGGGGCTCTTACTTGGTCCCAGATGACTTTTGTGTTCACAGGTGGAACTGTGGACAGTATGTAATCACGTCTAAAGTGGGAGAAGCAATTTCTGGGTCTATAGCTGGGACCACAGTGGGCAGAATGAGTCTTCCTTCTCACAGTGTCCCTCTTCAGTTCAGGTTCAAAACTTCCCATCCAGATCCCAAAGCTAGTACGAAAGCGTCGTTATCCATAATGTCCACCAGAATTACAGGTGGTGGGGATATGAGCAGGAGACATTTTTCTTGAGTCATCTTGCTGACACGAGTCTGAATACTACACAATTTAAAATAGATATGACCAGAGGCCATTAAGTGTTGAGAGTAAAACAATGTCACCCTAGAGTTGTGTGGTCCAAATAAGCCAGGTCACCCTGCCATGCGGCTATTCGGTTTCTAGATATGTGGCTAAAGCGCACATTGGTATGCACGCAGAAACAGGCAACAAGCGTGGTTTCCCATCACTGAAAGCAAACCAAGCGTGCATCCATGGGAAAATGAGCAAATGAACGGCCGAATAATAAAATACTATAGACCAAGTGGGACGACCCAACTAGGTTAATACATCTCAGGATTTATTCATAGGAAATTGTTTTCCCATTCCTATTTATGGAAAGCAGGAAGCCATATGTATACATTATCATTTATTTTGTCTAAAACATAACATGTATTATTTGTAAATACATTTGAAAAAATTACATGGAAATGCAACATGTTTTCAACTTAGTTATGGACAAGGGAAAGTAAGAGGAATGAGGCTGGGGGGGGGAGGGGAGGGGGTTGGTTCTTACATTTTGTTACAGTGTATCCAGAGACTTTTGTAGCAAAGCAGTAGGTTTGAAATCTGATACAGTAAGGCCTGGGAAGCCGAGATCTGAGAGACTTATGTGCACACAACCTCTGCATGGGTGTGGTGACCTGTTGGCCATTGTGAGGTGTCACAAAGAATGATGCAACAGTGAGTCACCGGGCCTTTCAAAATTGGTTCATCCGCAGCTTGGCTGTTGAACAAGGAGTATCTTGTCAAGAAGACAAACATTCAAAACCATACATATGCCTTCCTGCCTTCCATAAAATAGGGATGAAGAAGCAGTGTTCACCATTCTATGAACTCTTGTAACTTGCGGGAGGAAATGCGTGAAACAGCAAAGTAGAGGAAGGATGGACTGCACTCTCAGGACTGCTCTGAAGAACCCAGCAGCAGTTCGAGTGTTAATGTCCCGCTGTCAGATCGAGAAGCCCGGACATGAACCTGTATGTCACTCTGCAGAATGATTTCCAGGCATCTGTTCTTTTCTGGTTTTGGAGACAGGCCCTCATTCCATAGCTCAGGCTGGCCTTGAAGTTAGGACAATCCTCCTGCCCTAAATGCTGGATGTATAGACATCCACCAGCATCCCCTATGGAGATCTAATGTGCATGGTGTACATCCATGCCCTGTCTATCTGTAAAGTAACCCAACAAGTGTTCTTGAAAATCACAGTAACGGCACATGCTTGCCTTAAGTGGCAGGATCCCACAGGCTAGAGGAAGGGATAGAAAAGAATTCACTGAGCGTGACTTGGCAGCCAGGCTTTCTAGTTAAAAGAAAAAATAACAAAAAGAAAACCCTACATTTTGGAGAACACAGTAATTCAATAATTTTCATATAATTCAGCCTACCAAAGAGTTGTAATTAACACCTACACAACACTCTTTAACCCTCTGTTGCTCCACGGTTTCAAAAAACCTCTGCCTTCGAGGAAAAGGGATTAGGAACAGTCTCCTCCTGGTTGCCTTTAAGTTCCATCCGCCTAAGCTCTGGCTGCAGCTCAGAGTGATAAAGGAGGGGAGTCAGGCTGCTTAGGTTCTGTATCCGGGGAATTTAAGTTTCTCTTTGTGAGCTATGGTTCACAGAGCCCAGTTGACATCACACCTGTAAGGAGGGTTGGTGAGAGACTCACCTACTACACCCTTTGGTCAACTAACTTGCAATGTAAGTAATCTGTTTACTGAAGTTGAACATATTAAAGGAGTAAATTTTAAAGAAACTAGTGTGTCCAACTGGCAATCTAAGCAACAGTGGAGAGGCTATCTTAAATGTTCTTCCCCGATAATGAGATTGATAATGACCTTATATGCCATCCTAGAGCCTTCATCCAGTGACTGATGAAAGCAGAGGCAGACACCCACAACTAAACACTGAACTGAACTCCTGGAACCCAGCTGCAGAGAGGGAGGAGTGATGGGCAAGGGGGTCAAGACCAGGCTGGAGAAACCCACAGAAACAGCTGAACTGAACAAGGGAAATCTCATGGACCCCAGACTGATGGCTGAGAGACCAGCATGGGACTGATCCAGAACCCCTGAATGTGGGTGTCAGAGAGGAGGCCTGAACAATCTATGGGGCCTTGGGCAGTAGATCAGTTTTTATCCCTGGCCTACCAATGGATTTTGGGTGCCCATTCCACGTGGAGGGATGCTCTCTCAGCCTGGTCACATGGGGGAGGGCCTAGGCCCTGCCCTGGATGATATGACAGACTTTGGAGATCCCCATGGAGGGCCTCACCCTCCCTGGGGAGTGGAGTGGGGACTGGGTGGGGGGTTGGGGGCTTGGTAGGGGCCGGGGGAGGAGGGGAGGGAGAGGGAGCTGGGATTGACATGTGAAGCAAGCTAGTCTCTAATTTAAATTTTAAAAAAAGAAACGAGGGTGTCAACATATAGATTGCATCATTTCCCGAGGAGCACCCTCTTAGCCTTTCTTCACAACTCTGCCTTTCAGCTGATGGGGTCTAGTTCAGAGCCATCAGAGGAGAAGCTGACAGCCACATTACAGAGTGACTTGCCATGTTGGGACAGGTGTCGTTGGTCTTTCCTAAGATCTGATTCAGGGCTTCTCCTGTTTCCTCTGCTTGCCACCTACCAGTTACAAATGACCTCTCACCATCTGGTTTTTTAACTCATAAGGGCCAGTTTTCAGCTAGCCCACCTGGAATACTTTGTCCAGGTGCTTACAGATTCAAGCTCAAGTGGCTTTAGGATCCATTTTTCCCTTCAGAGATTTTTTTTGAAGGTTGAATTTGGGAACTTTGGGTATAGTTCATTGGTAAGGTACAAGCCACTTGTAGAAATGGTGAGTTACTACTGCACACAACTGTGTGACTGTTCAGCACATAGTTCTGAGGAAGGGTAGGGAGACGGAGCTGTCCACGTATGTCCATTCACAGAAATACAAGTCCAGAGAGACCTGACGAACAGGGATAGAGCTCAAAGGAGACACGTTCAGGGTGGAAGTTGTAAACACAGAGGGCTTGTTCATGGATTAGGTGTACTGGTCTCTTGGGCACAGTAAAAACGCCAGAGGCTGGGAGAGTAAAAAATGACATTGCTTTTTCTCACAGTTGCAGCTGACTATGGCTCTGGTGGAGGCTCTCTGCCTCTCTCGAAGACAGCCACCTTCTCACCATGTCCAGATGGCACACAGACAGCAGTCTGGTCTCTTCTAGTTACATAAGGACACCAATCCTTTGAATTTAGGGACCAGTCTGGTGAACACACTTAAACTAGGCCATTTGTTATGTAGTGTATTCTTCACTTTTGACCTCTAGAAAAACTTGGTTTGCTTCAAAACATTTGAAGATCATAAATAGAAACCCAATAGTGTCACAGTACATGTGTGTGAAGGAGGAATGTAAACATATATGCACATACACCTGCTTGAAAATTGCTTTATCAGTTTTAAAGATCACAGATAAAATCAGAGAAGCTATGGAATTAATCCAGAGCAACCAGGAGTAGACAAATCGAGCTTGTTGTCTTGGATGTTCTGACTAGTTTAAAGTCCAAGTTAAAAGTTAATAGCAATGGATTACATTGTTAATTTTTTTTTCAAGACAGGGTTTCTCAGTAGCTATGCATTGTTAAATTCTTAAAGCTCTTCATTCTTTGTAGGTTAACTCGATCATGGAAGATTATTCTAAGTACAATGTTTACATCTATTTTTCTTATTGGTAAGTCTTAGCAATAATGATCTTTAACCTGATTCAGAGTATATGGTACGAGAGCACTGAGTGAGATGACTCCTGTTTGATATATTGGAAGTTACCTGCATGTTCTCAAGTTTCTTCCCCTGTCATGTCCCACCAGAAAAGTCATAAAACTGGTTCTTAGAAGATTTTAAAAATCATCTTTCTGCATTATAGTTTATTTCCCAATTCATATTTAAAATAGATTTTTTCACACAATATATTCAGATTACTGTTCCCCCTCCCCCAACTCCTCTGTGACCCTTCCTGCCTTTCCTCCCTTCAGAATCCATGTCCTATCTTTCTCTAGTTAGAAAGCAATCAGGTGTGTAAAGAATAACAATAAAATAAGATAGACCAAAGCAAAATAAACAAACTGAAGAAAAGAGACGAAGAAAAACATGAGAAACCTATAGAGACACATATGTGCATGCCACAAAACCAGAAGCATATATGTGTGTATGTATGTGTGTGTATATGTGTGTGTATGTGTGTATATGTGTGTATATGTGTGTGCATGTGTGTATATGTGTGTATGTGTGTGCATGTGTGTATATGTGTGTACATGTGTGAGTGTGTGCACATGTGTATGTGTGTATGTGTGTATATGTGTGTGCATGTATATATGTATATGCATGCACGTGTATATGTGTGTATATGTGTATGTATGTGTGTATGTGTATATGTGTGTGTATGTGTGTATGTGTGCATATGTGTGTATGTGTGTATGCATGTGTGTGTGTGTGTGTGTGTGTGTGTGTGTGTGCTTCCAAGCCTGACAATCTGAATTTGGACTCAGAGAGGAAAGAGAGAACTGATTCCATCAAGTTATCTCCTGACTTCTACATAGATGGCGTGGCTCATACACACTCATCCTCATAGGCATGCAGATAGATGATAGATGATAGAAGATAGAAGATAGATAGACATATAGATATAGATAAGGAAATAATTTCCAATATGCTTCCTGAAGAAGCATATGATATTTTACCTGTTCTAAATTTGAGGGATTGAGTTTAGAGATTTTTTTCAATTTTTAAAAACTGTAGTTCACATATTAATTATACATAACAATATATTTATCATAGTATTTTAATATATGCATACAATGTTTTAGTTCTACTTATTTTAAATTTTAATCATTTTTGAGAATTTCACAAATATATAATGAAATATATATATATATATCTTTCTGTCATTTCCCCTCTCCAGTTTTCTCATGCCTCACCCCCAAGTCCAGTTAGTCCAGTTAGCACTGCCCATGTGTAAATAGGTGTGAACCCATCCTACTACAGGATGCATGGGAAACCTACCAGCCCTACCTCCTCAAAACAGAATGATTGTCCACCCTCCAGCAACTCACAACTCCTCAGGAAAGGGGTGGAGTCTGTATATCATCTACCCCATCTATGCCAGAGTTTTGGTTGTCTTGATTTTGTGTAGGTCTTGTACAGGTATTCACAACTGCTGTGAGTTCATAGCTGTAATAGGGATATTTTTAATAGTCTTGGCATCCTGACAAATGTTCAATTGGCCATAGATGCATATCTAAGTCTTCCCCAATGGACCAGAAGCCTGTTGTGCCAGTGGTTGGGATTGTTTCAAATCTGTAAATATATTTGGGAAGTATTGCTATTTTAATAATAATAAATGGTCTAATTAATGACCATAGGTTTATGTATTGTCTTTCTATTCGCATAGTTCTTTAGTTTCTTCTGGCAGTGTGTGTGTGTGTGTGTGTGTGTGTGTATGTGTGTGTGTGTGTTGGTTTGTTGTTGTTTTCCAGTTCTGGGGATCAAACTAGAGACACACACATGCTAAGTAAGCCACTGAGATACATTTCTGGGCCTTGGAGGCCAGAAGAGAGCATTGTGTCACCTGAAACGGGAGATGGTTGTGAGCAGCCATGTCTGTGCTGGGAGTTGAACCTGGGTCCTCTGAAAGAGTAGCAAGAGCTCTCGACTGCTGAGCCATCTCTCTAAGCCCTGACTTGGAACTCTTGATCCTCCTGCCTCAGTATCCACTAGGATTACATGCATGTCCCACCATTTTTGACTTGGAGACCTTCACTATTTACATTTAAACTAATTGTGGGCAAGAAAAAATTTTCTTCTGCCATTTTCCTATCTTTCTCCTATGTCTTATACCTTTTGGTTGTTTCTAATCTCTTCTGTTGCAATGATCTTTTCTGTTGAATTTGTTGTAATGTACTTTTTGGAGATTCTTTTCACCACATGTTAAATATTTTCTTAGTGGGAATTACAACAACCAGAACTGATAACAAAATGGTTTGATAGCAAATTAGTTTATAAATCATGCAAATACTCAGGTACCCATTAATATAGATTTATCATTACATTTCATGTGTTTATCTTTTGAATCATTTAAGAAATTAAACCCGAGTTACCATCTATTATAGTTTGAATATAAAATGTTTCCCGTAGGCTCATGTTTGATCATTTAGTCTCCAGGAGGAAGGGCTTTTCTTGGAGGTTATTGAGCCTTTGGGTTAGGGAGCTGCCCCACAGGATGTCCTTTCATTTAACCTGAAAGACAGCAACAGATCCCCAGAATTTGTTTTGCCAAGAGGTCTGGTTTTGCTGAATATGAACTTCTCTGGCGGCATAAACAGACCGATTGTCCTTTGGACTTTTTAAACCCATCAATCCACTGCTTTCTGGCTTCTATAGTGTCTGGTGAGAAACCAAATGGCAACCCTGCCGAGAATCCTTCTCCATGGCTAAGTATTCCTTTCTTGCTGTTTTCAAGTCCTTCTCCCTGCCTTTGGTTTTTGATGGTGTGGTTACGTGCTTTCTTGTGGGGAATCTTTAAGTCTGTTCTCTTTGGCATCTGTTGGGTTTCTTGGATGAATAGATTTGTTATTTTCATCAATTTTAAAGCTTTCTAGCCATTGTTTTTTCAGGGGTTCCTTCTCTCTCTTTTTGCCTTTTCCTCTCTCTTGATGGGATGTGTAATCGGCATAGTGAATAGCCCAGTGATGTCCCCCAGGCTTAACTGGCTCTGCTTAGACTTCCTCATCAGTCTGTAAGATTACAGCCCCACCTTCAAGTACATGGCTGTTGTGTTGCTCTCCGATCTAGTGCTGACCAGTCTCAGATTCCAGAACTGTCGGTCCTGTTACTCTCTCTTCCTTGAAGGATTCTGTGAGGCCACCAAGGATCTGGTCCTCTCTCTCTCTCTCTCTCTCCCTCTCTCTCTCTCTCTCTCTCTCTCTCTCTCTCTCTCTCTCTCTCTCTCTCTCTCTCTCTCTCTCTCTCTCTCTGTGTTTGATGTGTGCATGTATGTGCCAAGATGTGCTCGGGTGCGTGTGTAAAAGCCAGAGGGCAATGGCAGGTGTCTTCCTCTGTTTTGATCCACCTTAGCTTTTGAGACAAGGTCTCTCACTGAGCCTAGAATTCCAGGTGTTCAACTGTCTCAGATACCACCACCTTCGCAGAGCTTACATGTCCACACCAGCTTTTAGGTGGCTGCCAGGGATCCAAACTCAGGTGTCCTCATGCACTGTACCCACCGAGACATTGCCCCAGCTTCCGCTTTCTCTGCAGGGCTGGGGTCACAGATGTGAGGCCAGTGCTCTCCTGCTGAGCCACTCCCCTACCCTTGTACTCCTAATTTCTAAGACTATTCTCTCTTTCGCACTCTCAGAAATGCTTTTTAATACGTGTAAGGTATTTTATAGGTGCTTCTTGATAAGTTCTTTAATGAGAGTTTGCCTTTTCTTTGAAGGGCTTCAAAATCATCAGTGGTTTAAAGAAACAGAGTTTCCTCAAAAACCCAGACAATTATATACCTTAATCGCAGAATATGGCTCCCGGCTCTATAATTACCAGGTGATGTTTAATTAAATTCTTGTTGCATGTCACTCATTTAAAACTGAGTGTGCTACAAGGTGAGTTCAGTTTGCATTATATTATCTTGTTTTGGGTGAACAGTCAATGGCAATCTTACAGCAGATGGGGTTCTTCTAAGTGATTTTAGGACTAAGAAATCTCCCCAATTCTTCATACCTTCTGACCTTTTCAAGATCCCTCTAGAAGCTCCAAGAGAAGGGAAAAAGACAAATGACTCCATATGACTAACCTCCCCCCATCCCCAGCCAGCACAGTGCTTTTCCTTGCGGGGGAAGCTCCTGAGGTCTCAGTGAGGTGTTCACTCTCCACTCTATACTCCATAAGCACCTCCTAGAATTCCTGACTGCTCTACTTTGCTTCCTTCCTGCCTTTCTTCCTTTCTTCCTACCTTCCTTCCTTCCCTCCTGCCTTCCTGCCTCCCTCCCCCCTTTCTTTCTACCTCCTCCTCGGTTTTTTTTTCTTTTTTGATATAGGGTTTCTCTGTATAGCCTTGACTCACAGAGATCCGCCTGCCTCTGCCTCCCAAGTGCTAGGATTAAAGGTGTGCGCCACCACTGCCCGGGCCTAGTTTGCTTTCTATTACTGTGATAAATACCATCAACAGAGACATCAAGGAGAAGAAGAGGTTTATTTGGTTTGCACTTCCACGTCACAGTTCATCGTTGAGGGAATCAGGGCAGGAACTCAAGACAGAAACCTGGATGTAGGAACTGATGCACAGGTTATGGAGGAATGCTGCTTATTGGCTTTCTCCCCGTGGTTTGCTCAGTTTGCTTTCCTGTGCAGTGTTCCTGCCCAGGGTAGGCCCCATCCACAGTGGGCTGGGTCCGTCCACGTTAATCATCAATCAAGAAAATGGCCACTGCTTGCCTACAGGACAATTTGACTCAGATATTTTCTCAGTGGAGGTTTCCCTTTCCCAACTTGCTTCAAGTTGCCAAAACCCTAACCAGCACACCAACATTGGTCCTGGGTGAAAGGCCAACCACATGAAACCCCACAGACAGAGTTTACATGAGATAACCAGGAGCTGGCCCAGATCCTAAACCATCCTCAGATAAAACAGATGTGCATCCAAAGTGAGCAGTGGTACCCCGCCTTGAGAAACAGCAAATAAGGCTTCCATCCTGGGGTTCACATTATAGGTCACTTTCTATTAGATATGTGAATAAGGCCATCTTCCCTGACATGGTAACGACGGCGTATGTAGCAGGCCAAGGAAGACGCACATGCAAGGTGCTCCTGTGTCCCATGCACACGTGCTCTTGTGTCCCATGGTGTATTTCAAGGGTCCAAGAGTGCTTTTAGAAGAAAGACAACTGAGTGAAGAAGCAAGGCTCAAAATTGTTTCTCTCCTCTATTTCAGGCCAGACTTCGAATGCCTAAGGAGCAACTAGAACTTTTAAAGTGAGTGGGGGTTTTGTATGCGCCATTCTCTGCTCTGACTCCAAACCCTGAAACATTGGGGGGTCTGTCTTTGGAAATTTACAAAATGAAAATAATATTCCTGTATTATACATTACATATCCTGCCAGTCAAGAGCACTTTTCCTAGCTATTGATTCTTACCCACAGCGAAAATCCAAATTTGTTTAAAATACCATATTCAGCTGAGTCTAGCATGGTCCTGTAATTGTAGTACTCAGAAGGCTGAAGCAACAAGCTACAACTGGCAAGCCTGTCTCAAATAAAAATGCACTGATAGACAGGCTGATGAGTAAAAATAGCAGAAGTCTCAAGTGTGCACACTGTGCGGATCTCCAGGCTACAGCTTGAAAACGGCGTCTGTCCACCACACTTGGAATGCAGGACATCCCAGCTTGCATGCCAGGGATGACATTAGGGTTTAGCCTTCACCTGTATGGAGGCACTTGACTGAGGACAAGCGAGGCTGGCTGCCTCCTGACTGCTCAATGCAGAAAAAGCCAAACAAAGCTTCCCTCTGACTCTTGTCCTTTGAGTGCCTACCCTGCTTTCTCCTCACAGTGAAATGTAATGAGCAGACACAGGCACATCCCCGCCTTCCCCTCCCCACAGAATCTTTCTTTCTGCCCTTAAGTTGACTCGCTTGCCTGAAACTGTCAGCAGGATTCTCTCTTTCACCCTGTGGTTCTTCTGTGTACAGGAAGGAAAGCCAGACTTTGGAGAACAATTTCCGTGAAATCTTGATTTTGATTGAACAAATAGATATTCTGAAGGCATTGCTTAGAGACATGAAGGACGGCGTACACAATCACAGCTGGCCTGTCCACCGAGAGGCTGTGCAGGACCAGGTCACCACTGCAGCTCTAGATGAGGCAAGGAGGTCTGGGGCACGGAGGGGTGGAAACATTTAGCCCCAGGATGCTCATGCCATTTCTTTTACTGACTGGATACCAACTGACATTAGCTACATCCTCTGGGACCCCCTGATTGTCTTCCCTGGGACTCTACTTTTCCACCAGTGCTGTGTTACAGAGAGGACACTGAGTTTGTGATACAACTTGCTCCCCATATTCGGAAATGATGATCAGTGATTGTCCACAGCAAATACTTGCTAGCAAGAGGGTTCCATTCCTCCCTGAGAACTATGCCTCTGGTGAGCTCCGGACGTAGGCCAGAAGCTTCTTGCATTGCTCTCCCACTGCCTGTACCACCACCAATTTCTCCTCCCCACGTCAACATTTGAAATGTGTAGAAATCTAACCTTGGCCTTCATGGCTCCATCCACCCTGGCCACGTTCGAGTTAGTCAATGACAATTGTTGTGCCTGCTCCGGGTACTTGATTATTTTTGAACAAGAGTATCCTTCAGAACCCAACACTGACTCAAGTGGGTGAAAGATTGCTGTAAGAAGCAGCCATCTGACCTCTGTAAGCCGCCTGATTCTCAAAGAGCTATAGGATATTCAGGTCTCTGCTGCAGCACACCTGACACAGCTCTGTCTCAACCAACGGGAGGGCACCACAGTGCAGGGGAGAAGGCTTAGAGCCAGCCCCAGGTCCGCCTTTCTGTGTGACCATGGTCCCAGTCACTCTTCAGCTTTATTTATCTCTTTGAGTTGTCTGAGAAAGGCCACTCCCGCAGGGCTGTGGACAAGACATCCAAGTGCATCAGTGCCTACCCCTGAGGGTACCTGAGAGCTGTTAGAATTTTTTAGATTAAGGAGTTTAGGTCCAAATGCATGAAACAAAGGGTAAAAATGCAAGTAGTTGGTAGAGATTGATAACAGAAAAAACCGTTCTTCCAATCTTTACAGGAAATGTCAAACTTGGTACATTATGTACTTAAAAAGTTCAGAGGGGACCAAATACAGATGGCTGATTATGCCCTGAAGTCAGCTGGTGAGTACAGGGGAGAAAAATGAAAGATGACTGTTAAAAAAAAAGGAATGCTTAAGACCATTTAAAATTCTTTATCAGAAAATGACAATATCTCTGTGGCATTGAGAAGGGCTAAAATTAACAAGTTAGATGCTAAGGAAGATATTAGAAGTGATTGTCATTGACTGCTTCCGGAACGCCATTAGCATGTATCTAGAAGGAAAGCCAAGATACCACGGGGTAGTTGATCAGAAAGAGAGGACTTAAGCTCAGCAGATGGGCAGCACTGTGTATTATATGCACCAAGATGAGTTTACTGGGATGCTAAATGAATAATTGCAGACTAAAGGCTGGTGTTTAAAGGTAACTTACAAAGTAACGTGCTCAACATCATCCAATTGAAAATAAACCCTAAGAGCTTACTTAGGCTGTGAATTGTAGTCTCTGCCATCTATGGGCAGTGCGGAGGGGAGAGGGGAGGGCAGGGTAAGAGACATTATTGAAGAGTGAACTGATTTCTTAAAATGTACAGACCATCAAAAATCATTCAATAAGAAGTGGATAATAGGTAACAGGAAAAAAAGTGAATAGTGATGTGGTGACTAGAGAAACATGTACTTACAACCTTTCTGAAAAGAAAACTGTATCTAGGGCTACAGCTCAGTGACTTAGCGCTAGGCCTGGTATATACAACGCCCCTGGGCACTGTGATAATTGTGCCATGAATTAGTAAGCAAACGGAGAAAAGTCTAAGCTCAAATTGCCCTCTTTATCATTTTTAATATCGTTTGTTTGTTTGTTTGTTTTTGGAGGCATAGTCTCACTATGTAGCTCTGGATGTCTTGGAACTCACTATGCTTGCAGACCAGGCTGGCCTCAAACTCACAGAAATCTGTCTGCCTCTGGCTCCCAAGTGCTAGAATTAAAGGTGTGCACCACCATGCCCTCACTTCATTTTGTAATGTCCTACAACAAACTGAATCCAGGGATACACAAGAATGACAATAAATGTGTCTGACTAGGTAAGACCTCTTCTGGGACTAAAAGCCTTATCCTTTGAAATCATATCTGTGTCGTTTGCTATATCAAAACATTTAACAGTCTGGCCGTTGTGGTGATAAGCTTGGATAAGTTAAAATCATTTAGCAACATTCAGTTCATTTAGTATTAAAAACTCTTAACACACCAGAGAGATTTTCTTTAGCCTGGCAAAGAACTCCTGCATAATTCCATATGTAAACACACAGGGATTTGTAGGAGACTGAAAGATTTCTCCTAAGATCAGAAACAGTAAGAATGCCGCTCTTAATTTCCATTCCTAAATTACCATTGCCAAGACAAGAATGGGACAGATAGAGAAAGAGAGAGGGAAGACACAAAAGCAGGCAAGTTAGAAAAGAACAAACATACCAACTTATAAACAACATCATTGCTAACAGAAAAACAGGGCAAAATATCTACTAGAAAAACTTGCTTGTATTGGTGTATGTTTGAATGAGAGTGATAGAGAGAGAGAGAGAGAGAGAGAGAGAGAGAGAGAGAGAGAGAGAGAGAGAGAGAGAAGAGAGAGAGACTGGAACATATAGTATCTGGTTTTGGAGATTATTATAAAGGCCCAGAAATCAAGAGACATAGAACACAAGTCTAGAGTCAGTCCACATGGACATGGTGAATTGGTTTTGGCAAAACAGAAAAGTCAAGCCAGCGGTTCTGACAGTCATTGCAAACTAAAACTTAGCCATAATTTACCAGATATTAACGTAATGTCTGAATATAAGGCATGAAGTTTTACAATTTCTAGAGCAAAAGCTAAAGGAAAAGGGTGTAGTTTTTTAATTCATTATTATGTTGCACTGGGAACTGAACTCATGGTCTCTTGAGTGTGTGATGAGCGCCCTACCACGGAGCTACATTTAGACCTATATTTCCCTAAATTTGTATTTTAAGGCAGGATCTTGAAAGTTGTCCAGCTGACCTTGAACTCATATCATAGCCCAGGTTGGCCTTGAACTGTCAATTATCCTTCATCAGCCTAGGAAAGGATATCTTAAAGAAAATACGGAAACATGACCAAACAGAAAAGAAAAGACAGTTTGGACCCCATTAGTATTAATTCCTGTTCTAAAAAAAGAACAATTGAAAAAATGAGGAGACACTTCCCAGGCTGGAGACAGGACATTTACACATGAATTTAGCAAAGCTCTTAGATCTAAAATTTATGAAAGCTTTCAAACTTCAATAATAATAAAACAGAAAACCCAATTTTAAAACTGGGCAAAAGATCAGAAAACACTTTATTAAAGAAATGCAAATATGAAAGAAACATAAAAAACTAGACATTATTATTCATTAGTGAAATGGGACTCAGAAGCACAATGACATCAGCACACATCTATCAGATTGACAGACAGAGTGCCTGCCAATTGCTGCAGACACTGGGAAGCCCTGGGCTTCCAACCACGGTCCCACGGTCTCCCACTCTCTGTGTGAGTGTGTGTGTGTGTGTGTGTGTGTGTGTGTGTGTGTGTGTAAAGTGCTAGGCTTGGAAGGCGACCTGAAAACTGCTTCTCAAGTTAAATATAGCCCTAGTGACACCACATCTAAGTATTTACCTAGGAGTTATATTTTATGTTTAAGTCAAAACATGCATGACAATGCTGGAAGTACAGCTCAATGCTAAGAATGCCTGCCTAGGACACATAAGGGCTTGGATTCGAGCCTCGGCCCTGCAAAACCGAGACAAAAGTTGTTAGGAGAATGCCTGTGGTGACCAGATTATAGTCACCAAGGTGAGAAATGCCCACTAACAGATGGATAAAGTGTTCTGAAGACAACATGAAGAATGGTGTTCATCACTTTGCACAGGGATCTCAAAGGCTTCATGCTAAGCCTAAGTCCCTGTGTGCAACAAGCTGCAGATTGTGGTGCTCTGCAAAGATACAGGAAAAGGGATGTCTGCAAGAGGTGCGTGTGTGAAGAAGAATTGACCAGTGACTCTCTCAGCCTTGGGCTGGAGGTTAAAATGGGGGGGGGCTGCTACTCACTGTGGGCTCTTTTTGAAGCAGACTCATTCAAAATCTGCTGTAGTGATGACTGGCATAATTCTGAATATGCTAAGGCAAGCAACACTGATCTATACCCTTTATATGAGTGAATCATTGGGTGTGTGAATTATTTCTCCACAAAAAGCTAATTAGAATTAAAAAATGAAGCCATCGATGATGGCACACACATTTAATCCAGCACTCAGGAGGCAGAGACAGGCAGAAATCCTGTCTTGAAAAAACTAAACAAACAACAAAACAAAAACAAAAATAAAACAAAAACCTAAAAAATAAATGAATGAAAATAATAAGTATGAGTTTCTTCAAAACCCACAATTCAGGTTTTTTTTCATGTGAGAATTGTAGGGGGAAATCAGACTTCTATTGGCTTCATATGTCCAGTTGGTCATACAAGTAGGAATGTTAATTGTTAAAAGATACATGCTTCGATTTCAGTTTTAGAGAACAGAAAGCAACTGTAGGATAAGTATGCCCCCAAATATTGTGTAACCCAAGACTGTCACTCAAAACTTTTAAAGATACATTTTAATTGTGTGTGTGTGTGTGTGTGTGTGTGTGTGTGTGTGTGTGATTCATGGAAGCCAGAGGAGTCATTGGTGTCCCTGGAGCCATAGTCAAAGGTGGCTGTGAGTTACCAGTAGGCTCTAGGAATTAAACTCAGTCTCTCTCCCCCCAAGAGCAGAGCACTCTTAACCGCTGAGCCATATTCCTAACTATAATTCAGTATCTAAATTCCAAGTTCTACTGGGAGATGTGCATTTCCTTTTGCTACACGTGGCAACCGTGGGCCCACATTTAATATTTCAAACTGTGCTATCTCAGAAAAAATTCATAAACTAGATACCTGAGCAAAAGCATGGCCGTTAACACAAGCGCACGGACCTCAGTGTTATACCGTGCAACTCAATTGAGTTTAAAGAAGTGATTCACATTTTAAAATTTATCGTGTCTCAGATACGTTTCCTTCCTAAAATGAAATAACTTGAAGGGATAATGTTTAGTAAATACTTTTACGTTTCTTTGATTACAATTAAAGCTCCTACAAAAAATTAAAGTCTGATGAATTTACATAATTACTGTTACAAACAATGGGAAGGGCATGCATGTGGCTGGAGTTGCTTTTTCCATTTTTCGGTAAACAAGGCTGAAAGAAAGTCTGATATTTCTGGATGATGATAAATATAATACACATATTAATTTTAGTTTTGATTCAATTGCTCCAGTGTTTAAGATATTTTCATCAGAAGTTTCATGAAACTAGGAAAAGCAAAGATGACTTTCTGTCTGGATATGGTGCCACATGTCTTTACTCCAAGCACTTAGGGAGCTGAGGTAGGAGGATTGCTACAAGTTCAAAGTCAGCCTTTACTGCCTAGTGAGACCCTATTTCAAAACCAAGAAACAAATGAGTAAACACCTTTCTGGAAACGACATACTGTCGCTGGTGCCAGCCTGACTGAGTCCTGAGTATGAATCTAACTGTGATGTGTGTCCAGTAATAACTTTCCAGGGACATCATTGAAATCCAGATGGCATGTATTTAGTTTTATGCATTAAGTTTAAAATATTTTGCAATTTTAGGAGCCTCTGTCATTGAAGCTGGGACCTCAGAAAGTTACAAGAACAATAAAGCAAAGCTGTACTGGCATGGGATAGGATTCCTCAATTATGAGATGCCTCCAGATATGATTCTTCAGGTAAACGCTAAATATGGCGATGGTAGCTCTACCTTAGAATTTTGTCACTAAGGACCATGATTGTATTAATATTTAAAACAGAGGCAAGAACATACATGCTGCCTGCAGAACCTAGACATTTCTTACATTTCTATACCTTAACACCATACAAGATATTTATCTTAGAGTCCAAAACTATCATTAATCATTGTGTTTTTAAGATCAGAAAAGTAGACTCTGTCAGAACATGGAATTCCACACCTTTCACTGCCATTGATTCTCTGGCCTCTCTTTTCCACTGAAAACTTCAGCCACTCAACAAACATTTGTTAAAAGAGGCTGTCCTCCAAATGCCAGGCCAGCAACAGGTGCTTTGCCAAACTCGTGTTCTCACAGGGTTGACTATGACAGAGATTTCCAAGTAAGCCTTAAGCCTTTTCGTTCACTTGGAGGGATCATGACTGTCAACACGCTTATGAGCCACATCTCAGAAGTTGCTTTCAAATTTAAAACCATCTTCAGAGACAAACCTACAATTTCTTCTTGCCAGGTTCCAGTTTTACATCTAGTCAAAGATCCTTTGTTTCCCTGCCTTACCACCAGGACCTCCGTCACCACTACTGTGGCCTACCCATCAGCCATCACTGAGATCACCTTCGTTTACCCCCATCCCCACCAGTTCCGTCACCATCAGCACCTCTGCCATAAACACCACTGTCTCCTCACTCACCAGCACCACCAGCACCGTCCACACGTCTGCCTCCAGCAGTGGGGTCACAACAGTGGACGAAAACACCCTGCTGCGGTCAAGGCTCTGTTGGACGGCAGCACAAAGTGCTCTGGAAGAGCAGCCAGACCTAGGGTGTTTGGGAAGGTCTCCTATTTGCCAGGTGTCCCAAGAATCTTACAGTTGCTAGTGGTTGAGGTCCTCAGTATTGAAAGATTAGATTCATGTACCCAGGAGAGAGATTAATTTCATGTTTTCTTTCCAGCCAGATATTCACCCTGGAAAGTGCTGGGCCTTTCCAGGTTCCCAGGGTCATATCCTGATCAAGTTAGCCAGGAAGATCATCCCAACGGCTGTTACCATGGAGCACATCTCAGAGAAGGTGTCCCCCTCAGGAAATACCTCGAGTGCACCCAAGGAATTCTCTGTCTATGTGAGAAGTTGTCTAAACCTGTCATTTGGAGTGGGTTGAAGCAGAGGGTGTTGGACCAGGAAGGAGGAGCTGGACTCTTGTCTTTGGGGATTGAACCCAGGGCCTCTTGGAGGCTAAGCTAGAACTCTACTACTGAGCTATCACCAGCCCTGGACTCGACTTTTAATTGTACACTAGCTTCTTGTGCCTTATTAGTTAAAGACTGGGAGGACTGGACCAGATGATTTCTACATTTGACTTTACATTTTTACTTTAAAACTAAAAAGTTACACACCTGAAATACTGGCTATTTACATAAACTTTGTAATGCACCTTCCTGTTTCTCCCTCCTCCCAATTTATTTATTTATTTATTTTTGATTTTTCGAGACAGGGTTTCTCTGTATTGTTTTGGAGTCTGTCCTGGAACTCCCTCTGTAGACCAGGCTGGCCTCGAACTCACAGAGATCCGCCTGCCTCTGCCTCCTGAGTGCGCCACCACCACCTGGCAGTTCCCAATTCTTTTTCTCTCAAAGCTCCCTTTAGCAGCAGTCTCCCTCTTATTGAGACACCTGCTTCCATATTTTCTTTTTTCCATTATTTTGTATTTTTCAGTGTTAGATATTAAATGATGACTCTCTCTAATGGAAGTTGGAAATCACTTCTGTGGCTCTGCCTATCCAATATCTTTGTCTTTAAAAACAGGTTTGTAGAGACATAATTCACACAGCATAGGACTCACCCACTGAAGTGCACACTTCAGTGCTTCTAGTATATTCACGGTTCTGAATCTACCATCAAAACTTTAGAACATTTTTGTTATCTCCCAAAGGAACCTGATACTACTTAACTTTCACCTCTCATTCCCATCACATCCCTAGCCCTTAGCAACCACTAATGGACTTTGACTCATAAATTCACCTATGCCAGACATTATCATCATCATGATTTGTGTGCATTCTCTCTCCAGGGAGTCGTTAACACAGAGCTTTCAAGGTTCAGCTACATTGTAGTACTTGTCAGTATTTGACTTCTTTTTGGAAGCAAAGAATAAACATCGGATTGTTTCTATTTTGCTTATCCACTAGATGGTAGACATCTAAGAGTTATTTGCAGGGCTTTGGATTTTGTAAAGAATGGGACTGTGAATATTTATGTGTTGGGTTTTGTTTCTGTGAAATAGATATTGGATTTGAACTCCTAAATCTGTGTTTCATGTCTGAGGCTCTGGGAGGGTGGTGGATGTGTGTATTTTTGTTTGTTTGTTTGTCCCAGTCAATGGTCAATGTTTTCCTGGTGACTACTTGGCATTGCTCTCTGTTGAGCCATATAGCTTTGAAAGTTACTTTTTTTTTTTTTTTTTTTTTTTTTGGTTTTACGAGACAGGGTTTCTCTGTATTGTTTTGGAGGCTGTCGGTCCAGCCTGGCCTCAAACTCACAGAAATCTGCCTGCCTCTGCCTCCCGAGTGCTGGGACTAAAGGCCGGCGAAAGTTACTTTCTTTACTAAAGACATTTTAAACATATCCAAAGGCATCTGCCACCTGTTTGTCTAATTTGCTCATTTGGTACATTTCTATCGCTAATACATTGCCAGGCTCTTCATCAGAGGTCAATATTCTCCCATTGTTAATTCAAGTCAAATAAACCATGCTTCCCTTGCTCGCCTCCCTTCCTCCCAGCTATCTCGCTGGAGCTCTTCCACCCCTTGACTCCAATCTGATGATAGCTAGACGAGCCTGGTACGTGGCTGACACTGTTGGGTCTCATTCCTACTTCCTGAAGGCTGTTTCTCATTTTCCTTTTCTGATTCATAGTCTGTATGAGCCTGGTACATGGCTGACACTGTTGGGTCTCATTCCTACTTCCTGAAGGCTGTTTCTCATTTTCCTTTTCTGATTCATAGTCCGTATCTGCATCGATTTTACTTTAATGCCTGTGTAAAAGTTTTCTTTTCTTCCATCATAGTATTACTCTCTGAGATCTTGATTTCCACAAATGTTGCCTTTCGTGTTTGCAGCATTGTCTTCTTTGCATCTGAAGATACTAATTGATAGCAGAGTTTAGTCCCATCTTGTTTGTTTACAGGGTCTCTGTTGATCTTACAAGTTGCCTTTCTTGAATGCCTGGAAGCACAGCCAATGCTGTCAGCCTGACTGGTCTCTGGGACCTGTAGGGGAGGAAAAGCACAGGACAGATCTTAGCTGCCCAACCAGCTGACTCAGGAAGAGAGCTCTGGCAGGGGCTGGTGAACAGGGACTGCCATGGACTGAGGGCTCTCATGTCTTGTTGAGATTAGTCAGCCAAGACCTGAGTCCCTCCCCTCCCTGTCCTCCAGCATACCATGGCCCCGATCCTGAGCCCTTCTGGGCTTGCAGCCGAGGTCCCTGTGGTGATAGTCTCATCTCAAGCCACAGGAGTTTGTGTTTCCATCTGCTGCTCTTTGCCCTTCCCTGCGGTTTCTGTCTGAGTGTCTACTCCCACTTTTCCTCGAAGGTTTAGGTCTTCTACCCTTTGATGTCACTAGCGGGAGAAGGGTGTAGCCCACTTCTGGTACCCACCAGTGCTTCCAGTCCCATGCTGCTGAGACTTCCTGGTTCCAGCCTCCAATGCTCACTTGCACGGCAGGGTTGAGTTAGAGATGAGTTTTGGCAGGCCCTTCCCGTCTGTTTACCCAGTGCTGTTCCTTATTTGTAGGCATTCTGGCAAGAATCGTTGAGCAACAAGTACCTCCCATTTTCTTTCTGGATTACAGAATTGATGAACCAAGTGCTTCCTCTATTGCTCTTGGCCCTCGTACTTTGAAACAGGGTCCCTCACTAAACTGGAAATTTGCCATCTTGGTGTCATCCTACTGGCCAGTGGATTCTCAGGTTACAGGTGCAGGCAGCCTTGTCTGCATGGAAGCTGGGGACTTGAACACAAGTCTTCAAGCTTGCACAACAAGCAATCATATTCACTGAGCCATCTCCCCAGCTCCAGCATATACAGTTTAGGGGGAACTGTTGCTACTTCCCACAGAGCTCCCACCCACTCCTTATAGCCTCCACACCTGCTCTTTTTATTTTTTCAGGGTATTATGAAAAAATGTGAAGGAGAAGAAATGTTCCTAGGTCAGTTTATGTTTAACAAAACGGAAACAACCATTCAAACATTCGAGCTCCAGGTAATAATCCACTGGGAAATGCTGTTATTTTTGGCCTCATCACTAAGGAGGACTTGCTAGAACTGCTGCGTGAAAATAATGATGATGATAGCAAAAGCTAAGAAAGGCTTTTGTCATGACTCCATTCTTTGCTTCAAATGCTTACATGTATCTTAATACACATCATTTAACTGTAAGTCATTGGTGCACTAATTATAAGAGATGACAATTACAAAGCAATTTCTATCTCATTCTCAGTTGCTACTGCCTCCCCATGTATTGAGTTTCTCAGCCCATGTGCAGAAGCAATCTACCACAAGAGCGACTCAGTTTCATAGTGACTATCTCATCTGCCTTGGGTAAAGCTTTGAAGATGGGATACGACACGGAAAGAGGGAAAAGGAACTCAGTCAGGATTTAATGCCAGATAATACAGGGAAACCTTTCCTTCCTAGCCAATGAGAGGAAACACCCACTGTTAACTAATGAACATCCTGACATGCACTAAAGTGTCCAAAGTATCTCTTTATTATCTATAGTTAGCCACAGGAATGAAAGGAGCCAACAGATGCACAAATTATTGCATACTGTGTAAGGATAAGTGTTTATGTTACTTTTTGGTCAATTATGAAACTGATCCAAGTCGCCCCCACCACAACTACCAAGTGCTCAAACAGCTCTTCACATACAATGATCTCACACACATAGTCACAGCTCTTCACATATGCGGATCTCACACACAGAGTCACAGCTCTTCACATGCAATGATCTCACACACAGAGTCACAGCTCTTCACATGCAATGATCTCACACACAGAGTCACAGGCTCTTCACATGCAATGATCTCACACATAGAGTCACAGCTCTTCACATGCAATGATGTCACACAGAGTCACAGCTCTACACATATGATGATCTCACACACATAGTCACAGCTCTTCACATATGATGATCTCACACACATAATCAGTCTTCACATGCAATGATCTCACACACAGAATCACAGCTCTTCACATGCAATGATCTCACACACGGACTCACAGTCTTCACATATGATGATCTCACACACGGACTCACAGTCTTCACATATGATGATCTCACACACGGACTCACAGTCTTCACATGCAATGATCTCACACACGGACTCACAGTCTTCACATATGATGATCTCACACACAGACTCACAGTCTTCACATATGATGATCTCACACACGGACTCACAGTCTTCACATATGATGATCTCACACACGGACTCACAGTCTTCACATATGATGACCTCACACAGAGTCACAGCACAGATGTCTGTGGGACAGTCTTTGGGACTGTACTAAGCAGGTAAAGCTTTTCCTCGTTAGTGTATCTTAGACACTATAACATAGAGGTTTTTTACATAGCATTTACACAGTATTAAGGATTATAAGACATCTTGAGATGATCTTAACTACTACATGAGAAGCTAATCCTGACTTTTATGCAAACATCATGCTATTTTATATAGATCCCGTATCAACAAGGAGGTCCTGGAAGTCACCCTTCTAGATGCCAAAGGATGGACAACTATTATAAATTAGCATATTTGTAGAGTTCTGTGTCTTATTTGAATATTCATATGGCCATGGATTCCTATTTAGCTTTGGTTTTTGTTGAGATTGTATTTATTTTTGTTTTAACTGTTTTTTTTTTATGAAACAGGATCTTGTTTATGGTTGCTCAGGCTAGCCTTCAACTCCTGTTTCTTCTACTTCAGCATTCACAGTTGGTTTTATGGGTCTAGTTTTCATACAATTCTCCTGTTGTTGGCACAGTAGTGAGTGTGAGGAGAGTTGACAGCAGTTAGAGCCATTGGCGTACTTAGGCCTCCTGAATACCTTCATGGCCCCATACTTGTCTGTTGGTGGGATCCTCCCTTCCAGCAGGTCATTTTCCCACCTGTTAGAGCACTATTTGAGCGGACTTGTGTTAGGGAAGAAAAGAAGTCCCCACGTTCCCCCCACTATATCAGCGTTCACTGGGATTCTGCGAGAGAAACTTTCCTGAGTCATTCATGTTTTCTTTGTTTACAGAATGAAGCTTCTGAATCTTTGTTATGTGTGAAACTTCAAATCCTTAGCAACTGGGGACATCCAAAGTATACTTGTTTGTACAGATTCAGAGTCCATGGCATCCCCAGTGATCACACTTAGAGGAGCTGGTGCAGAAGGCGGTGGCCAGAAGGTCCAAGGACGCTTGCTATCCCCTTCCATCAAATTGCACCTCTAAGAACCAAAGATTTGGAGTGGGAGGGAAACCTCAAACTCATCCCTACTAGGCCGTAAGAAGTGAATGGATTTTACTAATAAAAAAAAAAAGAAAGTCAACTCAACACCCTTCGGGTGGTTCACTTTGAGCATCAGGAGGTGAGTTTGTGTTTAGAAGAGGGTCCTACTGGGAAGCATCTCACCACAGCTTCTGCATTTCAGCCATTCATCCCACACACCAGGCGCAACACCCACCATCGCCACTGTTAGCAGCCCTAAGCCACAGGCTCTGGGCAGCCCAAGTGGAGACACCACAGACAATTTTTAAGTTAGAGGTAAAAGTCAGCAGCAAGCTCTGGCCATGAATATTTGTGGATAATCTGATGGACTTCCCAGAATTCAGTATTGTCCTTTTAAAAATTACAAAAGGTCTGGCCAGATGGCTCGGCTGAGAAAGGCCCCTTGTGGCCAAGTCTGGTGATGTGAGTTCAGCCCTCAGAATACCCATGGTGGAAGAAGAGAACCATTTCTCCAAAACTGTCCTCTGACCTCCTGTACTAAATAAATATAAATAAAAATAAACATAATAATTTTAAAAGATTACAAATAGGTAGAAACTGTAGTAATCTGTTAGATGTGAAGTGGCTGCATGTAAATCAAAGCTACTCATAAATAAAAGCAACGATCAGATCAAGAGCAGAATCTATGAAAGCCACAGCGAAGACCGTGGGCATAAGGAGAATGCGTGTGGGAAAGGCCCCATGCAGCAGAAAATGGCTAAAGGGTTCAGTAAAGGGCAAGCCTGGCCAGCTGTGGAGACGCCAATCTCTCTGACCTAATTTAGATTGTAATGATCTCAGTTAAAACCAGAACGTTATGGTAATCACGGAGCTATCGAGAGACAGTAATGGATAATGGGGCTCACCTACAGAGGAGTGGCAGAGCACCTGGAATCCCAGCACTGGAGAAACTAAGGCAGGGAGAGTATAGGTTGTAGGCTTGCCTAGGACAATTAGACAGACCTTGTCTCAAATAAGAAACATGCCTTGACCATCAGAATGGCCTCAGCTAGTGACAGAGAATACCAGCTCTGACAATGAGCGTTCGATCCCTGGAACCCACTTGGTGGAAAGAAAGAACCAACTCCTGAGACTTGTTCTATGATTTCCACAGGCACATCATGGCTTGTATACCAGGACATGCATGCCATGGCATGCACACACAGACACACACACCACAAAATAAAACTTGTAAGAATATGCTTACCATTCCACAATTTATCAAACGGCTCACTTTTTTTGTTTTTTGAGACAAATGGCTCACTTTTAAAAAAGAAATATTATTCTTTTTGTTTATATTTTTAAATATTTTCATGTGAAATGATGCACCTTGGATCTGTTTTCAAATTCTGTGAGGGAAGAACAGAAGTTAGGAAGGTGTAAAAGATGAGTGTGAAATCATCACTGAAGATACAACTGCCCACGCAGACTGTTATTGTTCTGTCTACATTCATATGTGTTGATATCTCAGTGTTAAATTGTCTTCTGAAGAGCAAAATGTGCATGCCTCAAAAAGTATGTTGTAGACTAACTTGATTTTAAATTTCCTAACAATACATCTACTATTTTTTGCAAATCTGTATAAGGAAGCCTAACCTTCATAATATGAGTAGCAAGTATGTTTCCATCTTGTTTAATGTTTATTTGCAATGTCGTTATTTATAAAAACCTGAAAAAAGTATCGTCACATGGAAAGTTCTGTGACAAAGGCATAACACAGTAGTTAGAGCCATGTGGCGTTAGCACCTGACATGTCAGTGGAGCTGGCGGGTCCAAGACGAGACTTGTGTCTGTGTGGGGACTGGGCAAGCAGCAAGGTGTAAACTCACATGCACCGAGTCTTAGTTTTCTCTTGCCGATGTTACAATACTTGTAAGTTACAAGTAAAAGAGGTTGATTTCGGCTCATAGTTCTGGTAGTTTCTGAAGGAGGCATTTGTCAGTAGCTTTCATCTTTGTTGTCTCAAGACTCTCGATGATACAAGGAAAAAGCAGGAAGCTTACAAGACCTAGCCAAACTGCCCTATGTCAGTCCACCTGGGCGATAACCCACAATTCACTAGCCATATGAATGGCCAATCACCACTTAGTGCTCTCACTCACCAATATAACAGGAGTCAGTTGAGGAAGGGAACAAGCAAAAGCAAGCAAATGGCTTGGAACAATTATCCAGCCATTAAGAAAACAAAATGGCTTCTTTATTTATTACTTTACAATGTGATAAGTCCCCAATACAGCTTGGTAAAATATTTACAAGTAGGTAATGAAGCCATAAAAGCCTTAATAAAACTTGGGCTAATTCCTGTATGATATTGGATAGAGGAAGCTACAAAAGCATAAAAATTCTACATAAATAACAGAGTTGCAAAGAAAACATTAAACAAGATGGAAACACATCTGCCATCCACATTACAAAGACTAAAACAGATTCCCAAAGCAGCAACACTAACACCAACCTGTCTCTGAAGTTCTGAGAGTTAATGTGGGGCATGTTCAACATAAGTGCACCTTTTCAGTGAATGCCCGTTCACACAGTCCACACCCACCAAATCCTGATCTCTTTCCTCCTCGGTTGGATGTGATTCTCCTTGAGTCTTCATCCCTCTGCACTTTGCATAATAGTTCTAGTGTTCTACATTAACAAAAATTTTAAAACCTATGAGCTTTATTGAAGTGTTCTTATTTGACATCCAAAAGATGAGGAGTCCCTGAACAACTTTTTAAGCAAAAACACACTCCTTCAATGAGGACGGTTCCCCCAAAAAATTCGATCATGCCAATCTCTCCAGTATGAGTTTCCACCTCACTGTTTTCTCGTGTAAACAATAAGACAAATACTGACTTCCAAATTTGCTGTAGAAATGCTGAGCGATGTCACTTTCTTTCCCTCTGGGGCCATTTTTCCAACACTAACTGCTAACAAGCCTGCAAATAAATGAGTCTGTTATCCCCCTGAGACTAGTGAAGATGATCAGGCATGTGACAGACACAACCACCCCAGCTTTGGGTAACCATCAGTAAAGACATGATGCTTACCCAGACAGCAGGTCCAAAGATTCACTTCGCTGACCTCCAACTGTCTATACTGGGTCGACACTTTATATGTAATGTATTTCCTTTCCTGAGACAAGATCAAGAAGTTTTTTTTTTTCTTGTAAGTAAACATAGCACCAACATTGCTCTGCAGATCCTCGTGTGACTGAAGGATTGAACTTTTGAAGGTTTGAACTTTATAAAATCAAAAATCCGTTCATTTACTACCTAAATGGAAAATAGCAAGCAGGCATTGCATTAGAAAAATGTTCTGCCACCCAGGACTTCTGGAACACTCTAGAGTGATTTCTTGAGAAAATCATTTGGAAAGAAAATATGGAAATATTGGTATATTTAATTATCAATTCTGAAGTCATTGACTTTGCTTGTTAAATCTATCTAGCTTAATTACAAGAATACATAAGATTGGTATTTTCTTCTAAGAAAAGATTGTCATAGCTTACTTATATATTTGTTAAGCAAATTTTTATATGATTTGAGATTTATCAATAAGGAACATATAATCATCATCGTTATACACATCTGTTCTTAGGAATTTAAAATGTTTTGCCATTTTGTTGCATAATATTAAGCAATTTAAAATACAGATTGGATATAATACCACACTGCTTACAAAGTTTATTTAAACACAGTCTTTAGGAACTGGTGAGATGTCTTACTGGTAAAGCTCTTGCCTTGAAATCACAAGAAACCAAGTTAAAATCCTTGCTTTGAACATACAATAATAATAAGAAAAGGCCAAATGGCATTAGCAAACATTTGGAACCCTACAGTTCTTAGGGTGATACAAGCAGAGATAGATGAATCCCTAGGAACCCAAGCTCCAGCGAGCCTGGGTATGTTATGGTGTTTCTGCCCGGTTCCACAGCCTCCTCAGAGACCCCAAATAACACACAAGACACTTTATTATAAATTTGTTGGCTAGTGACTAGGATTTCTTATTGGCTAGCTCTATCTTAAGTATTAGCCTGTAACTACTAATATATTTATTTCTACATGGTCTTATCTTGCTGAAAATGCCAGACTCATGGGTCCTTTTCTCCTCGGATCACATGGAGACTTCTTTTCTTACTATACTTTCCTGCATCCTCCTTGTCTCCTAGTCCCGCCTATCTTGCTTCACTATTGGCTAGCAGTGTTTTATTCATCAACCAATAAGACACCATATACAGATGACCATTTCCCCATCATGGATAATGATCAGCTAACAGAAAAGAGAGATGCTGTATCAAACAAGTTGGAAGGTGAATACCAAAATCAGAGATTGTTCTTTGACCTTCACATGAGTTCCAATGCATTAGTGAACCTGAGTACATGCATGTACACACAAACAATACAGCCTTTAATCACAAAATATATGTAACAATTACCTTACTTTCGTGTGACATTTGTTATTTCAAAATTAAGCTCTAAATTAAAAGGCAAGTTTTGTTGACATTCAAAAGTAGTATCTAAGCCGGGCGGTGGTGGCACACGCCTTTAATCCCAGCACTTGGGAGGCAGAGGCAGGCGGATCTCTGTGAGTTCGAGGCTGGGCTGGACCGACAGCCTCGAAAGCAATACAGAGAAACCCTGTCTCGTAAAAACCAAAAAAAAAAAAAAAAAAAAAAAAGTAGTATCTAACATTTGGCTTGCCGACCACTTGTATGTCACAGTGTAGACTAGAATTTAGCTTCATGTTTTATTTATTTTTTTCTATTTTTCACTTTACCAGTAGTCAGCACTATCGGCTGTTTTATTACTATCTTAATTCTGTGTGCCAATTTAGAGACAGATTTTAGTTTTCAATTTACTGTGTGTGTGAATGTGAGCATGCTCATTTTTGCTCTTTTGCTTCAGTTATGATAAAGTTGGAAAGGGGTCCTGCGTGGGGGGACCATGGCAGATGGTGAGGGTGACCAAGGCAGGGGATAAACACCCCAGGTAGACAGAGCTTGAGTGAGAAGTTTTATTAGAAAGAGGAGCGAGGGGGAAGGAAGGAGAAAAGAGGTAAAGAGGCACAGAGACACAGAGAGAGGACAGAAGAGAAGAGGAAGACAGGAGCAGAGAGGGAGAAGAGCCGGAAGAGAGTAGAGAGAACAGAAAGAGAGCAAGGGAGCATAAGGGGGCGGGGTCTGTCTTTTAAAGGGGAGTGGGGACCATGCGCGCATGGAAGCCTGGGCTGACCAGGGGACTGCCTGAGTGCATTCTGCCAGGTGACAGGGGCAGGCCAGCATGATGCCTGAATCCTTACACTCACGTCACCGGTGCACATGTGGAAGTCAGAGGACAACTATTGGAATTACACCAGGGCCCAAACTCAGGCCTTCATGGTAAACACTTTCACCTGCTGAGCCATCTTGTGGACCCTGAACACCCGGTTTTATGTTATTGTCAAAGGATTGTAGGTTATTGGGGAGTCGGGGGGAGGATATGTGGTGTATTGGAAGAGTGTTACCTAGAACATGGGAAGACCCAGGAGTTTAATCTCCAACACTATTTTAAAAATTTTACAGGTATAATCCTTGAAATATCAAAGTGTTCTATTCTGGGTTAAAAATTCTTTTCAAACAATTCTAAGGACTCTGTATTAAAGAGCTTTTGTTTGTTTATGGTACTGGGATTAATGAAAAGGGCATAATCATGTTCAGCGAGGGTTTTACAGAGAGAGGGAAGGGGGAGAGAGAGAGAGAGAGAGAGAGAGAGAGAGAGAGAGAGAGAGAGAGAGAGAGAGAGAGAGAGAGAGAGATTGAGAAGTATCTTTTTTTTTCTTCCCTTTCCTTGCCTCCCACTCCTTTCCTTCATCTCCCGTCTTTCTTTCATTTTCTTTCTTTTTAAAATATATTTGTTGACACATGCCACTAAGATGCCCCGGCAGGTCTCCAACCTGAGATCCTCTTGCCTAAGCAGCCTCATTAGCTAGGACTAATGGGAATTATATAGGCTCTGATGAGTTTATATTGATACAGAGAAGCAGAATTATCTCTTCGCATCCGTTGGCCTTCGGGCATCCTACCAATTACCGTGTTGTTCAGCGTTTTAGAACAATTTTCAAAAGTACTGGGTTTCCAGGTATCCAAGTGTTTTTCAGGAGGTGACTTCTCCTCGGAGCCGTTTCCGTTTCCCTGACCCGGGGGTTGTGAGAGTCGGGTCCCCACGGCCGCGGACGGGGCCCCGCCCTCTGCCTTTGGCCGCGGTAGGCGGACCTCTCCTGCCGCACCGGCTCGGCGGAACCTCCGTGCGCGCGCCCGCGTTTCCCCGCCGGGACGCTCTGGGAGGGACTTTCTGCCCGCCTCCGGCCGAAGCCGCTGCCGGCTTGGAAGCAGCCATGAAGTTTCGCGCCAAGATCGTGGACCTGGCCTGCCTGAATCACTTCACACGTGAGCTGGCAGGGCTGCGGGGAGCGAGCGGAGAGTGCAGCTGCAGCCCTGTGAGAGGACGGGCGGGGTGGGGGGCGCGGCTGGGGCCCGCGGGCGGGGAGGACGGCCCGGAGGGGAAGGATCGCTACCCGGGACCTCTCCCTTTGCAGTCCTCCCCCTCCCTCTTGCTCGCAGGCGGCTCTGTGCCTGCAGCCCCCAGGTTTATGTGGAAAGTCCTCGGTTGTCAGTCGCTCTCCGAGGCGGCTACAGTATTGATGAACGCCGGTGCTGTGGGCTGTGGGCCTCGCGAGGTGTCAGCGGCGTTGAAGGACTAGCGTGGTCCATGAATTAGAAGCTCCGTAGGATGGCCTGTGGGGTGCCCGATACGCAGTCTAGTAACTGCTAACCTTACCCAACCCTCGCTGCAGGAGTCAGTAACATGATAGCCAAGCTTGCCAAAACATGCACCCTTCGCATCAGCCCGGAGAAGCTGAACTTCATCCTTTCGGACAAGCTGGCCAGTGGTGGGGTGAGCATGTGGTGTGAGCTGGAGCAGGTGAGCAGGACCGCCCAGAGGCCCCGGGCTCCTGCGGGAATGCCGAAAGGGCCCTAAAGGCCCGTCTCTGTCCTGCAGGAGAACATTTTTAGTGAATTTCAAATGGAAGGAGTCTCTGCAGAGAACAATGCGATTTATTTAGAATTAACATCAGAAAACTTATCCAGAGCCTTGAAGACTGCCCAGAACGCCAGAGCCTTGAAAATCAAGCTGACTAACAAACAGTTTCCCTGTCTTACTGTGTCTGTGGAGCTGGTAAGTAGAAGGAAAAGGATTTCTGAACTTTCTTTACACGTGCCTTGTTTAGGTATAGGAAGTATAAGTAGCTATAAGCCTGAGTTCTCAAACAATATTCTTGGATGGAATTAGTTTAATTTGAAATATAAGATCCAGTCCAGCATGGTGGCAAATGTTTTTTTTATCCCAACACTTAGGAAGCAGAGACATGTAGATCTCTATGAGTTCCAGGACTGCATAGACAACGCTGTCTCAAAATAAAATATAAGATCTGGTTCATGACTTACATGTCAGAAATGTACCTTATCCTAGTCATTTTTAAACAAAGTCTTGATTGCACAATGTTCAACAGGATACTGATTTTTCCAAACAGTCAAACTGCTGGCTAGAATCTCTTTCTTTTAGGATGTTGTCACCTTGTCTAGATGCTTTTATCCATTTTCACCTTAAAATTTCCCCCTCCTGTCTCATCGTCTGTAATAGTCTTAAATAAACAATCAGACTTAAGTACTACATTTGTCTTAGATGCTACTACTAGATGAGTTTAGTGAACAGCCTGTCCTCAGAACACACAAAAACACATGTTAAAGATGGAATTTGTAATTCCTAACATGTTCATAGCCTTTCAAAATATCTTGAAAGCAAATCATAAATTACTCCCCTCTGAGTTGTTCTCTGGATGTGTCTTTTTTTTCCCAATTCCCAGACTGGTGCCATCAATTGAATTATCTTCATGGAGTTTCTCTCCAAAACTTTTCCTTTCTTTAGTGCTCTGCCCCACCTGGGCCTCCATTTTCTTATATTTTTGGCTGTGAGCCTAGCCTGTAACAGCTGAGCAATCTCTCCAGCCCCCTCCATTTTCTTTACAACTTTCTTTCCTTATATGTGCTCTGCACCTGTGGGTGAGTGTTGCATTTGTTTTCAAGCTGGCTATAGACGTTAATTCATGATTTCATAACTTTTAATGCAGTCTTAAAGCATTCCATGTAACTGTAAGTTTGAGTTTATCTAGTTTCTTAAGGAAAAGCATACAATACTTTTCTAAGTAAGAAAGCAAGATACTTTGGTTTGTTTTTTGTTGTTTTGGGACAGGGTCTTGCTGTGTAGCTCTGACTGCCTTAGAATTGACTATGTTGACCAGACTGGCCTCAAACTTACAGAGATTCACTTGCCTCTGCCTCTTGTGCTGTGTGTGCCACTATACCTGGCAACACTTTGGTTTCTGAGCTTTAGAGATGCCTAGAGAAATAAACATGATCTATCCTTTTAGTGGTTCAGAAGCTACAGCATGCTGAGGGTGTGACACACAATGGTGTCTAGGTTGCCTTGGCCCAGCAGATTTGCCCCTTTCTGCCTCCTGGGTTTGTGAATGCTGATACTGTCCCTCTGCCTGAAGTCCTCTCCCCTCTTCTTCAGCTTCTCAGAGGCTGCCTGCCTCTCTAGGTTTGATGTCCTCTGAAGCATCACCCCAGAGGGTTGTTCCTCACAGCCCTCTGGCAGCTCTCCCTCACTCAGCCTCATCACATGCTCTCTTCAGGCTCTGACGGAGTGTCTGCTTTGCGCACTGGCTTCCTAGGTGCTCCATTTGTTCCACGGGGGCCCTCTGGTCTCATTCTCTACATGTCTCAGAGACTCACGGGACCCAAAGCAGAACAGATACACCACACCAGTCATACCGCTTGAATAGATTTCATTCATCCATGAGTGGATTCATAAAGAAGATTCCATTTGGAATTCGAAGGGTTTAGCATTCCTTCTCATGTTTTGCTTTTAGCATTGACAACATAAACAATTATAACTTATTTCTTAGCAGTTGTCCTCGTCAAGCAGTAGTAGAATTGTGACACATGATATCCCCATAAAGGTTATTCCTAGAAGATTGTGGAAGGACTTACAAGAACCATCTGTCCCAAACTCTGATGTAAGTGTTGTCGGTAGTCCTGTTGTTAGACACACAATGAAGGGCAGGGATTGAATTCTCCAGTGCTAGCTGGCATCTTGCAGTGTATTGAATTTGAAGTTGTATAGTTTCTGAAAAGAATGTGAGTCAATTACCAAGACTCCAGATGGTGAGCATGTGCCTTTTGCTATATATGTAAATTCTGTTAAAGAACTCATACCCATTTAGAAATGCCATACTTTCCATGCAGGAGTTCAAATGCCTTGCTCAGTGAACCTAAGTTATACTTTGGAAGACAGTCTTTATTTACCATGACTCTTGACCTTAGACACAAACTCTTGTTTCATAGACCACGATGAAAGACCCAGAGAAGGCATTTTTGTTGACTTGGAGCTTAGGTTAACAGTGACCAGAGGAACCTGAGTACCATTGCAAATAAAGAGGATGCCAAATGGTCCTTTGTTTCTTTCTTATATGTAAAGAAATTGAACAGATACTGGATGGAATAGGTGTCTATGTAGGTTTGGAAAAAGCCAGCATTACACACAGCACTCAAATGAGTTGGGATAATGGCTGGCTGTACTGTTATACAGAGTACAGAGAAGGCCCCTGAGCCCTGTAAAACATTTCCCAGAGGAAGACTTTTTGCTCAGCACTTGAGGTGTATTCCCCTTGGACCTGTATATAGGTATGTCAGCTAAAGTACTGTGTTACTTCTTGAACCAGAACAATGCTCTTGGGGGTATGGTCACCATGGTAACCAGAGCCAAGTATCCAGGAATCTTTATTTGCTTGAATAAGTTAGTGAAATTTTCAAAGTTTTAAAGGGACTTTAAAGATTTGATTTTGACCTTTTAAATACATTTCACAGTTGTTGATTGGGTACTTGTCATTACAGACTATATTAAAATTTCTGACCCTTGTGATTTCTCTTACTGGTTTTTAGGTCAGTATTTATTTACCAGCCTTGAAGACTATGAAGAGTGTTGTAGAAAAAATGAAAAACATCAGTAATCAACTGGTAAGGGATTCCTCTTTGGAAAAGAGTGAGCCTTCGCTGTGGGGGAAGGAGGCTTGTCCCGGGAGGCAGCCTCACTGTTAACCCATGTGTGGGTGCTACTCACCACCACGAGGTGCTCAGCCAGTGGGTTTCTCTCACTGAGGCCCCTCTGGGGAGGACAGAGCTTGGTGTTGAGATCTGGCCTTTAGGGACCTTGTTCTACTGCCTTTCAGCTGTTATTCCCTGGGGAAAGTTTCAAACTTGCCCTTAATCCCTCCAGGAGCATGTTCCAACAGTTGCAGTGTTTTGTATCTTGTAATTTGGACAGAACACTGCAGTTTTTGTTGGTTTCTTATTTGATGCTGAGGAACTAAGTGGAAAGCTTCATGCAAACTAAGCACATGTTCTGCCACTGTGCTGTGTGAATAGTGGAAGCCCTGGTATCTTTCGAATGTTAACATGCATGGACACATTGTGCACAACATACAGATGGACCCCCTTATTTCTCTGTATATTTTTGAAGGTCCAAAGACACCACAGCAGTGATGGAGACTTATGTGGACTATCCTCATTCACACATGGACGTGTTCTGGATTCCAGCCTCAATCACCCCTTAAAACCATATTTCATTATTCCTGAATTTTCCAAAGCCGCTGCCCACCTGATGCACAGACTTTTACCTTTCCTAACCCCAAGGCACCATCTCTGGCAGCCAGACCCTCCTGGCAGATCCACACCAGGCTGGCCCTGGCATTTGCCTGCTTATTACCTCTTCATGCATTTTGTTTCCTGCTGTTTTACACTCAGGTGATGTGTCTCTCATCTTTAAAGTACTCAGCCGTTGTCAGTGTTCAGCCCAAGCTCCATGTTGCCTACAGGAAACTCCCCGTACTGAGCTCTCTCCCGCATGCCTGTAAATCCACCATTACCTTGGAATCTCCAGAGCCACCAGCTTCTAGGAAGATCTTCCTGAACTTCTGTGTTTCAGAGCTCAGGGTCCGACTGCCACTCAGTAGTCCATGACTGATGTGTTGTTGCATGGGTGGCTCCTAGGAATCTTTACATCCCAAAAGGATTTTGAAACCTAGAGAGTGGGGTTTCGGTAGTGTTGTTTTTCTCTTGAGTCCTCACTTGAGAGCAGTGCTGTCACTGAGCCTTAGTCTTTGTAGCTGCCCTGTGAATCAAAGCTCAGCTTCCTTTGAAGTCGCATGCGCTGGGCTGGCGGTGGTGTTCACTGCCACCGCCTCGGGGTTGACCTGGTTGTCAGGCTGGCTTCCTCTGAGGGACCCTGGGAGGCTCAGGAGGCCCCCAGAGAAAAGTGGGGCATTTCACTGAGGGATCCATTTGCTTGTTCTTTCTGTTCCGTGGAAATGAGTCAGCAAAGTGGAGAGTGAGAAGTGGGGAGTGAGAGCCGTGGCGGTTGTTTCTCTTCTGGAGTGCCTGGCAAATGCTAACCGGGACGTTATGGAGCTAGAATACCAAATGCATATGAGATCTTTGTGGGTGCCCGGGGATTCTAAATAACTAAGTAGATGTCCCCAGGAGAAGCTGCACTGTAGAATAAAGACCTTGCAAAGGTAGGAAATTATCTTGGTCCCTTTCCACATTTATATTGAAATCTCCCAACTATCAATAAAGGATCATGACTGAGTCCCACGCAAAGACACTGAATAAAAGATGGGTGAGCTCCGGGTCCAGAAGGGGCTGGGACTCTGTTGCCTTACCAGGACAGAGAGCTGCAGCTATGCTGTGCCTGGCCTCAGCGCTCACAGAACAGCTTGGGGAAGAGGACTCGGGGCTCTGACACTCATTTTCCTCATGGGGTCCTCTCTTAAACTCCTGTTCTCCCTGCCCTAGGACCATGGCCATGGGCCATGGGGGTCTCCTTTCTTTTTAATCTCTCACCGCGCCCATCCGATCCGTTCCTTTATCTAGAAAGAGATTTGCCAGCCTGTGCATGGCACACTGCGGTTCTGGTTTGGTTGTTGGTTTCTGGTCTACAGAAAGGCCACACACAGTCTGCGGTCAGCATTCTGCCAGCCAGTAACACAAAGACGCTACCTAACCTGGAAGGGGGAGGTGGGCATCCGTGTCAGTAGAACTGTCCTCTGGGTACTGCAGGCAGACAGTCTTAGGTCAGTGAGAGAGAAGGAAGTCACCCTGGTGCACAGCTCTCTTGTCATGCTGTAATTTAAGGTATTAGCATGCCTTGAAAACTGGTCAGCACATGGTATCTCCTATGCTTATTCTGTAAAATTTCCCAACTCCAAATCTTCCTCATTCTAGAAAACAACAAGGTAGGTTCTTTGAACTTATTTTTGAGCTTCTGCCATTGTACACTGAGTTTCTCGAGCTCACAGCCTTTCATCTAGTAATTTCCTTGGAATTCAAACCTTCATGTGAAGACTCCTTTCAGTAACCCCGAGTTCATTCTAACCCGCTGACCTGTGATCCAGAAGAGCAAGTGGCCAAAACAGAGTGTAGACAGCAGTGTGTGTGCGTGCTGTGGGGTACTCACTGGGGCTTGTAAAGCTCACGGGTGGCCTGTGCCCATTTGCTTCCAACAACTGTGTGCTAACACCTGTAAATTTCATGGCTTCCGAAAAACAGTGCTGTTAGAAGTAAATGTCTAGCCGGGTGGTGGCGGCACACACCTTTAGTCCTAGCTCTCGGGAGGCAGAGGCAGAGGCAAGTGGATCTCAGTGAGTTTGAGGCCAGCCTGATCTACAGAGAAAGTTCTAGGACAGCCAGGACTGGGGTCTCCAGAGCGCTGATCCTTGGCTGAGTGTCCCAGCAATGCCCCTCCTACTTCCCCCTGCTGAGTTTTCACTGGGGGATACCTTCTTGGTTTTAGGGGATTTGTGAGTTCTGCGCTCACATAAACTTCTCTCTGTGGTTGGTGCCTTGGCGGCTTCAGTGCCCTGTGAGGTGTTAGGTTTGTGGCACTGCCTTGCTACCTGGCTTTTGTTGCAGCTGGTGCCCAAGTGTTGTTGTTTTCCCTCTTTTCAATATTGAATTTTATTCAATTTGCAGGTTATTGAAGCAAACCTAAATGGAGAACTGAACCTAAAGATAGAAACTGAATTGGTGTGTGTGACAACTCATTTTAAGGATCTTGGAAACCCTCTATTACGTGAGTTTTCTTGTGGGTTATATTTTGCTACTAATAAATAAATTGTTTAATATAGATTGAGTTCTCTTAATGAAAATGTTGATATTTGGTTTTCTTTGTTTCACACTTGAGAAAGGGCTGAGATTAGATTTTCTGTCTCTGTGACATAATGGGGCAGTTAGCACTAGGCCCGCAGACATTGAGGGGGTGCAAAAGGATACTTTCCTCCTCTGGGATTCAGGTCACAAACAGTGGCTTCCAAGAACTCATAGCTCTTTGTAGTTGGCATTTTCTTTGGGTTGCCAACCAGCTCCCAAATAAAGACATGGAGACTTATTATTAATTATGAATGCTCAGCCTTAGCTTAGGCTTATCCCACTAGATTTTTTTTACCTAGTTTAAACTGTTTCTAGTCATCTTCAAGTCTCTTTACTGTTCTTTCATTCTGTATGTCCTGCTTTCTTGCTTCTTCAGTGTCTGGCTGGCTATCCCCTGGCATCTCTTTTTCTTCCCTGAGCCTAATTCCTCCTCCTACTTACTCTCCCTGCCTATACCTCCTCCCTCGCTGTTGGCCATTCAGCTTTTTATTAGACCAGTCTGGTGCCTTAGGTAGGCAAGGTAAATGAGCAACACATCCTGACAGAATTAAACGAATGCCACACATCTTTACATAGTTAAACAAATATTACACAACAGCTCTTCATTTGTTGCTGTGCTCTGCAAGGTTAAGATTCTCGCTTGGTTTGGAGTCAAAGTTGTGTTTTATTTTCTTTAGTCAGTTCAGTGCCTGTAACGTTAAATGGGCGATACGGATGCCATACAGATGAACTTGGTCACACTTTTCACCTCATAACGGTCAGGCAGAAGTGTGAAGTCAGTTCAGTAAGCCTTGAAGGAAGAAGGGGTGGTTGTGCAGCTTAGAGAGCAGTGAGCCCAAATTAAACTCGTCTTCTCAAATAGGGAATCGGCCAGAGAAAAAGTGTTGTCAAACAGGTAAGACAACACCATAACTTTTAGAGTTACGATTGGTTATTATAGGCACAGATATTACCATAGCCCTGAAACAATTACTTTGTAGTGAAAGGCACATTGCTCCAGCAGAGTGAAATCTATTGCATCAGGACTCTGACAATGGTATATGAAATGACCTTGGTTTTCTTGTTGCTGTGTGTGTGTTCACAATACTTACTGAGTTGAGGGCCTCTGCATGAACTACCACATTCCCAGCCCTGACATGAGTTATTTTTGGTGTCAATCATTTTGTTTCTTGGGCACAAAGCAGGTTATCAGTAGTTGATAGGTAGATTTCTGTTTTGTTTTTTTGTTGTTGTTGTTGTTGTTCTACTATGTAGAGTTAGATGTCTAGCATTAGCCATCTGCATTTCAATTTTTGAATTCATAGTAAACTTCGATTTTTCTCTTGTGCAAACAGGTGAGTGAGTTGTACTTCGATACCTTTTAAGTGGAGCTCCTCTAAAAGTCAGTATTTTAAACAGTTCAGACGGCTACTGAATGAGTAACATTTGCAAGCTTAGTCTACTAGCTTGCTAAAAGGAGCTGTAGAATTGTTCCATTAATAGTAAACACCCATTGCACATTTCTAAGTTCTGGTTATGTTCCAGAGATGTTGGATTAAAAAAAATCATGTCATTTCAGCCTCTGAGAGTGTCTCTCAAAGCAGACACCCGGAAGACATGGCCGAGGTACACATTGACATAAGGAAACTCCTCCAGTTCCTTGCAGGACAGCAAGTGACTCCCACCAAGGCTGTGTGCAGTGAGTTTGCTTTTCCATTTCTCACCTCTAGTCTAATATGCATATAGTCTTCTAAATGCAAATATGCCCAGTTCCAGGGACTCAAGCTCCCGGGGCAGTCAAAAGGTTGTAAAGTTTCCTTGAGCTAAAAGAAGATGCTGAAGGGTGATGGTGATTGGTGTGGTTCCAGAAAGCCAGTAGCCATGCTGGACTGGCGGTGGGCTCTGCCTGTGATACTGACTGCACAGTGCACACTGTCTCACAGCAGCTGAGTTTATCTGCTTAACATGACCAGAGCCCTGTATACGCTTTTGCCTAGATCTGAGTTTCAGCTTGAGCCCTTTCCTTCCCTTTCATGCCCATCTGGCCTGCGCTCGCTACCAGAGTCTCCTCGGGTCTTGGTTTGGGCCCCATCCTGACGTTGGCTACTCCTTGCCCTGTTCCTCTTCACCTGCTCCCCCACTGAGCTAGGGGGTTCATCAAGGGCTTCTCAAAGCTGTTGTCTCCTGGTTTTGTTTTGCTTTGTTTTGAAAAGGCATAGCAAATGACCTAGATGTGACATCCCTCCCTTTGTGGAAAGTCTCCAGGATGACCTCTCATCCACCAAGCTGAGGAAGATGACCTGGGACTAGACCATACAGTAATGGAACAGAAAGTTCTGGATGGCTCTGTCAAGGACCAGCCTTTGTAAAAGAGAAGAGGGATGTGTCCTAGTTAGGGTTACTAGTGCTGTGATGAAACACCACGACCAAAAGCAGCTTACAGAGGCAAGGGTTCATTCAGCTTATGTTTCCACATCACTGTCCACCGTCAAAGGAAATCAAGACAGGAACTCAAGCAGGGCTGGAACCTGGAGGCAGGAGCTGATGCAGAGGCCGTGGAGGGTGCTGCTTCCTGACTTGCTCACCATGGCTTGCTCAGCCTGCCTTCTTATAGAACCCAGGACCACCTGCCCACAATGGACTGGGCCCTTCCCCACCAATCACTAATTAAGAAAATGCTCTCTCGACGCTTGCCTGCAGCCAAGTCTTACTGAGGCATTTTCTGAGTTGAGGCTCCCTTCTCTGGTGACTAACTTGTGTCAAATTCACATAAAACTAGCCAACACAGGGTGAGAAACCGCGGAAGAGACTATGTGAGAGGCCATGGGGTAAAAGCACAGGGAAGCCTTTGATGGTGTAGCCTATCACAGTGCATAGGACTGCAAGTACTCAGACCTTGTCCATGTACCTTGGTCCCCTCACCGTGGGTACCTGCCTTTACCAGGAAGGCTAATTTGGTTAAATCAGCCTGATTTTCCCCCTAAAGCCTGGAGAGCTTCATTCTTCACCTCTCACACTGTCCCCAGTGGGTGGCAGGAGCATGTGCCGTGACCCCTCATGAGCCCTCAGAGGGAATAGACGCCAAGCATAGGAAGTGTCCACGGCAGACAAGCAGTTGTGATAGGTGAGGATGGAAACCGTCTTTAGTAACATCTGGGTCTTTTTCCCCTAGACATTGTCAGTAACAGAACTGTTCATTTTGACCTGCTTCTGGAAGACGTCTCCCTTCAGTATTTCATCCCAGCCTTGTCCTAGCACCGTGCCAGCAGAGTTGGCAGCACAGAGACCTTTGCTGAGACGACAGAAGCCCTGGATGGTGGGATCAGTCAGCTGTCCGTCCTCACAGCACCACAGACTTGTCCTGGGCGGTGCTGCTCGAAGCAGAGATGGAATTAATGGAGCACAGCTGGATAACCACCCTTTCGTATTACTCAAGGCCAGCACCTGCGCCTTCTTCTCCCCTTGGTCTAAGACGTTACGAAGCAAAGATAGAATTTGTTTGTATAGGGTCTTTTGTTTTGTTTTCCTCTGGAGCTTGAGATGAGAGCAGGGCTTTTGTGTGCTAAGCTCCTGCTCTGCACTGAGTTGCTCCCCAGACATCCTAAAGTGTGACTAGCAGATTGACACTGAAGTTGTGAAAGTCGTCATTTGAATAGAATTGGTGTTGCGGTCAGAATTCGCAGGCGTACTCCCCAGCTAGTTTCCTGCTCAGTCCCCGGTATAGCGCACTGTCTGCTTTCTGGTTTTAGCATGCTCATCTCTCCCAAGTCTGGGCGTTCAATGCACACTGCACAGCCCGCTGTCCCTGGCAGCATGCCTGGTTTCTCACCACTGAGTGTTCAGCTGCAGCGTGTGGAGCCTTGCCCAACTCACTGAAGATTCCAGTCCACTTCCTTCTCACTGCCTGGGGAACCTGCAGAGCCAGAGACCTGAAGGCCAGCCCAACCAACCCACTTCCCATCTTAAATGTCCTTCTGTGTCCTTTCTGCCTGAGCCCACTTTGGTTTTAGGTTATAACTTATTTTCCTCTTTTGTAGTGCTCAAGGTCAAACCCAGGGCTGGGTACATGATAGGTAAGCACTCTATGCCAAACTATATCCCCAGTCATTTAAACCATAATTTTGTGTAATTCTTTAAAGCACCCGGTGTTTCTCATAGAGCAGTTGAAGCTTGGCCATCATGGGTGAAGCTGTATTCTGCTCCTGTATTGGTGCTAGCCCATCCTGGATGGTGTGCTTTCTACAAAAGCCCCTCAGCAGGCCTTTTGTTTTAACTAGGTGTCAGGTAGCCCATGAGGTGGCATCAGAACTGTTTTCATGTCACAGAGTCGAGGCCTAAGTTGCCTAGGGTAAGATTTGAAGGAGGGGGAGGGGATAAACAAAACAGCATTTCTTTCTTGGCCTTTTCATATTATTTAGGGAACGTGCTATTTCTCAAGTGCTGCTACGATTATTTGTTTCAGTTTCAGTTTCAGTTTTTATTAGCCAGGTTCACATGTAGTTCAAGCTGCAGCCAAGATTGGCCGTGAACTCCTGAGCCTCCTGCTCCAAGTGTTGAGATGACAGATGTGAGCCGCCACACCTCTGGCTCTACTGATACCTACTAAGATATATTTAGTTAAACTAGCATCTTAAAATTAGGGATTCCTTAACTGTTGAAGCGTTTCTCTCTTCTTTGGCTTGTAATGAAAGACAGCCCAGGTGCCATGAAGAAGCCTCAAAGTCATGATGCAAATGAGATTTCAGGAAGTTCCCTATGAAGCTTGTTTTTTTTTTTTTGTCAAACTATCAGTGTCTCACTAGTCACTAATGTCACTGCTGTGTCGCATGCTGATGGCCATGACTTTGCTTAGTAACACCTTGGGGGAGAAGCCTTCGTGGCAGTCAAGAGGTTGTGGTCTTTCTGGTTCTTGTCACAATCTCTGCATGGTGTTCATAGCTTGCATCTCACAGAGCTGTAGTCAAGGGAGGGAACTCGGAGTGGGGTCGTGAGAACTCGGAGCTGCTTAGTGGACCCCACCCTGAGGTGAGACTCCGTGAGAGCAGAGAAGCGTGGCTGTGTAGAAGGAGCGAGAGGTCTGAGGTTTCATTTACCCTGATCGCCTAGGACGTAAAGCTCGAAGAGTGCTTCCCTGGATGTTAGAGCCAGTGAGATACCCCGACCTTGCCTGCCCGGGCTCAGAAACCACATGGTAGCCATGTCTCGTACTGAGATTAAGACTGTCCTCAGAGAGTCAGAGACGAGAGGAACTAATGCAGCCACTCGTGCCGATGTCCAAGCGGCCTTGTTATCGTGTGGCCCTGCCCTGCGCCCTGCTACAAAGAAACTTGCTCTCGGAACCCTGAAAAGCAGCTCTGCATTAGTCTTGAGGCAGGGATGCTAGCCCTTTCACCAGGTGCGGTGGCCGATGACATCCTGGCAAATGTCATCCAGTTGGTGGAGTGTCTGTTGTGGTGGATAAAATTCTGTGCTTTTTTATTTTAAAGCCTTTATTGGTGTATCAGAATAACAGCCTAGAGGGTTTTTCTGATGGTTCAGTAACGCTTTTCTTCCCCTCCTTTCACTCTGGGACAACCAATTATTTTCTATCTTTGCTTGCTCTGGGCAGTTTTCTAACCTCTGCCCCATCCTTTACTACCACTCTGAGGGCTCACCAGGAGGATCTTGACCCTCGTAGTTGTAGATCAGCGTCCATATATTGAATACATACTTACCTCAGCCTTCATAACATGGCTTTGTCCATGGCCATGCTTGTATAGTAAGTCTGTCTAAATTTCTGTACGCCTGCACACACTGCAACCATTGCAAAGCTTGATGGCTTTATCGTTTCTACCAGGGTGGGCTCCCAGAATTCTTCACACTTCCATTGCGGTAAGGCTGGTCACGTTTCTTCATCCTAATGGCCCTGAGTAGGCTATCTGTTCACACTGTCCCTTGTGAAGAGACCAGACCCAAGCAGGTCTCCTACAAAGTCTCAGAATGGGGGGGAGCCAGATGCCCAGACCACACCTATTTTTTCCACTGTAGAACGAAATGCAGGGAATTTCTCCATGTGTGGCCCCGTGAGCTTGGAAAAGTAGCCTCATAGTTACCCTGATGTATTTACTGTTTGCACATGGTTTTGCATTTCTCTGTGGCACAATGGGTGCCACAGCTACACTCCGGAGTTTGGAGAATTCAGGGTGGTCATCTTGCTACTGGAAAGGTACTAGTTGGAATTATGTGGGGACATGGAAAAGGCATAGATTTCTACCACCATTTTGCCAATGTCGCACTCCAGTTCTGTGCTTTTATGTGGATTCTGGTGGAGAATCTAAAAGGGAGCTTGTGTTTGTGGATTTTTCTCTAAGAACAGTGTTCAACTAGGAGATGATAAATTAGGGTCATTTGGACATTGTGGGGAGAGGGGGTGCTAGGACCACTACCTGGGGTGCCATTTGCTCTCTGTGGGAAAGCTTGAAACCGCTCCCTTTGACTTAATACTTAGCTCATAAGACTTGTTATACAAGTTATGAGCAAAGCTGAGTACTGCTCTAAATTAAGGATTTCTTAATGTGAATGACTCGGGAATTGGTAGATGATGTGTGCTGTGATGTCATTTCCTAACGCTACAGGACAAAGTAGTATGTATGGTGACAAACCCAATGGGATGTTGGTGTTCAGTGTGGCAGAGAAGACCGGAAGCATACATCTACATACAGCATACAGCGAGCTCTGGGTGCTTTTTATTTCAATCTTTTTACACGTGTGTATTTGCTAACAATTTCATAACCATCTTTGTCATGAAATTATTTTATAGAATTAAATATTTATTATTTGACTATTACTTGGAATTTAGTTATTAATACACATATTCATCTGGCGACTTTAATTCCCTGGGCATTATAGTTTAGGTTTAATTTTGACAGCACATGCTTATTTTTTTACAATGGGAAGTTAGACTTTATGCCATGCTGAAGTTATACTGGGTTCAGAGTCCCGGAGCCTTGGTTAATAAGGCCATTTTACATGGGAAAAATTCTTCTTATAATGGCCCAGCATGAACAAGTTAGTTAGCTTTCCTTCATTGTGACAAAATATCTGAGATAATCAGCTTTTAAAGAAGAAAGGTTGGGGAGATAAGATGACTCAGTGGGTAAGGGCACTTGCTGCTAAGCCTGACTGAGTTTGAACCCACTGTAGAAAGGGAGGGCCAACTCTTCAGTAATTTGCACAAACACACACATATGCAAATAAACACAATTTATCTGCTAGGCAAAAAGCACAGGGAAGTTGAGACATCAATATCCCTTTCAGGGGCTGGAGAGATGGCTCAGAGGTTAAGAGCACTGGCTGCTCTTCCAGAGGTCCTTGAGTTCAATTCCCAGCAACCGCATGGTGGCTCACAACCATCTGAAATGAGATCTGGTTCCCTCTTCTGGCCTGCAGGGATACATGCAGGCAGAACATTGTATACATAATAAATAAATAAATCTTAAAAAAAAAAAAACCCTTTTCAGCCAGGTGTTGGTGGCACACACCTTCAAAGGCAGAGGCAGGTGGATCTCTGTGAGTTCAAGGCCAGCCTAGTCTACAAGAGCTAGTTCCAGGACAGCCTCCAAAGCCATAGAGAAACCTTGTCTTGGGAAAAAAAAGGAGTAGGTTAGAGGCAGTCACGGAAAGCCGATACAGATAACCGTACACTAGTCAGTTAAAACATACTTACCCTGCTATAACCCTTAGGGTATAATAGTGGCACACATACCTTGTCAATATCCAACAAGTCTTTAATTGGACTCAAGACCACTCATCAAGAGTGAGAACACACCTGGTACTGGAAACCTCGCCATGTATCCAGGGATAGTGAAATCATGGATCTTGGAGGAGAACTTTCAGCCTCCACTTATGAAGCCCACACAATCATGAACTACACACTGAATATGTATCCCTGCACACACAGATAAATGTTGTCCTCACCACTTGATGAGGAAACTTCTAGGCAGAGACCGTTACAGAAAACCACAAGTTATCCAAAGCAGAGGTCTAGAGCCCACTCTACACCAAAACTCCTGCACCTAAGGTTTAAGGAACATGGAAGAGGGGAGAGGAAGATTGTAAGGACCAGAGGAACGGGACATTTGTTCTAAGATAGTGTCTCCTAAAAAGGCTGCTATGTAAGACCTGAACAACTAGTTGAACAAGGACAGCACCAAGAGGCGTGCTAGCATGATGGGGAAAGCTCAGGAGGCCCCAACCCTAGACAAGGAACTACAGGCAACCCAGAAACAAGTCTTAGAGTGGGAGAAACAGTCTTCCCGGGGAGAGCACACCAACTGGTTACCCAGCGCCAATGATCACCCCTGAAAACATACATACAGTAACAAGGGCTGAGCAGTTGTATTTAAATATTGAAGTAGGGGCGTGTGTGTGTGTGTGTGTGTGTGTGAGAGAGAGAGAGAGAGAGAGAGAGAGAGAGAGAGAGAGAGAGAGAGAGAGAGAGAGAGAGAGAGAGAGAGAGGCATTAATTTGAATGAGAGCAAGTCGGGGGAAGGGGGAGGAATGATATAATTATAAACTGGAAAGAAATTTAATTTAAAAATTATGTACCAATAAATTTTCCCAGAAAACATATGTGTATTGTGCTTTAATTAAGAAAAGTGTTGGCTGGCTGCTGTTCCAGGGGTCCTGAGTTCAATTCCCGGAAACTACATGGTATCTCACAACCATCCTTAGTGAGATCTGATGCCCTCTTCTGATATACAGGCAGAATACTGTATAAATAATAAATGAATCTTTTTTTCTAGAAAATGTTCTGATTTATTGCACATGTAAGTGAAAGATGAGTAGTAACACAGTTTTGAAAATTAAAACAAATCAAACATCAAAGCCTATATATGCATGTCAATATTCAGATGATAACAGAGAAAAAAGTATATAAGGATAAATTGATTATTACAGAAATATTGGAAATTTGGGAAAGGCACCGTAGGGGAATAATTAAATGTATTACATTTAATGATCTCACAGTGTAAATAAACCTTTCCTAAAAAGTGTTGTAACCATTTAGATACAAAGGTGGACGTGCTGATTCCCTGTGCTCACGAAGGCTCTTCAGAGAGAAAATCACAGTGGTCGCCAAACCCTATGACACTACCATCACCTCTATTGCGGATCAGTGATGTTGTCTAGACAGAGAACAGGTAGGGAACAGTCTCTGCCCACGTGTCAGATGTTCAAAGAAACAAAGGCATTTGGAGGCAGCATATTGAGACATTTAACTGTAGTAGTGATATTTTTACTTCAGAATAAATGAGAACTATGGAAGATTACAGAAGAGATAGACATCATTTGCAATTCAATTATGTGGATCAAAGTGCATCCTCTCCCCTCCCCTCCTCCTTCTCCAACTCTCCTCTCTCTAATGGGAAACTGAACCCAAGACGTAGACACATGCTCTATCACTAAAGTTCCCACAGTTAGTATCAGATGTAGCAAAACTGTTTTATAACACTAAAAGTGTGCACTGACCTAGCATTACAGATGACAGGTCACCGGCTGTTTTTCACAAAGCCATGTATTTTAGTCCTTTAATACTCTGTTTTCTTTACAGACTCACTGTTGATCTCTATCCTTTTAAGGCATGCTCACCTTTGAGGGGTTCCTCTGTGCAGGGTGTTTCTCAGGGGAACCTTGCCATTGGCTCATTGCCCGTAATATGCTAATGGAGCAGGGAAGGCTCACAGTTCTGGCTCCTAGGGAGGGAGGATCAGACCTGGCTACATCAGGACCCTTCTGTGACATTCCCCCACCAGCCCTCACAGCAGAACCACTTGTGATATTTATGCTGAGCAGAAGACCCCGTGGGAGCAGGCTGTCTGAGAATGGGCTGGAAGGTGCTCGTCACAGCCTGGACACTGTTCTCCACTCCAGGAATCATCTCAAGCAATGGTAAGTTTCAGTTCTGTCACAGCCTTGGCACTCTACCCTCACCCCATGCTGCACCAGGACAACTTACCAAGATCTGCCCAGACACTACATTTGATGCCCTCTGAGTGTTGGGACCCTGAGGTGGCCGAGGCTGGGGAGTGATGCAGAGTGTCCAAAGACTGACAATAAGAGACATCTACAGGCTGTCTCTAGGAACAGCAGAAATGAGTATTGGCAATTTTGCCGCCTAAGAAAGGACACACTAGCCTGTGTATTGCTTATGAGTGAAAAGTGGAGCGATGCTGGCCTGCTCTTCCGTGCCTTTCCGGCAAGCTCGGTTTGAAAGTGAATGTTAGCTATGAAATAGTACTAACCAGAATCGGAGCTGGAGACCTGGGCTGCAAAGCTGACTGTTCCTACAAACATCCTTCTGGAGTTATCTTCCCTGTATCTTTGGTTGTGCACCTGTCATGGCTGCAAATGTGTTACTGCCCATGTTAGATGCCACCCACAGCAGCCTAACATACAAGCGCTCATCTGGAAAAGCACCCATGCCTTTGGTACAGCAGATGATAGCTTTCTTTACACTGTGAATTGTATAAATAAATGTTTGCCATTTTGTTTAGAATATTAAATCCTTTAGGAGATGCTGCCTGCATGCAAGTATCCATCTATCTTTTGCATTGCATACAATTTAAATACCTTAGTCCTTGTGTGCAGTAAGGACTCCTTAAGCAATTATCGAAGTCAAAATTGTGTATTAAATATGAATGGAGAATGTGGTTTCAAAGAATGCTTTCGAAAGACATGGCTTTTGTTCAAAGCTTAGAGAATACCAATGGGAGTTGGGTAGTTGTTTTCATTCTTTGCCTTCCAGAAGATTCTCTCGAGGCTCATTCCAGAGGAGTTTCTGTCCTCACATATTAATTCCATGCAAATAAATGAAAGCATCCCTTCTTCCCTTTTCTTCCCTTAATAAGGGCACATGGGACCCTGCCAAGTCTTTGATGGCTCCTAAGCGAAGCCCCGAGGTAGTGGTTTTAAAGCTGATCATTTTTAGAAGCCGCTGCCTTCATCACATCCAGATGTTTGTACCTGGCGTAGTCTGTAGGGTGTCACCTGGCCTTCTCCAGCGGGCTGGATCATACCGCGTCCCACCGTAATGGAGCATGCCTCTGGCCTCCACTGTGGGATTTCCTCTGTGCCGTGCTCCCTACCATCCTACAAGTGCTCACCAGATCCCAGGCCATGGGAATCAGGCTGAGAGTGGGGACGGCCAGGAATTCCATTCTTTAGTTCCATATGAGCAGTTTAAGAACACAGCGCCCACATGATTGAAAAAGACAGAGCCCAGCCGCAGGCTGCCAGGTTGCTCGGAGGCGATGGTCATTTCCTTCCCACCGTGGCTGAGGCACTCCATCGTCTAACGACCGACCGGAAAGCTAATTCTCAACCCTCCTTCATTTACATCCCAGTAGTTCAGACTGGCTGAGCTTTCCCTTTCTCCACTCCTGTCACTGCCTGCAGCCTTTGGTTAGTAGCCTGACCGCCACAAACTGGGAATTTGTCATCTTCGTTAAATCCAGTCCTCCTAAAGGGCACAAGTGGCCGTCAGGTCCCGTTGCTGGATGTGGCTGTCAGCCAGCTGTCCCAGTGGCAGGTGTCTTTACTCTTGGACTCACTTTAAACATGAGGTGTCAGATCTGACACAAGGCACCCCGGGCGGGGTGTTAGAGAGAAAGAAAACTCTGTTTGCTTACAAACAAATTGCAAATTGAAACTGACTCATCCCTTGCAAACAAATCCACTTTGAATTACTAATAAAGCTGCAAAGTACACATTTACCCCAATTCCTGCACTTATCCCAACAGGCACAGAAGAGAGAAGATGAAAGGAATTAACACAAAGAGAGAAAACTTGGGAAGACAGGACGTGTTGTCAGCAGTAGCCTTTAGCCTCCATGGGGTGCAGAGGCCCTCCTTAGTCAGCCTGAGGAGTTGAAACAACTTCCAGCAAACACAGGATATAGGGAGATTAGCCCCCAGCAGGGTTTCCCTGTATCCCATGGTTCCTTCCTTTTCCCACCTGGGGAGGAGCTTTCTACAGGAAAAGCATCCCTGAACTCTCCTGAGTTCAGGGCAGAGACACAGACAATTCCACAACGAAGGATTTTCTAATATCCTGAGTCAGATAAAACAAGACTGAGTTTTGTAAAGTCTCTATGATGACAGAGAAGTTTCTGAAAATTAGAGTTAGGAGAACTGCCAAACACTTTCAAAGCAATAACAAGGACGTGGTCCCTGCCTCTGAGTGGCAAAGAGGTAAACTGCCTGAGAGAAACCAGAACAGTTGACTTTGTGAGTCCCCTGTTGCACCCAAGAGAAGGGATGCCAAGAGAGAAAATGCAGGGGAGCTTAGGATGCTCCCCAAGTCTGTGTAATGGAAATGATTCTGCATGATGCATGCCTGCTCCCTGGGATGCCGGGGCTTATCAGCTTATAAAGCTGTTTTCAGTTATCAGATTTGTAGATCCGCACCTAAACAAACATGTCTCCTCAGGAGAGAGGGGAGAAGTAAGTTTTCTTGTTGCTGTGTATCTTTTTCTCCATGCATGGTGGGTACTCTGACATGAGTTCTCAGTGAAGAGACTAGAAGCCTCAACGCCTCTGTCATCCTGTGTCTTGCAGAGAGTGTGGGAGGAGGCTTGTGTGCTGAGAGTGGTATCCAGGACCAGCTACCACAGCGCAGGGCTGAGGCAGAGGCCGAGGACATTTTGGGGGATCCAAAAAGGTGAGCTGGTGCTATTCTAGGCTTGGGGTGGGGATGATGAGCTGCCCTGCAAACTCTGCACTGGGAATGTTTCTTGCAAAAGAAGTTGGGTTTGGTTTAGATTTACTTATTTTATTTGTATGAATGTTTCCCCTCAAGTATGTATATGAGTTGCTCGTGTCTACAGAGGTCAGAAGAAGTCATCAGGTCCCCTGGAATTGGAGTTGCAGATGAATGTGAGCAGCCATGTGGGTGCTGGGAATTGAATCCTGTCCTCCTCAAGAGTGGCATGTCCCCAGCCTCTCACAGTGAATGGTTATAACTTGTGTGTCAACTGCCCCCTCAAAGGCTCAGAAGTTGACACTTGCTTCCAGCTGGTGGCATTATTTGGGGAACTTGTGGAAACTAGGAGGTGGGACCTAGTTGGAGGCAACAGGTCACTGGAAGCAAATTCTTAGGGCACTGTATCTTATCCTTATAAATAATGTTTGCTTTTAAATTGGTTATGTTAGATATTTTGTGGGCATGCTAAAAAGTGAGCAAGACAGTAATAGTCCACTCTTATTTCAGTGCAAGGAAGCAGGATGATTTTAGAGGAGTTGCCTGGATTAAATAACTGTTCACGCCGGGCGTTGGTGGCGCACGCCTTTAATCCCAGCACTCGGGAGGCAGAGGCAGGCGGATCTCTGTGAGTTCGAGACCAGCCTGGACTACCAAGCGAGTTCCAGGACAGCCTCCAAATCCACAGAGAAACCCTGTCTCGAAAAAACCAAAAAAAAAAAAAAAAAAAACTGTTCACACCCAGAACTGTTTTACCTGACTGCTGCCTTCATAATAGATCAGGGTGTTCCTGTGATGTCCCAAAGGCTGGCTCAAAATAGTTGTATGTGAATTTAGAAAAGCCCAGAAATCTTTCACCTTTCCCAACACTGCTACAGAAGGGGCTGAGCTCTGCTGCGGCCCCCTGGCCGCTTGTATCCCAGGCTTTGTCTTTGGAGAGCCATGCCCTGGAGGAGATTCTGTGCTTGCTTAGATGGAGCAGGAGAAAGACACAAGCTACTCTTGCCCTCTCGCCTGTAGCAGTAGATGCTGCTGAGAATGCGTTTATCATGAAGGCACTTGAGAGGTCTCCAGGAATGTCTTCATCCCAGAACAATGCCATCACCCTTCCTACCAACCCAACAGGGCTGCCTGCTGTCAGCAGAGGACAAGGGTTGCCTGTCAGCTCCTCGGCAGAACTACATATAAGCCACGGATTAAAGGGCACCGCAAATCCTATTTCCAATCATTCCTCCCTACTTTCCTCTAGTTGTTCTGAGGACGTGTGTTACCTTAAACTCTGCTGTCAGCTAGCTGCTAGTGACAAGATGTGGCATAAATATCTCCCATACCCTCTTTCTAAGGCCTGAACCAGTCAAGCCGGTCCAGCCTTGGAACACAGCTGTCCTCTGGCTGGCACGGGGGGGGGGGCAGACTTTGTGTAGATGGCTGGTATTCTACTGATCTTCTGACTCAGACTGAACATGTCCCAAACTCCAGTTAGGGTCCCCAGCAGGACACACCTGTCACCCCCAAATCTGAGTACCCTTACTGTCCCACCCATCTGCCCCATCATGTTACTGCAGATGGTTGAAGGAGCATCCAGAGGGATGTTTGCATGCCTGCCTTTTAGCTCAATCTGTGTCCTTCTGTGCCCTGGCCTTCCTTTCACTAGAGACACCATGAGGCAGGAACAACTGGGGACTCCTTATTGCTGCCTGCAAATGCCTTTGTTCAATGTTACAGAAGCCAAAGACTGTTCAGTTTCGCAGTTTATTTCTTTATAATTATCTGCCCTTTTATCCTGAATCTCTTTTCCCACCGTCCAGCAACCCCTTGGTGTTGAAATGTGTGATGTCGTTAGTTGGGAGTTTCAAGAAATTACCCCTGTGGGTAGCAAGCAGACTGCCCTTCAGCATGGGCTGTGGGGTCCGCACGTGGGCAGACATTAGGAACCCTTTCCCACGAGCCTCTGACCTCCAGAGGGCTGCAGCCTTTGAGTCTGCAGTGTGCTTTGCTGATTCCAAGGCTGTCTTCTTGTTCACACCCCCTTTGCTGGCCTTTGACAGGTGAGTATAGTGATGGTTAGACAGCGTTACCCTGGGAATTACTAGGCAGTTTCACAGCAGCCATCCGCACCTGCTGCCTCTCTTAAGAGGGGCTAGCTGACTGCTTCCAGGTTTCTCCGCCTCTCTTTGCCTACAGAATGTCCTCGACTGCCCTCTGGTGGTAGTTTCTTGGTTATTGCATCAAGAACCAAGCTCATGAAAACTGGATAGAACTACCCAGTTCTTTTGGTCTTTATACAGCCTTACTGAAATTACAGCACACACATCCTCCTCCCCCTCACTCTATGGACACCCAACAAAGGTTAGAAGAAAACTACAGATTTAAATGGATCAAAAGAGTGGAACGTATTTTCACTAAAGAATTAGAATCCAACACAATGAATCAGACTAAAAGCCTCAACTGTAACGCAACGGTACCAGAGACCCTTGTGGAACAGCGAGGCCAGCACCGGCCCTTGATACAGGATCCTTTCTTCTCAGTAGGATTAGAGGAAGATGGAAGGGGAGAACAGAGGGACGAGGAAGAGGAGAAGGAGATGGGAAAGCCTGAGTGGGAGGAGGAGCCACCACGTTTTCAGGAGCTGGGAGCCGGACACCGAGATCCATTTCCCCATTGCAGCTCTGTTCTGTGGCTAGCAGCCAGCATGGATATGAAACCCAAACGGCACCATCAAAACCGGAACCCACATTCTAGTTCCAGGACAATTCATCCGCCGCTCTGGATTGCTTTCGACTGGCAACTGACTGCCAGCCGTAATTAGCTCAGGTGCTGAGGACCCACGTCTGGAGGGCACCGTCCAAGGCCTCTGGCTGACCGTTTGAGTCTGGAGAAGCCCGTCAGGGAGCAGAGGGGAAGGTCTTTGAAGTGGAGCTTTTTTTAGTGGCCCCAGAACCAGTGTGAATGCTGGTTCCGTGTGAATGCTCAACGATGCCAGTGTTTCCAAGTTAACCTTTTCCCTCAACTTCCATGATCTCACAATACAAAAATAATCATATCTGACCCCCGTGTTTGCTGAAACCTTCAAAAATCCCCTAATAGTGACCAAAGATGTGTCTGGCTCCGTGGCTTGGACTATTTCAGCCCATAGTGAGTTGACCTTGCTGATTTAGACCTGCAGAGGAGCAGCAAGTAGTAACAGAGCAAAACCATCAGTCACCACCTAGAGGTGGAGGATGAGGGTCTAAGGTCCCACTCTCCTACTGGGGAGCCAGTATCCCTGGGATCTACTTCTTAAAGGTCCCGACACCTCTTGGTAACACCACTCTGGGGACCAAGCTCTTGATGTCCAGACCTTGGAGAGCCACAGCCCGATCTGTGTTGGGTCCCAGCCCCCACAGATTTCTGTGCATTGCTTGTCAGCTGACAGCCACAGGTGCATCCTGCTGTCTAGTCCTGACTTACAGCCCCGGCCTTGCCCACCTGACATCAATATCTAGTACGAGGAGAACACGAGCTCTTACACCTGGGGGTTCTCCCCTGTGCTGTAAGCCTGTATATCAGGCTTCTCACTCCTTACGGCAGACACAGGCAGACATACAGACACGGCACACATGCACACACATTCTCCTGGAAATAAAGGCAGCAGTCGCATTTTCTTAGCACAAACAGCTGGATGTCTTGTCTTTCATTTCCCGATACTCGGACTTGTTCGTGGCGCGGACGCCACAGATCTGAGTTTCCCTGGAGATTAAACGGGAAGGTTAACAGTAGTGCACGGTTCAGATTGGGGACTGAATCTCAGTGTCCCTCTACGAGCATGGTTGTGAGGGCTGGAGAACCACCAGTGGATGAGGAGTAACGCTGTGTGACCATGCTTCGTGGCAGCTTATTTGTTTATTCCCACACACAGGTGTCTCCAGCTCATTTGCTCTCTTTCCTCACGTGACGAGACCCCAAGTGGGTCTGGGGAGACGGGGTGTCTTCGACTTTGTGGGAGCAGTCTCAGGACCTTCTGCTGTGGCGTGCCAGTTGGTAAGGACGCAGGAAAGGGCAAAGCCACCACAGCCAGGCCACAGGTAACCACGTGCCGGCAGTGTTTTACTCCACACACCATCTGTCCAGCATCCTGTCGAGTGGGAAGCAGCCTCGTGGTTTGCAGCCCTTGTTGGATCCCCAGCCTTTGTGTTCACCCATTAACAAACACAGGTTAAAGGTATAGAAGCAACAGGCTTCATGTCCTCAGAGGGTCCCTGCTGGGTCCACAGATAAAGTAACATTTGATGGATGAACCGAGGGGAAGCATACAGATCTAATCAAGTTTTGTGGCTCGGAAGCCTTTCTGGGGAAAGGAAATGAGGATGCAGAGGGGTAGTTGGAGGCTACCACTTAGTCCTGAGTTAGGTCACCGTAAGCTGTGAGACTGGGATAGGTCAAGGCCTGGGCTCTACAAGTCTATCCGGTAGAGAAGCAGCTAGGAAAATAAGCGTTAGTATAGCAATGAATTCCTCTGGCTTCAACTTCCTGTCCTTGATAAGAGTGTCACACTGTTCTTACAAAAAACAGATGTTCATGTAGGAATTCCATTGTGCGCTTCTAAGAGACAGAAAAGCGTACAGAGATTTTGCTCTACAACTGCCTGAGAAGAGCTGACATGTCTGGGGAATTCTCTCAAAATGTAAAAATCGTTTTTTTAAAGTTTCCATGCCAGTGAATTGTATAGCCGCCACTGAGAACAGGGCAGTCCTTTCTTCACGTGTTGAAGCATAGTAATGTGACATCAGAGAAACAAGGCATTTTACTCTCCTGGCTCAGTGCCGTTTTATAAACATTTTCTCCATGGATGTAAGAAGTTCATGGCACTCTTTTAGGCCAGGGCTGGAGAGATGGTGAGGAGGTTAAGAGCACTGGTTGCTCTTCCAGAGGTTCTGAGTTCAGTTCCCATCAGCCACATGGTGGCTCACAATCATCTACAATGAGATCTGGTGCCCTCTTCTAGGCAGAACACTGTATACATAATAAATAAATCTTTAAAAAATAGTGCATAGAAATAAGTGCAAGCAAAATAAAACCATATAAACGCATGTGCGTGCACGCGCGCGCGCACACACACACACACACACATACACACACACACACACACACACACACACGAAATTCCTTCAGACCTGAGTTACCCGCATGGTTGGCAGCTGAGCCTCACTCTACATATACTTGTTAGAATGTTTGGTGTCAAGGCCAAGGTTATCTCCCTTCAGCTGATATTAATACACTGGGTCTTGATTGTGATCAACCAATATGTTTAAATAAGATTATACATTGCCCTAGAAAGTTGGAAACTTGGGGCCACTCTGCCTCCCTCTTTGCCCAGAGGTGCTATAATAACTGTGGGGTTTGAAGCAGGGTCCCTGTGGGAATGGCCTCATCCTCTTCCGACTTGGTTTTACTAAAACCTAGTGCTCTGCCCACAGCAGCCTGCAGCTCTCAAGCCTTACCCTCCTTCCTATGAGAGGAAGCTGGTCCAAATGGAAGCTGCAGCAAACGGCTCTTAAACAGAGCTCTCAGCCTCAACAGAACAGCACTGTGCTCCCATCTGTCGTCGCCCCCTCCTCCACTGGGGCCAGGGCCGTGCACTCCTTTCTGCACACTGCCCAGTGGGTTCTCACCCAAGCCCTCTCAGACAACGAGAACCAGGACAAAAGCACAGGACACCATCCTCGGGGATCTTCACAGGGGCCCCTTAGGAGTTAGACCCAGTGTTCCGGCCAGGGCTTCTCTGTTTCTGCTTCCTTCTTCCAGCAAGCGGCCAACCTCAGAATGTATGCTTCTCCTCCTCCAGAGATCCAGGCTAACCCAGAGCTCTGTGTGAGTGATGAGCATGGCAGCTGTCCTTCATATGCTCCAAAAGGGACAGGAGGAGACACACAGTCACAGAAGCCATCTTCACCAGCCCCCTGGGACCAGGTGCACCTTACACTGGGCCACCTAGGCCTTTCCTTCTGAGAACAACTGTGCACGTGTGGTTGTGTATGCATGCATGTGCATGCGTGCATGCTTGTGAGAGAGAGAGAGAGAGAGAGAGAGAGAGAGAGAGAGAGAGAGAGAGAGAGAGAGAGAGAGCGTGCACACGTTGCGTGTGTGTAGGGGGTTCCAGCTTCAAATGCCCCTGCTTTGGCTTCTCAGGTCACTGTCGCAGCATGTATGCTTGAGCAGAAGAGGTGCAGACTTAAGTTTTAAAGCCTTCACTCTGTCATGAGAGAGACAAGGAGGCCCAGGCAAATGGCGGGGGAGGGCTACTACTCAGACAGGGACTGGGGTTGTCTTTCAGGTGTAAAGGATGGGGCTTCCCTGTAGGTGGAGTTGGGGCTGACCTTCCAGTTGAAATGGGGTGGTGGGTGTGGGCTGCCCCTCAGCTGGAGCAGGAGAGTGGCCCTTGGGTAGGGGAATGACAGCTCTTATCAGGAATCAAGGTTTTGTCTCAAGGAGGTCTGCATGGGTCGAAGTGCAGTTGGCAGAGCCTCTGGGCCGGTCTCATGGCCCATCTGGGTTCTAGGTACCCCTCCCCCACCCCTGTGCCCCGCCCTACGTTCTACTTTAAGCAGGAGTTACCATGGACTTCTGACCTCTGTCTGTTCTAATTTAGCCATCACCTGTCCACCCCATCCCCTGGCCACACTGAGGCATGCCGCCATCTTCTCCCATCCAGATGGGCTCCTTTCCCTCACCCAGCCTCCCACAGCCAGCTTCCCACTTAGCTCCACAGCTTCCTCCCATACCGGGGAAGCAGAGAGGGCCAGTCTGCCCTCCTCTCTGCTCTCCCGGGGAGAAGGCAGTGCCTGGCTCGCAGGGGCAGGGGCGGAAGCTGCTGTTTTACAGCGAGTCACGCGCCTTCCCCAGTGCTCTCACGGATCTACCTTGCTCTCCTTGTAGAACGTTTTGAACATGAGTCGGGAAGGAAGGCTAAGTGCTATTAACAGAGAAACACAGGCTCCTCCACACCGGGATGACGGTGCTGACAGGTAGGTCAAGGAAACCCAGTCCGTCTGGCATTTCTGAGTATATGGACAGCATGGGAATCATGGGGAACACCTCAGGCGCCATCTCAGGATCTGTTCCACCACCCCAAAGAAGATTTGACCTCCCAACACTGAAGGGAAAAAGAATATGTGTGTATCTACATGTATGTGCACGTGCATATGTATATATGTATAAGCATACATTTATATGTACATGCGTATTATATGCATGTATGTATACATAGTAATTATTACTATTAGACAAGGTTGTATAAGTAAACTTAACCCCCAATGTGGGGAGTCACATAAGGTGGTGTCAGGTACGAGTCCTCACGTCACTATTGTGAACTCTAGTCACCAGCATGCTAACCCAGAAGCACAGACGGACAGATACGTTGCCCCTTTCCACAACACTAAATTCCCTGAGTAATAACACATTTATGAGCTGAGTTTTGTTGGCTGCAGTCTGCTACGCAGTGCTGATCTGCCTTGAAAGCTGGCTGAGGCAAACACAGATCTTCTACTGCGATCTCAATTACTAATATTAACTCTCAGGTCATGTGTTGCCCATAGCACAGTAATTACATGTGCATACACACATGGAGGTCATAGGATGCTGTGGATGATCAGAAGGGCTGCAGTGGGGTTCCAGGACGTCAGGGAGGCCTCACCAGAGATAGGCAGAAGGCTTTTAGGGGCACAGAATCCCTGCAGGGGTTAATTAGATCTTGATGCCAGGTGGAGAGCCACTGGTGATACTGCCACCTAGCACAGCTGCAGGGTGGCAGGGCTGCCCAGCCTCAGAACTGGGTTCAGCTGCAGGAGCTGTTAGGGAGCAGAGGGGGAAGGTCTTTGAAGTGGAGCTTTTTTTAGTGGCCCCAGAACCAGTGTGAATGCTGGTTCCGTGTGAATGCTCAACGATGCCAGTGTTTCCAAGTTAACCTTTTCCCTCAACTTCCATGATCTCACAGTACAAAAATAATCATATCTGACCCCCGTGTTTGCTGAAACCTTCAAAAATCCCCTAATAGTGACCAAAGATGTGTCTGGCTCCGTGGCTTGGACTGTTTCAGCCCATAGTGAGTTGACCTTGCTGATTTAGACCTGCAGAGGAGCAGCAAGTAGTAACAGAGCAAAACCATCAGTCACCACCTAGAGGTGCTCAGGGCTATGGAAGCTATGGGCAAGGTCTGTAACGGGATCCAGAGAGGGAAGCTTGCCTCAGCTGTGGTGGCGACCGAGGTAAACTAAAGGCCTGAGGGCAGTCAGGAGCTCTCTGTCCCTCAGTCCCTTGATGCTCACACTGGGAGTCAGACGGCAGGGCGGGGGTCCCCATTGCTGTGCTAGCTTCCTTTTCCTTAGAGAGTCCACGTAAGAACCTTGCTCAGTCTAGTGTGTTTTGTAAGTTCTAGGCTGACTGGCTTGCTTCCTTTTTATTTGTTCATTCTTTTGTTTGTTCCTTCTTCCCCTCCCTCTCTCTTTGTTCTATCTCGCCCCACACACTTTTTAAAGCAAATTATACATATCTCACAGAGACCAGTTATTTAGTATTATTATTGTTACTATTTGTCGTGTGTGCGTGCATGTGTGTGTGTGTGTGTGTGTGTGTGTGTGTGTGTGTGTGTGTGTGTGTGTGTGATGTCTATATAAGTGTGGGCACCTGGTACAGGCGTGGAGATCAAATGGCAATGCTCAGAAGCGGGTTCCTTCCTGGGTTCCTTCCTTTCTCAGTGTTGGCACAGCACCTGTCTTGTTTCTGACACTTTGTATCCAGTCCAGCAGGCCTGCAGGCTTCATTGATTCTTTATCTCCACCTTCCATGTTTGCCTTAGGAGTGCTGGCATCACAGATACACAGCTACCATGCCTGGCTTTCCATGGGTTCTGGGGTTTGAACTCAAGTCATCATGCTTGTATGGCATTTTCACTTGCTTAGCCGTGGAACCACTCCTTGGTCCTTTTCCTGATACGGCTGGGATTCGCCCATGTGCTCATCTCCTGCCAAACTGCTTTGGTAAATTTCCCAACGACATCTTGTTACACTTAGGAATAAGCCATATGTATCAGTCATGATGACACCAGACAAGTAGGTGGAGGTGTCTACACTCACAATGAGGGGCAGAGTCATTCTGTGTCTGCATTTGCACTCAAAAGGGAGCCAGATGCTGCTTTTAAAATGGAGTCTCTCAGGGTAAGCCCTGCCTGAAAGCTCCTGCTGCATAGATTATGTTGTAGTTTAGAATGAGCCTCAGCATGATCACAATATCAGGAACCGAGTTGGCAAGCCTCAGTGGGGTATGTGGGTGCAGCTCCTGGAGTTGGAAACAAACACTGCTACGGGACCTTGAGGATATGGGGCTTTGTGAAACGAGCCAGCTGAAAAAGACAACCCTTACTGTGCAGTTCCTACTAGGGAAGTCTGAGCCATGGATGCAAAAGTAGACAAGGCGTGGTGAAGGGGTGGGGGTGGCCTGAGTGGGGGGCTCTGGGGATTGTTTCAGGGCCTTCAGGGTTCCCAGGGAAGTAAGCATCCTGGATACTGGTGTCATAGGACTGTGAATATACTTATAATGGTTTAACTCTACCTTAAACACGTTGGCCATGACACAGTTTATATTTTTCGGGTTTTCTTTATTCTTGTACAATCAAAAAAGCAAAACAGTATTACATAACCAAAAATTTGAAGTTTTGGGGGAAAATACTGGAGAGCATAGGATACTCACCTCCATCCTGTAGGATTTGTGACCCAGATCACTGGAAGGGTGGACCCAACACTATGGTCTTCCTGGATTCTACTTTACAAGCTTGGCTTCCTGTCAGGGGCAGAGTCTGTCTGTCTGTGCTTGGGAGTCTGACAGCTTAAGGTCTTTCGGTTGCTGCTGTGTGTGTCTCCTGTTTTATTAGAGGGCATCTCAGCACAAAACACGTGCTCTCAGATTTTACTGACCAGACTGGCACCCATCCCGCCACCCAAGCCCGTGTCAATAAACATGTTCTTTCTGGTTTGGGCAGAACAACATTCTCCACCATGAGAGTCAAACACCGAAGTCTTACACAGTTTATTTTAAATTATTTAGGACTTGGCAAGGTATAACTGTTAATTAAAAGGAAACATTCCCCAGAGTTAGCACTCCCTGTGGGCCATCAGGGAAATGCCATTCTTCTCTCTGCCATGTGTGGCCACAGTGAACAGTCACCAGGAGCAAGGTGGGGTTGTCTCAGGCAGGAGCCCTGAGCTCTGCTCTCTCCTCCTGCCCCACATGCAGTCTGTCCGCTGCACACAGTAGTAGCTGGCTGGGCAAGGCTCTGGGCAGTGTGTCTCAGCAGAAGGGAAGGCCCATCTTTTATTAGAGATGCCCTGTAATAAAACAGGAGATCCTCTTCTTGTTGAGCAGGGAGACTGAGCTACACCCCCCAGCTCCTGGATTTTTGTTTTCAAAACATTTCTGTGTTAAGAAGTGAAGAGACATACATGAAAAAACAAAACCAAACCAGAAAGCAAACAGCCAGAAAGTGTGACCCATTAGGAGTGTTCAAAGTAACTTAGGACAATGCAGGAGGACATGCCATTAAAAGGGTCAAGGGAACTGGTTTCATCAACAGAGGGAACAGTGTGTGTGTCCTGCACCGTGGGAGAGGCCGGGAGGTGGACAGAGCAGCAGGTCAGGGACCAGAACTGAATTCTGGAGTTAGTCACATGCCACAGTTCACTGCTTCCATGAGGACCTTGAACCTGCAGACCTTGGGCCTGCTGTGGTCAGTGAGAGGCATAGGACAGGAGGTGCTGGCCACTGACTAGGAGCTGTTTTCCAGGACTCCCACTCCCTGTCTGTGCAACAGTGCAAGGATTATGCCACAGTACATATTGATGGCCCAGCATGTGTGGGATGTGCAAATTTTAGCAACTGGCGTTAACTGGGCTCCCTACCACCCTAAAGACTTCTCCTGGACACCTGCCACAGCCCTGAGTGGACCAGTTTACAGCACATCTATTATCTGATGGCCCACCTTCTGGGCTCCCAGAAACAGGCTTGGATGACAGGGAGGGTCTTTCAGATAGCAGGCAGATGTGCCAAGCATATGACGGCATCTCTCCGCCCTCTGTCATGAGCAGGAGCGTCAGGAACATTGCCAGTCCCCGCTCCTGTCTTCTGTGCCTGTGTGAGACTGAACGAGCAGATGGATCATTCTCCGGTCCCCAGCAGGTTGGTGTCTGACCCCCAGCCCCTGAAGAATTTGCCTCTGAGTTGACCAGTGACCTCTACTTTGCCTTCCTAACTCTGTTAGATGCTGCATGGTTGTGCAGGATTGAAATATGTCATTGCAGTGAAAACGAAAAGAGCCCACGCTTTCCTGCCTGTGGTGATGTCTTCTCTCAGCTACTGGCCTCATGCGCACTCAATCATATAAGTAGCTAGCCTATTACCTTAGCAGAGGCTGACTTCATGAAGTGATAACAGGCTACCCTGAAGCTCCTGGCGCCACCTGTGTAGTTCTAGGGGTTCCCCGCAGGGTGCTCTCTTTGCTAGGAATGGCCCCATTTCATTCTGAAGGCATGGACGGGTTGATTGACATTTCCCAACCACACTAGAGTCCTCAGTCTCACGAGACTGCAATCTCACGCCATTTACTAAGTTGACTTTAACATGGGAAACGTGTGTAAGAGCGAAGACTGGAGAAGCTCCTGTGACTTTAGACATTTGTGTTGCAGGGCACCTCTTCAGCGGCGGCCCTCTGCAGCCTGGAGAAGGAAGTTCTTTGCTATGAAGGATGGCTGTGTTCTGCGGAAGACATGCCCAAGATGCTGCTTCGGAGGTCTGTCGCCGGGAGGTCCCCACTAGGGTGGTCACGTCCCCACAGACCAGCACCTAGGCAGCTCTCAGGCACTAGCAAGCTTTCCACTTTCCCGACATTACCAGAAGGCAGAGGGTGGCGAGGGCCACACCCATCTTGTCTTAGTCACTACCTGTCACTTGTTGATGCGGGCCTCTTGGTTCTTCGATCTTCCTGCAGCTGTGGCTGGGAGTGTGCCAAGCCGCTCTTTGCCACCTGGATCCCATGTCATGGGGTCCCTCTGTCTTTGAGAGCAGTCAGAAATTCAGCACTGTCTGTGTTGCTGGGGGGATTAGCCAGCGCAGGCAGAGGAGGGCAATGTGACAATCTGACACTCAGAACCCTCCCTTGCCCATGAGGGCACTCTCCTCTGCTTTGAAGGGCTCTGTCCTTGATTCAGACCTCCAGCTGCCTAAATGCCCATTGTCAGTGTCTTCCTACAGCGGTTCCCAGTAAGCCGGGGACAGAAGTCCTGTGTTCCTAGGTAGTCCATACTCTTTCCAGCCCCCAGCTCCCAACACGAGGAGCTACATTTGGAAATGGGAAAGTGTGGGTCAGGACAGCATTGTACAAAACTCATGAGAAAGACAGGCTTTCTGCTCATTATTTCAGTGATAGAAAAACAGTTATCTTACCTGTTCTTTTTCTGTAACTAGATTAGTTGTGCTCCAGTAACCGACCTCAGTCTCTGGGGGAATTTCTGGCCCTGCTTTCAGTGTCTCAACCTGTGGTCACAAGTGCCTGTCTGGCAAGTGACCAGAGCCCTTCTCCAGGACGCCATGCCTGTTCTCTGACTGCTATCCTAGACAGTCTGCTCACACCCACCCTCCCGCCCACCCCCATGCCCTCCGTATTCCTGGACCTGTAGACCGCCCTGAAATAGGATGACCGCTTCTTTCTCTTAGGTCCTCAGGTCCTCCTCCTGGCACCGCTTGTACCTGCAGCCTCCCCACATCCTGGTACCATGCCGAGAGTCCCCCTCCCGTTGCTCAGCATCCTCCGGGGCCCATCCCGGCCACACAGGCTGAAAATGCTGGGCGCTTTGCAGTCTGCTACCTCCCAGAAACAGGTGCTCAGGCACCCCCGGCTCTGGGGATCCGAGTTCAGCAGGCTTCCGGAACAGCTCTTTGTCTGCTGGTGGACTTTGGGGATGGTCGTGGAGCGGGGACGAGCCTGTGTGCAGTGGCAGGTGCAGCCGCAGTGACTGGCTATCACTGGTACAGGAAAGGTATGATGCAGCGTGCCTGCTCTGGAAGATTGGGAAGGAGGTGCCATCCCAGGACACCGGCAGGGACGGGGGGGGCAGCCACATTCCACCCTCTGCACCCTTCTGAACCAGTCTGGTGGCCTCTGGGTGGCAGAGCTCACGTTTTTGACTACATTACATTGAAGACCCTCACATTCCTCTTCAAGGAGCCACGTGTTTCTTTTGAGTTGAAAATTCCAACAAATTCAAAGTAATAATAACAAACAATGACCAATGTTTGAATAGACATTTTGGTGTTACTCAGGCAAATCTTAAAGCCTTGGAGACGAGTGTGGTATGTAAGTGGAAAACTCAACTTTCCTGAGTAATAGAAGAGTTTATTTTTCCGTTCTCTTCTGACAATTGCTTTTTTGAACATGGTCTAGCCTCTCATGTGAGCCCACACAGTTGACAAGACGCACGGCAAGAGTCCCTTCCCACTGACCCCCAGGCAACCGCGTCTTTTACCTCTTCCATCTCGTGGGCATACATGCCACTATCAGGCTTGTTCTGCTTCCTGTAAATGGAAGTACACTGAGCGCAATGCCCAGCTCTCTGCCCACGGAAGTGCAAATCTCCACCTTAGAGCATCTCTTCCGTCCAGACCAGAAGGACGTCCCTGCCCTTGGGGGTGACTGGCAGGCCAGGTCTGTTTAGCTGGATTTTATTGGTGGACATTGAGATGGTTTCTGGTCTTTCGGTATTAAAAGTAACGTTGCAGTGAGTATATGGCAGCTCACAGAAAAGAGGACATTTTGCCAAATTGTTTTCAATTAGAGCTGTCAGGCCTGTGCTCTGTGAACAGTGCAGATAGATGTTAGTCTGAGATGGAAATGGTCCCCTTCTGGAGCTTTAATTCTGAATAAATTAAAAATTATTCAAAATTAAAGTACCTTTTTAAAAAACCATGTTCAGCCAAAAAGAGTACTTCTGTATAACATGGGGTTTTGTGAGTATTTTCCATTACTGAGAAAATTAATCTCTTTATTGTGAGAGTCATCAGTTGCAAGTATTTTTCTCCATTTATTATGTTTCAGCTTTACCTTTAGATGTTTTTGTATGAAATGTTGTTCATTTATTTTGTTATCTATATGGGGGTGCCAGAGGTTGAGCCTAGCTTCACACATTCTAGGCAAGTATTGCAATATTCTACCACTGAGCTATTCGTAAGCCCCAGTTTTTGAGATACATATCCTAATTAAAAATGTGTTCCTTACTCCAAATTTGTAAAGCAATTCTTTAGTATCTTTTAGTGTTTTATGATAGAATTCTGCACATTTAAGTAACTAATGTATTTGAATACATATCCTGGCATAACGTCGGATGCACGTCTCACTTTCTTGATGTCGGCAGGACTGCTGGAATGATCCACTTTCAGAAGCATCTGGAATGCTTCTGCAGACTTTCTGTTCCCTTTTTTCCATCTGCCCCATCTCTTGTGTGAACCACTGCTACACCTCTTCAGGTCTTCTTGTTTCGGCTCAACTTTTCTGGATTATTTGGTCGTATTATCTTTTTTGGGTTTTTTTGTTTTTGTTTTTTTCAGGCAGGTTTCCCCTGTGTAACATGCATGGAGGTCCTGGAACTTGCTTTGTAGACCACGCTGGCCTTGAACTCCCAGAGATCCACTTGCCTCTGCCTGCAAGGTGCTGGAACCAAAGTTGTGTGCCACCACCACCCAGCTTTGGTCATGTTTTACTGATGTTTTTTCCACATGAGTTTTAGACCCACACTGACTAACATGATGATATTGGCAATATTATCATTCTGTCGGAATTGTGTTTAGCTCAAAATTAATTTGTGTAGTTTTGTGCTCCCAAGTCCCCCTTTTAATAGAACTTACTCTGTTCCTTTCTATCCTTCCTCACTCCTTTGGAAACATCTGTTTCCTTATGGAACTTACATTATGTGACACTTCATGTGTCTGTGCTGTCACAAACAAGTTGTTTATCGTCACACCGGTTGCCATGACACACAGAGAGGTGATGAGGTTTCTCTTTGTTTTGTGGCCTCTGGTCTTGCTGAACTTTGACACAGACGTCTCCAGCACACATTCTCAAGTGTACACACACAGTTCAGAAATGCTGACGTGTCACTTCCCGTCTCCAGTGATGCCATACAGTCCTTTCTCTTGTCTAACTACTGTGGCCCGGATTTCCAGAGTGTTGTGGGTTACATTAGTAGATAATGCTGTGTGTGTTTGTTCTCAGAACTGTCTGCCATTTTTTCTTCAAACTTCAAGTTAGAATTTCGATAAATTCAATTTACCCTGGTACAGAAGTTTTCATCTTTTGTTAAGGACTGAAAATTTAAAAACAAAACAAAACAAAAAAACCTCCTTATAAATTCTATCTGCTGAGATGATTTTATGATTGGTTTTTGCTTTAGAACTACACAAGTTTCAAGTCACATTACTCAGTAACAACATTCTGGAATTCCTGGGAGAGGGAAACCATATGGCTTTGCCTTATTATTTTTAAAGACATGGTTGAACTCACTTTTCTCTAAATCCTACTCAAGGGTTCTACGCTGGTGCTCATAACTGGCCTGGAGTCTATTTGCTGGTTTGGTAGCATTAGCTTTAAATTTTCTGAACATGGTACATGGAGTATTTTATGTTTGGACTCTCATCCTGGAACAGCAAAGACAACATCAGAGACAGTTATTGTCTTGATGAATCTACACACCCACCCTCTTGTTGCCTCTGGCTAACTCATTAACACCTTTCTCTACTGATATTTGCTATTTCTCATAGTTAATTCTTTTAAATACTAGGTTCTTAGAAATTTATCCTTTTAATACAAGTCTTCAAGCTTAATTACATAGCCATGAACAATGTGGCTCCCCCTGGTTCTTAAATTTTCATTGATATTGACTTATTTCCTTGTTCATTTTCATTTAATTTTGCTCTTTCTTCTCTCCTGAATCAGATAGGGCTGATGTGCATTTCTTTGGTTAAGGAACTAGCATGGTGTGTGTGTGTGTGTGTGTGTGTGTGTGTGTACACACACGTGCGCAAGCACTTTTCCTAGTTGGTTAATTTCTGTTTTGATCTTTTTTTCTTCTTGCTTTTGTAGTTATTTTCTGCTTATTTCCCTGACAATCCATGTGTCCTATGACCTTTGTTTGGTTGTTCCATTATTCATTTCCAGTCATCGTGTACCATAATACATATTTTTTTAGTGTTCTGGCTTTTTAAACTTTTCACATCATCTTTGTAGTTTAAGCTGCAGTCAGCATTAGAAATGAGAATTCAGGACTGCTCAGGAGGTTGGGGAGGACTATCCCTTGTGTCCACCCTGACATGCCAGGCTTAAGTGGCTGCTGATCTTGTAGGTGCTGAACCCCTGTGCTACCTTCCTGCCTGAGACTCTCTACCACCCAACCCCTCCAGTGGAAAGACTAGTCAGAGTAAATGGGGGTAGGAGAGAGGGAGGGAGAGGAGGAGATCGAGGATGGGAGGATGAAGAAGGGAGAGCTAGAGGGAGGGAGGAAAGGAGAGACGGGGAGGAGAAGGCAGGCAGGCAGGCAGGCAGGCAGACCTTGAGCAAAAGAGCACCAGTAGGCATTGTGACCCACAGAGCTGGCACCCTGTCCTAAGTAGGGTGGTCAAGGGCAGTTGATTCCTTTTAGCACCACCACCGTAATAAGGATATAAATGTATTCCCTTTTCTCCTTCCCACCCCTAATTTATCATAGATGTCAGTCATTCAAATGATCTCTATTAGTCTTTGTCCGTGACAAGGAACACTAGGCAGAAGAGTTGATTTTTGGCTTACAGTTTGACAAGATACAGCTCACCATGGTGAGAAGGCACACTCGGCAATGGCCTGAGGTGACAGGAGCTTGAAGCAGGCTGTCGCATTTCCCCCACACGTTCAGGAAGCAGATGGCAAATGCTGGTGCTCAGTTCACTTTGATTTTTTGTTTGTTTTGTTTTAACTCACTCTGGGATTCCAGACCGTGGGTTAATGCAGCCCAAATTCAGGCCAGGTCTTCCCTCTGCCAAAGCTTTCCAGAACTGTGAGTTTGCACGGTGACTCTAAACCCAGTCCAAGTGACAAGGAAGGGTAGCCAGGCTACTTCACACCTCCACCCTTCATCTCTTTCCTGGCCCGCTTCAGCTCGCTGTGTAAGCTCTACGCCTTCACTGCCTCGGGTTGATGGTCTATCCGCCCCCAGCTGACCACATGCGGTTTACTCTGGTTCTAGTGTGAGACAGGCTCCGTTCTCGTTCCTAGTTCTTCCTTCCTCGTCTCGTTTAGCTCACTACAGTTCAGAGTCCTGCTGACTTGTGGGGAGAACTCAGATGAAAAGTTAGAGTCGATGCTGTTGTACTTGAGTGACAGTTTCCTGGCCTACAAGTTCTTGGGCACGTGTTTTCTTGAGGACCCTATTCACTCCTCCACTTGGTTCCTTCTCATAAGGGTGCTTCTCCATGTGTGGCAAGCCTCATCATCATTCTCATCACCAGCATCGGCCTTGAAACGCAGATTCGGAGGCCCACCTCGCCCTCCAGCTCCCTGACACCTATGTCTTGGATAGCTGCATTCTTTCCTAGGCTGTGATGGCTCCTTTCTTCCTAGAGATGACTTACTGCTTTTGTTTTTACAGATGTAACTTCCAGTAGCTTCACCAGAATTCACACACTTCAAAATTAGCTATTCTAGATCAATTCCTCGGGTGTACACTACAGACATGCGTTGCCCTTTAATGGGCTTCAATGAATATTTCTTTTATTAGGCCCTTAAATTGCTTTCTATCGCAACACTTTAACTCTGAGTCATGGGAGTCTGCTACAGACAGAACTGTTCAGTCTGTCTCTCTCTCTGGTCTCATTTGTTTTTTCAGTGCCTCTGCTTTCTTTTAACTGCCCTGATGTTTTTTTCTGTCTCGTTGTGTGGTGTCTCATTCTCCAGTGCGATCCTTGAGGTGTTCTTACTTACTTCTGCTCTTGCATTATTCATAATGGTTCTCCAGTGTTTAATTCATTCTTCTTCTTTGAAATATATATATATATTCCCCCTGGAGGATGATCTCCATCCACTGAGCGCCTCCTGAAGCTTTCCTCTTAACTCTTGTAGTATCTCATATGTCCTGAATGGTGTCGTCTCCCTCCCTTTCATCATTTCCCATTTCTCTCTCTTTGTAGTGTTTCTCAAACCGAGTTCACGTTTTCAGGACTGGTTGTCCGCAGGTGACGTTGCTTGAGAAATTTACAGTCACCAAGTCCTTCTGCACTTACAGTATCTTCCTTCCCTTTCCCACCTCCAGCATGGTTCCTGCCCATCCATGCTTGAGTTTTGATGCCTTGGGCAGCTCTTGTATCTCTTTTGTATTACGAACAAGCATAGGGCTACCTCCCATCACTCCTCCAAATGTATTTCATTTTAGTTCATCCTTACACTCAGTGAAAGGCTAACTGCATCATACTCAAATTGGGGGGTGCTCTATTGCTGCTAAACACCTATAACTTTAAAAAATTGATTTTTCTTACTGCCTTAAAAATAAAACAAGAAGTTTGCCTTAGGGATTCTGCTGCTGTGACGAAACACCATGACCAGAAAGCAAGCTGAGGAGTAAAGGTTGATTTGGCTCACACTTCCACATCTCTGTTCATCACTGAAGGAAGCCAGACAGGACCGCACACAGTGCAGGATTCTGGAGGCAGGAGCTGAGGCAGAGGTCATGGGGGGTGCTGCTGACTGCTGCTAATCATGGCTTGCTCAGCCTGCTTTCTTATAAAACCCAGAACCACCAGCCCAGGGATAGCACTCCTCACTATAGGGTGGGCCCTATCCTGTTGATCACTAACTAAGACAGGCTTGCCTACAACCTGATCCTATGGAGACATTTTCTTAATTGAGGTTCCCTACTCTCAAATGACTTTCTTGTGTCAAGTTGACATAAACTATCCAGCACTGAGTAGTACTCTATCATTTCCTAGAGGTTAAGTTTAAAGGCAATTTACAAACAAATTTGCCTAAGACCTGGAATCAAGTTCCTAAGTCCAGGCACAGGTCTTTTAACTGTTAGATAAACTAGCTTCCTGATGCTGGAGTGATAAGGTTATCCTTTTAAAACTAAGTGTGAATAATATGCTGGTTTGTCCATATTATAACTCTTAACTCAGTTCTGGTCCCCGTGACTGTGATAGCTGGCTTGATGTTAGTTTCATTCATTAAAATCCACGTGCAGATCTCCTTTGGATTCTATTGTGAGAAGTGTTGGTTTGTTTCATAAGTGTGATCAAGTTAATGATGATTCAGCACTTAAGGTACAGCCTCTGTAAGTTAGAAAAATATGCCTTTAAAGAAGATTTATTTTTAAATTGTGTGTGTGTGTGTGTGTGTGTGTGTGTGTGTGTGTACAAGTGAATGCAGATTTCCACAGAGACAGGAGGTTGTGAGCAGGTGATGTGACTCAAACTCAGCTCTTTGCAAGAGCAGTACATGCTCTTAACCTCTGAGCTGTCTCCAGCCCCGGGTCTGCCCATTCTTAAGAAATCATTAAATCTCTGTTCAGGGTAGGATACTTTCTTTGGTGCTCTGCTCTGCACCCTGCTCCCAAATCCTGCATCACACCCTACTTGCTGTTTCCTTATAGAAGACTTTTTCTCTGCTAAGTCCCTGCTCTGTATGTACTATGCCACCCCCTCCTGCTCTCTAGGACAGTAAAGGCTGTCCTAAGGAATGTCATGTGCTGGGCCTTGAGAACTGTTTTATTTTGTTTGGCTTTAGTTTCCATCCTGTATAATGTCATTGATCATTTCATAAGCATCTGTTATGTGTGTGCTGAGTGAACTGTGATAACCTTTGGGAGCAAAGGAGGCAGAATATAGTGAACTTGGAAATGAAACACAACCCCAGAGCTGTGGGCCATCACCATTTGAAGGCACCCTCTCTGCCTGGGTCATTTACAAAGGGCCAGCAGGAGACAAGGAGCTTACATAATGGAGATGTATAAGCTGATAGAGGCCTGGAAGGGAACCTTTGCTCTGTGTGGATGGTGAATGAGGTCTGTGAGGGACAGAACTGGGAATGGGTGACTGGGACCAGCAGAGGACACAACCCTGTGACACACCAAGGGTCACCTAACATTTTAAAACCAATGAACAGCAGGATTAAATGCATAACTTAGAAGAGTGGGTAGGAGGTTGGGGCTGGCACCTGCTAGTGGTCTCTCTAGTCCGGTGGGTCTGCACCCATCCTCTGTGGCTCTGTTAGCAGAGTGCAACTTAGTGCCCTAAAATGCAACATTCTCAAAGAACTAAAAACCAAATAGAATGCAATCGTGAGTTCAACCCAGTTTTTAAGGGGATTCTTTGGATCTGGGCTGGACTCAGAGGATTCATTATGGATCCGTAGGCATCTGCCAATCAGGCAAATTGATGGCTCTTCCTAGAGATGGATGGCCCCGTGGGACAACTGAGTTTTGTATCTTCTTCAGCAAGCTATGTCTGTGACCAGTCCAAAGACAAGAAAGAAGAGGCAAGGTGGAGGGACTATGCAACTGACCAGAGACTGGGACCAATCTAAAAGAGGAAGAACAGCCTCTACTAGTTAATGAAAAAGTCCAAGTCATATCACAGGGACATCACAAAAACTTCAAGGAAACAATCAGGGTGGAGGGCCATTTTTTAGTTTATCATAATGTACTATTTGGATGTTTATGCAAGCAAGTGTGTGCATCAAATACACACACGTATTAACCCAGCTATTCTGAAATGGCCAGGGCCCATTTTAATATTGTTAATACACTGGTGAACAGATATGCTGCATCATTTTCAGAGCCTAGCGGGAAACACCAACATTGTTAACATTAAGAATTTCCGACAGCTTAGATATGCATATATGCATAGGACCCAAGAGAAGAGGATGGAGACAAGATCCTCTGAATGGATGGGGAACACGGCGAGGGGTGGGGGGGTGGGAGCTGGGAAGAAGAGAGGGGGTAAAGAGGAAGGGAGTTGGTCATGGGGGAACAGGAAGTTGAGGGGGTGGGGGTAGAATAGGGGGAAGAGGGAATCATAGGATCGAATACAGATCAGGCACCAGAGCGACCTCGAGTGATCTAAAGGGATAACACGAATTGGCAAGCTAAGCAATAGTGGAGAGACCACCTCGAATGCCCATTCCTGATAATGAACTTGATGTCTATAACCATCCGGGAGCCTTCATCCTGTGACTGATGGAAGCAGAGGCAAACACACAACTAATCACTGAACTGAACCCAAGGAACCCAGTGACAGAGAGAGAGAGAGGAGTGATGAGCAAATTGGCAAAGAATGGGCTGGCAAAACCAGCAGAGACAGCTGATCTGAACAGGGGAGAGCTCTTGGACCCCAGACCGACAGCAGGGAGGCCAGCATGGGACTGATCTGGACCCCCGAATGTGAGTGTCAATGAGAAGGCCTGGGCAACCTATGGGGCCCTGAGCAGTGGATCAGTGTCTATCCCTGGAATACAAATAGTCATCCTGTGCCCATAGCACAAAGAGGGATGCTCTCTCAGCCTGGACTCTTAGGGGAGTGCCTGGACCCTACCCTGAGTGAAATGACAGACTCTAGATATCCCCTATGTGGAAGGAATTGGCAATAGGGTGGGAGGGTGGGGGGGGAAAGGGGGTGCGGGAGGAGGGGAGGGAGAGGGAACTGGGATTGACATGTAAAACAAGCTATTTAAAATTAAAATAAAAAGTGATAACAATGAAAAAAATAAAATAAAATAAAAAAATAAGAATTTCCGACAGCCTCCAAAACAATACAGAGAAACCCTGTCTCGTAAAACCAAAAACACGTAGACCATTAAGCTACACCAAGCCATGTTGAATGTGGGACTCAGAGTGCCGTGTGCTGCATGTCCATGGGATGCCCCCGCTTTTGCCAGGAATTTTTAAAAAATCTTACTTAAAATATCAGTTCACAGACTGATACTCACACCCCAATGTGACTATCCTGAGGCGTTAGCTCTTAATGTCTGTTTGGAAAGCCATCAAATGTCCGTTTTTGTCTTCTTTTTCCAGAAGGAGTCTACAAGCTCAGGGCTGTTGTCCATGACGTTCATGGAGCTGATGTGGAGCTGGGACCTTATTACGTGGACATTGGCCGTGAGAACGTGTCTGTCTTCATGAACTCCAGCTCTATCCACGACGGCGAAGCTCTTTCCTTTGCCGACTCCCTCCCACAGCAGAAAGGTGAGACCTGAGCAGGAGATCTCTGGGGTGCGTGGAGATCTCTGGGGTGCGTGGAGATCTCTGGGGTGCGTGGAGATCTCTGGGGTGCGTGGAGATCTCTGGGGTGCGTGGAGATCTCTGGGGTGCGTGGAGATCTCTGGGGTGCGTGGAGATCTCTGGGGTGCGTGGAGATCTCTGGGGTGCGTGGAGATCTCTGGGGTGCGTGGAGATCTCTGGGGTGCGTGGAGATCTCTGGGGTGCGTGGAGATCTCTGGGGTGCGTGGAGATCTCTGGGGTGCGTGGAGATCTCTGGGGTGCGTGTAGCCTGACTCAGTTTTAGCTTCGCTGTCCAAGTTCCAGCCACCCTATTCAGTGTATAACAAAAGATACATGAAAGAAAGCTGAAGTGCCTGCAGAGGAGCGTGGCCATGGGACCGGGAGGTCCCCTAGACTGCGTGTCACCGTGGGTATCTGGGATACCACGTGAGGCAGAAGTTGGTACATACAGTGAGCTGTGATGAGCTGGTGTGGGGACATTCTGGCAGATGGCACAGCCATAGTCAATGGTATGCGGTGCTGGGCTCATAGTATGTCAGGGGCTCCCAACTCCTGCCTCCTCATGCTCGCCCACACCCACCTGTAGGCATCCATTCCCCTGCTGCCAGCTTGGTGGACGGTATCAAGAGCTCACAGTCCAGGAGGAGGCAGAAGAGCGACTGTAATTAAGGGCTCTGAAGTAAACAGCTGGGACACATTCTAGCAGAGCCAGAGCGGAGCAGGAAGACGCCAGAGTGTTCTGCTCCAGTAGATAGGCTTACAGGAAAAGGAGAAGGCAGTGAGAGATGCATCCTGAAGAACTCATTCTTGAGAATCTGGACTGTTTTACCACATGTGGACTGCATTTCCCACAGTCCTCCTGGGGGGAAGCTCTCTGACTAAGCATCACACGACACAGAGGAGGGCTTCTAAACCGCTAAGCAGAGCGCTGTAGACAGTCAGCGGACCATCCACACTGACTCGTCTATCAAAGCTTTGAGTACAGTGGGTGAGCACAGGCCACGCATGCTTTGAGTAAAGTGGGTTTTGTGCTAAGACTTAGAATTGGGTTACTGGAGTCTAAATCCCATGCTGAAGATCAATAATTGGACCCCCGTGTGCAAAATCATGACTTTTCTTTCCTCATGTGTTGTGACACAGGTTGTGACCAAGATTAAATTTTAGTCATTGTTAAGGAGGATGTGTTAATCTTGTTCATGGGGCACCTTTAAAATTTGAGTGTATGCTCCACATTTCAAATTTTATAAAATTAACAATGAGAAATTTTGGGGTGTGTGTGTGCTTAAGACAAGTGAATTAAAATTGACTTCTGTGTCTTCTCTTGTAGGCACAGTCGTGATGCACTGCTTCTCGTCTGTTTCTTCATACAATGTGTCCTTTATTTCTCAGACCCAAGTAGACAGCAGCCCGGCTTGGCTCGGTGTGACTGTGGGGTATCAGATGCAACGTGCGTCTCTGCTTTAATTCTAGATGTAGCTCTTCTGCCTTGGCAACTGACTGACTGCTGAAGTTTCTGCATTCAGCTCTGCCCAGGACCCATCCTAGACCCTCCAGCAGGCTCCTGTGCATGTACAGATTGTTCAGGGACTTTCCTAGAATCCATAGGCTCTGAGCTCCCACCCGAGTGTGGGAGACGAGGCACTATCATGTGGTCTCTGCTGCCCCTACCCCACCTCCATTCCATGCCTTCCAAAGGAGCTGGCCGTGTTGCCTTGTGAGTCATCACTGATGACGCTCAGACCTGAGTGCTTGGGCCCCACAGACCACTCAGAACCCACAGGCTCAGTGTTCATGGTTAGGTGGCAGGGGGGGGTGGGGGGGTTGGTGGCCTCCGAGTGGCTTCCAGCCCTTTGTGCTGATGGCCCCCTACCTCCCTCTCTTTGTCACAGCTGTGTCTATCTGCACCAACGGGACTGCGTTTGCTGCAGACACAGACATCACATTTGTGGCTGTTACCAAGGAAACTCTACCCCTGGAGTTCACATGGTATTTGGGAGATGACCCACCAGTGAGGACAACTTCCAGAAGCATCAGAAGAAGGCTGAGCATCCCTCAGTGGTCTGTCGATTTGTTCTTCAGAGCTGATGCAGCCAACAGTAGGGATAAAGACCACCCTGGCACTATCACAAAAGTCTTATTGGTGTTTACATTCCATCCAGCCCCTAAGCACTTCTGTGTGTTGAGCTTAACCATTAAAATGTAAAAGAAGAGGGGCTCACCTCCCCCAGGGAGCACTAAGAGGCACAGTGATCCTAAATTCAAATGTGTTCAGTGTTTGCCTCAGCCCTTAGTATAATCTAGATTGCCTTCCTTTAAACAAGGGCAGGGCATGCACCTCCTTTAGAGACAGGAACTAAATAATGAGAAAGGGAACTTCCCTCATTGGATAATGCCCACAGCTTAAGCTCCCAGCTCCCAGCTCCTGAAGTGATGTGGAGATTCTCACCAGCCCTGTGTTCTCCTCTTGCCTTGTTCCCATCCTCAGGTACCCTGTGATGGTCAAGGCCACCAGCAGGATCGGCAGTGTGCTCTCCGAGTCTCACCTCATCAGGGTACAGAAGAGAATCATAGCCAATCGGCTAGTGTCCACTGCCTCAGCCCTGGTAAAGGCCAATGTGTCCTTTGAGTGCAGGCTCAACTTTGGCACGGACGTGACCTACCTTTGGAACTTTGGAGATGGGACCACTGAGCTGGGCAGAAGTTTCTCCAGCCATGTCTACAGCAGGTAAGCCATACAGGCCAGGTGACAACTGTCTGCAGGTGGCACGTGGGGCTGCCTTCGGAAGGATTGGTGCTTAAAGCCACATAGCCACCCTCGCAGGTCACGCAGACGACAAATGTTGAATGGAAACAGGCCAGGCCTGCCTAGGCTCTGAAGAGCTTGCAGTCCAGGGAAAGGAGGCCAACAGAGGCCTTCACTCCTGGGGGTTCCATCAACAAGGAAGGTATGGGGTGCAGAGGGCATGACCCACACACATGGCTGGTAGACTGCAAAACCGTACTTGGGAATTTGCAAGTGACCGGAAGGGGAACCTCCAGCAGGGAGTTCCTAGAGGGGGAACCAACAGAGACCCAAAGCAAGGGCTGGAGTGGGAGAGGCCTGCAGTAGCAGGTGGGTGTGACTGGGAGAGAGAGAGGAGGTAGGTGGGGCAGATGAGACAGTAAGAGCTCTGAGGACACACTACAATGGGTCTCTGGGTCTGAAGGTAGAGTGTGAATATTACCCTGAATTCAACCCACTGGGAGGTCAACTTAGTCTACAGAGCGAGTTCCAGGACAGGCTCCAAAGCAACACAGACAAACCCTATCTTTAAAAAAAGAAAAATCAACTTCAGGAACAGTTTGCTTGGGTGTAGGGGCTCTGAGGACTAGATGATCACATGGTAGGGAAGGCATTGCAGCAGGAGCAGGAAGGAGGAAGCTGAGAGATGAGAGAGCCAACTCTTAAGTGTGGTGGAACTGTATACCATCAAAGCCCACCCCTAGTGACACACTTCCTCCAGCAAAGCCACACATCCATAACCTTCCCAAATAGCACCACCAAATGGGGACCAAGTGTTTAAACACAAGTGTCTATAGGGATGTTTCTCATTCAAACCACAAGTAGAAGAATTCAAAAGTTAAACCTCCTGGCAGCAGCGCCAGAAACCATTGCAAACTTCCCTAGACGCAGGCCCATGCCTATGGCCTCTTCTAACTTCCTTTAGTGGTCTATCAATAGCCAGAATTCATGACTTCTTCCTTGGAAATAGGTTCTTAGGTACAGAAGGAGTCAATCGAAAGTTCCTGAGGGATTTGCACATGGCTAGGCTGGTACCTAGAGCTCAGACTCCCAGATGCACTCTGTGGCTCCAGCAGCCCTCTGCAAACGGCAGAGTGTGTCTAGTGTCGTCTCCAGTGTTTGCCCTGGACCGTCCCACAGCCCAAGACCAGCATGCAGATCTCCTCCTCCTCCTCCTGCTGCTCCTGCTCCTGCTCCTTCTCCTCCTCCTCCTCCTCCTCCTCCTGCTCCTGCTCCTTCTCCTCCTCCTCTCCCTCCTTTTCCTCCTTCTCCTCATCTTCCTCCTCCTCCTCCTACTCCTCCTCATCTTCCTCCTTCTCTTCCTCTTCCTCATCTTCCTCCTCCTCATCTTCCTCCTCCTCATCTTCCTCCTTCTCCTTCTCCTCCTCCTCCTCCTCCTCATCTTCCTCCTCCTCATCTTCCTCCTCCTCATCTTCCTCCTCCTCCTCCTCCTCCTCTTCCTCCTCAGAGCACCTGCCTTTCTTCCTGGACCTCTAGGGTAGCAGGTGACATTCTCATGAGCTGCCTTATCCCCACAACCCTCCTACTTCTCTCCACAGCCAGGACCACTCTGCCCAGGGCTGCATGAAGGTGCAAGTTTAAAACCTATTCTGTTCCTTCCTCATGCCCCAAACCCTAGGGATTGTTCAAGAAATCTGACCCTAGAACCAGAAGATGTGCCAGCAAACCCAGAGTTCCAGTCAGGAATGTCCACCACAGGGAAAAGTTTGAGGCCCAGCCTTCGGGTGGCTCTGTGGTCAGCAGAGAACTGAGTCATATGGCTCCTGGGAGCAGTGTGCCATCTGCTGAGTGTGATGTTGCTTGGAGCACGTAACTACCAGCTGACTAACCCAGGCCTTTGCCCGCACAGCATGGTCAGCTCCACCAAGCGGACTGGCCTCCGTGGAGACCAGCTTCACGACCCAGGCCTCTTCTGTCCCTACTCTGGGGGTTCACTGCCATCAGATAGAATAACCACAGTCACAGGTGGTTATAAAGAGGGAACACGGGCCAGTGTACAGCAACCTTGATCTCTCCGTGTCTCTGCTTTCCACCCTTCCAGGGAGGGGGAATTTACAGTTGAAGTCCTCGCCTTCAATAATGTCAGCTCTGCCATCCTACGAAAGCAACTTTTCATCGTGCACGAGCCTTGCCAGCCACCCCCGGTGAAGAACATGGGGCCTAAGCAGGTGCAGGTAGGACCCGGCTTAAGAGATTCTCCCGCCTGCCTCCCTACAGGCTGCTTCCATATTGCGGAGCTCGCTGCAGAGTGAAGGAGGCTTTGTGAGTTTGTCCTGCAGCATGTAGCACAGAGGAGGCCCTGTGAGGGCTCTGAAGCTGCTCCCTGAGCAGGGAGAGCCTGGTGGCGTCTACTGGGAGAATAAGTCTTTTATCTACCTACATGACATTCAGCACAGCTTGCTTCAAGCAGCTTCCTTCCTTTTTCTTTCTCTTCTGATTACATACAGAATAATAACTTTTCAGTCAAAAGGAAAATTTGACACCAAAATGAAAAGAAATGTCCAATTATATGCCGAATACTAACCACAGAGTAGGGGGAAAGGCTGTCTTTTATTTCTTCCACTCCTTTGAGGGTTTTGATTTCAAGCAATGTTACTTTCAGGTCAAAGGTGTTCAGCCTGACCCTTGGGGATCAAAATCTGCTGCTGAGCCTTTGCCAAAACACTTTCCCTGGTGGATTAGCTGCCAGCCCCAAGCATCTCAGGTCCCAGCAGCCTCAGAGTGCAGTGGACTTCAAAGAGGGTATAGGGTTGCCCTGGGCAGGCTGCGGCCTTCAGGTGTCCATGTCCCTCAAGGCAAGACCTCTGGAGCTGTGAGGCCAGCATTCCATGGTGTCAGGCTGTTCTGCACTCTCTGTGGGAGGGAGGGACCAAACTCAAGGGATTCTATGGAAGGACCACTGCTCATGAGGCTCTGACCAGAATTCTTGCTCTGTTGTGCAGCCAATACTGTCCTTTGTTTGATCTTGTTTTATTTTAAGGAATATTTTGTTATTGTTGTTATCTTGTTTCATTTATTATCGTTTTATTTTGAGATTGGGCATCACTATTTAGCCCAGTCTGTCCTTGAGTTCTCTGTGCTTCCCAGGCTACCCCAGCACTCTCCGTTTTCCTTCCTCAGCTTCTAGTTTGCTGGAGTTACAGGCTCACACTCCCACACACAGATCTGCTGTTGTTTTGATTTACACGTTCCTTCAACTGATACACAGAAGCAAACACTGTGCAAATAAATGAGCTCAGTTTCTAATCTGAGTGTTTCTGTAAGATAAGGAAAACAATATTGATGACTCCATTTGTCTTTTATACTTCTTGTGTTTTCATAAAGTATAAAGAAAAAATGGCATTCTGTGAAATCCAGACAGCAGGAGATGTATGTATTTTAAATGTTTTTCTATTGCTTAAAATTATCATCATTTTAAAACAATGTGCATGTATGGATATGGCTCACACAGCTCAACAGAGGATGCCAGGTGCCCTGAGCTGGAGTTACAGGGGGATGTGAGTTGCCCACCATGGGTACTGGGAAGAAGGCTTAGTTCCCCTGCAAGAGCAGAAAACCACAGAGCCCTTTCTCTAGCTCCCTGCTATTGTTTTGTTATATGTGGGGAGAGAGTAAGAGAGAGAGAGTTTTAAATGTGTGTTTATCACAAAATTTGAATCATTGCATTATAGCATGAACACTGTCTCTTATTACATCATCTTGTCTATTAGTTTTAATGGTGGATCATATGTACAAATTCAACAGAATTTCCCAGAGTCCTCATTACTAAACTTTGACTGTTTCTAACTTTCTGTTACTACAAACAGCGTGTGGCCTTCTGTGCACACATCTTTAGCATGCAAAACTCGAGTGCACACATTTTCTTCATGTCCTTAGTGTTCCATGTTGCATGTGTGCGGAACAGAATGCTGTCTTGGGAAATTTATTTGTGTCACCCAGGTGATACTGTGCACCCCAGCTTGTCAGCATGCAGAGCCAGCTCCCACGCCAATGAAAATTGTATAGTTTTAATGCATTTCGTGACTTGGGATGTGTACATAAGGTCTGAAAATTGAGAGTATTACAATTTTCCCTGGCTCATGTAAATGTGGCAGCTTTGTCGCAAGTCCTATAATGAAATCAGGTGCAGAGTAGAAGCAATGGAAAGGGTTAAAGAGTAAATTAAATGGTTCCCAGTTGTAAGACCAGTATATTCTTTCTTCTGCTGTTTTTAACAGTCTAGTCTTTATATAATTTGTGTTTTCTTTACAATGAACTATATTTAAACTAAAACTTCAGATTAAATGTTCCAGTCAGTAGTCGGAGGAGGGCAGCCAGTACCTTCTTTTACCCTTAAATACATTCTATTAAAACGTTTCCATATATTATATTTTGATCATATTCTTTTCCTTCCCTCTTCTCCTTCCAGATCCACCCCAACTCTCCATCCATCCAACTTCATACTCTCTCCCTCAAAAACTAGAGAACAGCAAAAATTGAAACATGTAAACGAAGAGGATCAATAACAAAAAAGATACTAAAACAAAGCAAAAACCACACAAAAATATGGAGTCCGTTTTGTGTTGGCCAACTACTCCTGAGCACGTGGCTTGCCCTGGAGTGTGGCGTTATAAGGAGACAAAGGGGGACTAAAACGGGAGGATTAAACGGGATGGCAGGGTAAAAGAGGGACTATGTGGAGGGGCGGCTAACACAGCTGCTGAACTCTTAAGACCCCTGCTTCTCCAGAGTTTCCTCTTCTCCAATTATATGGAGCTGCCTCCAGGGGGAGCGCTTGCACCTAGCATTAGCCCCAGAGCAAGAGTCCCTGGCTGGACAGTCTCCCTCCCCAGGCTGGCTCACCTGGAGTGCCTTTCCACAGTCAGGGACAAATCCCAAAGCCAGGCCAGGGTGTTGAGCTAGCCCCAGAGGCAGGAGAAAGGGGCATAAAGAGCTTAGGAAGAACAGCACAGCCGTGAGTACCGTAAGAGATACACAAACAAATAACAGATCACAGTCGAATGACATTCCAATGCAGTCAAATCTAGTAACCTTTTCATTTGACGTTTCCCATTAGCTTCATGCTTGATAGGGCTTTTTCCCTGCTATTAGTATGTAAACATAAATACTTACTTTTCTGGTTTTATGTTTTTACTGTTTACTTTTGTCTGTAAAATAATTGTGCGGGTGCTGTCTAAGGTCCAGCCCCAGGCCCCATCCTGTGGTTTCACAAATGGTTGGGGATTCACAAGTGACACTGTCTAACAGCGTGCTGCACCTTCAGGCTTGGTGGACATTCACTGACACGACTTCTCATGCCAATTCCCAGATATGGAGGTCTCAGCCCCTGAGACTAGGGGTGACATTTGAAGCTGCAGTCCTCTGTAACATGCCCCAAGGGCTTCTCTACACCTGGAGCATTGTGGATGCTCGGGCGACTGCTGTCACCCTCCCTGCTGCTGTCAACACCCACAGGCAGACCATCATGCTCCCAGGCTACACCCTGGAGTGTGGGAACTACTCTGCCGTGGCCAAGGTGGGCTCACTCGCGGTTCCTCAAGCCCTGTCAAGCCAACCCTTTCACAAGCCCTGGGGGAAAACCTCTTCCACTAACGAAAGGGTTTTTGTTTCATTTTATTTTGACTTTTTTGTTTGTTTTAAAGGTGTGGTAGGATTTTAAGAGAGAGCTTTCATTGCAGCTGGATAAGTGTCTCCGTGCGGAAGAACATTTGCTGTACTGTGCAAGCAAGAGGAGCTGAGTTCAAAAGTAGAGACAACGCACACCTAGATAACTCCACATTTAGGCACACTTAGATATCAAAAGATGCACGCTCTTCCCTCCGGCCACGCCCTCACACGAACACGGCAGACTGCTACTGTAGTTGAGGGGAGGGCCGGTGCCGAGCATATAGATAGGTCCAGAGAGCATCTGCTTTGTTCCCGGGCGGTACCTCTTGTCTTGGTCTTCCAGGTTCAGATCAAGGGGAGCGTGGTGTACAGCAACTACTGTGTTGGCGTGGAGGTTCGACCCAGGGCTCCTGTCAGTGTGATCTCTGAAGGCACGCACATCTTCATCCCCAGGGCCACCACCACCCCCGTCGTCCTCAGAGGGTTCCAGTCCTATGACCCTGACAACCCGGGGGCTGCCCTCAGGTAAGGACAGAGAGCTTCGAGGACCCCAGGCTCCTGTTCTCCAAACTCTGGCTCAGGAACATTAGGAGAGTTGGCCTGGGAATTCTGCCAGCACAGCCTGAGACATTTCTGCGTAGCAGCTTTCTTTGGCTGAAGCGCTTGATTTGTTATCCAAGTGTAAGCCAATACAGGAGAGTAAAGAGGGAGTAGCTTTTTAAGGTGATGCTTAAAATGCCACTTTGGGATGCACGTTGTAAATGCTCCCCTTTCACAAGGACTCCTTAGTCAGATGCCCTTGCTGGGGGGTGGGGGCAGAGTGCCGCCTGAAGTGTGACTCTGCTCTGCAGTCCCAGGCTCTGGCCCCGACAGCCCAACCCAGCAGGTCTTTCCCAGGCTTCTGAAGTGGCCCTCTTCCCTCCAGCATGCATCCTCCACTCAGGCAGCCCTCCCCCAGCCTCAGACTGGCGTCCCCCACCCATCTGCTCTGTGTCGCCACCACCCTCGTGCCCCTTTCGGGTGCCTCACGGCACCCCGCCGCAAAGTCCGCCTCTTCCCACTGCCATTCCCCATCCTCTCTTCTTTAAACCGAGGTTAATTTTTTAAACAATACATGGTGACCACTGTTCCCCTCCTGCGTATCATCCCAAGTCGTCTCCCCTCCCCACATCCAACTCCGTGCCCCTGCCCTGTCTGTCTCTTAAACCAACAGGCAAATGGACCAGACCAAAAAATAAGGAAGGAAAAGCATAAGAAATGTGTATGCACACACACACACACACACACACACACACACACACCATAAAACCACAAAATTAGAAAACTATAAAAGCAAAAGCTCAGGTAGGTTAAAAAAATTCAAATCAATGTAAGAAAAAAAATCTTCCAAAAATACCATTGAATTCATTTTGTGTTGCCCATCGACTGCTGTCCTGTGTGGTTTGTATACACAGCGAGACTCCATGGGAGGAAACTAAATTTTCCTTTTTGAGCGTTTGTCAGTTGGGGATAGTTTCTTGAGGGTTCTTGTCCACTTCCCCCCCTTGGTGCTGGGACCCCAAGGAAACACGTCTTCTAGTCACTGGGACCAAAGCTTCCCTGAGCGGCTTTAGCATCCCTTTCTCTCACACTCTGCATCTCCCAGAGAAACCAACTCCTCACTTCCCCTGATTGCCTGGGTGGAGTCACTCGGGCCTCAGTGTGTGCCCATCTTCAGCCTCAGCCAATCCTCCAAGACAGGATGGAGTTTTAGAAAAAGTTAGACGCCCTCACTTCCCTGTTCTGACCTTCACCACATCCATTTGACTCAGGGGAAGTCTCTGTCCTGCCTGGAGCCAATCCAGGCTTATTCCTCTCACACGGCTGCTGTTCATTGCCCTCCTTCACTGAGTTCAGAACAGCAGGGCTCTCACTGGGTACATCCCTGGGCCCGGCACGTGTCCCTGTTCATCAGGCAGTAGAGAGGTCCCTTTGTTGTTGTCACCCCTGCCGGGATCCTGTGTGTTTGTCACACCAAGTGTGGGACTTGGTGCTTCTTTAGTGCAGTGAGGTGAGGGGTCCCCAGCCCTATTCTAGCTGTGCGCGTGCTGCAGACACACCTCTCTACTGGCTGTTCCTCACCCCCAAGTCAGACAGACCAACGCTGTGTCTCCATCATCTTCACACCATCTACTCTTAGTGCCTTAACACGAGAGCTAAGTGCCTCCTGCTGAATGTGCTTCTGGGCAGTAGGGAATCTTTTGGGGGAACCATGGGACAGTTTCTCCATACAGCATACGAACTGCTCTGGACACTGCCTTTTGTTGTGCCCCAGGGGTGCTTCTTCCAAGCAGAGGCTAAGAGGCTGCTACAATACCTGCCTCAGACTGCAGTGCCTCCTCAGACTGCAGTGCCTCCTCAGAATGCAGTGTCTCCTCAGAGTGTGCAGTGTCTCCTCAGAGTGCAGTGTCTCCTCAGAGTTTGCAGTGCCTCCTCAGAATGCAGTGTCTCCTCAGAGTGTGCAGTGTCTCCTCAGAGTGCAGTGTCTCCTCAGAGTGCAGTGTCTCCTCAGAGTGTTCAGTGTCTCTTCAGAGTGTTCAGAGTCTCTTCAGAGTGTGCAGTGTCTCCTCAGAATGCAGTGTCTCTTCAGAGTTTGCAGTGTCTCCTCAGAGTGCAGTGTCTCCTCAGAGTTTGCAGTGTCTCTCAGAGTGCAGTGCCTCCTCAGAGTGTGCAGTGTCTCCTCAGAGTGCAGTGTCTCCTCAGAATGCAGTGTCTTCAGAATGCAGTACCTGCAGTCTAAACACAGAAATGGCATTTTAAGGCTCAGCAGAAGTTCAGGTTTAAGTGACACTTCTGGAAGCAGGTTGTCATAATGAGGCTGGCCTACCTTGCCAGTGCGTTTCCTTACTGTTTCATGCCTGTTTAAGTATGTCTTCCGCTATGGGTTAAGATCTGCTCGAAGATGCGCTGATGCTGTCCCCCCATCCCACCCTGACGGTGCAGCCACCTTTGTGTTGTGGCTCAAGCAATTCGCATTTTACAGAAAGATGGTGAGACTGCAGGAGAATCATCTCAAGCTCACTGCTAGCTGCACTTAGGAGGAGAGGGAGTCACCATGCACAGGAGGGAAGGAGTGGCAGAAGTAGCTCCAGGACCACAGTGTGAGACACACATCAGCCGGAAGCAGCACTCTAGGTGGAGTTCAGTGGTCTTTGTGCTGATGAGTGGGAGAGAGGCCCAGCTCCCATGTCACTGAACTCCAAGAGTGAAGGGTATCATCTCTTCCCGGCCACATGTGCCTTTCACATACAGCGATGCTAACCGTGCCCCTCCAACGCCTTCTTCTATAGGTATCACTGGACTTGCACTGCAGCCAGCTCGCCAAGGTGGCCCTGCTTTGAGGACTCTACTCTCTACCAAGTGGACACTCAGGCTCCTTCCATTTCCTTCCCAGCAAAATGGCTCAGCGAGTGCTGTGACCAGTTCCTTGTGACACTGACTGTCTCCAGCAATGGACAGAACTCTTCTCGGGCCTTGATATTCCTGTCCACCCGTCCTGACCCAGCCTTCAGGTACCCGTGCCTGGTCATATGTAGCGGAGCACTCTAGCTGGTGGTGGCTGCTTGAAATGAGTCTGTGTTCATGGAGACCAGTGGAAAGTTAGGCCATGTGGGAACCACACCGTAGGAAGCAGCTGGTGGCCAGTGAGGGGCTGATGACGTGGATGGCTCTGCTGTCTCCTGGGCTAACAGTGACACATCAGTGACTCTGAAAGTGTTGTCAGTGGGTCCTTCCTGTTACAGCACCGGTCCCCAAGATGGAAGACCAGTGCTTGAGGTTGATGCTAGGAGGCGGCCAGGTGATCTGATTTCCAGACTCGGGAGCCTGTTAGGAATCACAGGACTAGAAGGCAGCCAGGTGATCTGATTTCCAGACTCAGGAGCCTGTTAGGAATCGCAGGACTAGAAGGCGGCCAGGTGATCTGATTTCCAGACCGGGGAGCCTGTTAGGAATCGCAGGACTAGAAGGCAGCCAGGTGATCTGATTTCCAGACTCAGGAGCCTGTTAGGAATCGCAGGACTAGAAGGCGGCCAGGTGATCTGATTTCCAGACCGGGGAGCCTGTTAGGAATCGCAGGACTAGAAGGCAGCCAAGTGATCTGATTTCCAGACTCAGGAGCCTGTTAGGAATCACAGGACTAGAAGGCGGCCAGGTGATCTGATTTCCAGACTCGGGAGCCTGTTAGGAATCGCAGGACTAGAAGGCGGCCAGGTGATCTGATTTCCAGACCGGGGAGCCTGTTAGGAATCACAGGACTAGAAGGCAGCCAGGTGATCTGATTTCCAGACTCGGGAGCCTGTTATGAATCGCAGGACTGAAGGGATGCAAGTGTAGGTCCTTTTGTGACACCTTGGAGCATGAGGGGTTACAAAGAAATGCTGGGAACAAAACCCATAGGCTCTTCATCACCAAAGTACCAGTGGTTACCAAGTACTCACCGTACATCCCCAGAGACCAAAGGCAGGTACCAGGACTTGAGCTGAGATGCCAGGATAGGCAAGGAGACAGAAATATCTGGGTTCCCCCTTCAGGGACTAGGTTATATGTGACTGAGCAGGGCCTGAATTCCAGGGGAACCGAATTTGAGGGTATGACTTATACATCCCTGAGAATGGCACACCTGGAATTTTCCACTTAATGTTTCAGGTGCTGGTTGCTGCAAGTAGCTGAAACCATGGGCAGCAGCTACTGCGTACACACAGGCACACACACAGGTACAGGGGTACACACAAGCACGTGACAGGCTGACTCCGTCGAGGAAGTGGCAGGCCTGTCTTGCCATGGTCCTTCTTGCCTCCTGCACTCGACGTTACATGGTGGAGTCATGGCTTGAGATGTGCCTTACGGTGACAGACACAGAGAACCCTGCACACCACTTAGCAAGCCCCCTCTGTACTCAGGCTCTTAAAGAGTCCTCAGGTCCTGTGAGAAAGGAATCCACATGCCAAAAACCCAGCATAGTCCCTCACACCAACTGATGATGTCCCAAAGAACCAGGGTTCATGGGATGTTCTCTGGGACTCAGCCCTGGCCAGCAAAGAGCCTGGAGACATTGTCAGGGTGTAGCTATAGTGACTCAGAAACGCGTGTATCGAGTGTGGGACTGCGCGAGGTATGGTCCCATCATAGGGCATGGGGCAGCTCATGACCCAATAGCTCTGGAGGGCAAGGCTGAGAACACAGGCTGTGATGACGAATTGGGCTGTCATGAAACAGAGCCAACGCAGATGGTTCAAACATGGCCAGCCCGAGAGAGTGCAGCCTAAGGATGCATGTGGGTGGTGCTTTCCTGCAACATCAAAGTGTTTGTCTGTTCCAGATTCGTCCACATCTCATGGGTCCACTTTAGGGACACCCGTGTAAACTGGAATGAGGAACTGTCTTTCAGAGCTGTGTGTGAAGACTGTGGCGATGTACCAGACCTCACGTACTCCTGGGATCTCTTCCTAGTCAATGCGACAGAAAAGACTACGGTGGAAGGTATCATGGCTACCCTTTTTCTGATAAATAAAAAAGCTTGGGGTCGTCCTGTGGTTGCTGAACCATTGCATCTGACCTACCCACAGCAGGGACTTCATCTCACTGCCGCCCTCCAGACACCTAGTGACAGTCCAAAACTGGGTTCTAACACATGTGCTATAAGGAGGTTGAGCCCAGACTCACTTGGACAATTTTATTGGTTGGGAATCACAGGAAGCCACTGCAAAGGATCTGTGATGAACCTCACCGTCCAGAGAGCTGTGGCCCTGGAAACTGACATATGTGTTGTGTCCATGCTCCACTTTCCCGGCATACATCTCCTAAAATCCTTGGACTCTTCTGTGATCATGCTTTTTTATGCTAATGAGCCAACAGGCGGCTAGCAGCCCCTGAGTATCTTTGAGACGAGGCCTGGCCATCCCAAACACTAGGGGTGGATGACGGTGATCAAATTTGTCACTTTAAATGGGACGTTGAGGCACACTGAGTGTGGGAACAGTTTTTTCAAGTCCCAATGAAGATGGCCACGGATTAAGGGCTCCTGAAATGACATCAGTGGTCTCTCAGTGTTTACACCCCAGGGCAGGGCTTAATTTCAAACTGGTTGTGTCGGTGGGTAGGAGAGCTCAGGGTGTGGACCAGCAGTCACTCAGGGATGGGAGGCATTCCTGGGAGGGAGGGAGGAAGGGAGGGAGGAAGGGAGGGAGGGAGGGAGGGAGGAAAGGAGGGAGGGAGGGAGGGAAGGAGGGAGGGAGGGAGGGAGGGAGGAAGGGAGGGAGGAAGGGAGGGAGGGAGGGAGGGAAGGAGGGAGGGAGGGAGGGAGGGGAGGAAGGGAGGGAGGGAGGGAGGGAGGGAAGGAGGGAGGGAGGGAGGGAAGGAGGGAGGGAGGGAGGAAGGGAGGGAGGAAGGGAGGGAGGGAGGGAGGGAGGCAGGGAGGGGAGGGAGGGGGGCAGGGAGGGGGGTTCTGTGGTCTCGGGTTTCACCTTTGCCTGGGCTGAAAAGGTGAGCATGTTCTGATCCCCCACCACACATACACACACCCGTGTTCATCCTCTCTCATGCTACTCCACGGAATAGCGGGTGCTGAGGAGCGCGGCGGAGTGCCAGCCAGTGACACAGAAGACCTGGGTCTCGGTGCTGGGCCTCCAGCTCTGCCCACTGGCTGCCTGCCATGTTTTCTTTAGTCCTTTTGTGGCTTTAGAAAACCTTTTAAAGCAGAGCTTGGAGTGCAGTCCCTCCCCGCCCCCAACACAACAGGGACATCCAGTGGGCTTGTGCCCCGCATCGCAGGAGACGGGGTCCTGAGTTTAGACCTTCATGAATCAAAGCCCAAAGCATGGCAGCACACTGGCCATGACAACAGTTGAGTTTCAACAAGGCCAGCACTGTCTGAGGCACTTGTGTCTCAGAGAACTCTGAATAGGGTTCCTGTCACCCCCTCTTACAGCGGTTCACGGAACACAGGAAAACAAACGCACTGTCGGGGCACCACGGAGGAGAGGCAGAGAGGTCTATCCCGGTCAAAAACAAAAGCTTCCTTTTAAGAAAGTTATTTCTGTCTGTGAATTTTTTTGTCATTGCTCCTTTATCATAATTCTTAGTGAGGCTTCTTAGAACTATTTACTGAATCCTTGTCAGGGAGGGGAATGATGACTGGGAGAAATTCCTTCCAGAATACAGTGCCATTCACTCACACGGTGGTTCGTAGAACCTGGTAGGGCAGCCCTCTAGTCTGCATGCAGACTGGAAAGAGCAAGTTCCAGGGAGGGATTGGGAGATCCTTTTCCCACTAGTACAGGTTTAGGTCGTGTTTTGGCTTCACAGAGCCAGGCCAGAGCCATGTGCCAGGGTCTGAGTATCAGGTTTCCATGCCAGGATCCTTTAAAGTAGCATAGTGTTTCCCGGGAAAATGTGAGCAAGTGTTCATTCACCCCAGACAGGGCACCAAGGCAGACCAATGACTAGTAGTCTACTCAAGTCAGGGACATCACTGAAGGGTCAGTGACAGGAGCAAACAGATGTGTTGCCCCAAAGCCCTCCACAGTAGGATGACTCATGAAAGTTGCCACACTGAAATTCCACCCTAAACACTCCAGTGCCCACCCCAGGCCACCCGCAATCAGAAGAAATGGCTGGAATCTCAGGTGAGAGTCCTGTGGCCATCTCCCTGCTTCTACTAGGGAGCTTTGCAGCCAAGTCCCCACTTTCTGTGTTGTCCTGCTTCTTGTGTTTCCATGACTCAGCCCTCAGCCCTGTAATGGCCGTGGTCACTCCAAGCTCACAGAGACTACCCTTACCCCCAAGTAGACATGCTTATGTAACCTGTGTATGTTTTTAAGGTGTGTGGTGTGTGTGTGTGTGTGTGTGTGTGTGTGTGTGTGTGTGTAGTAGGGATGGGTGTGTGGTGTGTGTGTCTGTGTATGTGGTATGTGTGTGTATGTAGTGTATGTCTGTGTGTATGTGTGTCTGTGTGTTTGTGTGGTATTGAATGGGGGTACCACAGTGCATATTGAATATTAGTCACCAATACAAAACTTCTGGATATCAGGTTAAGGTCACCAAACTTCAGAAGCAAGCACCTTTACCAGCTGAGCCTTCTCGAACTGGCCCCATAGCCTGTATATTTTTAAAAGATGGATATTTTGTATTTTCAGTGTGGAATTTTAACCCTGTCATCTGTGTTTAAGTCCCCTTCTGCAGCACTGTGGGGCTGCTGGGCTCTTCGGCATTTGGCGCCCTTCTGAAGTTGCCTCAGTCAGGCCTGCAGTCAAACTCCAGAGGATCCCTGGCACTGCACTCACCACAGCAGTCACCCGTGCCCCCAAGCTGGACAGCTCTTCCCAACCTGGGAAGCACTTCCACGGAGTCCACAGCAGCTGACCCCCACATTCCTATGGCGGACCCCCTGGCAGGCTCAGGGGAACTCATGGAGGACTATGGCTCACTGAGTCCAGCACCAGATTCCCTGGAAGAGCAAGCTTTGATGATGAGTACCCCAGAGGGAAGCTGGCCCCCTTCCAGCTCCTCCCCTGCCTTTGATGGTAAGAGCTACCCTTTCAACACACTGTTCCTTGTGCTTAGGCCCCTGGGAAGGGGTGAACCAAATGGGACAGGCTGAAGTCACTCCTACCTTTGTCCTGAGTCCAAGAGCACTGTTCATAATACAGAGCCCAGCTTCAACCTCAGGGCAATAAAACAGGATTTTGTTTTTGCTGTTTTGAGGCAGGTTCTAATGTAGCCCAGGCCTCCAATTCCTTATGCAGCTAAGCTTGAATTCCTGACCCTCCTGTCTTCACTGTTCAAGCACTGGCATTTTAGTATGTGTCACTATGGCCAGCTTGGAGATATTTATTCTTGACCCAAATATGAGTGACAGTGGTCTAGGGACATAGGTAAATATTGCCCTTAGTAATGTATTCCACAGCAGAAGTGGTTACATGATATTTGATTAGCTATACAACAAAGAAAGTTGTATCAAATACATTTTATATGGGGGAACCACCAATTGGTGGCTTACAGTCACGTGGGGGAGAGTCGTATAGGTTTTGGACTGATAACATTTTAGGGGTGGTCTGGTAGCAAATAGCCCTCTGCTAAGACTATTTTACAAATAGTCAAAACGATGTTTAGTCTGCCATGGGAGTGAATAATGATGACAGTTTAAGGCCACTAAAAATGGTTTGGATACTTTGGTTCTGATCTGCAAACTCTGCAGGATCATGATGTTCTATTCCTTCAGCCTTGCAGGATTTCGGTGTGAGGGGCTTTAGTCTGCAACCTTCAGCTCTCCCTTCAAACAAAATGTCATTTTCCCCTCTTGTATAGATTTTGAAGCCTATTATAGTGACATCCAAGAAGATGTGCCATCCCAAGGAAGACAGCCAGGTAACCACTTTTATGTCTGTCCCCCTGCAGAAGAGCCCTCACCCAGGTTCGCCGTGCACCAGCCCTCCTGGGTGCTTCCTGTCTGTCCCTTCCGTCAAGGCCACCAATGACCCCCCCAGAGAATTTCCAAATGGATACTGTGAGCCCCTCTCCACAGCACAGACCTCACTCCCGGCTGACTTACTGCTTTTGCCTCTACCCCCAAATTCCCAGTGGTCTCAGGCCCAACAGCAGGCAGTCCAGACCCGAGGTGCTGGCATGCTGACCATCGGCTAGCAGGCCTCCCTCGGTGCCCTGCCCACCTTGCCTTCTTCCTCAGCCTCCTCCTTGGGGATTCCCTCTCCTTCCACACTTCGAAATCTCCCTCAGCACTGCGGTGACCCCCATCAGTTCACTGTTCCCACCCCTATCTCTTCTAAGCAGGTGGCTTCCAGACGAATGATGTCGTTCTGTGTCTGTCTCGTACACACCTGTCATCTTCACAAAAAGCTTCATGCTAGTTCATTCTTGTGCCCCCAGAACCGTGTGAACATGGGATGATCAACGTGTCATGTAAATAGGTTGTGTGATCAGTAGGCGATCTATGTTTCTGAGGAACAGACAGATGAGGATCGGACGCTGGCTCTACCTGTCTAGTGAACAGAGGGTTAATTGGAGCATTGCTGTGTCTACCAAATGAATGGGCAGGAGATTCATTTGTTGACAGAACAGAGTGGTTGATTTATCTTTTGAGAGATTAAGTGGCTGAGTTCTGTTGGTCCTCTGATTCACTACAGTGCCTTCTTCAACTGCCCCTGACTTAGGGCTTCCCCAGCTCCTCTCGTCCCCTCCTGTGTGCCTTACTTCTTTCTATGAGATGCTCTTCATAGGAGGAAGATTAGAGAGGCTGGAAAAACAAAGTGTGCTATGGTCACAGGTCCTAGGGACAGACATGTGGCCCACCACTCAGGGCCTTGAAAGAGAGCCTGACAGAACCATGAGGCCCAGCTTCACTAGGGTTTCAAAGAGAGGAACAAGTTAGGCGATATGTCCTTCAGGATCTGGCCATCTGAGTGATTCCGGTGGGCTGTGGACAGAGGAGGTGATGTCATGCACAGCATTGGTACCTAATCACCTGGCACCTGGCTCTGGGACAAGTAAGCAGGGGACTGTTGCCCAGAGTGCACAGAAGGATGGGGTAGGGGGTGCTGGCCACAGATCAAGTAGATCTACTCATGACTAGGCCCTTGCTATCACTAGGTATTGGCTAGGACACAATGGGTGGCCTCTTTCTAGCCAGAAAGGGGGCCTTTGCTGTGGTTTGGTCTATTTGTAGGATACTGAGACATGATTGCATTGGCTGGCTTTCTTGTCACTGGTTTTGCCTCATGGTTTCCCAGGGTTTGGGTTACAGTCACTTGGCTCCAAGTTCCTGGTAGAAAGTCATGTCAGTGGGAATGTGTATAAAGGGGGTTTTCTCCATGGTAGACAGAAAGCAGACCAAACAGGAAGGGGCTAGGGACAGCACACTGCCAAGCACCCACCCCCTGTAAGCTTTTCACACCTAGGTTCTACCTTCCAAGCTTTCCAGAACCTCCAAAAATGGCCCCACCAGCTGGGGGCCATCCATTTAACATGGGCCTGTGAGGATAACCACATATTCAAGCCATAAGAATTGTACAGGAAAATTACAATTTATAATACATAACAGCTCTGTTCCGGGGGTCCTGCTTGTGCATGGCAGGCATCAACTCAGTAATAGCAAACGGACAAATAGACACTATCTTCTGTGCATAACGTGACTTCCTCACAGGAGTCATCCCAGTTCCTCGAGGAGTTTTGGTATGGTGTCTTGTTTCTGTGGTCGTCCTGGAAGTCTTCAGTCGGCCTAGCACTGTCCCACGCCATTCCTCCCTGGACTACACAGTGGATTTCTGCCTCTGTGCCGGCCGCCTACAGTCACATCTCTACACAGCAGCCAGGAAGTTTCTCAGACACAAAGCAGATGGTCTGTTTCCTCTGGCCACTGGTGGCTTCCTGCCATTTTCAAGACAAAGGTTTCTATCGGTGGCCACAGGAATGTCTCAGCCTCATTGCCCACCTTCTGGGCCCCATTGTCTGTCTTCAGCCACCACAGAGGACCATTCCTACAATTGGCTTCCACTCAAGCAGATCCTTTCCCTGAATCCCTTCCCACTGCTCCAGCAGAACCCCCACCCCACAACAGAAGCCCCCATCTGTCCCCACACTTGTACCTGCTGTACTTTTCCTGTCATTTATCATTACCTAACTTTACATTGGGAAGTTCCAGATCACAAGGTAGAAGGGAAGCGGGAAGGAAGGCGAGGGAGGAGGGAGGGGGAAGGAAAAGGTCAAGGAGGGAAGAAAGGGAAAATACAGAAAGGAGCTATTAGGAGGTTGATTATAAGACACTAAGGCACAGCTCTTGAATAGGCACACTTACTAAAGACATTGTTTTAGATGTACCATATCTGACAACCACAGAAATTGGTATTAGCATCAACCTTGAAGCATTCATGCTTCACAAGACTGTGACCTTTCCTTTTTTCTCCTGTGACATGATTTATCTTCCTAGGGACCAACTTCCATGAATCAGGACCAAGCATGGTTGCTGAGGAGAGTGCCAGCGATGGGGACAGACTACTGGGCCCTTCCCTCCACACAGGCAGAGCAAAGTCGGCTCTCATGATAGACTGGCCCAAGACCCTGGTCAGCCGAGCTGTATTCCACGGCTACACCTCCTCAGGTGTGAACATGTTCCTTGCTCCCTGGGTTCACAGCCATTTCAGAAGAGTTTGGGAACCAGCCCCCAAGTTCTCCCTAGTCTTTTGTCTTAATGAATGAATGGAGCCAGCCATCCAGCCTTTTCTGTTCATGTTTGTCCTTCTATGGACCACAATCCATAGATCCTTCTCCAAGGATGAAGCTAGCTGCTGTCCCCTAGGAGTCCCCAGCTGCAGATCAGCAGGGAACTTCAGGTTCTGGGCGACACCCCATCATGTGTCATCTGCCTGTCTCTAAGACCGTGTGTAGAGCAGATGATCCATTTACATGGATGGATCAAGTAAAGCTGGCCCTGTGGGGAAAAGGAATTTTTTACCTGTCTCCCCCAGCACAGGCATGTTGGTGGGTCACTGCCTTTCTGAGTACTACATGTGTGAAGGTCACCCCCATAAGCCTGTAGGTTTCATACTACTTTTAGGGGATTTTCTCCTTGCTCTCTCTAATCACCTGTCTTGTGTCTTAGATCTCTCCCAATTTTGAAGAAGGCTAAGCAGGCTGGTTCAGCTGACTCTCGTAGGGGAAGAGTTAAAATTTTTTTATAACTGGGCTGGAGAGATGGCTCAGAGGTTAAGAGCACTGTGCTTTTGCAGAGATCCTGAGTTCAACTCCCAGAAACCAAATGATGGCTCACAACCCTGTCTAATGAGATCTGGTTCCCTCTTCTGGCATGCAAGCATGCATACATTCAGGCAGACTCCTGTATACATAATAAATAAACCTTTAAAAAATTTTCATAACCAAAATTCTACAAAAACTCATTATGTCAATGACACTTTAACAGATAAGTCAAATTTATAAAATAAAAACTCAGACACTGAGCTTATTGTTAATGTACAAGATGAGATATCAGGATTCTCTTGTTGCTAGGGAAATCTACCTCATTTCTGAGCTGAGGGTGACTGGTCCACCTCCATACTGCTTCTGTTGGGTGAGGATGGCCTGTAGATAGGAATTTGGGCTCTTCAAAGAAGGCTGGTAACCCCCAGACAAGTGTCCTTCCCAAGTATGAACAGAGCGTGTATCTTAGGGTCTCTATTGCTGTGAAGAGACACCATGACCACAGCAATTCTCATAAAGGAAAACATTTAATTGGGACTGGCTTACAGTCCATATACTCATGGTGGAAATCATGGTGGCATTTAGGTAGACATGGTGCTGGAAAGGTAGCTTGAGAGTTTCATCTTGATCCACAGGTAGCAGAAAGAGACTGTGTCCCATACTGTGTGTAGCTTCAGCATATGAGGCCTCAAAGTCTACCCCCATAGCGACACACTTCCTCCAACAAGGCCACACACACCTGCTCTAACAAGGCTATACCTCCTAATAGTGCCATTCCCACATGCATCTATGGGGACCATAACTTATCCAAACCACCACAACATATAGCCAGGGTATTATTTACTCACACCCTTGGGTCAAGGGTGGGGCTCACTCCTGGTAGCCCACTGACTGCCATTTTCACGTGGACACTTCCTCTTTTATAGGTATTGTGGGACCAGCTGTGACAATAAAACCATTCTCACTGAGCAAAGGTGAGATGTATGTCTTACAGGCTTCCACAGGTAAGTTGAAGTACAGGTTGGATCTGGTGTGGAGAACCATGAAGGCTTTGGCCATCATATTTTTTCCTAAAAATAGCAGTGACTCTCCCCTGAAACCGCTTGCTCTGGGCCTCACCTCTCCCTTCTCTCCTGCTGCCATATCCCATTTTTTGTTATTCACATTAGTCGCTATGATGTTCTTTTTCCTTATGGAATCAGGTGCATGTTTAGAACAGGCCAAACAACAATCAGTTACTGTCCTTCTTGTATATTTGATTTTGATTTTGTACCCAATGTCTTAGTTAGGGTTTTCATTGCTGTGAAGAGACACCATGGCCATGGCAACTCTTAAAAGAAAACATTTAATAAGGGTGGCTTACAGTTCGGAGGCTTAGTCCATTATCTGCATGGTGGGAGCATGGCAGCATGCCGGCAGACATGGTGCTAGACTGGCTGAGAGTCCTACATCTTGCAGGTAACAGGAAGTGGACTGGCACACTGAACAGCATCTTGAGGAAGGAAACCTCAAAGCCTGCCCCCCACAGCGGCACACTTCCTCCAACAAAGCCACACCTCCTAATAGTGCCACTCCCCGTAAGATTACATTCAAACTACCACACCTGAGTTAGGTCACCTCACTGTATATATTCAATTCCAACCATGTGTTTTTGCCGTTTTTCTGAGTGCTCAGTGTGGGCTGGAACTTAACCACAGGCTTACCCTGCTCAGTGCCCCACAACTCCCCCTTCATTTCCATGACTCAATCTGAAAGCACTCTATTGGGTATCATCTAGACATTCCCCCCCTTCTGGAGACTTTCAGTCCTGTTCAACAAGCACAGAAGATTCCACTGATGTGCACGATCCATTTTTCATCCCCATTTATGCATTCATTAGGGCCCACCACAAGCCAGGCATAGTGGCCCAGTGGTAATAGCAGCAGTTGGGAGGCGGAGGGACGAGGATGGCCGTTCACAGTCAGAAGCACTGACTGGGCACATCCAGCTTTGCCTCCTGGGTGTCTATGTACCCCCCCCCATGGAAGAAGCACGAGGCCGATGTGTCACAGGCTGGCTCTTGATTCTCACCACTGCGGTGAGCCTCTGCCTGCCCTGTCCAGACGCTTCTGCCCACACAGGGCAGTGCTTGCTTCTGCTATAAGGGACACCTTTGCTTCTCAGTAGCTCATGTGCTGTGCCCTCTCCCCAGTTTTGGAATCCGTCAATGGACAAACTAAAAGCCTTTCTCTCAGGCCATGTGCCTTCTTTATACAGGAGATTCCTAAGAGTCTTCCCGTGGTCCCCGGGTCCTGGTTAGTGTCCTCTGCCACCTGGGAGAGCTGAGCTCAGGTGCCAGGCGTCCTGCTCAGCTGTCCGTCAAACACAAAGCCTCCCTAACAGCCTCGCTCTCCTGTGCTCTCCACCACACATGGCACAGTGTGGCAGTCCTTCCTCCTGTTATTTTGGGGGAATACCCTTGCCCCTGTGTCCTTTTAGTAACCTGGCAAACTATTCATACTCCGGGATTGTTGGTTCTAATTGCTTCTTCGCAGGGATTTGGCTGGTCAGCATGGCAGAACTAATCACCGCATCTTCTTGAATTTCCCTTGTGTTGAAAGGCCTATTCTCTGTGGCCAGCGTTGCCACACCACTGTTAAATAGGAAGCACAGGCAGAATGTTCTGCCTGCCAGAGGCCACATAAACAGTCCCCACAGGACCTGATGAGGACTTTTGACAATGTGATATAGAAAGCCCCACCATAATTTATCCTAGGAATACATTACTTTTCAAAAGATTGTGAATGATAATAAACTATTGTAGGGTGGTGAATAAAGCAGAAAGTATACAACATGGTGTTTAATCATTGGGGAGTAATAATTATACCTGTTGCAGTACATCTGCCCAGAGAATTCTTAGACAGATGTTTACAGAAGATTCCAGACACAAGATGAGGACATGGGAAATGTGTGTGTGTGTGTGTGTGTGTGTGTGTGTGTGTGTGCGTGCACACACGTGCGTGTGACATTACATATATATATACATATATATATATATATATATATATATATTCTCCCCTGTTGTTCTATGCTGGCTGAAATCCCCATCCTGCCCTTCTCCTAGCTTCAAAGCATGTCTTACTAGGCAAAGCTCAGCTCTACATAACCGTCAACCAAGTTCCACGAGACATGTCCTGTCAGGTGCGACCCCACAGTGGTCTGGAGGCACATACCATCTTCAGTGTCTTCTGCATGTCAGGGAGACCGGTACGTGAGAACCCTTGTCGGTCCCGAGGGGTGCAGGCAACCTCAGCTCTTGGAAAGCTCAAGAGTTCTTTGCCTGGCGTGCTGCAGGGCTGGGCCTGCCCTGCAATGTGGGAAAGTCACTCCTGCATGAATGGGGTTTTCTCGGGCTAGTAAGAGCAGCCTCCTCATTAGAAGGAGGGAATCCTTGCAGGGCTTTGCTGCAAAGTCAGGAGGCTCTGTTACCCATGGGCATACAATTTGCAGGTGGGGGACTCAGCCTGAGGCCTAACTCCCTCACCAGGACATGTCTATGGCCTACACTTGACCACTCTAGCCTAATGTAGAAGTCACTCTGCATTTTTGAAGAGGGTCTTGTGAGGATCTGAGGAGAATGAGGTGTGGAGGTACTGAGGTCCCCTTTGAACTACAGAGCTGTGAATTTTCAGTCACAGTTCTCTGGCTATGGACACCATGTGTCCCTGGCCTGTTTTCCCCATGTTCCTTCTCTGGAATCTTCCCTCATGCACAGAGAAGGGGTCACTGCCCACAGGTTGAGAACCACTGTGTTAGTGGGTCCAAAGACAAGATTGCTGGCTGACCCAAGTGTGGAACCCCGCTTCACGTGAGAAGTCCTTTGGCTTAAAACCTACAGCGCCGGGAGGCCTCTCCCATCTGTGTGTACTGACAATGATGCAGACATCATGGTCTGGGCTGCAAAACACGACAACAGTGACCACGAGGGTGGAGATGTGTGGCATTGGTTGGTGATTCCATCCACAGTGTGTTCAGTTTCCTTTTTTTTTTCTTCCATGGATTGGATCATAGGACTTTCATTACGAATTCCACTACCAGATAGGAAACACTTCTCCACATACCCTGTACCGTGGACGAGACACCCAATACTATTTTCTATTGCCGGCTGGTGAGACCTCAGACAATTACAAAGGTAAGTCACAGTGTCAACTAAGTGGCTAGGTATGCCTACTTATCCCTTCAAACACTTTCTCCTGGTTTCCAACAACTACAAATTACTAGAGGGGCCTAGAAATTAAAATCGTTGTTCGATTCAGTGAATTTAGGCCCTGTCTTTTAATACAGAAAGAATATTAGAAACATCATCAGCAAATTGGGATTTTCATATCTCCAATTTCAATCAAAATATAGATAGTAAATATCAAAGGATGTTTGTATGTGATTATATGTGATCTTACATGTGATTAATGATTAATATATGCAAGAGTAGGGAATCCCCATTTACTAATTAAACAGCTTATATCTTCTAAGTTTTGAATTTATTATAGATGAAAACAAGTTAAGACATTCCCTCCAAAAAATAAAATGTGGGAAGACAGTTGAGTGAACAAATGGTGATCCCTGTAATCAGCCTCCTATTACAAACACCTGATATCAGTAACGTTTAAGTTTCCTCTTTGTGTCCCCTTTGATAGAGTGTCCCCCATGAACAGAAGACCTCTCACTGGGTCCTATCTCTCAAAGGTTCCACTAACTCACAACAGTGCTAAGCTAAAGGCTAACCCTTTAATACATGGGCCTCTGGGAGATGTTGCAGATACAAATTACAGAAATCCCAATCCCAATGAAGCCTGTGGTGACAATAGCTTTCTATTCCAAGCACTGTCCCTTAGGCCGCACCTGAGGCCTGATGTCACCTGATGTTACTCAAAGGGATGTGACTGTTTGGCAAAGTGTCTGGTTTCACACAACCCGTTCTGGTTAATGGGGAATGACCTGTAGTTTACTTTTTAAAAAAAACTTCTATATGATTCCAATGTATAGGCATGAACAAAAGCCAGCAATGTATAAGTTTCATCGATTTGAGATAGTAAGATGATCTCAGTCCAAAGTCTGAACCATTTCATCTAACTGATGTACTTGAATCTCCCTTCCTTTTAAAGTCAAGAAAGTATTTTCTTACTGGCACCTTTCCCGTCTCCTCCAAACTTTCCCTTGCTCACTCGGGTCACACTGAGCAAACTTCTCTGAGCTATGGAATTGTGTTCTGGTTAGCATGATGATGGTTTTGTATTTGCATCTGAACTTGAGTTTTCCTGAAGCTAAGCGAACAGACTACCCAGCACAGTAGGTTATCGCTGAATAGATGAAGGTGGCATCCATGGGTCTTCCATGCATAAATCTTTAAATACTACAATTGCACTCGCCTGCCTTCTGGAAATTTTGCTCAGGCCAAGCACCCCCACTTCTTAGCTAGAGCTGGGTCAGAATAGCACCTGCCTTAGAAGATGAACTACAATAAGCATCCCCCTTATGGTGCAAGTTACATAACACCTGACATGTTCCTTACCTTTGAGCTGCATGGTGTACAGGAGGGATAACCTCTTCCCACCAGACAGCCGTAGTTCACAGAGCTAGACAGATGTCTTAAATAGAAGACCTTGAGTCAGGGACTCAGCACCATGTTGGAATGAAGAATGTCTCGACATAAATCTATAGGTCCAAATCTTAGGTCGCAGGCCTGAGACTGTCTCAGTTAAATGTTGCTCAAATCCTTCGTATGTGTGATAAGTACTCTTGTTACTTTAAATCCCAGTGACTATCTGAATTCATAATTTACAGCGGGATAAATATGAGTGGTTAAGCAAAATAAATGCATGGGAGTGGATATTCAGTGTTTCTTATCTTGTCCCATCTTTCGCATGAGTGACTGTGGCACAGTCATTACATCAAATTAAGTCTTATCTAAAGCCCACTCCTTCTCTCCCATCTGCTCTCTTGATTCACAGTACATTATCTACAGTGGGGTACTTATTAAAACTGGTAGTTTCGGGGGCCCACACAGTAACTACTGACTCAGAATCTTGGGGAAAGGTAGAGCCCAGAATTTGGGCTTCTTAATGATTGGAATATACATGTCCAGGGCCCACATCCTAAAAAGAACTGGCATCCAAGTTAAGTCTCCAACCTTTAGTACTGGATTTCAAGTTGCATCTACTATGTAGATACCCAGGGTTCACATATGTGCTTATCTTCCTGTGTGATACCCACAATTCTACCTGTAGCCATCACCCAGACCCCAAATCACCAGCAGGGTTCATCACACCTTTGAGCCTTTGTTACATGAAGGGATTCCTAGGTCAATCCAGTAGCCATTTCTTGCTACATACAGATGTGTTTATGCAAACCTCATGGAAGTCTTCTTTACCTTTGCCTGTTAAATCTGCCCCCATCCTTTAGGAACTAGTTAAAACATGACACTAACACTGGACCATCCATGGCAGAGTCAGGATTGCATTCCCCATGACCCTGGTACTGCATTGCAGCACTCCTTATGTTTTTGTAGACAGGGACACCCTGGAGGGCAGAAGTGGTCCTACCTACCATGACTTTGTGAATGGATGATGACTTACCCCCACCTTCTGCAGCACATGGTGATGGCATCTGCCTGTCTGCCCTCTGTGACACCCTCTGATCCCACCTGATGAGCACTCACTGACCTAAGGCATTCAGATCTTAAGTTGGACTGTGAGCTCTTCCCAGAAGAATCTTTGAGGTCTTTTCTCATAGCATGCCTTATTTTTGAATCCCTGGTAAACAAGCCATGGGGCGGGGTGATAGTTCAGTGGTTAAGAGCATGCACTGCTCTCGAAGAAGACCTGAGTTTGGTTCTCATTACAGCTGCCTATAGCTCCAGCTCCGGGAAATCCAGTGCAGTTTTCTAGTTACCAAGAGCACCTGCGTTCACGTGTACATACCCTGACATACACATATACACACAATTAAAAACAAATTTTTATAAGACAAAAAAAGAAACTCAAAAATTATTATCTTATTTGTTTTGTGTTAGCCATCTGCTCCTGGGCATGGAGCCCAGTGAGACTGTTGAACTGATTTTTGCTTCACAAACAGTTATCACTTGGAGATAGCTTCTGGGTTAGGGATGATGGAAGCTTGTGTCCTCTCTCAGCACTGAGATGTACCTGGCTTCAACCTGTGCAACCTGCGCAGGCTGCCACAGTGATTGTGAGTTCACATGTGCAATAGTCCTGTTGTGTCTACAAGGCCTTGTTTCCTTGGTATCTTCCATCACCTTTGGTTCTTACAGAGTCTCTGACTCCTCTTCCACAGGGTTTCCTGAGCCCTGAGGGGAGGGACTTGATGGAGTCATCCCGTATAGAGCTGAGTGTTCCGAGGTCTCTCACTCTGCACACTGTCCAGTTGTGGGTCTCTGTGTTTGCTCCCATCTACCGCAAGAGGACGCCTCTCTGTGTGGCTGAGCAACACATTGATCATTGAATATAGCATTGTCTGGTTTCTCTTTCTTTCTTTCTTTCTTTCTTTCTTTCTTTCTTTCTTTCTTTCTTTCTTCTTTCCATTCATCCTTTCTTCCTTCTTTCTTCTTTCCATTCATTCTTCCTTCCTTCCTTCTTTCTTTCTTTCCTTCTTTCTTTCTTTTTAACCTTATAGGTCTTTCTTTCATCTACATATTATGTCTCTCTGTGTTAGAATGTGTGTTAGAATCTGTCTCTCTGAATCTATATGTGTTTCTTCTGGTTTTTTTGAGGGGAATTTTTTTCAGTTTTTTGTCTATTCAAGTTTTTTGTTTTTATTTTTCTTATTCTTTCTTTTCTTTCTTTTTTCAGATACTTATTTGTTTTCTAATGAGAGAGAGATAAAGAAAGAGTGTGAATTTGGGTGGGTGGGAAGGACACAAGAGGGGCTGAGAGAGGGGCAAGAGTAATCAGAATACATTGTATGGAAAATCTATTTTCAATAAAACAAATATTTAAAAGCAAAAATAAAACCCATCACCACTATAGCTCATAGTTTTGCTTAACAGATATTCTATGCACAGATTTGTTTGTATCCTCAGATATTCTATGCACAGATTTGTTTGTATCCTCAGATATTCTATGCACAGATTTGTTTGTATCCTCAGATATTCTATGCACAGATTTGTTGGTACCCTCAGTGTGTGGAGTGTGGGAGGGGAAACAGCATGCCTGAATCTTGCCCACGTCTGTACCCTGTCAGCATCACCCATACTATTCAGCTGCTGACGGTGTATGAGGACACTTCTCCACAGCTAGTGTCTGGGGTGACCCTCCTCTGTCATATTCCTTCACAGTCATTGTTTCTACTGAGATCACAGATGGCCAAGGCTCCAAGGTGCAGCCGTGCACTGTGGAGGTGACTGTGCTGCCCCGTTACCATGGAAATGACTGCCCTGACAAGGACCTGTAAGTAGTAGGGGGCGACAAAGACATCCTAATAACGAGATCATATTCCCTGGAGAGATGACAAAGAACTACTAAAAGAACAGACATTGTTCCTCTCTTGCTGGGCAAAAGCGAGGGCTACCTGGGACCTGTCTGTTTAATACCACTTATGTGGCACTGTGTCCATGAGACTCTTTTCTCTTTAAAACTTGTTTTTAAGATTTGTTTCATTTATACATCTTTGGGAGGGCAGTGGGGGTGTCTGAGAGCCCCAAAGAAGACATTGAACCCCTGAAGTTGGAGTAGAGTCCTATATGAGCCACCTATATAGGTTCTGGAAACTGAATTTGGGTCTTCTGGAAGAGCAGCAAGTGGTCTTAACCACTGAGTCATCTATCCATTAAACAGTTTAATTGATGTATCATTCATACATTACATAGCTTATCTATTGAAATTCCTCACATTTACAGAGCACTATGGCCTTTAGCATGGTCTAGTTTGGGGAGATTTGGTTATCATAACATCTTTGTACTAAACAGTAGTTACTCCTACCTCCCAATTCCCCAAACCAAAACCTTTGTGTCTAAAGATTTGTAAATTTTAGAAATTTGATGTCGACAGGATGATGAAAAATATACTCTTGAGTGTTCCTCTTCATTTCACATATGAATATTGCTGAGTTTCATCCATTATAAGGCAGATATCAGTACCTCACTTTTTAATTACTCAATAATATTTATTGCATTGCCTCAATTTGTTTACTCATTAAACACGTGTCATTGCATTTTTTGTTTTGGGTTTTTTTGCTTTGTTTTGTTTGTTTTGTTTTTGTTTTTGTTTGTTTGTTTGTGTTTTGTCTGTAAGTCAGGTTACTCTGAAGATCCCTCTGCAAGCTTTGGTGTAGGTGAGCACTTTCATTTGTCGTGGGTCGAATCCCTGGGTCACATGATACTTCTTGCTTAGCATTTCTGCAGAGGGCCTGCACCATCTCTTATTCCCACCAGGACCTGACTGAGGCAAGTCCCTTTCCTCTGTGCTGACTGTGCTGGGCTTAGTTTTTTTGTCCCCTCGACGCCAACCGAAGTCATCTGGGAAGACGAAACCTTGAGAGAATGTCTCCTTCAAATTGACCTGTAGATAAGCCTGTGGGACATTCTCATGCTTAATGATTAATGTGCAAAGGCCCAGCCTACTGTGGGTGGGGCTCCATGCCTACCCTGGGCAGGTGGTCTTGGGTTATGTAAGAAAGCACACTGAGTAAGCCATGGGGAATAAGCCAGTGAGCGGCAGGGTTCTTCCTCAGCTCTGCTTCAGTTCCTGCCTCCAGATTCCTGCCTTGAGTCCCTGCCCGGAAATCCCTCCATAATGGACTGTGACATGGAAGTTGTCAGATGAAATAAACCATATCCTGCCCCAAGCTGTTTTTGGTTAGTGTTTTATTGCAGCAACAGAAAGCAAACTGGAACAAACCACAAATGCTAAGGTGCATTTCCTAACTCTCATTTCATGCCATGGCACACACATGCAGGTCAGAGGACAGCTTTCTAGAATCTTTCCATCTATATCTAGTTCCTAAGGATCAAACTCAGGTTGTCAGGCATGCATAGAACGTATCTTTACCTGCTGAGCCATCTCTCTGAACCCAAGATTATTTTGTGAATATTTCAAAAATTTATTCTTTGGGGGCTAGAGAGATGGCTCAGCAGTTAAGAGCACTTGTAGCTCCTGCAAAAGCCTGGGGTTTTATCTCCAGCACCTACAGGTTGGCTCACAAGCACCTATAACTCCAGTTATATGTGATCTAACTCCCTCTTCTGACTTCCAAATGCACCAGGCACATACATGGTACACAAACACACACACAGGCAAAATACCAATATGCATAAAATAAATAATCAATAAATTTGCTTATTATTCGATATATTTGTATATAATGTGTTTGGTCACATTCATCTTGAGTCTTATACACCTTGTTGATCTCCTGCTGTTATTCTGTCCATTACTGATAGCATTATTAGCTTTAAAGTCCTGCCTGTGCCTCCAGTGCCATCAGTTTTTTTTCTCTTGTTAGATTCCCTACTTTCATAACTGTTTTGTACAACTCCACAGTGCTAAGTCTTTGGGCAATTGTGAGCACATTATAGTGTGATAATGCATTCTCTGCTTAACAATGCATTGTGAACACTCGTGCGCTAGGGTTTTAAGTTTTTAAATGTTTTTTTAGGATTTCATATAAAAATATCTCTGACCAAACTTCCCCTCCAGTTCTCTCCTACACCCCAATACACCCCCTACTTCATGTCTTTCTTTTCTAATGACCCACCAGGTATAGTTAGTAAGTGCTGCCCATGGGAGTGGGACTGACCAGTGGAGCACGGCAGCCTCTGAGTGGCCACATCCTGAAAAAAGAGTAAGTCTCCCTCCCCAGCAGCTGTCCACTGCCAATAGCTCCTTAGCCAGGGGGAGAGCTGCGATCATCTACCCCGTCTATGCTGGAGATGTGCTTGGCTTGATCTTGTGTAGGTCTTGTCCACATAACCACAGCTGCTGTAAATTTGTGATTGTGACAGTCATGTCATGTCCTGAGGACAGCATTCACAGCACTCCTTCCCATCCTTCAACTCTTCCACCGTGTTTCTCAAGCCTTGAAGATGATGAGATTAACACAGATGAGGGACGAGTACTCCTTCCCTTGTTAGTCCCACTTTGACCAATTATGTATTATAACTTTTACCTTTCTGGTAGGTTGGCCCATTTTATTATTAGAAACTCTTCCTCTGGCTCATTAAAACTTGCTCCCCATTCTTTTATTTTTAGCTCAATATAACTATAAACATTCTAGGTTCCTTAAGGCATCTATCTGAATTGCTGCCTACCTGTTATAGACTCAACCATAGCATTTTATAGACATTATATTATGCAATGGATTAGTTAAGCAACAAAAGAAAAAGTATAATTTGTAACCTTGCTATCCAGCATTTCTACAAACCTATGTTCATTTTCTTCCAATTTTTCTGCTTGTTGTTCATTATCTCTATTGTTTGGTCCCCAGATTCACAAGTGCTTTTCTCTAATTTGCTTTTCAAACTCTGCAGTGAATTTTCATTATTATTAATGTACATATAATTCTAGAAATTCCATTTGATTTTATAGAAAATGTGTATAGCTTTTGTTCATTGCTAATCTATATTTGACCAATCACTATAATACCTTTATTTATTCTTCAGAATTAGCTGTGTTTAGTTCTTTGAACAGATTTATGATTCCTGCTTTGGAGTCCTTGATCACGCCATCATTTGGGTTCTCTCACAGGAAGTTCCTGTTGCCTATTGTTTTTCCTGTATTTGGGAATGACTTTAAAGTTTGTTTGGCAGTCTCATAAGATTTCTTTAAAAATGGAACCTTCTGTTTAATATGTGCTGCCTCTCTGGGTATGGGCCCAGTTTTCTGAGGCTTCCTGGGACTGCTTTTGTTACTTGGCATTTTGTTTGTGTGATTGTTGACTATAGGAGACTCGATCTGTAAAACGTATTTTCCCTAATTGTGCTATTTCTTCTCAGACTCATTTGTGTGTCTTCTCTTACACCCGGCTCCTGCAGTCTTTGGTTAACATGGCACACTGCCTAGTATGTGTGCGTGATTCACTGCTCACCAAGCATTTGTATTTAGTTGGACTTTGTTTTGTCTTGGGAGATTCCGGCTGAGTTTTTCAAGCAAATGATGTCTTTCAGTCACGTGACGAAGACAGCATAGAGCAAGGGCTGGAAAAGGCACCGGCCCCATGCACAGAGCCCTGTCTAAGACTTGAGGTTGCCTTTCTAGCTGCAAATAAGTTTACCATTCCATTCATAAACAAGTAAAATGCCCAGTTAATAAAACCTGAGGCCATAAACCTGTGATTTTGTGCATAGCCACAAATATGCATATCTTTCCCCTCTAATTTGGGTCTGCGCACAGGGAGCTCTTAATGGTTAGGCTGCCTACAATACTTGAAGCAGCTCTAGCCACTGTGTCTTTAGCTCTGGGCCACGCCCCTTCATTTGTCATGATGCTTGTATACTGTGTGACATCCTGTGCTTTCCAGGTCTAGTTAAAGGTGATGTGCTATTAGGATTTGGGCAACGTGTCTAATTGTGTTTTGGGTTTCCCCTATACAGACCACCTCTCCTTCATGTCATTTTCTTTTGGTTCAGACACACCTAAGAACAAACTCCACACACACACACCCCTTGGCAGAGTAAAGTTTTACAATATCGTCAAAGCATCACGCATAGTTCTGTGTTTCCTTCAGATACGACTCCGCCCTGGAAACCCTGTCTTCTCTCCAGCTGGTGGGGAGTTACACGGAAGTCAGGAACTACATCGCCATGGCCACTGCCATCCTGAGCCGCTTGCATGCGGAGAGCAGAAACACATCTACGTGTGGCCTTTGGTCACAGATACAGGATGTATTGGTTTCTTCAGCATGCAAAGTACCTTTTACAGACCAGGTATGTCCCTGAGGAGGCAGGGCAGTGTCTATAAACCTGGACAGCAGCAGTCTTCTGAAAGCTGGCTTCTCAGCAAGGACTCCTGCTCCCACAGTCCAGGCAGGAAAGGGGACCAGGTGTGCAGGTTGCTAGGGTCCTGTGAATGCTTCTGCTTTATAATGGAAAAAGTGACACAAGTTGACTACCATCTGGATAATTCGCTTAATGTTTCTATGAATAAAAATCATGCATAAATTCGATTTTTTTCTGTTGACAACCGTAAGCCAAGGGATAAAGTCAAAATTGTATGTCATTTATTTTGTAAGTGTCAATGTTTTTAAGTTTTTAAAGATTTACATATTTCATGTGTATGGCTATTTTGCCTATGAGTATATCTGTGTACCTGGTACTCCTGGAGGCCAGAAGCAAGCATTGGATCCCCTGGAGCTGGAGTCTCACATGGCTGTGAGCCACCATGTGGATGCTGGGAATTGAGCTTTGGTCCTCTGGAAAAGCAGCCAGTACACTTAACCATGGAACTATCTTTCTGGCCTCAAGTACAGTTTCTTAGTAAATGGCTATGCCTCAAAGATGCCCTTACAGCATTTCTGCTTTATGACGGTGGCTAGAGAATATTTCAGTGGAACTACAAGATATTCACTCCACTAGACCTAATCATTTTCCTTCCTCTGACACTTTTTCTTGCCCTTCCTCAAAGTCCCATTTAGTCCTGTCCTTTATTTCATCTTCCTCTGTGTCAGTTTCCTACTTGGGTCTAGTGGGGGACACATGAGAGTCATGCTGGACTGGAAGGAAACTTTGAGATGAAGGTCACGACCTTGTTACAAAAGGGCTGCCCTCTAGGAAGCCTCTTCATAGAAAAACACACTATGTGCTCCATTTGTCCCTAAGCAAGCTGCATTTGAAATAACAATAATCTCTCTCTCTCCTCCCCCCCTCTCTCCCTCCCTCCCTCCCTCCCTTCCGCATTTGTTGGTTTGTTTCTGCTGTTTAGGAAGCAATGATGGATTCTATTCATATATTGAGAGACCTCATAAACTTCCCTAATAAGGTAAGGGTGAGTTTTTCTTGGTGTTAATTCTCCTGGATTTTGCATAATTATAAAGGCCACGATCAAGACTTGATAAATACATGATTCAGAATTTTATTTTGACATTCAGATTAGAGACGGCACTTTCTCCTAAATGTTCCTCTGAACAGCATTATCTACCTCAAGCCATGCCTGGAGACCTTTTCCTCATGCAGAAATAGAAGCAGAAAGGGGTATCAACAAGTGCCCTCCCGGGTATAAACCACTTTGGTGGGTGAATTGTTCTTTATTGCTAACTTGTAGTGTTGGAATTCCCCATGGCTGGCCTATTTGTTTTCTCAAATCTTTAACATTCCCCAGAGTCATTCAATAGGTGTCTTCACTATGCTGTTCTTTGAGAGATGACTAAAGAACTCACGAGAGTTACTCGTTGCCACCAGTCAGCAAATCTTACTGCAGTTTAAACATCTGTCCTCTTACCCTTTCACTAGAAAATAAAATTCATGGCTCCCAGCAAGCATCCTCCCTCCACCTGTGCTCAGGAACCTACCCACCGCCACTCTGTGCAGCCCCAGTCCAGCCTGTGTGTGTGATTGACATCCCCGAGACTGGGACACGTCCAACCTACGAGGCTGTGCTGGTAGTTTCATCTCTGTCATGCTGTTCTCCAGGGTTTGTCTCCTTGGGTTGTCTATAACGGACTACTTCTGCTTTTATCCCTCTTCTAGATGATCTTAAGGTGTGTTACGGCTCCCACTTATTTCTTTAAACGTCCATTTAGAGATGCCCACCCTCCTCCAGCAGCTCTCACTTCTGGCACCTCTTTAGAGCAGAGCGTTCAGGTGGTCCCCGGGTGTGCTGTGTCAAAGCCTGCTGTCTGCACGGCAGCTTTCCTTGTTGCAATGGCCGTGCGTATCCTTAGTGCTGAGGCTGGAAGATTCTCCACTCCTGCAATTCTTCTAGACAGGGCTCCTCAGTCTCTTTTTCCCTCCACAGGACATGCCATAGAGAGTGGGGGGGGGTCTCTCATTTCATGGCCTCACGACTCAGTTTTTGTTTGCCATCCCTGGCTCTCCAGTTGTCTCCTCCCTGTCATGCTGACACGGTCAGCGTTACAGCAGGGAGACCCTTGAACTTCTCCAACATTCTCTCCTGGAGACCTCTTCTAGTATGTTAGTCTGAAATCGATGTGATTATATCAGACTGTGCATTTCACATCCTCAGCCCGGCCTTCTCTCGCGTGCTGTAAAGCTGCCTCACATTTCCAAGTTGGGAGCCTCTCCATTTTCTTCCTGCTTCCTTTGGCTCAAGACGGGACAGCACTGTTACCCAGAATGGAGACAAAACACCCAAGGCCACCTGAGCATCCTTTGATGTCTGCATCCATCCAGTACGACTGAACGAGTCAGTTCTCCTTTTAGAAAGATGTAACTGGAACCTCCCTCTCTTCATCTCTACTGCTCCCCACTCACCTACAAGACTTTCGTCCAGGCTGGTGTCTGTCTCACTGCTCCCTGTTTCCTTCATGTCACCTTGATAACATTTGCCACAAGCAGCAGTCAGAGCATTCTTGTGGAAAAGTCTAAATCGGTTAGTACTTCCTCTCTCTTAATACCCCAGCACCTGTGTGAGAAACTAAGTTCAGTAGCTCATACCTATGATCCCAGAACTAGGGAAGTAGAGATCAGGAGAGGCCTGGACTGGCCACTCAGTCTAGCCAATTGGTGAGCTCCCGGTTCAGTGAGAGACCTTATCTCCAAAAAAAGGAAAAAAAAAAAAACGAGAAGAAAGTGATTGAGAAGGACACCTGTCATTGACCTCAGGGGCTCCATATGCAGGTGGGGGGCACGCCTTTACTCTCAGCACTCAGAGGCAGAGGCAGGCGGATCTCTGTGAGTTCAAGGCCAGCCTGGTCTACAGAGCGAGTTCCAGGACACCCATGGCTCTGTTACAAAGAGAAACCCTTTCTCAAAAAAACAAAACAAAAACTATGCTAATAGCATTGTCATTAGGAGAGGGTCACAGGCAACAGGTCAGTCATCCCCAATATAAGTTAGGAGCTGTTGGATGACTAAACCAGGAAGGCAGAACTGTGACTCCTGACTGTATCGTAGTGAGCACATTTTCAGAGTGAGTCCTTCTCTGTCAGTTTACAGAGTACTCAGAGATAAAAATAATAACGAGTGAGATTTTTCCAAGCAAACACTGCCTGGAGGAGGGAGGGGCTCGTGAGTATGCATCCTAGCTGAGCCCTGTGGATAGCTGATGGCTACTGGGGAAGGGAAAGTCAGTTTTCTTCAAAGGTGTGGCCCCTGGTAGATGGATCACACTGTGGCGGATGATCCCACGCCCATTAATACATGGGCAACATAAAATGGAATGGGCTGATGAATTAGGTGAAGGGGCGGGAGGGGGATGGGATCAAAACACAAAGTATCCATATAAAATTCAAAGAATTAATAAATGTATGCTCACTTCTTGAATGCTGCTGGAGAAGGATAACTGTCTAAGGTGGGCAGCAGGTGTGCTGGGACACAGCCCACACTCTCTGCCTTGACAAACATTCGGAAACGTTGTATGGAGAAGGTTTATGAAGAGGGAAGCTGAGAAGGAGGGGTTTGTTAGGCAAACAGAGGGCGAAGGCATTACAGGTGGAGGAATATGCATGACACTGGGGGAAAACCTTGGTTATTGGGGATGAAGTTCGATGCACCTTGAGCACAGACCACACATGGGTGATGGAGAGAATGGAGGATGACATGGGACGATGTTGGGGCCAATATGTGGAAGGATTTATGACATACTTTTTTTAAAAAAATGCCTACCGTGTTAAAGCATGAAGGGCTATAAAAGACCTTGTGCTTTTCCTTGGTCATTGTACGAATGGAGAAGCTGAGCATCCTAGAACAAATTCTAGCTGGGAACGGCGTCCACTCATCACCTAACACCAAACATGAGCTGGATTCTGCTGCCTTGATCCTGTGTTGAGCTGTTCTGATCCCTAGTAACAAGGAAAGAAGCAAGAGTCTATACATCACATGCCAGGGAGCATCTGACCGCATCCCCTCTCCCCATGCAGCTGAGCCTGATGAGTGCCATGCACATCCTCAAATACGCCCAGATGTTCCTCACTCAAGGTCAGTTCTCCAGGAAGTTGCTGGTCAACAAAAAACTGGGAGTTGAACTTATCCTTCTCATCTCTGGAGTCTGGGAAGCTGCCAAAGAAGACACGACAAATGAGGACTATCTGCAAGAAGAAGGCATGATGATCATCTCCGACATGTTACTAGTAAGCTGCTCTATCCTCCTGCAGAAATACGCAGACCCTTGGTTCCATCCCCAGCAGATACACAGACATACACACGCACACACACACACACACACACACACACACACACACACACACACACACTCATGCACCAAACCAACAGACAAAGCAAACAGCTGCTCCCTTATCACATGCTAGCCAGTATTCATATCCCTTTTCCCACTGAATAGAAGAGCTCAGCTGTGGTTCTGGGCGGTAGCTCAGCGTTTGGAAACGTTCACCTGGAATGTTAAGTGTTCTGTGGCAGTAGTGTTCTGTGTCCAGTGGAAGTCACACAAAAGATTGCTTGCATACATTAATTTCGAAAGTGGCCCTGCTGGTCTATGACTGTTAAAAAACACAGATGTCTCTTTGATCTATTTCTGCTGCAGTAGTTTTTGAGAAGCTGTTTCAGATATTTTATTTTAACCTTGTGCAATGGCCAACGTTCTGAGGAAGCAGTCAGTTAGTATTAGATGTTTTTCTCTACTTAACTAATAGCTATCAAAATACTTTGGAAATTATAGAGCAAATGGTAGTAGTATATTTCAATCTGGCAGTTTCTCGTTATTGTTCACACGAGCATGTGAAAATGTCTTCCATCTGAACCTGTACCAAGCAAGGCTCAGGTTTGTGCACACACAAACCAACCTAAAGGTTTGAAAAGCAATCATACTATCAGAACTCGCATGAGCTAGGAAGCACCGAGAGCATCGCAGTTTTTAAATGCAGAGACCGGGAAAAGCCATCTGTGCCTCTTGGGGTTTGCATGCGTTTTCTCGCTCACCTGAGGAGCGCCCTCGTCTCCCTCCCGGGTCTGCAGGCCTGCCTCTCCTTGAACCACCAGCGCCAGCTTCACATAAGCACTGGGCAGGCGGAGTTCTGGACCCTTCTCCATCACAGCTCCCAGAGTTCTGTCCAGAACCTGGGCTTCATCGGGGTCCGTTTCCCTCGCGACATGGCCTTGCACGGTCCTGCTCAAGAGGAGTCCCACAGTCCATGCTACGTCAGCCAGCTCATGGTCTTTAGGAGCAGCCCGTATCCAGTCGGACAAGCTCCTGGACAGGTACAGCGCATGGCCCCTGCCCCTTCCAGTGGCGGTTTCAAATTTCCAGTGACTCAACTTCCATAAAAACAAAATGAGAGTCGGTTGGCACTCTTCCGCGTTGTCCTTGTTTCCCAAGAGAAAGCACTCTGAAGTGGTCACAGGTCACTCTTGCTCTGTCCGTGGTGGCCTGTAGAAGGCTGGTGACAGAAGGTGGGAAATGTGTTTTCCACAGACAAGGCCAGACGGAGAAACAGAAGAGTTATTAGGCCACACCACAGAAGGCACTGTGGGCAAGTCCTAGGGGAGGGGGGGAATGATTAGCCTTACTCCTGCTGAACTGTTTATATGGGGTCCATTTCAGGGTAGATGGGCAGGCTTCTCGTGGTCTTGTTAATTAGTGCAGCTTCCAGCACAAGTTGTTCAAAAGACACTGGCCATTTGGGCTAAGGTTCCACAGGTCATTAACCTCCAGTTGTTTGCCTAAGATGTCACAGGCGTCTGAAGTCAGGCTCTGGGGGCTCATGGCCTGATTGTTTAATTATCAGGACTTCTGTTTTTGCTCTTGGTCTCTTGTCTTTACAAATTTCTCCAGAAAAATAATCTTAGCAGAACTAGGGCTCATTGGTCTCTGATAGGATTCTCTACAGATTTATCATGTCAGGGAGTACAGGGCTGGAGCATGTGGTGGGGTGGTCAAGCCGGAGGCAGGTTCTATTGTTCCTAAAATCAACAGAGTTCAGTCAGAACAAAACAGAGGCCATGCTGACGAAGAGGGGTGTGCCATCCGTCCAGGTTAGGGGTGTGGAAGTCGGGAAGGATTCCAAGGTCTTTGCGCTTTGCTGTGAGCATCTACATCCAGAACCCACAAGTGCCCTTGGGTCTGTGGGTCATGTGGGTCAGGAAAGGCAGAAAAGCGGTGAGCAGTGTTCATCACGTCCTCTCCCTTCCCGCCCAGCTCAGTGAGACCCCTCCTCTTCTTGCCCCTCCTCCCTTTCCTCCTCTTCATCTTCTTCCATCATCCCCTTCTTCTCTACCTCCTCTTCCTCATCCTCCTCACCCTCCTTCTCCTTCTTCTTTTAAAAAAAATTAGACAGGGTCTCACTCTGTAGCCATTGGAGTCACATAGACCCACCTGTCTCTGCCTCCTGAGTGCTGGGACTAAACACCTGCACCACCACACACATCCCAGATACTTCTTTTTCTAAGAGCTCTTAAAAATGTTTGATTTTAACTTAGAATTATCATCTTGCCAAGGAAAACATACAAGGAGCCATCCACACAAACCCTGCCAATCTATCTCATTAAACTCGTTTTGTTTGATCAGAACTGGAAAGACAGCACGACTCCAATCACTTCCTGCTTTTCTTTGCCTCTCTTTGTCTTGTTTTCTTTGTTTGTTTGTTCATTTGTTCATCGAGACAGGGTCTCTCCAAACAGCCCAGCTATCCTGGAACTCACTGTGTAGACCAGGCTGGCCTTGAACTCACAGAGATCCACCTGCCTCTGCCTCCAGGAAGTCCAGGGATTAAAAGTGTGTGCCACCATGCCTGCCTGCTTTTCTCCTTTGACTCAACTGTTGTTCTCCAAGGTGGGTGCTGTGGTGAGACCTCGGCTCTACAGCTGCAAGAGCAGACAACCTATTCTCAGAGGACGACTGGAGATGCCTGTGACTGTGGAGTTCGGGGAGGAAGACCACTGGGTAAAGACAGCTGACCCACTGCCTCCGCTTCATTTAGGCTGGGCTGGCTGCTTTCTAGTGCATTGGCTTGCCCTAAGACAAACTGCCTGACTTGCTCTCTTTCCGATGGACAGCACAAGAGAAATCCCACCATGTTCACACTGATTCGGGATGGAGTGAACCTCCACCGCTTCGTTGGGCTTTCTGAAAAACCCCAGGAAACATTACAGATACGCATCGAATTCTCTAAGCCAGTTACAAGAGCCTTCCCCATCATGCTGTTGGTAAGGTGTGTGGAGGTGACAGCTACAGGGGTGGAAATGAGGTTATAACATGATGGAATGTCCCTAAGGAGGTTTGTGAACAAACGAGTGGACTAACTTTAAAGCCACAATGAGGGTCATTGTCTAAAGAAATTACATATATGCCTACATGGGCTAAGGATGTATATGTGTTTAGAAAATGATTCCCCATACTTTTTAAATGTTAGATCCCTGCCTGTTAACTGGAATGAGAAGCACCCTTGTTTCAGTCATACATAGCATGACACCATTTGGAAGTCTGACAACACCACAATACAGGCCTGGACCAGATCGTTCCATTGTCCCCTCCATCACTCACTTCTTTTCTCTCTTTTTTCCCCAGGAGAAAATGCATTACACTTTATATTTCCCTGGAGACTTGATAAGTTAATTCTCTTTCTCGGCGATGTTGAGTTTGTGCGATTAGTTTGGTCTGTGCTAGTGGCTAGACTATGTGGCAAGGCTCCCGGAGATTCTTTGGACTCTCAGGTTGAAAACACTGCTAAAACCCACTGTAGTGACTGAGTGGCAGGTGGGGAGGGGCAGTGTCTTCTGGGAAAACAGCTCGGGGTCTTTCAGTCCTGGGGGTCTCCATGTGTGGGCAGAAGTTAGATGTTCCTCTGCAGCTGTTTAAGCATGGGAGTCCCGCCTCTGGCTGGGGGACTCAGGAGCACGGGTCAGGGTTATGTCTCTGCTGGGCAGACAGGCTCCACACCCAGCTGAGTCTCAGTTCTCTGGCTTGACTCCATCTGCCAACGGCGCTGAGCCACCGGATGGCTAGAGGCTTCTATTTGCTTAAAGAATCTGGCTTTGTTTCCTATTTACACATTCAAAGTCACATACAAAAGGGAGGTGCTTGGGATTTTCTTTCCATGAACAGTTTGAGCCTCTGTTCTGTACCTGCCACTTCCCCAGTTCCTGACAGTACGATGTTCTCATCCCACAAATAGAGCTGGTTATTAGTCTTACTTTTTCATGAAGTAGGTTTTGGCTTGTTCTTTACAGATAAAAGGGATAAAGTGTGATTTGTGGGGGGGGGCGGTCGGTGATGGAGTCAAGGGGTTAAGCGTACCAGGGGATGAAGCACATTGGTTCTTTTCAGCCTGACTGTCTCCAGCTAGCCCTTCTAGAGAAAAGGGCGGTTGTCACAAAGTGCATGAGTAAAGCCTACACAGACAAGAAAAGCTGCTTCTCACTGCTTCTTGTCTGCCCCTAGGTTCTCCAAGAAAGCCACGCCTTCTGATTTTCTTGTGAAGCAGGTGTACTTCTGGGATGAGCAGACTGTACAAATTTATGTTCCTGCTGTTCCATTGAAAGGTGAGTGTGCACTAAGCCTTGGAAGTCTCCGTTCTCTTTATGTGCTGAGGTCTTGCTGTGGCCCTATGTGTGCATGGCAGTGTTTTTTTTCTTTTTGTGTCAACATCCAAGTCTGTACCACCACACATAGCTTAAAACATTTTCAGAGTAAAATTTATCAGCTTTGTTTTAATTAAAATTATATCCCCTTCTTTTTCCTCCCTTCAATCTACCCCATGATCATCCTTGCTCTCTCTTCAAACCATGACTATGCTACACACACATACATGCATGCACACATATACACACAACCGCATAAATATATAAATACAATGTGCTCAGCCCATTGGCTATAAATGGATATAGATCTATATTATATCAAATATGTATCTCAAAATTTTTTAGTATTTCAAGGCTGACTGCTTGGTATTAGATAACTGGGTACGGCCGGTTCTCTTACTCTTGTCATTCATTAGTTGCCTGTAGCTCTTTGTCTAAGTGTGAGGCCAGTGAGATTGTCCCCCTTCCGTATTGCAGGCTCTATTGGTGTCATACTTCTTCTGGTCTAGTTTATATAGTCATGTTGTTGAAGCGTCATGGGTGAAGCTTCCCTAACGTTTCTAAGAGGCACACACTCACAGGAGATTTCCTAGTCACCTGGCTCTTACAGTCTTTCCATCAATTCCTCTGCAATGTTCCTTGAGCCTTAGTTATAGATGCTTTGACTGGGATTGGACATCCTACCATCACTGCGTTTTGACCAGTTGTAGGTTTCTATAGTTGCCTGTATGTGTTGCAAAGTGAGGTCTCTTTAATGAGAAGGACTCTTAGATTTGGGGCCACTGTTACAAATCAATTCCTAATATCTGAGTTTTGTTTTTTTAATATTTTATTTTTAAATTTAAATTTAAATTAGAAACAAGGTTGCTTCACATGTCAATTCCAAGTCCCTCTCCCTTTCCCTCCTCTCCTCCCGTGCCCTCCCACCAATCCCCCCAATATCCCCTCATTTCCCCAGGGAGGGTGAGGCCCCCCATGGGGGTGTCCATAGTCTGTCATTTCATCCAGGGCAGGGCTTAGACCCTCCCCCAAGTGTCCAGGGTGAGAGTGTATCTCTCATTGTTGGATAGGAGCCCAAAGTCCATTTGTATACCCGGGATAAATACTACCCAAGGCTCAATAGATTACCTAGGTCTCCTCACTGACACCCACATTCAGGGGGTGTTGATCAGTCCCATGCTGGATTCCCAGCCATCAGTCTGGGATTCAAGAGCTAACCCTTGTCAGGTCAGCTGTTTCTGGGGGTTAACCCAGCCCAGTCTTAACCCCTTTGTTCATCAGTCCTCCCTCTCTGTTACTGGATTTCTTGAGTTCAGCTCAGTGTTTAGCCATGGGAGTCTGCCTCTGATTCCATCAGCCACTGAATGAAGGTTCTGTTTCTCAGACTGTCTGGCCATGGGATTGTAGGGTGGCACTCCCCAGACCTATGTCTAAAAATCCATATATGAGAGAGTACATACCATGTTTCTCTTTTTGTGACTGGGTTACCTCACTCAGGATGGTTTCTTCTAGTGCCATCCATTTGCCTGCAAATTTCAGGATTCCATTGGTTTTTTTTTCTGCTGATTAGTACTCCATTATGTAAATGTACCACATTTTCTCTATCCACTCTTTGGTTGAGGGGCATCTAGGTTGCTTCCAAGTTCTGGCTATTACAAATAATGCTACTATGAACATAGTGGAACAGACATCCTTGTTGTATGAATGGGCATCTTTTGGATACATGCCTAAGAGTGGAGTTGCTGGGTCTTGTGATAGGTTTATTCCCATTTTTCTGAGGAATCTCCATACTGATTTCTAAAGTGGCCGAACAAGTTGGCACTCCCACTAGCAGTGGAGGAGTGTTCCCTTTCACCACAACCTCTCCAGCTTAAATTGTCGTTGGTGTTTTTTATTTTAGCCATTCTGACAGGAGTAAGATGGATCTCAGAGTTGTTTTGATTTGCATTACCATAATGGCTAAGGATGTTGAGCACTTTCTCAAGTGCCTCTCAGCCATTTTAGACTCCTCTATTGAGAATTCTCTATTTAGTTCTGCAGCCCACTTTTTAATTGGATCCTTTGTGTTTTTGAGACTTGCTTCTTGAGTTCTTTGTAAATTTTGGAGATCAGCCCTCTTTCAGATGTGGGGTTAGTGAATATCTTTTCCCATTCTGTGGGCTGCCTTTTCGTCTTGCTGACTGTGTCCTTTGCCTTACAGAAGCTTCTCAGTTTCAGGAGGTCCCATTTATTAATTGTTGACCTCACTGTCTGTGCTGCTGGTGTTATGTTCAGGAAGCTGTCTCCTGTACCAATTCATTCAAAGTACCCACTTTCTCTTCTAAGAGGTTCAGTGTGGCTGGATTTATGTTGAGGTCTTTGATCCATTTGGACTTAAGTTTTGTACATGGCGATAAACATGGATCGATCCACATTCTTCTACATGCCAGCCTCCAGTTATGCCAGCACCATTTGTTGAAGATGCTTTCTTTATTCCATTGTATATTTTTAGCTTCTTTGTCAAAGATCAGATGTTCATACATGTGTGGGTTAATATCAGGGTTTTCAATTCGATTCCATTGGTTTACCTGTCTATTTTTGTGCCAATACCAAACTGTTTTCAGGATTACAGTTCTATAATAGAGCTTGAGGTCGGGGTGGTGTTGCCTCCAGATGTTGCTTTGTTGAGTAAGGTTATTTTGGCTATCCTGGGTCTTTAGTTTTTCCATACAAAATTGATTATTGTTCTTTCAAGGTCTGTGAAGAATTGTGCTGGGATTTTAATGGGGATTGCATTGAATCTGTAGATTGCTTTTGGCAGGATTGCTATTTTTACTACATTGATCCTACCTATCCAAGAGCATGGGAGATCTTTCCATTTTCTGGGAGCTTCTTTAATTTCTTTCTTTAAAGGCTCAAAGTTCTTGTGATACAGGTCTTTCACTTGTTTGGCTAGCGTTACCCTAAGGTATTTTATGTAGTTTGTGGCAATTGTAAAGGGTGATGTTTCTCTGATTTCTTTCTCAGTCTTTTTATCATCTGTATATAGTAGGGCTACTGGTTTTCTTGAGTTGATCCTGTATCCTGCCACTTTGCTGAAGGTGTTAATCAGTTCCCTGGTAGAGTTCTTCGGGTCATTGATGTAAACTATCATATCATCTGCAAAAAGTGAAAGTTTGACCTTTTCCTTTCCAATTTTTGTTCCCTTGATCTCCTTTTGTTGTCATATGGCTCTGGCTAGAACTTCAAGTACAATATTGAAAAGGTATGGAGAGAGTGGACAGCCTTGTCTTGTTCCTGATTTTAGAGGAATTGTGTTGAGTTTCTGTCCTTTTAGTTTGATGTTGGCTGTTGGTTTGCTATATATAGCTCTTATTATGTTTAGGTATGTTCCTGTTGTCCCAGATCTCTCCAAGACCTTTATCATGAAGGGGTGTTGGATTTTGTCAAAGGCCTTTTCTGAATCTAGTGAGATGATCATGTGATTTTTGTTTTTCAGCTTGTTTATAGGTGGATTACATTGATGGATTTTCCTAATATCTGAGTTTTAAGAGAAATCATTGATGTGTCTTTTAGCACTGGTACAATATCAGTGTTTTAACATTTTAGATCTCTGACCAATTATTTATTATTGCATAGAATATGAAGAGTGGTCCGATTTTATTCATTCATCCATTCATTTGTGGGGATCACAGACCCTGGCCGGAAACCCACCCCTCCATCAGCCTGGGAGCAGGCAGCAGCGAGATAATGTTTACTGAAAACAATCCAGTGCTATAAAGCTCTTGTTAGGGCTCTGATAAGGGCTAGCTCACTGAAACACCATGACTTTGATCCCCCCTAAGGCTAGATGCTTCTTCCTGCTCCCTGTGGTTTCTCCCCATTCTGGGGCCAGAGATTAAACCACCAGCCAGGAGGGTGAGAAGTCTGGGAGAGCTGTGAGAGGTGTATGAGAGCTCGGTTGGAGAATTGTGTGTGGATGGATGGCAGAAGTCTTTAAAAAGGGAAGCGTTTTTTCTTGGGGAGTTCTCCCAAGCCGACTTGGGGGAGCATAAAGTTTTCTTAAAGCAACCGACTGGTCTCTGTGTCATCTATCCCGACCACCTCACTACTTTCTCGGATGCAGGCTGCTCAGCAGGTGCGGCATTCATTCATTTATTGTGTGTGAGAGAGTGTATGGTACAAATGTATAATGTGTGTGGTCTATGCCCATATGTGTGGGCAGGTGTGCAGATCTGTGTGTGCGCAAAACCAGAGAAAGACGTCGGGTGTCCTGCTTTATCGCTCTCCATCTTAGTCCCTTGAGACAGGGTTTCTCCATGAGACTAGACTGGTGTCCAGTAAGCCCCAGACAGCATCTGGTCCCCAACCCCACAGCACTAGATTGCAAGGAAATGTGTACCTCCATCAAACATTTTATGCAGAGATTTGAACTCACGTCCTTGTGCTTGCACTCTTACCCACTTGCCATCTCCCTGTCAATTCCATAGTTTTACAAGCAACTAATATCTAATTGTCCCCAAAACACTTATTTAGAAACCTCAGGAGAAAACTTTAAATAAATGAAAGTTAAATACTTTTAAACATCAACCTTATCTGGAGGTGATTAGCTAAAGCCACCTGGTCAGTGTATCGTCCACAGAAGCATAGCGTTTGACAGAGTGGCTGGTGGTCTGAGAAGAACAGAAATGGCTTGAATGGTAGCTAGGCAGGAGCTGAGCTATCTCCATCTGTCGCAGGATGGGGTGATCCCTTTGTTCGGGATGTTAGGAAGGACTTGGAACATGGTAGCACTGGAAACACTGCTTTCCCCCCAGGCACTCTGTCACTCACGATGAAAAGTCTTGATATGCTTAATTCATTGTAAATACCCCAAAGCAGGAAATGCCAGGATCCGATGCCCTTTTCAGCCCTTCTCTCCTTGTCTGTCTGTCCCCAGTGGCCATTCCACTTGCATTAGGGATGGAGCATGCCCCTCTCAAAGCTCATGTTTTACTGATGTGTCTCCCCCCTCTTCTAGGGGCCAACGTGGGGTATTTGTCCCTATTAGATGCTGACTATGACAGAAGACCTCCAAACAAATATCTTGCTGGGGCAGTAAACTATACCGTGAATTTCCAGTGGATCCAGTGTGTGTTTTGGGATAAGACAGGATGGAGATCCGAAGGTCCCCATCCACAGCCAGGAAGTTCTCCTGAAAAAGTCAACTGCAGGTATGAGCATCCTGCTGGGGAAAGCCTGGGAGTTTTAACAACTGGCTCTATTTTCATCCGTGTTTGTGTCAGTGCCTGGGACCTTCTGTGAATGGTGTCGTCTCATGATAGTTGGTCCGTCTTGACTGGTGTTACCCGAACAGAATATGCCTGCTACTCCTGTCTGCATGTCAGTCTGTGGCTCCCAAGGAAAGAAGCTGTTCTGGGCGTCCTGTCGAGCCCCTGTAACGACTGGATGTTGCAGGACATTGTTAGAGCCCACTGAGAAAGGACACAGCAGTTGAGTGACCATGAGTCCATCCGATCCTTACCATAGATGCAGGGCATCCTGTGACTATGTACTTTGTAGTCAGGCAGGCAGAGTCTCCACTGTTACAATCCCTGCCGATTCATCTCTTTGTGAACAGAGGAGCCCCCTGTCCAAGGGCTTGGACTGAAAGTTAGCCTCACGTGGAAAGAGAAGTCTCTGAATGGACACAAGCAGCCTTCCGGACGTTCTGAGATATCAGGGTCATGTCACTAAAGTGACCATTATGTATCATCTAGCATAGATTTAATGCTTTTATGATCAGTTTAGTCCATTCATTTGTGCTGCTCTTACCTTCTCAATAGGGGTAGAAACTCAGTAATTATTAGTACAGAAACAGTCTTTTCCCACAAGAACAGTGAAGCCACAAAGAGTCACATACTGTGTTTGCCCACCAGGAGTCAATCATGTTCAAGCTGAACTGATCTGGTGACGTGTACAGTTGCGTGCCACTTTTCCTGTGTCGAGCAGTGTCTATCATTTCAGTTTTTGACTATTTCTGCATGTATTCAGTGCATTTGGTGGTGTTGGTCCCACACTGCCCGCCCCTATCCACCTCTCAGTCCTGGTTTCTCTCCTGCTTTCACACCATTTGTTTGGTTTTGGTGTGTGTGTGTGTGTGTGAGAGAGAGAGAGAGAGAGAGAGAGAGAGAGAGAGAGAGAGAGAGAGAGAGAGAGAGAGAGAGAGAACTTTCAACTAAAAATGTATGTAATAAATTCTGATTGCTGTTTCTCCTTGCCACCTCCTCCCAGAAGCCTCCCACCTCCCTATCCACCCACCCCACACCTTCTTTCTCTTTAGAAAACAAACATACAAATAAAAAGCAAACAAACACGAGTAAAATAAGTAAATAAAACAGCAAAAAAGCATAAGAAGCACACACAAACCCACAAAATTGAAAACCATAATATACACACAAAAGGTCAATGAAATTTTAAAAAATGCCCAAAGGTAGCAAAATATATAAAAATGCCATTGAGTTCATTTGTTTTATTTCCTGAGTGACTGGAGTCCTGTGTAGAAAGTCCTTACACATGCCTATGTCTTACAGAATGCTCTCTACCTTTCCCTCTATTGGTTTTACAATCTCTGGTTTTACATTTAAGTCTTAGAGTTGATTTTCATGGAGGATGAGAGATTAGTATCTATTTCATTCTTCTACACGTAGGTACTCAATTTTTTTAGTACTATTTGTTGAAGATGCTGTCACTTCTTCATTGTGTACTTTTTTATCTTTGTCAAAAATTGTGGCCGAAGTTGTGTGGACTTATGTCCAGATTCTCTATTTCAACCCATTGGCCTCCGTGTCTGTCTCTGTGCCAATGTCGAGTTGCTTTGCAGTAGCCTTTTATAAAAAATGAGGTGCCATGGGAATTTTTGGTGTTCTTTGCTATTAAATTATACATGAAAGCCATTCTTTGTTCTCTGTTATATACTATTCCTTCTCCAAGAATCAGGGGCACAAAGCAAGCGCATACAGAAACTACCTGCAGGATGACAAGGAGGAGGCAGTTTGTTTTACAAGAATAGTATTTACTGTGGTTGTCATGACAGGTTTAGCAGTGGTAGGACAGTGTGAGGCTAGGACATGTGTTTAAGGTCAGTCCATCGTGAGCCTCTAACCTGAATCTCATGTAGGGCTATGCTGCGTGGGGTCTGCCTATTGGTGGCAGTGTGCCCTGATGCCGGACATCTCGGGACAGTTTCCATAGCAGCTGCCTCCCAGTTCCCAGAGTTGAGGCTCTGCGGTACATCAGAGTCACACATGAAGACATGTCAAACTGGCGCACACCACAGCATCGGAGCGACTGCGCTTCTCATGGTCCCGTCACAGAGAACTGAGCTTACCCACGGTTGTTGCTCTGCCTTCCCCTTGTAGCTACCGTCGCCTCGCGCCTTTCTCTGTCCTGAGAAGAAAGCTGAGCGCCACCTTGGAAGTGAGCAGCATTTCCGGGTTTAGGAGGTAAGTTCCATCCTCCAAAGCAGAGTTTCATTTCATGTGCTCTAGAGATCACTTAAGAGATGCCTGTGTTCCGCTGAGTTTGTACTTAACACTTACGTAGCGTGTTTATCTTCTGGACCAGAGATGTGAGGAATGATTGTCATATATGTTTTATTACTGTTTATACTTTACGTCCACTGACAGGAGCATTACGAACATCAGGAATCCAGTGTCTTCCTTATTTTTAAGCCCAGCTATATTTCAGTGTTGACTGAGTCAGTTATTACTGATTAACAAATATTTACAGCAATTGAAAATGATACTCAATTTTCTTTTCTTGATGTATATGGTATATTATAGCCTGATTTCCATTAACAACCTTGTCTTAGGGTTTCGATTGTTGTGAAGAGACACCGTGATTACGGCAACTCTCATAAAGGAAAAACATTTAACAGGGGCTGGCTTATAGTTTCAAAAGTTTAGTTCATTATTGTCATGTTGGGAGTATGGCGGTGTGCAGGTAGGCTTGACACCAGAAGAGAAACAGAGTTCTACATTTTGATCAGCAGTCAGCAGGCAGAGCTCGAGCTTCTGAGACCTGAAAGTCAACCCCCTAGTGACACACCTCCTCCAACAAAGTCACACCTACTCTAACAAGGTTGCATCTTCTAATAGTGACACTCCCTATGGCCAAGCATTCAAACACATGCGTCTGTGGGGGCCATTCCTAGTCAAACCACCACACGCCTGTATCCTATTTTAAATACCTTCAAAAGTTACTGTGTATTCATAGCCACTGTTTCATATTGAAAAACTTTATTTAGAGTTTGGAATATGAGTACATTGAGGGCAAGCTGCTTTGAATGTTTTTTGCACTTGTATTGGTAGAATATGAAACTACACTTCACTTATGAGTGGTACTTAGTAGGTTAGCTGGTGGGCCTGATAGGTGGCAAGCAATCATTAGTTACTAATGACCAGCGCTGCACCAGGGGAGGTTTCCAGCCAACCAGTTCTCAGGGCCGGGAAAACAGTGCTTCCCATCCCGGTTTTCTGAGACACCAGTGTTAGCTGTGAGTAAGCGAGGAACAGTGGGGCAGTGGAGGTACTGCAGACAGGACACGGCTCCCAGAGTCACCCCCAAGCACTGGTGACATCTGAGTGCTCCCAGGAAGTAACGTCGGAGCAGGAAGGCGGGGCTGGAGCCAGGAAGCTGTGAGCTCATGGAGTGTGGCAGAGAGCAAGCGTGACCTGGTTCTGATTCTGGTCTGGAAGCAGAAAGGAGGACACCAGATCGGGGACCAAGAGCATGAGCCCTCAGATGGAGTCAGAGTAATGAGGCAGGAGACTAGGAAGGGTAGGGTTCCCACACAGCATGGGCCCCTCTGCAGTTTTGTCAAATACTCACACAGCCCAAGTCCAGGTGTGACAGGGTTCAGCTGGAGGGGCTTTACGTGGACGGCCCTCTGAATCTACAGAGGACGGGGCTGGATGATGGCTCGCCCAGGCAGACTTGGTGTGTGAGCACCAGGGACCAGGTGAGTGCAAGCTGCCCGTGGAGAGCAGGCAGCCTCATTCACGGAAACATGGGGAGGTGACAAGGCCCACAGGGACATCTGCGGCTTCTCCTGTCTTGTTCTGCTTCTCCTCTGCAGGAGGACAACAGAGTGTCACATCAGTACTGCAAGGCATGTCCACACAGGGACATTCTTCTTTTCTCTCTCCCGTTCTTTCCCAGACATGCTAATGATTAAACCCCGAGTGTCACATGGGCTAGGCAAGTACCCTACCACTGAGCCATACCTGACATTCTTTTTCAATTTCCCAGTACAAGTTCCTCAGACCTGGCAGGGTGCAGCTTCCTGCCACCCCAGCTGGGTCATCAAAGGCTCCTTGGGGCGTCAGTGTAGGCTGTGGAGTACCTGCCATTGGCCACAGGCAGCCCTGTATTTTCAGAGTTCCCGTCTGCTCAAGCAGTATCAGGTGTTTGGAAAACACGTCCATGAAGACCAATGAAGAGTTTGCGAATCTGTGCAGAGCTGATGCATCTTCCGGAATGCCAGTTCCCACGAGAAAATTCCCTTAATTTCCCTTCCTGTCTTTACAGTCACCCACGCAACTTGCTTCCCGGTATTTTCAGTGTGTTTCTCTTGGTTGTTTATGGATTTTTGATGACTAAAAGCAGATGTGTAGATTGTCACAAGAAGAAGAAACCTGGCTGTATTTTTCTGGAAGAAGATACCCCACCTGGCCACCAGCTGTATGCAGTCATTGTTGACACTGGCTTCCGGTCACCAGCCCAATTTACGTCAAAGGTAATGTGAGCTCTTAACAATGCCTTTAGTGAGGTCTAAGGGTGTCCATGGGCTGAGAGATGCAAGAAGTGACAATGAGATGATTTGGCTGACCTGTCAATCACCTGTGACCACTGTCCCATCTTAATGTCAAGCGTGATGCTTATCTCTCCTTTCCACCGTCCTCCTGCATATTTGTAAGGGCAAAAGACCCTCACCTCCTGCCCCTGGTCTCCCCTCCCCCTTTCTGACCCCATGGTGAAAAACAGCTTCACAGATGGCTTCCTTGGGAGTGGGTCTCTGAGAGGTTGAGAACTGACTGGAATTCTCTGGGTTAACACCGAATCCACGGGCCACATCTGAGAAGAATCTAGCTAGAAAGCTGCAAGAAGTTCCTAGGAAATCTGGCCTGGGGGCTAAGTGGGGCTGGGAAGCGCTGAGAGGCAGATGTCAAGGACAGAGAGCTCAACAGAGAGGCAGGTGAAGAGGAGGTTGTGGGTGGGGAGGAAGAGGAAGTGATAGGAGGGTCAAGGAGGAAGCCCAGCCTAGCAACCCAGGGAAACGCTTAGGCCAAGGTGGGCTGTGGAAGAGAAGTCTACAGAGGCAGGAACAAACTCGTTCAGACGCATGTCCCGGACAAATCCACCAGAATTCTCCACGAGCGCTTGATACACACTCCCCTTTCTCTAAAAACACGCCTGCTTTATGGAACCCATAGGACTGGAGGTATGGGGAGTGAGTGTGGCCTCCCATAAAGCCAGAAGGTAGAGCCATGTGCTGTTGACATGCTGGAACAAAAAAATGATATAAAACAGTTGGACCCAATGAGCTAGACAACCTTGCTAGATTCATGATCGGGGTTGGGGGTAGCATACCACTCATCCACACAGTCAGTGGCTTCCATTGTGCATGACTGGAAGCAAGAGCCTCCTAACAGTCACAAAATGAAGAGTGCCTGAAGGTGAATTCACCTAACACGAACAGAAGCACCGTGGGAAGAATTTGCCCAGTATTCTTAAAAGACCTAAATACATAAATATAGCAATCTTAATGCGGTAGCTGAGACAACTAATTTCCGCATAAATCATAAATCAGTCTGCAAGACAATGGCAATGAGGACAGTGTGAATTGTCTATTCCTATATTCCTATTACTTGTTTTATTTAGTTTTTGTTTTGTTTGCATTTGCTTGCTGGTTTGTTGATACAGGATCCCACTATGTAACCTCAGTTGTTTTGGAACTTGCTATATAGACTAGACTGGTCTTGAACGCAGAAATCCAACTGCCTCTTTTTCCCAAATGCTGGAGTTAAAGGTCATCACACCCAGCCACACTATCCATTTCACTGAAGGAAAAAAAACTAAGCTATAAAGAGATTAAAGCCAATGAAATCACTACGATTTCAGAAAGATGTCTTGTGAAACAGGAATTACTGATTCTAAAGTTCATATGAAAGGAACGCTGGCACACAGGAGAGTAAGTATGGGCTTAACAACTGAAAGAAAACAGGGAGCAGGGCGTGGGTCCCACCAGAAAGCCAGGCAAGACTCATCACAGTGTAACTGAAAGGTTCAGGCATTACTCTGGCCTGCCCTGTTACCTGGCAGGATGCACTCAGGCAACACTCTGGCCAGCCCAGAGTTCCGTGAGAACCAGGCAGGTGCAAAGGACCCCTTTAAAGGACTGACCCCTGCCCGTTTACGCTCTCTTACTCCTCTTCCTCTCTTACTCTCTCTTACTCTTTTGCTCTTGCTCTTACTCTCTCTCTCTCTCTATCTTATCTCTCTCTCTCTCTGTTCCCCTTTTCTCTCCCTGTCCACCAATAAACTCCACGTGGGATCGTTGAGTCGCGGTCTATGTCTCCTTACTGGATAAACCTAAACGTTTTAACAACAGTAATGTCTTCTGGGGTTGGCCACTACACTTACGGGACAACTGAACATCCATAAATGACCCAGATGTGTATCAAGTCTTATAGACCAAAGAGGCTGTTAAGCAAAATGTCTAGAACAATCACAGTCCCTATAAAAGGAAACAATAAAAAAAATCTTTAGTTGCTTTTACACACACACACAACTAAATTTCAGAAGTCACAAACAAAAGGATAATTTAAAAAATTGTAACTACAAAAAAAGAAAGAAAATTCAAAAAATAGTAACTACACAAAGCAAAAAAAAGATTATCTTGGATTAGGAAAGACTTGAACGACAAGAGGAGATTGGACCAGGATGTAGAGGCACACGCCTTTAATTCCGGCACTTGGGAGGCAGAGGTAAGATGATCTCTGTGAGTTCCAGGCCAGCCAGAACAATCAGGACTGTTACACAGAGAAACCCTGTCTCAAGAAACAAAAACAAACCAAAACAGAAAGAGAGAGAGAGAGATTGAGAAAGAAAGAGAGAGAGAAAGAAAGGCAAGAATATTATTTTAATGAAAGATTAAGATTATACCACACTAAAACTGTGGAATAATTCTGTGTGACAGATGCCAAGGAGTGATAAGCACATCCAGCGTACTTCCCTAGAGTCCTCCGTGTGGATGTGGGCACCCCACCCACCAACCCTGGCCCCGCTCTGGTGCTCTATAGGCCAGTGTCCAGCCACCACGCCCAAGGGTAGCAGACGCATGGCTCTCCTGGGACCTGACAGTAGGGAGCTGGGATGGCAAAGAAGCACTGTTCTATAGAACTCCACACCCTCAGTGGCACAGCCTCAGCTCCTGTTTCTCTCTGTGTGAAGGTTTTCATTGTGTTATGTGGTGAAAATGGACTCTCAGAAACCAAAGAGCTCTGCTGTCCCCAGATGTCCTTGTTTGGAAGGAATTCCAGGCACACCTTTGTACTGAGGTACTCCTGACACCTCCGACCACACGGTTTGGGAAAGGAGCTGGTCAGAATGGGGTATCATAACGATGCGGCATAGGGAACATTGGCTTTCTGAACACCATGCCTAAGATAAAGCCTAGAAAGGGAGTGATGAGCACTGGCTCACATACTCACCATTTTAGGAAAGTTCTGGTTTTGCTTTTGCTTTTTTAAGGTAGGGTCTTTCTATGTAGCCACAACAGGTCTGAAATTTGCTATGCAGACCAGGCTGGCCTTGGATTTGCAACTATCCTCCTGGCTCTGCTGCCTGAGGGCTGATATTACAAGCAAGCCTAACATATATGGGATAGATTAACATGGGGTGGGGGTGGGGGTGGGGGTGGAGATGGGTGGGACGAATGCAGAAAAAGGGTGGATACTCTCTAAGCCTTTGTATTAGAATAAATGTTTTGTTTTAACGTGGGAAATTTTACTGAGAAAAAGGAAATGGGAAAAGGAGGGAGTGGAGGGGGAGACTGGCATTTGTGGATCGGAGTAGCAGAAGAGAGGAGAAAGGCTGAGAGAGAGGGGGGGAGAGGGGGAGAGAGAGAGAGAGAGAGAGGGAGGGAGAGGGAGAGGGAGAGGGAGAGGGGAGAGGGAGAGGGAGAGAGAGGAAGCAAAGACCTGCCTGCCTCCTCAGAGGAGCAATGGAAAGAGAGCCTAGAATGAGTGTTTTTATGTCACAAGACCTCACTAATCTACTTAGTGCCACCACTCCAAATCTGGAAGAGCAGTGCTACATGCATGGCATCCCAAAGCTGGGGAGTCAGGGAAGAGATCATTTATCAAGGCAGAGGTGTAAGCACCTCACATTCTTAAAAACCATGAAACTATGGAGTCATTTTTTCTCATGAAAAAAATTATGCTTATTATAATTTGCTTGTATTTATTATTTCTGGAGCATTGTTTTATGAGGAAAGTGCAGTTTAACTTCAGGCTAACTCACATTAGAACAGGCAGATGGAGAGCTGAGTGACTTGGTCTAAGGAAGCTATGGACATTCCCATTTCAAGAGATGTGTTCCAAGCCACACAGTGGATCCCAGAATGAGGCACAGCTCAAGACCATCAATCAGCAATAATAAAGTAGAATAGCCATAACAATACAGCCATAACAATATAGCAGTAGCAATACAGCTATAACAATACAGCCGTAACAATACAGCCATAACAATACAGCATAACAATACAGCTATAACAATACAGTGTTTATTTCTAGAATTCCCCACTAGGTGCTTTTTTATTTGTGCTTGTTGGTGGATAACTAGAACCAGGAGAAGTAAACTGGTGATCAAGGAGGCATTAGAGTGGATTCCGGAAGGCCTGTGTGCCCCTACCAGTCACAGTGCCATTGGAGCCCACTGTCCTTAGGGTCAGAGCAGAGCCGGCGAGGCTTTTGCAGGTGCTGAACACACATGGCCGATAAGGCATTTCTATGTGTCACTAGCACTCCTAACCAATTGGGACCACTGCGGAAGATCCGCCTCTGGCACGACAGTAGTGGACCTTCCCCAAACTGGTTCATCAGCCACATGATGGTGAAGGAGCTACATTCAGGCCAATGCTGGTTCTTCCCGGCCCAGTGCTGGCTGGCTGTGAGCCTATGCGACGGCCGTGTGCAGCGAGAGCTCTTCTGCCAGCGCCATGGTCTTGGCTTCTGGAAGGTAGGCCCCATGTAGGTGACACACTTAATTGGCTGGTATTATTTGGTGCCCACCTCTGCTTCTCTTTCCAAAGTTGCAACTTGAATTTTCCCAAAGTTATGCAGCTAACTGTCAAGATACCTATGCTGTGTGACTTCTCCTGGAGAGATGTCAAACAAGTCTACTCACCCCAGACGGGGACGGATGATCCACCGGAGAAATGACTGTCCGAGTCTACCTTGGTTAGCCAGTTGGTTTACTTATGAGGATGTGAGCAACTCAACAGAAGCCACACCACTAAAAAGCCAACCTCAGCGGCGGGTGATGACTTACTGAAGCGTAACACTAGTTGCAGGCAGCTCGGCCAGTAAATCCTCTCCATGGCAATGTCTTACTGATTCTCTAATCCTGGAAAGAGTATTGTGACTCTTGTTTCATGAGCTCCCTGGGTCTCCGCACCTCCCCCCTCCTCTGAGAGGGACCGACTCAGTTCACAGGAGACAGCTGCAGGCATGTCACACCTCACACCAATGATGACATGGCACGTGGATCAGCTGACCAGCCAGCATGCATCATTGCCTTTGCCACTTAGAAATCTTTGCAGTGATGCAGTTCTGCAGTCTTTGAGCTGCAACAGTAACACATTTCTAGGACTTCTGCATGCTGCTGTGTGAGAGGGCCTAGGTTAAAGATTTGTTATTAACTCATGTGCCATAAGCAATTCCACTGTCGAGAAATACAAACAGGTCGCGGCTGCAATGTGTGAAGGCAGATGTGTCTATTATCTCGCAGATTAAGCATGAAATTTTCGTTTCTGAATATTTCCATCTACTCCCCACTGCTGGACACTGGCTCATTGCCAGCATTCACATTTTATAGCCAATGTTTTAGAGTAGCCCCTTCATGAGTGTTCTTTTAACTGAAGTCCATACAATGGCCCACTGTACACAGCTATAGTCACAGTTCTCCTTCCTTTATTTCTATAACAGCAAGCGTCACAGACACACTTCTTTGTGACTTGTGTTTCTGAAGAATGATTTCCTTTTTGTAAATTTGTGTAACATTTTTTAGTGTGTGTGTATTCATGCACGGTTCGCCAGGAGATGTTAGAGAACAACTTGTGGGACTTAGTTCTGCCTTCCAAATGTGGTCCTGGGAATTGGACTCAGGTCCCTGGCTTGGCAGCAAGTGCTTTTACCATTTGAACTATCTCGCCAACTTGACATTTCCTGGCCACTGGGCCTTGCTCTTTCCATTGTCACCATACTGAGAAGTGCCTGGCACTGCCATTTTAGCAGAAAATATGGCCAATGTGAATTTGAAACAATTGTTTCCAAACAGCCATGGAAAAATTTTAGCACTTTAAACCAAAGGCCCTGCTTAAGTTGCAACATCCCTTGGGCAATAATCTCCGTGCTCTCCCGTTGTCCCCCAGCTGTTAGGTAAGAAACCTTGACGTTAGTGACTTAATTGTCTGTGAACCCATATGGTTGGGTCTCTGGAATCAATGGTCACTTGGGAATTTACATGCAAAAGATATATCCTTAGTCTATTAAACCTGTTTTGCCTGTATTTGCTACACTTACAATATCAATTCTGTTTATAAGTAGTTCTTTTCTAGAATGTTTAGCACCAAAAATTATTTAAGTTGCATTGAGAATTTTGAAATTCCACAAGATATTACCAACTTGTGGGCAGTAGACCTTGTAAACTACCAGGGAGAAGGCAGGTTAGTCCTAGCTCTCAGAGCACACGGAGCCGGTACCCAGCTAAAACGGGACTGTGGGAAGTGCTGGGGATGGGGAGATTTAGAAGGTCTTTTGGGATCAGAAAGCAAAGAAATGATGGGAGGGAGGGCCACGAGAGGAGGTCTCCGTGAGCCAGCACAAACGAAGCAGAGAGCTGTTGGGACTAAACCTTTGGAAGCTTCAGCGGGAGGTTGGGCCGGGTCAGAGTCCCTGTGGTGAACGTGTGGTCCAGTGCATCGCTGCTGAGGAGGTGGTGGGTGTGGAGGAAGGAGGAGGGAAGAGCTGTGACCATGAGAGGCATCTGCCTGCCCCAACCCGGTGGCCAGGAGTTACCCAGCTGTCAGCTGAAACAGAGAAGCCAAGAAATTTTGGAGTCTCGTTCTAAAAGTTGCTGGTTCTCAGTCAGGATTCCACTCAGCTCGCACGTGTGTCCAGGTCTGGGAAAAGCATCGTGCTTTCTCTTTCAGCTTTTCTACTCCAAGCTCACCGAGTACCTGGAGGATTTCCACATTTGGCTCTCGCTGTACAGCCAGCCCCCCTCCAGCAGCTACCTACTCACACAGCGGCTTGCTGTGTCCTTCTGCCTCCTGTGCGTCTATGCGTGCCTCACCGCCCTGGTCGCTGTGGGAGTTGGTGAACAGGTGGGAGGCAGCAGACCCTCCCGCAGTGACTTCCAAATCTCAGGCATGGAGTCTGTCCTTCTTTTAACGTGCAAAACTCACAGCTCCGGAGCTAGGAGCAGCAATCTAGCAGTATGAGGAATAGGCCAGCAGGTAACACGACTGGAATTAGAGCTGAGAAGGGTCTGCTAGTCCTCAACAGACTGCGGCCCTGTGAGAATCCACATCCTGGGTTCCATGCATGACATTCAGAGTGAACGGAAAGAAGCTAATCTTTCTGAAGATTTATTTTTATCATTTTATTATGGTTACATGTGATACAAAGAGGGAAAGAGAGGGGACCTTAGAGTCCAGAGGAGGGGTCAGACCTCCTGTGGCTGGAGTGACAGGTTGTCGTCTGTGAGCTGCCTGGTGTGGGTACTAGGAAACAAACCAAGGCCTGCTATAAGAGCACCACATTAACCGCTGAGCCGTCTCTCCGGCCCAAGGTTGTTTCCGATGATAAATTCAGGGTCATTCACGGGGCCAGTCCCTGGGTTCACATGCCCCCCCCCCCCAGACAGCTGGAGGAGACGCTGATAGCGGCTGTGTCAAGGTTGAGTTCAGTCATCTGTCAGAGGCCAAAGGGTGTGGCGAATCCTTTATGTGGCAGTAGACATGATCACACTTAAAGATATGCAGAATTTTAAACTATAATATGTTAGTAGAACTTGTGGCAATAAACAAAACATGACAAAGAATGTGATCGAGTGTCAAGGAGAGGCCTGCCATGTTCTCTGGGGAGCGTGGCTTCCTGAGGTCCTCCAGTAGCCTGATCCAGGTTGCCTTCTCGTCCTTTGCGGGGACATACTGAAGCTCTTGGCACCATATTGTGGGACTGTAGTCAGGACTTAGTCAGTTGAGTACGGGTCTTTTGCGTGTTTGGCTAGCATTTGTTTGGATGAGGAAAAGTGCATTTTGGCCTGTTCAACCCCCGGGGCGGAGGCAAGGCTTCTGGGAAAGGGGCCTTCAACTAAAACAGGAGTCGAGTTCATTTGGAGTTCTGCGTGTTTTGGGTTTGAATCAAGGGAACTAACCGTCATGTAACTGAACCGTTGCAGCGCTCCCTGGATGTGGGTCCCACTGTGGAATCCTTCAGTCTGGGTCTCCTGTGCACCACCCTGGCCTGTCCGCTCGCACAGCTCTTGTCACTGCTCTTCAGGTTCAGCAAGGTGTGTGTCCCCATGCTCCTGGGAGACCCCAGTGATGGAAGCCCTTACCAACCACCTCTTTACTTCACAGGCAACTGCAGGGCATGGACGGGCTGCACCACAGTGGCCTCTAGGAGGAGTGAAGACAGAGGCACCTCAGGGTATGGTGAACTAAAATCAGAAGCTGCCCTGGCAGTTGGCCTCAGGGGCCATTCTCTGAAGTAGGCAGTATATCCCCTGATTTCTGTCTGTCTTGTCCACTGAAAATAACATCACCAGATATATTTAAAGCCCCTTTTTTCTTGGACCATCATCCCTTGTAGACAATAATCTTGTAACCACCATTTTCCAAAATCATATGAATGATAGCCCTCCATCCCATGGCAGAAAACCATGGTTGTGTGTGGAGTAAATCCCTTCTCCAGAATCATGCTTTCTAGTAATTACCATTTGAAAACCTCAGATAGCCCCGCTTACCATTCTTTCCTCTTAAGGATCTTTTAAGTTTTTGGCTACACAATTTTCTCCTGCTCTGTGGCTTCCAGAGAGTAGCTCTGGATGGCTGAGGGCTTTCCCATGCCTGTATCAGGATGGAGACATCCAGAGTTCCCATCTCAGCTCTGTCTTGTCTCTCAGGCTCACTCTGGGGCACAAGAGGGAGAAGCAGCTCCCAGAGTACCATGCTGCACCTCATTCAGAGTCACACATTTGCTCTTCCCTCCCCTCCACCCCCTATCCCCCACCCCTGCACCCAAACAGGCTCTGATCACAGTGGGAGACAGAGTTGGAGGCAGCCATTCCAGGTAAGTCGCATGACATGCAGTCAATAACGCTACAGCACACAATGCTAAAAACTGGATTTCTCTGGCATCTTCCTGTGGCTGTGGTCTGGCCATAGTTAGACTCAGGGGCTGGTCCTCCAGAGACTGTAGGCCTTTTCCCAGGTCAAGAGATGGGAGTGACAACTAGGCAGGGTCAGGGAAGGGCAGCATCTGGAAAGTTGGGTGGGTGTGTCCAGTGAGATGCTGGTGACCGGGGAAGAGAAGGAGGAGAGACCGTGCTGCCCTTTCTGTAGACAGTGCTTGGGAGCCAGGTCTCTAGGGACCTGGGACTCTATGCAAATGAAGGACAACTTCTAATGTTATCATTGTGGTTGCATTGCACTGAGATTTTGCTTTGGGGATCTGTATGCTGGTGTCCTTGGGGTGCTGCTGCCCTTGGGTGCTGTGTCCTGGGATGCCGGTGCCCTTGGATGTTGGTGCCCTTGGATGCTGGTCCTCTTGCTATACTGGTGCTCTTAGGGGGGTTGTTCTCTGTGGTGGTGCATTGGGGCTTACCGGATTCCCACACTTTCCAGGCAGTGGCTCACTCTGGTGCACAGCTCCACCCACCCCTACCCCCCCCCCCCCGTTCCTATGCAAGATGCTCTCAGACCCTGCTTGCTCTGCATGCCACATGAACCCCTGACCCCCACCCCAAGCACTTGCCAAGGCTCTGGCCCTCATCCTCCAGCCATTTTTCCTTTGGTGAGTTTTGCAATCTATCAGCCTATCTATCTGCCTGGAGGTGCCTGGAGGACACCAGCATTGGCCTCCTGGTAGGAAGAGGAGAATGGAGGTTAGGAGCTGACTCAGAAAATGATGTCCTTCAAAAGCTTCCTGAAGCCTGGGCTTGACTGGGCCCCCACGTGACCATGCCTGCTCTCAGAGTTGGCTGCTAAGGACTCTAATGTTTCACAAACAGCAGCAAAAGTGGCACTGACTTGGCCTGACCTTGTCACAATTTCAGCATCCTGCATCAGACATTCTCCCAGCAACCGACGGAGCTTGGAGGATGGTGGCCAGTGGCAGTGGTGTGGCCTGTCCATCCTTTCTTGCTGTGAGAGAGAGGAACCACCAACCTCCTCCCAGTTCACAAGGTGAAGTCCCCCTATGGCTGTAACAACACCCGACTCCTGCTGACAGAACAGTGTTCTGTGCCCACACAGAGAGGCATAGCAAGCAGAATGCACTTGATCCAAATGTCACTAAGCATTCTGGTCCCCTCTAAAATCCAGGCCTAGGTGTGAGCCCAGGCCTATCTGAAGCCATGACGTCTGGCTTCGGTCCAGTCCTGCTGAGTCTGGCTTACAAGCCTGATCCAGTGCTTTTAAAAGTCAGTGTGAGACCTACACTTTAACTATTTTGAAGGTCAAAGCTCTATTTTTTTCTATGCAAATTAGAGCAACAGCTCCAGCCTCAAATTACGGCCAATGCTCATGAGCCAGAAAGAAGGGGAGACAAGAGGGGAGTCAGTAACTCCTGCCGGATCCAGGGTCTCAGGAACTAACTTTATCTGGTCTGATTGAAGGGACCGAAGGGCCTGCTGAACTGGCCTAGCAGAATGGAGGACAGGACGCCAGCATATAACTGGGGCTCTGGCCTGTATAACATGTGGACAACAGAGGCTTCGGGCAACAGTGGACACAGCTCTGTAGACAGTTGTCAGCAAGCACTGTGTGTTCAGCTGACTGAGGCCATGCCTGACTCATAGTGCCCACTAGGGGAGAAGGGAAAAATCATGTCTGTGTGTAAATGAGCACTCGGCTAGATAAACTTACAGTAATAGTGCTAATCGGCAGGCTGCCCCAAGAGTCCTGGCTGGATATGCTGGGCAGAGAGATGGGCTGGAAGCCAGAGCTCAGACGTCAGAAGCTGACTGTGGATTATGTAGAGGAATGACAGTTCAAGAAGCCCAGCTGCTGTGGCCAACTCTAAACTCCTCATTTCCCACTGCCACCTCTGCTCAAACAGGCAAGGTCCGAAGTCCCAGTTAAAAGATCATCATCATCAGGCAAGAGGAGCTCCCTCTTTGTCCGTTTGCTCTGTTTAGACTTTCACACTGATTAAATGAGAACCACCCACATGAGGAGGCCTATCCACTTGGTTCGGCCCACCTACTAAAGGTTGCGGTCCTCTGGAGCTTCCTCACAGCACACCTTGGCCCAACCAAGGTGACAAGCTTCCGCCACTCAGTGGGTGAGAATGACAAGGTCTGCTAACCTGCTGGTCTCTATCTTGCTCTTTCTTAGCTCCCAGCAGTGGTTTTAAAGGACCTGTGCCCCAGCGGTCAAGGGTCTGTCTGCTCTGGTCAAGATCTGTGGCTTGGGCCATCTGTGGGTCGGTGTCCCTGTCCTGTGGTTTGGGGACAGGATTCCTAGGCTACAGGTGAGTGGTTGAGAATTTTAGATAGCCTCAGGTGCTTGAGAGATGTCCAGGATCTGTGAAGAGTTGTGTGTGCTTCAGGGAACTCATATGCAGTTACCAATGTCTCTGTTTTCTCCCATACTCTATCCCTTCGAAAGGTGAATACAACCATATGCAAACCCAAAGGGTCACTCAGTCCTGCCAGGTCTTTACCAGAAGCTCTGTATAGACAGAGTCCTGAGTACTAAACAAGAAGCTATTGGGGGGGCACCAAAAAGTGGAGGGTGGGACATTGTGACACTAAGCTCATCAGAAGAAAAACTCTGATGTTGGCCAAAATCAACGATTGTTGTATGGTGTTGTTTGAAAAAAAAATGTATACTGTTGAGCAGGGCTATGATGACATATCCAAGATCCTAACCACTCCTTCCCACATGCTCCCTTTCTCCTGGCTCCTGTGTGGTTTTAGTCACCTCTGAAGACCGGAGGGACACCCCTGTGGCTCCAGAGAAGCCTACACTGTGTTCCTAAGCCACGAAGAGGAGGGGCCGACTAAGGCCCTTTCTTCCTGAAAATGTCTCTTCTCCCAACTGCATTCCTGAACATTTTGTGAAGACTAGGACAGGCACTAGGATTTTCTGCACACTTCAGTTTGCTTATCTGTAAAAGAGGACACTAGGTGTGCTTAATCCAGAGGCATAGGGGTGAAATACGGAGTCCTCAGTCCGGTCTTCATTTCAGGCCCTCTTACTCTTGTGCTGGCAAGTGTCAGAGAGGTTGGTGTTCCCTCAACAGGAAAGGACTCTGACGGGCAGACAGTCCTAGAACCCATCCCATAGCCCCTCCTCAACCACACCCCATGTCTCCCAGCAGTGAAGGCATCATGGCCCTCTGCCTGTAACTCTGTCTTCATGGATAGCTTACTCCACGGTGTCAACTGAGCCCTCTTCTGACAGGTTTGTGCCAGCACAGTGTGTGTGGTGGCTGCACCTGCTGCTTCTCTCTGTGGTCTGCTGCATGTTCGTCACCCAGCCACTCATGGTAAGAGACTCCTCTGTGGTGGAGGTGCCTTCATCGGCAGGGGACCGGGGAGGAGAGGGACCGGAGGGTGTGCTTTGATGGTGTGAGTCTTCTCTTTATAGCTTGATCTAGATGGGATAAGTTAATCTCGGAGCCAGGGCCCAGGCTAAGCTCCACCTCAGCCTGATACTCAGAGTCCTTATTTGAAAAAATCCCCTGAGAGATGAACCACTTGTTGAGGAAGCTGGGCCCGGGAGGCACCTTGGTGAAGGCCACACCCAGTGACTAGGTGCTGGGGACTTCCGGGTGGTGACTTCTCGTGTCTGTTTTGAACTGACATGAAGTCAGCTGGCAGTGCAGGACCAGGAAGAGGACCCTGTGTGGGAGGGGCACAGACAGACACCTGTGCTATGATACTTCTCTTCCAGATCTGTTTGGCAGCGCTGGCCTTTGCTTGGAAAAGGAAACATGACAGCCAGTTCTTTATTGAATCTTTGCATGATGCAACCAGGGACCTAGATTTGGAATTGGAAGAATACTCCAGAGCCCACATTCTTCATTCTGGCAGCTCCTGTAGTCCTGACAGTGCTGAGGAAGCCGGAAGGGTGAGCAGGAGCTGGAGGTTTCAGAGCTGCTCTGCTCCCACCCACCATGCAGATGGGAGCTCAGACCTTAGTTCAAATGTGGCTGTACTTTTGGTGCCCCACTGTGTGTGTGTGTGTGTGTGTGTGTGTGTGTGTGTGTGCTAATTTCTTATGCCTCCTTCCTTACCCAAATCCCAGTGAAATCAGAGTCACAGGATAATGAGTGCATTTGAAAATGAAGAGGCAAATGAGAAATATAATTTCCAGGCCCCAGTTTCAGAAAACGTCTAGATTGTTTGCTTTTCAATGCATACATAGAAAATACATAGCTCCGCCCTCTCCCCATGCTTCCACACAGACGTTAGCGGTCTCCATGTCCCAAGCATAGGCCCGCTTCATGCCTTCACTGGCCCCATCCTTCAACACTGTTGCTTCTGAGAAGGGACACTGCTCTACTCTCTACACACCTGCAGGCCCCCAATTCCCCTTGATTCTTCCAAGATTCGCTTCCCCTGTCAGCATAGGCACCTATGTTCAAGCATTAGGCAATCAGCGAGGTTCCTTTGCCAGCTAGTCTAGTCTCGAAGCTGAGAGGCCTTTGGGGAACTCAGTCCTGATCAGGCTCGACTCTCCAAACCTGTGCCTGTGCTCACCTTAAGCTGTGATGCTCCACCTTCGAGTCTCCTGCACACCCAGCCACGGTGCACAGTCCTCAGAACATAAGGCATACCCAAACCACAAGCCCAACCCCTAAGGCTCACTTTATAGTACTCGCTCTATATTTCTTAGAAGTCCAGCAGCTCCAGGAGGAAGGACTGAGGGCCCTAGGGACTGCTCCCTGAATGTGCATGGAATGGTAAGCAGATGAGTGAGAAATGAATGGGTGACTTTCCCATGGGTTTGGTGCTTGGCTAATGTTAGTCCTGCCCATAAACAGACGTAGCTACAACACAGAAGCCATAATGCTTTTATTGCACAAGGCAAACAAAGATCATTTCAGACTAAAAGTGCTTTTAAATCACTTTTCCAGTCTTTGAAGGTCTTTAATAGAAACTACTATTCAAATGTCAAAGGCAATTGCTCCTGTGATTGGACAGCAGTGGACACACCTCTCTTGTGAAGCTATGTTTTGTTATGGTCCAGATGCAATCCTTGCCAAAGTTGCTGGCTTAGGACATGAGTAGAGTTTTCAAATGGGCCTACTCCATCTCCTATTACCTCCCCAGCAACACAGTGTGTGTTAACTGTACAAAGTCCCTCTTTGTCCCCAGAATGTAAGACAGAGAGCAATGATGGTGGCTCTTGAGTTGGCAGGGACACCAAAGACCTCCCTCTTTCCAGTGCTGACCCCAGTGTCATGGTATTCTCCTCACCCCTCCCTCAGGTCTTGGCTGCTCGACAACGAGAACGCCACCTGCGCTGGGCTCAGCCACCATCCAGGGCCAAGTTCAGAGTGACCAGGGAGAGACTAAAGAAAGAGAGCCAGATGCAGGCATCCCTGAGGTGGGTGCAGACATGCCTGAGGTGGGCTCAGGCATCCCTGAGGTGGGTGCAGACATGCCTGAGGTGGGCTCAGGTCGTCCTGAGGTGGGTGCAGGGAGCCCCGAGGTGGGCACAGGCCAGAATGCAATGGGCTTTTTCTGGCTCTACCTTCTTTTTAGAAGGAACAGGAAGAGATCTCAGTCTGCACTTGGGAAAATCCTCCCAGGTTTCAGCCTATGCCAGAACACATGGGGCAGAGACTGGAGGAAGAAAACTGTTCTGCCACCTGCCTGTAACCAGTGGCCCAGAGCGCTGTACCTCAGCTGGCTCAGCCATGCAGACTCACGTGCCTCCCTACACATCACACTGCGTTCAGCACTAGACCTGTCATTCTGCTCCTCCAGATGGATGCACAGGGCAATGAAAATCCAAGAGCCAATGTTGTACCTCTTCATAGGCAGTGACTAGGCCCAGGGACAGATGTGTTCTGGGGCACAACATAAAATCTGTTCAAATTTTTAGATAAAACATGAGCTTACTAACTGAAATAAAGCTCTCCAAGTTAGACACAAGCCATGCTTCTTTCTATCAATGGTACCCATCCCCCTCCCTATATCTGGTGGATACTAATGGTAGTTCTTGGAAGAACCTTCTGCAAATACTAGTCAATACATGTCTCCCAGTTCTGAATTCTAGATTTCAGATTTCTTGCATCTGCCAAATATTTAGAAACTCCCAATATTTTTCCCACAACAGTGTTGCTAAAGTATGTAATGTCACCCCCAATGAATCATCTTTCTTAAAAATCTTCATTGTCACCTGCTAACAGTCAGCTCCCTTAAGTAAAGAACATATCCCAAAACAAATCCTTTTCCAAAGAAGAGAGTTGTGGCCTTACTAGAATGCCACATTTAAATTCTGGGGAGACAAGGCATGACAAAGGCTTTGAAACATGTTCAGTCTCCCCACAAAAACAGAGTAGTTAAATTACCCCCAACAAAACCACTGAAAACATACATGACAGACTTAAATGACCACCCCAACACACACACATGCACACTTCTATGTCAAAGTCACGTAGGTAGGGTAAGCATTGTATACTCAGTGCCCTGAGCACTGCGCCTCTGCAAGAGCAGGGCATGAAGGAAACTGGAGGCACCTGAGCATCTGAGAATGGAGGCGGGGGATCAGAAGCTCTCACACATGTAATGGAAAGCCAGAGATAGATATTGGGGTTCACGCTGAAGATCAGAGAAGCAAAGCATCTGAGCTATCAGAGAGTTCTTACCTCTTTCAGGCTGGGGCGATCCTGACCTCAACATGGCTGGAGACTGACTAATTGCCCAAAACTGAATGCCTGCTCCTATCTTATATACCTCTCTAGTGCTGGGCTTAAAGGCATGAGCTCTGTTTCTCTTTTAGACTGATTCGCTCTCATCTAGCCCTGGGTGGCCTTGAACTCACAGAGATCCATCTTTCTCTGTCTCCTGAGTCCTGGGATCAAAGGTGTGTACCACCACTGTCCAGCTTCTATGGCTGTGGCTGCCTTTGCATTCAGAACTTCAGTGACTTTATTAGGTCATAAACAATATTTCACCAAAAGGAGCTCCTGATGGGGTCTGTGCAGGGACTGTGCTGCTATACACCCCAGTTCACAGGTGCATGTAAGGGCTGGGTACCTGATGTCCACAGAGTTTGCTGAGCAGAGTAAAGCTGAGAAACCCAGCTCCCCAGGGGAAGCCATATGCTGAGAGAGCCACAGGCAGAGTCCACACCAAGGTGGGCACCCAAGAGCACAGCTAGATACTGTCGGTTCAGAAGGAGACAAAGCTGACTCTTTTTACAGCTGCCATGATAAAAGTCTGAGAAAATACCACCAGAAATGAAGTTTAAAAAAATCACAGGCAGTAAGAGAATTTAGTAAAGTAGCCAATAGCAAAATGAAGCATCACGAGCTACTGTCCTTTGCATGTTCAGTAAATCAGATAAAATGCGACGCCAGACTGTTTGGCACAGCAAAAAGACACATGTGTGGTGGTGTAACCTTAGTGGGAAATGCATAAAACACGCAGGAAAGTTCAGAAACAATCCTGAAAGATTCAAATGTAGACTGAAACCAGTGGGACACTTCAGTCCCTGCTGGCATCGTGCCTTCCTTTAGATTAGCAACTCACTGTAGGGATGCGCAGATGAGCAGTTGGATAGTTTTCCAACTTTTCCATTGCTGTTGTCCTTGAAAATAATTATTTATGGTGTAGGAGAAAGGAAACATGGATTCTAACTCAAAAAATACCAAAGGGCTGTAGTCTTCAACATGAATCAAAAGGCATAAGGATGAAGAACTTTTTTTTTAAGGAAAAGTGCTATTTTTCAGTTGTATCCACTTACAAAATAACTAGAGACAACCTGGCTCCTGATTTGAGGTCTGTGACAGAAAATGAACATGGAGTTCTCATCACTTCTGAACCAGGGAAGCAACTGAAAATGAGCATTCATTGCCTAGGACTCGGCAGTCACCGGAAGAGGCCCGTGTCTGTCAGAGGGGCAACGTGGCATCAGTTCAAAGGGTTCAAAGGCAGCACTTGTATGAACTGAAGTTCCTGAAATACATTTAATGCCATCAGTTTAGAGTGGCACCAAACTGAGTAAGACATACTCAGAAAACAGTTCTCTTAAGCGTTAGGTAAAGAAATTATCCATCCTGCCTTCGCTAATTAACTCTAGGGAGCATGCAGCAGGGGAAAGATTTTCTCTTCAGAGAGATGGTCCAGGGCTCATGAAAGCAAATAGCAGACTTAGAGCCTGAACACTTTTGCAGCTTTAAATAGGTTAGTGACTATAAGAATCACACACACACAGAGACGGGAGTCCTTCCTTCCTGTCCTTTCCACTTTGGTAGCCTGCAGCCTCCACTAAGACCACAGTGAATAATGACAGGATGAGGTAAACTGTAAGCCTACAGCACAGAGCACCAGCTTGCTCAACAAGCACTTGGCAAAGCAATCATAAAGAAATGGAGCTATGAACTGGCTGAGCAGAAACGTGACCGATGAATCTACCACATGCCAGACTAAGCAAGGAGAGCCATGGCTATCTCAACAGATGCACAAAAGGTGTCCAGCGCAATCAAGCAGCCATTCATGAAAGAAATAGGGAAAGTTCCACCAACCTGAAATAGGGAAGTTTCCATAAACAAATAAGGGTGCCAATGTCACCTAGCTGGCAAGTTTGCCCATGAAATGCTCTGGCATCAGAAACATGGTGGGGATGATCCTCTCATCATTTCTACTGAGCATCAGGTTGGAAATACGGTGACACAAGGGTAGGGTTGGAAGGAAGATCGGCGATTCAAAAGAAAAACAGCCAACAGCCTACTGGCCAGTGGCAAAAAAGGCACATGCTTCTAAGATAACAGTGTTAAAAACAACTGGGGGCTGAGGAGGTGACAGCTCCATCTCTGTACAAACATGAGGACCCGAGTTTCATCTCCAGCTCCCATGTGAAAACCAAGCATACACTTGAAATGCCAGCACTGGGGAAGTAGAGGCAGGAGAATCCCTGTCTAGCCAGTCTAGCAGAATTGGTGAGCCACAGGCTTCCTTGAGAAACCCTATATTAAAAATCAGGCAGACAGCTCATGAGGAACAACACCTGAAGTTCACACACACACACACACACACACACACACACACACACACACACACGACAGAAGATAACCAGAAGCATCTGAAAGAACACGCGCACACACACACATGCACGCACGCATGCACACACGCACGCACGCATGCACCTACACATGAAAACCTGCCCCCCCACACACACACAATATAAAGCAGCTAAACTTGTGCATGCCTGCAGTGAAGAATACTTGAACTTGAAATCACAGTGCTGCTTACAATAGCACTGAAGAAATCCAGGTATTCAAATGAAAATGTAAGCAAACACTCAGGGACTGTAAGCCCAAACCCACAAAACTCCGCAGGGGAAAAAATGAAGAAAGACTACACTATGCGTATCAACCCACAGAGGGCAGTGCATCCATGTGTTCCAAGGGATCTGCAGACTCATTGCGCTTACAGCCCAAATACCATGGACTATACAAAACGGACGTCAGCAAACTGGTCCCAAAATGAGTAAGGGGAACAAAGGAACCAGAATAACAAAAATCAATCCTGAAAAAGATTGAAGTTAGAAGACTGACACTGTGTAATTCTAATATATTCTATGTAGCTGCAGAAACTGCTGTGTCATTGGCCTAAACAATAGTCTCAGACCAATGAAACAGCCAAACGAACAGGCCCAGTTGGGTTTTCTGACAAAAACATAAAGACAATTCAGTGAACAAGTAAACAGTCTTTCCAAAAATGGACCCGGGAAAGCTGAATAAAGGAACACACTAACACGGATGTGTTGAAATCCTACCTCTAGCTAAGGAGCTATTGGCAACTGATAGATGGTGGAGGAAAGCCAGTTTCTGGTGTTTTTTTAAGGGTCTGGCCTAGGTAGGTTGATCAAACTCCCGTGGAAGACCACACGTTCCAAAGTATAAGGGCAGCACCAATTGTATTTGGTGGGGTAAACAAAAATAAAGACACGAAGTTGGATGGGTAGGGGTGGTGGGTGGGTCCAGTAGGAGCGGGTAAGGACTTGAATGTGATCAAAGTAGATTGTGTGAAGGTCTCCAAGAACTAATGAAGGTGGGGGATGATTCTTATAAACAAAGAGAAATGCAAACATTAATCCATCGCATGCCCTATGCTAACACATCCTAACAGGACATAGATACCCTGCTCCCTAACACACACTCTGGGGGGAAATAGGCCTGTAGACACACAGGGGCTCCAAAGATGCTAACTCTCGAATCTCTCCTCCCAGAGACCTCTCCATGCACAGCCTCACGCTGCTGCTGCTTCTGTTTATAACATATGGGAGATTCTGCCCAGGTGAATATTCTCTCAATCAAGCCATCAGGAAGGGATTTACAAGGTAGGAGGTTTGGAGAGCTCTTGCAGATCTGGAGGGGGCGTTTGCACTAGTCCATGGTCCCTGCACTAACCCATACCCAAAGAGAACGCCAAGCTCTGGGTTCCAGAAACTGTTTTGTTCACTTTGTTCCAGAAGGGGGAGCCCTATAGACCCTCTAGTCACTCCGTCATTTTACCTGTACAGACTATGCTTAGAGAAGGTTTTCATCAAGACCTGCATATGAAGTCTGGGAAAGGCTGTTTAATTATCCACATTAACAGAAGGCTGGGCAGGTGCTTGGCATCTCATGTGGGGTCAACAGTGAAAGAAATTCTCAGAACAAGAGGGTCATATCATCTATTTTGCAGAAAAACATTGTTCTTCAACCAAAGGCTACAGTCGCAATCTATGGTTTGTGGCATCCAAAGTGGCCACGCGCTGTCAGGTTCTCTGCCACGCCTCTAGTGTTCACTCGCTCTTTCACTTCCAAAGCGACAGGTGCCCACCCTAGGTAAACACTAACCAAGTCAGCATGCCAAGGCAGGGCCATGTGGATATTTTGGGGGTCTTGACACCGCTGAGATTAGGGTGCCCAAGGAGATGAGTGGACACACTTAGTTGAACATTCCTTTGTCATTGGATTTTGCTAACCCAGGCAATTTCTCCAAGGCACTTGACTCTAGCAATCTGAATAATTGCTTGTTTTCTAGTGGCAGGGAATTTAGCAACTCTCCAAGTTCAGGGGTTTCCTTTCTGTAGAGAATATGTTAATACCCATTTCTGTCGCATTTTTATGAATATGTTGCCTTAGATTCTCATCCAGTTTTATATAAATATATTTGTCACATTTAGGGCCAGGAGAGGATGGTAGTAAAATCCATTTCATCTTTTTGATTGAAGGACATATTTTTCGATTGTATAAGACAGGGGAACACGGATCCCTTGTTAGATGGGGACTCACAAATGCCACTCCCTTTATTTTTATAATTTCACAGCTCTTTAATAAGGTGCTGCCTGGAAGTCCCAGTACTTGGAATTGCCATGGCTCAATAATCCCACCTCTTAGACTGCAGCTCTAGGGAAGCTATGTGGTATTTTCTATGCCCCATTTGGCAAAGCCACAGTTACCTTCCACCTTGACAACTTATTTCTTCCAGTTGAACATGTACATAGACTGTGCCAGGAGGGGGCACTGTGAGCAAAACAAAGAGACCAAAGGGGTCATTTTCTGTAGATACAGAAATCAAAACACTACAAACACCGATTTGGCTAATTTACTTCTATCTCACATTTCATGATTTCCTTTTTACTTGGCATTTCTCATATGCCTCTTGATAGTCAATTCAGAAATATTCCAGCTGAGATAACATGTGTAAGAAAGCTATGTGCGCTTGGCCTGATATGCTCAGGTAAACCTTTGAGATGTTGACCCAGATGGGCTTAAACTCTTTATGTTTCCCACAACGAAGAGAAATCTCACTGCCTCTTACAGTTCTGGTCACCAGACAGGGCTATTTCATATATACTGGTTCAAAATGGAATGTTTAAAGTGGGTCCTGTCTGCCTACCCATCCCCCAGTACCTAATCCTAAAAATCAACAAGTCCAGAGAGGCTGTTATTTGTAGCATTCCAGAGAGAGCTGAGGACCAAGCCCAGGAGAAGCAATCCTATGGAATCCGGGGAAGCCTGTCTTGGCTCCCTGTAACAGGAAGTCCTTTGCCTCAGGCTGCAGTGTCCTCCTCTATAAAGCTCAGAAGATGTGAGTCTAGAACTCTGTCTTCAACAACAAAATACTACTCTGAAGCAGACTGTGTGACATTTAGTCTGTATTTGAAGTGCTTCTGTACTCTTAAGTCTTCTTGAAATCCCAAGACAACCAAACGGAAACCACAGTGAGGCACCGGTGACAGGAAGTGGAGCCAGGCTCCATCCCGTGAGCTCCGGTCTCTTCTCCTCCAAGACTGGACTGCCGCTGCTACGGGCCCATTTGATAGAATCGCTGTAATTAATACCCACAGGACCAGGACATGCTTGGACCCTTCGGTTCACTTCCTGCTCTCCAGTATGCCAGGAAGGAGCAGGAGATGATTCCTGTGAAGGAGAGATGTCTGAGCTCTGGGTTACAATGCAGTGTCTCTTTAATGATGTCCGGACAGGGAGCTAATGCTTACACAAGCTTGGGGTAGGGGTGCAGTTTGGTGATAGATTACAAGCTTTAATACGGGCAAAGCTGCCTTGGTGTTGATCTCCCAGCACCTCAAAGGTATTATGCGGGGCTGGAGGAACGATGGCTCAGCCGTCAAGAGCACTGGCTGCTCTTCCGGAGGATTCTGTTCTGTTTCTCACACCCAGGTGGCTGCTTGTAACCATCTGTAACTCTAGTCCCAGGGGACCCACTGCCCCCTTCTGGCCTCCAAAGACACCAGGCACATATGTGCATGCAAGGAAAACACCCATACATACAAAAATAAACTTTAAAAGTTTTAAGTATTGTGGGAACTCAGTGTGGCTATTAAAAATGTACCCCAGTCTGCTTTCTAAAACAGATATGGAGCATCCTAAGTGACAGAGAGGAATGCAGTCAGTTTGTCTGCCAAATGTCCCTGCCTGTCTCCGGCTCTCCCACCTTCTCTTTGCAGAGGGCTCTCTCCCAAAGGTGGTAAATGTTTCCAGGGTTTCATCAGCTTTATTTGTGGCCCCACCCTAGCTCCGCCCCTTTCTACCCTCCTTCCGGGAAATGTACTGCTACTCACTCCATCGAAGCCTCCAGATACCTCAGCAGTTCCCCAACTTGCTCAGAATTTCATGTTTGGCCAAATTTCCAGAGAAGTGTGAGATTCAGAACTAGCAGCTGGTAGTCAGACCACATAGATTAGACTCCAAACTTTCAAAACAACAGAAAAAAAAATACTCGAACGGCTAGAAAAGGGAACGAGAGCGAGAGAAGGCTCTATGGTTAAGAGCAGTGCTCTCCCGGAGGACCCAGGTTTGTTTCCCAGCATCCATGGCCAGCAGCACCACAGCTGCCTGGAGCTCCAGCTGCAGGGGACTCGGTTCTCTCATTTGACCCCCGCAGTTACCTGTGCACACATTTCACACGCGCAGACCTCCTCTCTCTCTCTCTCTCTCTCTCTCTCTCTCTCTCTCTCTCTCTCTCTCTCTCTCTCTCTCTCTCACACACACTCTCTCTCTCTCTATCTCTCTCTCACACACACACACACACACTCTCTCTCTCTATCTCACACACACACACACACACACACACGCACACTCGCGCTCTATCTATCACACATACACACATTTATGACACGCACACGGGACAGGTAGAGAGAAATTTTGAAGAAGGAAGGAGAAGGAAGGAAAGAAGGAAAGGAAGGAAAGAAGGAACGAACGAACGAGAACCAGTCAGATCACTGGCTTCTGGGCTTTTGCTCACACATGCTATGGGAATGTTGAACAGATTTATAATATTTATAAATTGCTGATGGGGGATTTGTTTCTCTCTATTAACATATTTGAAGACTTTTCCTGGCCTGTGTGTAGACCAAAGTTTCTGTCCCGCCTGGTCCTGCAGCCATTTAGTCCCAAATAAACACACAGAAGTTTATATCAATTATAAACTGTTTTGCCAATAGCTCAGACTTCTTATTGGCTAGCTCTCTCTTAATTAATAACCCATTTCTATTAATCTATGTATCTCCACATGGTCTTGGCTTACTGGTGATGCCCAAGTCTCCTGCTTCCTCAGCAACTATATGGTGTCTCCCTGGACTCTGCCTACTACCTTTCTCTTCCCTGTTTGGATTTCCCACCTAGCTAAATCCTGCTTGTCCATTGGCCAAAACAGCTTTATTCATCAACCAATAAGAGGAACATATACTCACAGAATACAGAAGGACACCCCATCACCTTTGGATTTTTTATTAAACTGTCCAGCTATTTTTTCCTAACATGGTTTGTAAGGTATGACAGCACGCTTTTTTTCTGTCACCTCTGAAAGTCACCCTTTAGGAGTCCCTGCCCACAACCTGGCCAAGCTCTCTGGCAGGAAGCACTGGCCTGCCGGCTTCTGTGGTGTGAATGCTTCTGCTGTGGCTCTCCTTACATGACAGAGGCCATGTCCCTGAACATGGAGTTGAGAGGACTGCAGCTGGCTTTCTGCCTGGCGCACACAAGCTCAAGTGACCGGCTCTGTGTAGCTCACTTAGCCTCCCTGGACCTTAGCTCAGCTGACCGCCCTGGACCTTAGCTCAGCTGACCTCCCTGGACCTTAGCTCAGCTGACCTTCCTGGATCTTAGCTCAGCTGACCTCCCTGGACCTTAGCTCAGCTGATCTTCCCTGGACCTTAGCTCAGCTGACCCCCCACCAAAAGCATCACACTTGCTGACCTCAGCTAAGGCAAAGCCTACTTCATTATCAACTGTTGAGCATCTCATGGATTTCGATGCTGTGCTAGAAATAAAAAATAGAAGTGTTGGTGGGTGGAATTTTGTACCATTGTAAAGTCAAAATAATGTCAGTACAAACTTTTATTATAAGCTGCACATACATGCATACATACAAACACAATTTGTTTCCCCACCGAAGGACAGGAATCTGGTCTTGTTTCCCAGTGTCTAGAAGAGTGTCCAGTACTTAGCAATTACACAGTAGTGTTTTTTGGTGAATGAGCGAGTGAATAAACAAGAGATTTTTTTCCTGCTGTTTCTCCCGCCTCAGCCACTTCAAAGTGAAATCTGGGTTATACCTCATGTTGCAATTTGCTTTGACTTAATCCTCACAGAGCAGTACCTAGACTGTGAGTGGGAGAAGAAGAAATGGCAGGAAAAAGGCAACCAACTCCCCCCCCTCCTTGGAATTGCTCTTACGGTTTTGTAATTTTGTTCTGTTCTTGGATTGAGAAATGCCAGGCACTCCTTTGGGAACCTCAGCAGCACAGATGACTGGTGGGACTGGACTGTGAGCACGCTGCTGGACGGGCTGTACCCAGAGGGACCTGCTACGGGAGCCTCGGGGACTCAGGTGGGCGTCCATTTCCTGTGTCAGGGAGAGGAACCTTGAGGCAGCACAGGGTCTGCTCCGTGGGCACCATGGCAGGCAAAGAAACCTGTTAGTCTCCTGAGACTCCATGATGGCCCCTGATGGCCTCCTAGGCCATTCACGCCCTCCATTCAACCCTTGCCAGTCCAACAGGGTCTGGACACACTTAACAGGAGTTCAGGGTGAGACCGAGGAAGAAGCCAGCTTATTGTTAGCATGACAAGGACTCATGAGTCCCCAGAGCAGAAGAGGAGCCCACTGCAAAGGCAGCATCATTAGGGAAGTTTCCAGAAAAGGGGCAAAGCTGGTCCTGAATTTGTAATGTCCCATCCCTCAGTCATAGTTGACTTTCTCCCCCTTTTGAAAAATACAAGCTCTTGGCCCTACATTCCTCAAACATTTTGTCCCTTATTTCGTTTTCTTGTGTTCTGTGAGTGTCATGGAGTCGCCTGGGGTCATTCACATGAGGGGGACTTCAAGGGGAAGACATTTGAATGCTTTCTTTTTCCAGAGGATGCTGAGGAGGGGCTGTTGGCTGCATCTGCAGAAGGTTGGTTTCTGGGGTGCTGGTTGCATCCTCCCTCAGGTTTTCAGTGAACTTCTGAGGTTGCAGATGGGGTGCCTCCCCAGCCTTGTCACCAATGCTGTACAGTGGCCATCAAAACTCGCAGTGCTCTTACAGTCCGAGTCTCACCCTCTTTCAGCCCGGAGCTCTCAGAGGGCGGTGCCATCTAATAGGCCCTTCTGTGATCCAGCAGTGGAAGGTTTCTTCTGGTGCTGCGTGCACAGTAAGTACATCAGAAGACTTGGGGGCAGGGCTGGCAGATCAGCAAGGCTCAGACTCTTGGGGAGGTAGTGTGAGATTTCCAGCTGCCACGGTCAACTTTCCTCCCGCCCTTTCCAAGCACTCTCTTGCACCCTCTGCATTCTTCCCCAGAACCATTCTCTTCACTTCTAGAGCTGGCATTCTGGACAAAGAAGGATTTCTTCTAAAACTCTGAAACTAGAATTTCTTTGTATTTTTTTCTGATGGGGAAGGGTCCCCAGAGACAGCATCACTCCATAACACAGTGTTCTACAGACTGGCCAGCCCCTCACAGCCAACTCCTCAGCCGCAGCCATCAGTGGGCATAGCCTTGATCTTTCCAGTTTGAGACATAATCCAGAGATTGAGAAGTAGGCTGGAGAATGGTCCTTGAGAGTAGCAGGGTCCCTGACTGCTGTATTCTGTGTGGGTGGAGCTTGGGAGTCCCACAATGCAGACGGACTTGGGGACAGAGATCACTTGGGGTTACTTGAATGATGGTTTGTGCTCTAGCCTCCCAGGCCAGTCTCAGAGCTCATGGAAGATGCACTATCTACAAGTACTCATGACCTTGACCTTGAGAACCGAAACGTGACCCCTGGTGGTCCTGAAGTCTGTGGAGAGAAGAAGGAGAGCTTCATGCACAGTCTAGGAAGAACAAGGTCAGTAAGAGGCTCCGACCCTGTGTTGCTAGGTGAGGCATGTCTGCTGCAAGCTCAACTTCTGGGCAGGCCCCGAAAGGGCCAACAATTCTCAGGCTTCAGAGCAGTGGTGTGGAAGAACTCAGACTCCAGTGCTCAGACCCAAGTACATAAAGGAGAACAGAATGGGACATTCTTTAAAAGTAGCTGCCAGAGCTTGCAGAGTCATGGACTCTTTGTCCTTTGCTCACTGAGTGCCAAGCGGGGAGCTCACGTGGTCTTGATTTCAGCCACTAACTCCCAGAGGAACACAGATGCTGCCTTGAGCTGCATTGAGCAAATGAGGAGTGGGACTCCCAGCATGTGTAGATGCAGCACACACAAATGCAGCACGTATAGATACTGCATGTATAGATGCAGCACGGATAGATGCAGCATGTATAGATACTGCATGCATAGATGCAGCATGGACAGATGCATCATGGATAGATATAGCATGTATAAATGCAGCATTATAAATGCAGCATGTATAGATGCATCAGGTACATCATGTACAGATGCAGCATGGATAGATACTGCATGCATAGATGCAGCATGCATAGATGCAGCAGGTACATCGTGCACAGATGCTGCACAGTTAGATACAGCAGGGATAGATGCAGCAGGTACATCATGCACAGATGCAGCATGGATAGATGCAGCGTGCACACACCATGCTTCCTGTAGCCCAGAGCCTGTAGTCAGGAGCCTTGCAAGTTCCACAGGATGCCCTTGGCCCAGGTCATGGCACAGCCTTCATCACAGCACAGGGCTTTGCATAGGAAGTCCATCTGTGCAGTCGTAGTAGTGTGCCAGCAAAATTAAAAACAGGACATGATTTGCTACTAAATATGAATTGGTAAGGTAGGGTTTCTTTCTATCTGTGCAGTCCACTGTGAAAAGAAGGATGTCATCCGTGATTCAGAAACGAGGAAGAGGAGGGAAAAAAAGGGACAGTGGGCTCCTGGTGGAGGCCCTAGGTCACAGGAGGACTGTCTGTGCAGTAATCAGAAGCCTAGGGGTTATCTGTCCCCATGAAGGCTTGCACTAGGTGTATGGGGCATGGTGCCACAAATGGGTTTTCCTGCCCTCCCTCTGAACCTGAGCTGTCTTCCAGGCATGAAGCACACTCCGCCCTGACAGCCCTGAGGGCCAACAGGTGGATAGACCATAGCACCCGGGCCATGTATGTGCACTTCACTCTCTACAACCCTCCAATGAGACTCTTCACGAGTGTGACCCTAGGTGCAGAGTTTCTCCCCACGGGAGGTCTTGTCCCCTCATCCCTGGTAGAGTCATTCAGCATCTTCGACAGTGATTCAGTCCCACAGTCCCTTCTTATGCTTTCTGAGGTGAGTTCACCTGCCCTGGGGCCCCTGGATTGGCACAGATCGCTGGGGTTTCACACAGCTAAATACCCCTGCAGGCTAAATATGTTCTACCTCCATGAAACTAGGGCGCTCCCTAGTTTCCTCAATGGGGAAACCAACCATCACATACAAAATGAGCATAAGTATTCAATTGCCTCAAGGTACTAAACTCATCATGGAATCTTAGTCAGCCCCGGACACCAGAACAACATACTGTCATTCCGCACTGTCCAACATTTAACTTTTATAATCACCCATAATCTGAAAATATGGAGTGGAATATTCCAGAAGTGAATGATACCTACATTTTAAACAACCTTACAGTATACTGCGGTGTAATTACTGTGTGTTGTTATGATTGTTCTATTTTATTATTGGTCATTGCTGTTAATCAGTTACTATGTCAAATTTAGAAATTAAGCTTTATCATAGCTATCTACGTGTTTATAAGAAAGATCTGGTATTAATAGGGTTTGTCACTACTGAAATTTCCGACAGCCACTGGGGTCTGCCACATATCCCTGTCACATGAATAGGATTACTTACTGCTCAATGGCTGGGAGGCTTAAATAGCAGGCACCCATTCAACAAAGATCTGGCAGCTAGAAACCCAAGATCAAGTGCTGGGAATGCTGGGCTGTAGCGAAGACCCCTTCCTTGCTGGTGAGAAGCCATCTTCTCCCCATGTCACATAGCCTGGCTCCATTTCCGCACCAGTGAACAAAGAGAGAGTGTGTGCCCTGTGGGCCTCGAGTGTATATATAGAGAGAGTGTGCCCTGTGAGCCTCAAGTGTGTATAGAGAGTGTGTGCCCTGTGGGCCTCGAGTGTGTATAGAGAGAGTGTGCCCTGTGGGCCTCGAGTGTGTGTATAGAGAGTGTGTGCCCTGTGGGCCTCGAGTGTGTATAGAGTGCCCTGTGGGCCTCGAGTGTGTATAGAGAGAGTGTGCCCTGTGGGCCTCGAGTGTGTATAGAGAGTCTGTGCCCTGTGGGCCTCAAGTGTGTATAGAGAGTGTGTGCCCTGTGGGCCTCGAGTGTGTATAGAGAGAGTGTGCCCTGTGGGTCTCGAGTGTGTGTATAGAGAGAGTGTGCCCTGTGGGTCTCGAGTGTGTGTGTAGAGAGTGTGTGCCCTGTGGGCCTCGAGTGTGTGTATAGAGAGAGTGTGTGCCCTGTGGGCCTCGAGTGTGTATAGAGAGTGTGTGCCCTGTGGGCCTCGAGTGTGTGTATAGAGAGAGTGTGCCCTGTGGGCCTCGAGTGTGTGTATAGAGAGTGTGTGCCCTGTGGGCCTCGAGTGTGTGTATAGAGAGAGTGTGCCCTGTGGGCCTCGAGTGTGTGTGTAGAGAGTGTGTGCCCTGTGGGTCTCGAGTGTGTGTATAGAGAGAGTGTGTGCCCTGTGGGCCTCGAGTGTGTGTATAGAGAGTGTGTGCCCTGTGGGTCTCGAGTGTGTGTATAGAGAGAGTGTGTGCCCTGTGGGTCTCGAGTGTGTGTATAGAGAGAGTGTGCCCTGTGGGCCTCGAGTGTGTGTATAGAGAGTGTGTGCCCTGTGGGCCTCGAGTGTGTGTATAGAGAGTGTGTGTATAGAGAGAGTGTGCCCTGTGGGCCTCAAGTGTGTGTGTAGAGAGAGTGTGTGTATAGAGAGAGTGTGTATAGAGAGAGTGTGCCCTGTGGGTCTCGAGTGTGTGTATAGAGAGAGTGTGCCCTGTGGGCCTCGAGTGTGTGTATAGAGAGTGTGTGCCCTGTGGGCCTCGAGTGTGTGTATAGAGAGAGTGTGCCCTGTGGGCCTCGAGTGTGTGTATAGACCCTAATATTATAGAAACATGGTCCCACCTCATGCTTGCACTTAGCCAACTATTTCCAATGAGGCGGGCTTCCAAATAGAGACAATATGGGGTTTGAGGCTCCAAAACATTACTCTGGGGATATCTGGCTGCCCCCCACCCCGTCCATAGCACCGGGTGTCAATGATTCACGTTGCTTTGCTGAACAGCCAAAAGCCTCAGCAGCCACCCTCCATGGCTTGCCTCTGCCTTTGTATCTTCTTATTCCGTGTTTCTCTCCGAACAACCGTGTTCTGCTGTTGGTCAAGTCTACTTGGCTTCAGGAAGGGAAGGGGTCTGAGGGCTGTTAGAGACAGCCAGGGCTAAGACAGGAATGGAGGATAAGCCAGAAGCACAAGTGTGGGTTACTGGGGAGGGCTGGGATAGAAGAGGCTCTTGCCTTGGGCACCAAAAAAGGAAAAAAATAAATAATCAGAAAACAAGGTAAATAGTATATTAGCGTGATACCTTAACTGTCAGAATACATGCAGAAAAAAAAAAAAAGAAGCCATGTTGGGCAAAACCAGATCAGTTTCCTGCCCTTTTTTTTTCTTTTTTTTTCTTTTCTTTTTGTCTCTGTACTACAGAGAAAATGAAGACAGCAACCGTGTAGCCCCTCTGATGTAGTCTCCATTGTGAAGAACAATGGCACTCAGGAATTTTTATCTGGAAGGAAAATACGTTTATCAAGAGTCTTGCCAACACTACTTCCAACGTCACTATGTTTTCCCTCTGTAACGCAGAGGCCGTCTTTGGGATGATGTGACAAAGTACGGTTTCACGCCTTCCCTTAGCACTCAAAGCCAGCTTGGTTCTGATTACGTTTGCAGTTTATTAGCGTGGATCCACAAAGGCACAGTACACATAGAAGGATGGAGACTGTACAAAGGCCATGCTCACGGGTTTCCATTTCCCGTAAACTTGTGAATCAGTGCCAGGCTGGCATGGTGAGCTGGCAGTGGCTGTGGACACCCCAGGCCTTGTTCCCACGCCTGCAGGGCCAATGGCACATCTAAGTGCTTCACACGGAATTGGGTCTCTGCGAGTGCTTAGTGGGAAGGGATACCAAGCTGCCCAGGTGCCTACTGACGAGCTGGCTTGTTATCAAATGCTGTGGAGAAGGAGAGAGGCATATGCCGTATGGGCAATGGAAGCTGGCAGAAGTCTGGATCTTGAAATAACTACTTAGCTGACCCTTGCTTTGTCTCACTTACTTTCGTCCCGTCCCAGCTGGTGTTCCTGGTACTCAACATGACCCACCTCTGTTTCCAGTTCTGGGAAATGGCCACAAAGGGCGTCCTCAGCTACTGGAGAAAACCGAGACACTGGCTGGAGGTAACCTCTCTGACATATTCTCTATGTACTAAAGTATTTTTATCTGAAAGGAAAAATACTTTCATCAGGAAGTCTTATAGATTCTATTTCCAATGTCACTGTGGTTCCCCACAATGGAGGCACAAGAGCATTTGAAACCAGGTTTCCTTGGCATCTGATGGAGGTGGTGGTAGTGGAGTGTGTGTGAGTGTGTGTGTGTGTTTGTGTGTATGTGTGTGTGTGCACGCACATGTGTGTGTGCTCATGTTCATGTGTGTTTAGACACATAAACGTGTGAAGGCCAGAGGCCAGACCTAGGTGTCATTTCTCAGATACCATCGATCTCTCTTTTTAAAATAGTATCTCTCATTAGTCTTGAAATAATCAATTAGATGAGGTTGGCTGACTGGAGAGCCCAGGAATCCACACCTGTCTCCCCCACATGGGGATTCCAAGCATGTGCTACCATGATGGGTATTTTTATGTGGGTTCTGGACATGCACTCACGTCCTCATGCTTACACTTTACCATTCAAGTTATCTCCTCAACCACCAACTCAATGTTTGACAGGCAACTTGTCACCGGAGGGTCAGGATGCCAGCTGTGTCCACCCTCGGTCAGCTGAGAAACCTTTCTCCCTCTGTTGCAGCTCTCTATGGTTGGGGTAGCCCTGGCCTACTATGCAGTCTCTGGTCACCTCACTACCCTTGCTGAGAATGTCAATGACCAGTTCCACAAAGGACTTCATCAGATGTTTGTGGACCTAAGTCGGATGGTGTCATGGAATCAGGTATGATAGGGAACTCAAGGCTACCCAAAAGAAGCCATAACTGATGTTGCTCAATGACATCTGTCATACAAGGACTGGAAGTTTCAGTGTGATGAATTTTTTTCTGTTGGATGATAATGCTATAAGCTCTCAGATGGTGCCAGTTGAAGCAGTGATGGATCTGGAGAACATCACATGTGCACACTAGCTGAGCATGCTATGTAGAGCAGAACTCAGGAGCCAGGGATGCCAATGGACTTGCAGCAGCATGAGGAAGCAGGTATCAGTCAACATGGTCTACAGTAAGGAAGCTGTCACTCACATGCATAGACACATCATGTCTGCCTTCCCTTCCATCTGGTGATGGTCTTAGATGCTGGTATTTTCAATAAGTGAAGAGCCTGAGGCTCAGGAAGAGACTTGAAGTCATGAAAGGGAGAAACACCATCTCTAAGTCCCTGCATCTCTACCATCTAAGCTTCCATCTGTAGAATGGGATCTCTACCAAGAGATGGAATTTGCAGGACAGGGCTTATAAGCCCCTGGGAGGAGACCTATAGGTCAGGGGATCCTATCACAGCAGGTGGGCTCCCTGGAGGTCGACAGCTTCATGCTACAGTGGATATATGCAAACTGAATCTATAGTCCCGTCTTGTTCTGCTGTAGCCACAGCTAACACCTCTATCATCCCACAGATTCTCTAAGCCTCTTTCCTACCAACCTTGATGGCTGTCAATGCCCCAGGGCCATCCTGTACCTAGAGAACCTTCATACCCTGGACAAGATGCTCCCAGAACAATCTGAAAAGGGGGGAACTGGTTCTCCTCTAACCTTAGTGCTCCCAGCTTGACCACCTCCCTATAATTTCCCTCTGGATCTTCTTGTGGTGGACCCTGGGCCCAACTTTCTTTTCTGCTAAGTAAGGAACCTAAGAGGACACAGGATGGTGGTGTTACTGCACCACAGCTCAGTCTTCCTTTTCTGGATAACTGGTGCCACTGCTGTCTCTGTCTCCTGGGAGGCTCCACCCATCTTCTCTTCCCTGCCTTTTCACCATCTACACTCTGGATAAACTGTGGAGCAGAAACACAAGAGTGTTCCCAAGACAACTGCTGCAGCTGGGGGAAACCGAGACCCGGAGGATGTCAGGACCTTCCTATAGCCAGAGTGGCCCAGTCTCGCAAATAACAGAGACTCATCAGCCTGGGGGCAGTGTTGAAGGATCTCAAGCAGAGGACAATCTGGGTTTCAAGAATACAAATCATCTTCCTTTTGCAGATGTCACTAGACCTGTGACTTTATGAGTCAGTCCTGGGCTCGCTCAAGCTAAGCAGTGAGCCCTTTGCATGAGGGAAGCTATGAAGCTATACTTTCTACTCCTGAGCATTGAGCTCCATGGTACTCATGAGTTCCAAGGCTAGGCACTAACCAGGTACACATCATCTTTATATCACAAGCAGCTGACCTGCCTCCTTTCCTTCCTGCTCATCACCCCTATGGTGCTGCGAAACACTTTCTTTGTGTACATTGCTGATCCCAGCAGGGACTCGCTGCATGGAGGGCACCATAGGCCATCCCTGTGCTAAGCACCAGGAGCAGGATTCCAGACACTTCTGCACCTTGGACTATAATTGCTACAACCTGTAGGAGTCTCATCTGTCAATCACAAAAGTGAGGAAAATCATCCTTTTGTTCACACAGGCAAGAAGCTCTGTTCCTTTCTGTCCTAAAACAGGAAGTCTTAAGACATGAAGTATTAGTTAGCCTAATACTTCCTGGATCCCCCCAATTAAGGGAGCCCCAGGATGCTGCTCTCAAGTTTCTCCTATCTGTGGATAATGTCTTTCCACACAGTAGTGAACAGCTCAGGCTGTGCAAGTGCCTTTTGCTCATCTTAGGATGTTTTGTTCTCAGCCTCAGAAATATGTGTGGCTAAAGCAGAGCTGGGTCAGCGTCGGTGCAGTATGACTTGGCTGTCTCACATACACCAAGCGGCCAGACGCTCTAGGAAGGAAGCTACCAACTTGTTCACTGCTGTTCCCCAGCACCAGCGTGGGGCCAGACGATGCCTCTTCTCTTCCACCGTTGGCCTCGCTGTCTCGTCGCTGGCAGGCTTTCTGGTCTACCTTTCCTGTGTGTCTGGATTCATCCACACTTTTTCTTCCAGGGGGTTTCAGCTCACTTTCTGTCTTTTCTAACTCACAACCACGGCTGTACATCAGCCTGGATTCCAACTCCAGCAAAGCTTGGAGTCCCTTTCCGGAAACACTTTGTAGGATGCTCTTCTCATTGTGGTGGTCAGAGAAGCTTCCCCTTTCACTGCCCTTTTCCTCACCACGATCATGTTTGCTGTAGCCAAAATCTTGCCGGGAATGACTCCCTCTTCCCCGGGGCTTCTATTACAGCCTGGTGCTAATTTCTGGGCCTTCACGTAGCTCTTGAGTGAGAGCTGACCTGGTAAAGCCTCATCCTGCCCCACACTCACATCAGAGTTCTGGCCCTGCATCATTTGTTCCAACAGCAGAATATTATTCATTTCCACCACCCAGTGCCTGGGTGTAGCTCAAGCTGATTAAACTGAGTGTCTCTAACTCTCCTCTGTACAGGGCTTAGCTTGATGAACTGGAGTTTATAAATTTGGTGTACAAGTATTTCCATTTTATTCTGAATATACATATTATTTTACATATGTTGGTCTAAATAAAAGACTAAGTAGACTTCTCTGCTTACTATCACCCATTAGATTGCAGCCAGCAGGGAATTTGTGGTTCTGCCATGGTGTGTTTTACCTGCCCAGTGGGGGTTACAGGGCCAACTGTCTCTATGTTTTCCCCAAGCACAGCATATCTTGCTGTCTTGAGGGGATCACAGGTGTGCCAATAGTATTTCACATAACCACCTATGCATCAAGTGACATACTGTCCAGAGAAACAGGTAATCGTATCCCCTCCACACCACAGATGACCCCACCCGTACTCCAAGAGGGTGAACATCACAGTCCACTCAAAGCAGCAGTGGAAATGCCTCTGGTCTTGTAATCAGGTGCCTGAGAAGTGAACTGTGGCGTATGTATGGCAGGCCATCAGAACACTGTCACTGTCTGAGTCCAGATGTCCTTGTAACTGCAGCCGATGGCCCTAGCCTCAGCTTTTCTTTAACCCTAAGAGTGGGTCAGGCTTCCTCAAGTTTTAAATAGGATAGGACCATAGTATAAAACTTAAGGGATTTTTCTAGAATGAGAGAAAGGAAGACTATACATACATATCCCTCTTGGTATACGATAGATATCCTATAAATAAATATGATAATGAAAACAGTTAAGAAAGCATTCTGGTATCCTTCCAATTAGATGTAGGCAAGAAAGGGGTTCACAGAGAGGCCATAGGTGTGCTCTCCAGTGTCATGGTCACTCACCCCCTGAGAGCATAGAGAAGGCAGTACGGTCAGCTCAAATTGAGATGTACTCCGAATACAAAATGCTTACCAAATTTCATAAATTAAGTATGCAAGCATCTCCATGTGTAGGAATGCACATGCTATTTTACACGTGTTTGTTTAAATATAATACAAAGTGAATCTCCGTGTTTATTTTCACCTGCTAAATTGCAGCTCTCCTAGCCAGTACTAGCTGGGCTGTCAGTCATCCCTGTTTTTGTGTCTTACTGACTTGAAGGGGCCACAGCTGTGTCAGCCCCTCACAGCTTACCCAGGCCTCAGTTCAGAGGTGGCTGTTGGTAATTTCCTAAATAACCTTAACACCTTGGTCCTTTGCTCTCATGAGGTGCTAGTATGCAGCATTCATTTCTCCTTCTTGGGGAAAGTAGATGAGGCCATACACAGAACGAAAGGCCTTCCCCAGCAAGCTATAGACAGGTACACAGCTTTTGAGTGACCCAGGAGTCTTGGGAACCTGTGTTGGACCTGGACTCTGAGTGTGCCACTGGGTCATCCTGCAGTGTCTTTAGTCCCATTACTGTGTTTATCTGAGCCATAGTCTTCATGGCTATGATGTGGGGACCCTTCTGGCTGTCATAGAATTAAACTTTCAGTATCTTCAAGGAAAGCATTGGTAAAGTGTTACATGACTGGGGGGGGCACACCCTGTCACTGCTGCCACTGCCATTTCCTTACAGCACAGTGGACTGAGGGGAAGCAGCCAGACCTGCTCTGCTGTTTCTACCAGCCTGACCCTTCTAAAGATGTCTTACAATGTGCCCTGAATCCTGCTTCTGTCACATGCTCCTCTGCAGGCATCAATGCTTGGCATCCCCTGGAGACCTGGTGTCCCCGGGAGACCTGTCATCTAAACAACTCCTTAAATGGACGTGTGTTTCAGCATAGCTCACTGGTGTGTGCCTGTGTCTACATGTTATCACTGGCAGGACTTACTGACCCGCTGTGTTCTTCCCTTAGAGAGCAAGATGGCTCCGGGGAAGCCTCCTGTTCCTCTGGATGCTGAAGGGTGCTCACCTCCTCGGTCTCCTAAACACCATGGCATCCTTCTCCGCAGTGACGCGTTCCTCTCTCTCCAGAGCCTTCGCCCCAGCAGTAAGAATTCTCCCCCTTCTCCAGCCATTTCCTTAGTCACCCAACACATTGGCTCACCCTAGTCAGGGAATAGCAAACTTCTCACAGGGCGGCACGCCATCCAGAATTCTAGCCACCTAATCCATCACGATGGGGTGTAGATACGGGGTATCAGCATTACAAATTGCATTTGTGACAGCAATAGCCATGATTTATTAAACACTGGCTTTGTGTTATATACTTTCCCACTATGGTTATTTTTTGTGGTTATTACCACCTGTGTCTCCCTCTCTAAGTGCCAGGAATGCTGTGGAGGGTCGCTTGTACGTGAACACACTTAATGATCACAATGGGCTGTGGGCGGGAAGGGTGGTTTTCTCAGATGATGGAGCAAGAAGCTGAGAGAGGGGATGAGACTTGCCTTGGGACTGTAGCTTTCAGGTCCTTTGATGGCCACACGCTGCTTCTCCATCCATTTGTCACCCGAGTCCTGCATGCAGAGACTTCTCCACTCACATGCCAGAACCCATTTTGTATTATTTACCTCACTCGAGGAACCACACAGCATCAGTAGAACACAGAAGCAAACCCCAGTCCAGACAAAAGAGCATCATGGGTATATGATGCTCAGTTGTCTGCATGAGTGCTTGGCAATGCCTGAGTTCTGTGCCAGCGCAGGGCAAGTCTCCATCCAGGGATGGGCCTAAAGTTCTGACTGGAGAGTGGAGGCCCAAACCATGCCCAGAGTGCAGCTTAGGTCTTGATAATGTTCCTGGCCGCTGGCCCTGGCTGGGAAGAGCTCACTCTAGCCACATAGAGTCTAAGACAGCTACATTTAAACCCAGGCCTCTACCCAACTCACAAATGTCACCAGAGGCCAGTTAATAAGCCTGCCATGAAACGCCTTAGAAATTGTACAGAGCTACGTGGTCCTTAACTAGCAATAAACTGTTATCAACCCCATTTAGTATTATATAAAAGTGCCTTTAAGAAAATTCATATGGATATGGATATAATGAATGATACTAACTGACGTAACAGATTCGCCCTGTCCAAAGTGCATGTGTGGTGGGAACCTGTGGAGTCAGCCAGGCCCCTCATCCTGACTTGCTGAGATGAAGACTAGCAGCTTGTGTTTTGCTGTCGGCTTGCCTGCTTTGTTTTTTACATTTAAGATTTTGTTCATTATTATTTAGTTATTTGTGGGGGAGGGCATTGCCTAGAGGTCAGGGGACAGCTCTCGGGAGTCCTTTCTGTTCTCTCATCATATGGGTTCACCGGGCTTGGCAGAGCAAGCAAGGGCACGGTGAACCCTCACCCGCTGAACTAGGGCACTCTGGGTGGAGCAGGGGCTTGTTCTGCGGAAATTCAAAACCGCTAAGGCTATCTCTTGGGGTCAGAGAGAAGAGCAAAAGGTGGGGAGAATCTTGGCAGCTTCAAGTGGGTGTCGCTGGGAGAGAGCGTGTAAGTGGGAACAGCCCGGAAGTTAGAGTCGGGGTCTGGGGTCAGAGAGGTGGGAGCTAGCATGGGGAGTACGATCTATCACAGATACATGTTGATAGAGAACTGTGTGAGAAGTAGATGGCTGCAGGGGCTCTCCACTAGCAACCCTCTGTGTACCTGGTCAGAGTCCAGCTTGAGCTGAGCCTAAACTGTCATTTAGGATATTGTCAGTGGCGCGGCCATTTTAGGGGCCAGTCCCTTTACCCAGTGGGAAAAGTTGCCATCCCCTTTTTATTCTGTTTCAAGACAAAATCTTAAGACCTTAAACCCGCTATAGAGCCAATGATAGCCTTGAATTCCTGATGCTCCTGCCTGTACCTCAGAGCACTGAGGTTGCAGGCAAGTCCCACCACACTCAGTCTAGACAATGCTTTCTTCTTCCTCAGTCCCACAGAGATGTGTGCCAAGCCATGTCAGAGTCAGGGACAGTCAACAAGTGCCAGGCAAGACACACGGAATTCTAAGTGTAGGGCCAGGAAAACAAATGGAAGCCAGTGGTTTCTGAGATGGACAGCAGAACGACAGTCTGTCGTCCGCTGGAGAAAGTGTGTCAGCCCTGGAGTTGGTTTTAGCAGAGAGTGAAACAAACTGGGGTACTGACACTACAACTAAGACCCCAGCCAAGCCCCTGCCTCTCATAGGCAGATCACAAGCTTAGCCAGAACCAGCTTGCCTCCAAGTAACCCTTCCCAATTCTCCTTAAGTCATTATCTTTACATAGCCTGTGCTGGGTGCTTGACACATCTAGGCAGACACCATCATGGTAGCAGTAACCCCATATAGGAGAAGTCCAGAGGCTGAAGGAGCAGAGGTGGCAGAGGTGGCCAAAAGGGTGAGCCTCGTCATAGTCAATCATCCGGCCCCATGGCACATGTGTGGGAACTGTGACCCGGCCATCAGTCTCCTACGTTTCAGTGGAAGAGGATGGGGGTACAGAGACAGAAGAGCTCTGATAACAGAATGACAAGGTGGCTTTGGAAGGTGTAGACTCAGGTAGAAAGACAGAAAGAGACCTGGGAGGGACAGCTCTATTGGAAGCTTACCTCTTTGGGATGAGATCCTAAACCAGAAAGGCTTGAGTTACACATAAAAATACCCCTTCTCCAAGCTCTTAACAACTTAAAATCATTTAGAAGTCCCCCAAATAGCCCTCTTCCCCAGAGAGAGTTGATGGCTTAGTGTCCTGGGGTTTTCTCCCTACAGCTCTTGGGGTCCCTGTTGCTGGCCGCCCATTTCCACTTGTACCGGTTTCTGCTGTTCACCTGGACACCATCACCTGGCGGCACCTCTACAGACGCATTTCCTGGGCTGCTGCCTCAGTTTCTGGGAATAAGCCACAGGGACTCACCGCACAATCATTTGGAGCCTGGCCGTCAAGCCGTGTCTTGTTACCGTGGGGCCCTTTTTCTGCTGGTGGCAACTCTATGTTTCAGAATGGTATGTAGATACCTTGATACAGCCTAGACTTTAAAGTCCAAGTTTGTAAAGGTTTCATCTGCTATCAGGACAAATGATCTCTGTCCATATAGACAGATAAGTCCAGACTGCCCTGGCCAGATCTCATGGGAACAGATCTCCCCGCAGGATCTACCTGATCTGCCCTGAGATGGGGTTGGGCACAATCAGCTTGATTCTCCCTTCACGGAGAACAGTCCAGCAAGGCCACAGCTACTCCAGCTCAGGACACTCCCCCACTGTTAAGAGAAGCTTTTTCCTTGAGAAGGAGCCGTTCCACCAGCCTGGTCCCAGAGCCGCTTGAGTCCCAAATAAACACACAGGAGGCTGTATTAATTATGAAGCTGTTGGCCTTGCTTGTTTCTAACTGGCTAGCTCTGACTTAAGTAATTACCCCATAATTGTTAATCTAAGTATGTCTCTTACCGGAGAGGTTTCCGGGCTTCCTACCCCAATGGCGTTACATCTCGAACTCTCTTGTGTTTCTCCTTCCCAGAATCCTCCTGGACTCCTAGCCCCACCTATCTAGATTCCTATAGGCTCAACAGTACTTTATTGACAAATAACAGGCAAATAACAGGACTTCCCCAACCCCCTCCCCCGTGGACTCACATCTCTTCCCACCCTCACCTTGATCTCAGGCTGCTTCTGCTGAATCCCTCCTCTGTACACCCTACTCATTTTATAAGACGGTGTTCAGTGTGACACTGTCACACACCCAGTCCCAGTCTTCCCTTTAACTCTAAGCAGGCCTCACCAAGTCATGGTCCTAAATAGTCCTTTCTGTCTCCCTTTTTAGCCCTAGCCACATTCAAAGCAGCTAACCAAGAACTCTACCTTCCCGAGGTGGCTCTTGGTACACGGTGAAGCTCGATAAGAGTACAAGAACTTGGTCAATGCTTTCTCAATGACATCAAATTCTTTGTTTCACAAAGTTCTGCCAGTGTTGTCATCCATAGACTGCTAAACTGGAAGTGTCTGCATATGCTCACACCCTGACAGCACTCCGGCAGGCCCTCAGCTCCTTTCAAAGGTCCGCATTCCCTGCTCACCGTTTTCCAGTCATCCATCCATCCTGCGTTCCTTCCTCCATCCTAGCCACTCACCCTCCCCGCCAACTACTTATCATTGCTTGGCTACCCGTAACCCAGCTATTTACCCAGTAATACTTTGGCTGGCCACTCATTAACTCTCTTTCCATCCATCCATTTTAGGTACAGGATGAGAAACACAAGCATGCGTGTGTGCGTGCGTGTGTGCCTGTGTGTGTGTGTGTGTGTGTGTGTGTGTGTGTGTTCCAGTGTGTTTCCATTTGGAGGCCAGAGGATAGTTTTGAGTGTTATTGCTCAGAAACTGCCTTGTTTTTACCCCTTAAGATGAGACCTCTCATTGACTTGGAACTCACCAGGAAAGCTATACTGGCTAGCCAGTAAAATCCAGCAACTCACCTGTCTCTTGCTTCCAAGTACAAGAATTAAAACTGGGCATCACCATGCTCAGTTTTGTTTTGGTTTGCTGTGGTTTTTCAAGACAGGATTTATCTGTGTAGTCCTGGCTGCTCTAGAACTAGTTCTGTAGACCAGGCTGGCCTCTACCTCTTGAATGCTGGAATTAAACGCCTGCACCATTGCACCCAGAGTCTTTTGTTGTTTAGCATGAGCTCTGTGGTTTGAAGTCAGCCCTCAGACGTGCAGATGTGCTGTATCCATCTGCCAGCTGCCTGCCTATGCTCCCAGCCCTTGGTGACCCCACACAGTTCTGCAAGGGCTGAAGGGACTCGAGGGAATGTCAAGGGCAAAGTTGTGGCCATGAGAGACAGTGAGTAACCGAGACAATTTTTGAGAGGTATGTTGACATGTTTTCACACAGCACAAGCCCCTCACACTATAGGGCGCACGCCCCACACATGCAGGCTCTAGCAGAGTCAGGCGATGGAAATCCAGAAGAGAGAGGGGAGAGAGGTCTTGGGGAGGGGTATTGACATGTTCAGAGGGTGTGGCTCAGAAGCAGAAGCGGGAAGGAGGCTCTGGGTCAGTGACTGTGTAAGCTTTGGCTCCTGGGGTCTGTCAGCACAGCTTCTCCATTTCAATGGACAACACCCTGTGAGGTTCTCCAGGGCATCCAAAGCAGACAGACTCTGAATGGCTAAAATTTTGCTTGTTTGAGCTATTTTCCAAAATAAATGGGATGTGAACTAACACGTCTCAGTCTGCAGTCAAGAAATAAAGAACCCAGGGACTCATATCCGGGGTCCAGTGTTGGCTCATCTTGCTAGCACACACGAGGACACAGCATCCTGCTGGATCTCCCAGAGACAGGCCCACACTCTGGCTGAGGTGCTGTGTCACACACAGAGACACCCCTGCGGGACAGTGACAGCGTGCTTCACAGTAAGATACATTTCACTGCTGAGCTCAAACCATAGTTTCACACCTGAGTGGAGTTTCCCAAATTTTGTGTTTTGTGTCGCCAAGCTCCCTGAGAAGTCCTTAAGGAGCGGCAGCAGATGTAATGCCCACTTCATAGTTTATCAGATTAAATCACCTCATAGCTTGGTAACACAGAGTCTCTCTCTCTCTCTCTCTCTCTCTCTCTCTCTCTCTCTCTCTCTCTCTCTCTCTCTCTCTCTCTCTCTCTCTCTCTCTCCCCTCCAGCTGAGGGCTTCCCTCCTGACTTTTTTCCGAAAAAGAAAGTCTTTTCACAGAAAATCTCTCGTGACACTTAAAAATCTTGCTGTTTATGCGCGGCATAAATTCCTCGCTCTTCTGGGGCTGGAAGCAACAACTCTGGAGGAGACTGAGCTGGCTACGGACCATGTAAGCTGTGGGACCTTGGAGTAGTGAGCAGCGGCACACTGGGGTTGAGGGCTCTACCATGCAGCTTGCTTCCTCATTAGAGCACCATGGTGATTCCGTGCCAGCTGCTACAGCAACGGGCTCAAAATTAGCTCTCAACCTAGTGGATCTTACAGAATCTTCCCTTGAAGCACTAAAGAACACACAGGGTTGGCAGTCTCTGTCACTGCTCAATACATCCCTATAGCCACCCTAAGGCAGAGTCTCCAGTTTTCACTTGAGTTTCTCACTTGCATTTGGCATCTGTTATCAGACCAAGATTCTACCAAAACCATGGAGCCCTTGGCACTCTGGGTTGGGCACTCCAGACACTAATGCAAACAAGTCTAACGTAGGTATTTTCACAGTGCATTCTCAGCCATCATCCATGACTGCTGTTTATACAGCATTCGGTGAAGTCCTGAAGCCTGTGAGAAGCATCATCGCACTGCGTGTTTGGATAGGGCCTACTGCCTGTCATGGGCCCATTATTGTCCTCACATTCATTCATGGGTTCTTTGTCAAGGCATCATTAGCTGTAATACTTATGAATGAAGCAGTGTGTACACACCATAAATGAAGGGACCAAGACACACAGAAAGAAACCAGTCCAGCACCCAGGCCTTCTAACTTCTGGGTCCAGGATATTTTATACCATAGTGAAACTTTCCAAAGTTGACATCACTAAATAATTGAGATAATGGGAGTAAAAGGAAAACATCACATTCCTGTATGCATTTACTAATCTAGTCTTCTTCCCTTCAGAGTTACTACCTGGATGAATTTTCAAGTCTATTGGATGAACTTCTGGTGAAGATTGATGGCTTGTCTGACAACCTGGAACTTTCTATCCTAGAGGAGCAATGGAGGAGGGGAGTGGACTCAAGGGCAGTGGATAGTCCTTCAGCTGGCCTTTCAGGGTGCCAAGCTACTGGGGTAAGACTGCAGGTTACTTTTCTTAATATTCTATGCAGCAATTTTTATATTCTAAAGTTGGTTTGAATTCATGAGATGGAGTTGTACAAAAACCACCTAAGAACAGTATCAGCGGGAAGATGTACTCTAGCCAGACTTGCTTAAAGACTTCAAGTTCCCAGTGATGCCATGGATGTCTATCAGCCCCATCATTTCCCCTTCTAACTGTAATCAGTAGAGAGGCTCAGGAGCAGAAAGTGCGTCTCCCAGGGGTGAGGGACATCTGTTAGCAAAGTTACCTGCTGAGAGCACTGAGGGTTAGAACGGAAGGGAGAGATGTGCGTGCGGGTGCTGCTGTGTGTGAGAGCGTGCACAGGACCCAGAGGGGCACTCGCGGAGGCTCCAAGCAAAGGCGAGGGCAGAGGAGCATACATCTGAAAGCAATTGCCACAGAAGGGTGACACTGGCGAGCAAGGCACTCTCGTGAAAAGTAACTTGGTGACGAAAATCTGTATTTGAAAGTGGAGTACGAAGCTAAAAAAGAAAGAGCAAATAGGAAATAACAAAAGAACAAGTCGTGACAGGCAGTGGTGGTGCATGCTTCTAATCCCAGCACCTGGGAAGAAGAAGCAGATGGATCTCAGTGAGTTCAAGTCCTGCCTGGTCTAAAAGTGAGTTTCAGGACAAGGGCTACACAGAGAAACGCCGTCTTAAAAAACAAAATAAACATATTATAAATAAATAAAGTTGGCAAGAAAGAAGAAAGGAGTTTCTCTATATCCACAGGTTTGGAATGGATAAATGTGTTTCTATGCACAGTGAAGAGAAGAATAGGAATAGATTTGCAAGAAAATGAGCAATGGATGAGGGTCTGAAAAAAACTCATCAAAAAATTTTAAGTTAAAATTTATTTTAGGAATAATAATGGACAGAGAAATCTGAAAAAGAAAGCTATATGTAAGTCAGAGAGAGTAAAGATTTAGGTCTAAACAGATATTTTCCACTGGCAATGTGGTTACACACTTAAAAACCCAGTATAACTAAAATAGGGTGCACAGGAAGGCATTTGATCAGCTAAGACTGCTGGTGGCAGAATTAGCAACACAGCATGGCACAGGACCAGGTCCCCTGGGACTAGTCAGGACCTGTGACACTGAGAATGGCCTCTACAGACAGAATGCACCATCGTTCTATCTGTTCATCTATCATCTTATTTTTTCCCCTTTCGAGACAGGGTTTCTCTGTGTAGCTTTGTACACCAGGCTGGCCTCAAACTCACAGAGATCCATCTGCCTCTGTCTCCCGAGTGCTGGGATCAAAGCTGTGTGCCGCCACCAGTTGGCTCTGTCGTCGATTTTCATGTGTCCTCATGTGCTTGCATGAGTTCATGTGCAGCATGGTCAGAGTCCCTGGAACTGGACTTACAGGCACTCGGGAGCCGCTAAATGTGGTGTGGAGCAATGGATCCGAGCCCTTTGCTAAGGTAGTCCTACCCTGTAATCTTTGAACTCTGAACCATCACCTTAACACTGAAGAATTGTACTATCAACCATCATAAGTCAGAGACTATCTGTAGATCTGAAAAGAAACTCTTTCCCAGGATTAAAAAAAAGTTTCAAATCTGTTTAATCTAGAGTAAAATGTAAAAGTCAGTTACTAGACTTAAAGTAAGAACATAACTCTTTTGCTGTCTAGATAGCATCGCTGCCTGCTTCTACATGATTTAAAACTTAAAAAGCTGTTGTGCTTTACTAATTATTATTCTAATTATTAAAATGATTTGAAGCTCATCTCAACAAAAGGGGACACATGAACGGACAAGTATAATTTTTGAGAATAGGAAATACAATGGCCAATTGCATGACAAACTTAAAAGGCAAGAATGCACACAGATAGAGGGAATAAGCAGCCCCTACAACTTCTGTGACATGAAAAAACTGAAAGCCATAACAGACTTCCGGAAGAGGACATGTGAATGTCCGTGTCGTGAGGTCTGGGGATAATAGTGTAGAACCAAGGCTGGCCCATGCCGTTAAATCAGGAGTTACAGGAGCATGAGGGACAGTCTACATTCGACCCAGTTCATCAACAAAATTCGCTTGGGCTCAGCAAAGCAGGAGGCGGGAATCGCAAACAAGAAGCCCAGCTGAGACAAGCCAATGTCAAACAAAGGGGTCCATCAGAAGCACACTGGCAAGCCGTCAGCCGTCCTGCAGCTAAGCATGGCAGCGATGGAGATGGCAACATACAACATGCAAAGGCGGAGACAGGAAGCACAGTTGGGGACACTGGGGGGATAATAAAACCTCGGGGAAGACAAACTGGCTGTGTACAATCCGACGCAGCTAAATTGACGGGAAAAGAGGAAGCTGAAGCAGAGCTTGCGCGGCCACCCTCGACACCAGCCAGGTGGGGCACAAGTGAAATTCATACTCCTACGACAAAGCCAGAGCATCTGCAAACTGCTCCTGCCACACAGAAGGAAATCTTTCAACTGTGCTGTCGTGAAACGAGAAATGCATTGATTAAAAACTGTTCAAAGACATCCCAAACCTCAGAAACTACCAGTCTTACTGATTTTTGATACCAAAATAATCTATATAAAACATTAGCAAATAAGATTCAGCAGCAGATTAAAAGAGTAATATCCTGTGCCCATGAGTTTTAAATCAAGACTACTTTTTGTATTAAAAATACATTAACACCCCCAAAACAGGAGTAAAGTATCATATGACTTTCTCCACAGCTGTATTTAGTGAAATCCAACATCTCTTTCTAATGTCTAAAGTCCTCTTTTAAAGGGATAGACCCCAAATAAGATATCTCTGTGCATACAGTCCACTAGGGGTATATCAGATCTCCATGTATACAGACCACCAGGGGTACATAAGATCTCTGTGTATACAGTCCACTAGGATACATCAGATCTCCATGTATACAGTCCACCAGGGATACATCAGAGGCACTTTCGCCTAGATTAAGGAAAACCAGAAAGTTGTTCCTTCAAAATCCCACAAAGACATTTTTAACTGATTCTGGGCCTCAAGCTGGGGACCTCAAGTGTGCTTGAGTTGTTTTTGTGGGTACAGTTAAGGCAAGAACTCCAGCCAGAGCTCTGTCTCCAGCTGCTACTGGACCATATCTAAGGCATCAGTCTCCTCCCAAAGACCCCTGTCAGCACACTATGGACGTCTATGTCACGACTGCAAGGGCCAGAACTGCACGTGTGTCTCAGTAGTTCTCATGTGCATATTGTGTGCTCTTGTGAGCCTCTCCATACTGCCTGATGCATCAGGATCCATGCGGGTTTCCTAACACTCTGCAATGTTCATGGCAGAGACAGCAAAGACAATCTGTGGCCCAAGGACAAGCTCTTCTTGTGTGACATGGAAGGGCTTGGCACTACCACAATCATCAATTTTACTTTCCTCCCACTGGAAAATGTGATTGTTTTCTGAACAGTCACTTTATGAGACATCGATCAAAGGCATATTACACAAAAGCCACCGTAGCTGGGTTTGCCAATGCCTGTAGCACCCAGGTTCCACAGCACAAGTTAGCTGTCCTTCTGGGAAGGAGCTGGGTGTCAGTAGTCTCCAAGCAAGCCAAGCCCAACAGGGTTTTGCAGAACAGACACCCCTTTGTGTGATGGAAACCAAGGAAAGGACCCATTTGATTTTCCTAACTGGGGGCAGTTGTTTTTCATCTTAACCAATAATAATTAAGATCGGTATCTCTCTAAAATAGCAGGAGATGTCGCCTGGAGCTACCGCTAACCACCTGCAAATTGCATTGTTCTTTGTGCTTAAGTGACTCATAGCAACAGAACGCTGTGGCTGCCAAGCCCACCGCCTCTCCTCGCCCCTGGCTCATTGCTCATTCTGTGATTCTTGGCTCGCCCTTGCCTCTTAGCTGCCTCCACCTACGGTCAGAGAAAAGTTCCTGCTCCGCTTCTTGCCCAGGCCCCTCACCACTCAGCGCACCCCCGCTCTGCAGAAGCTAGCCAGGCCTGAGTCCACGGAGCATTTGGGAGATGCTGTGGGGCATCTCTCCACTTGCTTTTGTGAGTACAGATAAGGCAGGATAAGTCAGCCAGAAGGGGGCACTTTATCTCAGGACACAGCTGACCTGCTCAAGTTAAGGGCACAGCTCCTCCATAGAGCACCTGTCTAGCATACAGAAGACCCTGGCTTCCATCCCTAACAAAGAATGTTTTTAAGTGTAATTACTAGTCTCCTTCCAGGGTGGAAGTAGAGAAGTTTCTCCTAGGTGGAAACTGGGTTAAAGTTCTCCCTCTGGAGGATGGAGCAGAGGCCACTGTGCTTGCAGAGAAAGCGTGCAGAGTTCAAAGGCTCTGCTGTCGAGCAGGTTCGTGCTACGAAGCTGAATTCTTGGCGTCCCTGCTCATTTCTTGCAGCTTCTTTCCTTGACTCTGCCAGTTTGTGAGGTACCATGGGGATGATTTAGAGCACCCAACTTCACAGCGAGCCTCTGTCTAGAGCTGGACTTCTCAACCTGTGGGTCGTGACCCCATAAGGGTCACATATCTGATGTTTACATTATGATTCATGACAGTAACAAAATCGCAGTTATGAAGTAGCAACAAAATGATTTTATGGTATGTGAGGACCTGTATTAAACGGCCGCAGTCTTAGGAAGGTTGAGAACCACTGACTTCCTGCTTGTAACTGGCTTCCACACTGTTGTCCTTCAGTCAAGCAGAGTTATCTTGTGGGTGGGTGCAAGGTAACTAACACACTGAGCTGGTTCAAGGAAAGCCACCCCAGCCCTCACATGAGGAAAACAGGGGGCCCTGAGTGTCTCTGCCCCTTCTGACGTAGGCATAGAAGTCTCAGGGTCCCACCACTGAGCTATGCTGCTGATGGTGATTCGTTTGTAACTACGCAGTGGGCACCAAGGGCACGTGGTGCGGTGCCATGCCATGTGTCCTTCCTAGGGAGCACTGTGTCACTCCCCACAGGAGCGCTGAGCAAGGCAAATGGAGCTGATATGAACATGTTCCCCTTCCTCTATGTGGGTCTAATCTAGACTGCTGGAAAGCGAGTGTCAAGGTCCATGCATGTGCCTGTCACCACTCTGGGGACTGAGAGGGCAATGGAGAGCAACACTGAGACGCTGTGGCCACCAGGAAGACGGGATGATTCCTGATCGCAGAAGGAAAGGATCTTGGAAAGATGAGCAGTAATCTGGGCGACCTTTGTGCTCGTTTGGATCCGAGTGTGACATCCCTCTTCTGTGACACTGAGAGGGGCCGCTAACAGTGCAGTCACGAGTGGAAGTGAGGGACCTCCTGGAGGAACGCACCCCTCTGCCCCCAAGATGCAGTTAACTCTCAGAGGGGCTGCTGTGTTCCTGGGGAAACATTACCTTCCTACCGGGACTCCTGTCCTGGCTCTGCCGGCGCTGCCAGAGTTACATCATAACCCGTGTGCTCTCTGGTACTGAAGACCACGCACAGTAAACGCTTAGCAAACCGGCTAGCAAGTGGAAAGTATAGACGTAGCCTGTCGCTGGAAAAAAAACAAAAGCTAAGCCAAGAAGGGCAAAGGTTGGTGGGCAACTCCAAGGGGAGGGTTTTCGAGAACCTTTGGGTTGTTCTGATAGCTTTTTTTTTTTTAAGTTTGAAACAATTTCCCACTGAGAAGCTTTTGAAAGAGTCTCTTGTGTTGCTCAAGCCCAGAGACTGCACAGAGATGGGGTCACGGTGGCGAACAATAGTTTTAACGGTTCTTAGAAGACATTATTCCCCTAAGCTTTTCCATACTTTTAAGTATATCTTGGTATCTTTTTTTTTCTTGGATGGACATCACAAGAAAAGCTCGTTAAACTTAACAGAACTGCTTAGATGTGATTTATGACTATTGGGTGTATCGGGAGTGCAAGAAACGTAAACCGCCCCATCGATGCTGAAGCAGAGAGCCTCCTGAGATCAGCCGTCTCGGCTTCCACACTGGCTCTGCTGAGGTGGCTGCACAGGGAGGAATGTTCTGCAGCCCCTGATTTATCCCCTTCTGGCACACAAACACCAGCCAAGCTGAAATGCTGGTATGCACACCCCCTTTCTGTGGCTGTGTGCTAGTCCTGCATTAGTGACACTGGATATAAACCAGGACTTCTGTGTCACTGTGAGCATGGAATTTATTTACGAAAGCTGCATTCTATCTAGTGGGGGGTGGGTCACAGGATTGGAATCTTCGAATTTTCCAGAGTTATAATACTCTGTGAGATGACTGCTTTTGAAGCGGTTTCTGTTTCATTGGCTTTGAGCAAACTTCAATAATGATTGCCCCCAAAAACTAGATAAAGGGCTGCATTAGTTCACTGGAATGCAGTAACAAATATCACAGTCAGAAATACGATGTCTCACAGTTTGGAGCCGTGAGGTCCACGGCCCTGGAGGACAGCTTGCCGGCCTTTTTCCCAGCCTCTCTGAACTCCCTGGCTTGGGTGGCCTAATTCTCATTGGCATTCTCCCATCTGTGTTTCTCCATGGTCAGGTCTTCTCTTTCTGGCTGTGCTGGATTAGGACCCACTGCAGCGAATGCATCTCAGGCCCTCGCAATTCCTAGGCATTGAAGACTTTGACATTTCCCTTTAGGGAAGAACTAGCTCATCACAGACATTTGTGCAACTGCAACTCTCTAGAGACAAGGTTCCCACAGTCACACCAATTCCGGGGTTCCTAGGAATCCCACTAATTTGATAAAAGTAAAACAAAACCTTCACATTTCTTTTCACTTTCTCCTTTTAGTCTGCCTAGCTTTTATGAAAGTGATACTTGTGACCAGCAAGGCATCTCAGTGGGTAAAGGCCCTGCTACCAAGCCAGGCAATCTGAGTTCTCAAGGAGAGAACCGACTACTGCAAGTTGTCCTCTGACCTCCAAACACACTCAAGGTGGCACAAATGAGCGTGCATATGCAGTCATCACACACACACACACACACACACACACACACACACACACACACACACACACACACACACACGCCAATAGTGAGCTGTCTGAAAAAACACACACGGGATTGCACCCAAGGAGCACCCGTGGCGGGAGCTGCCTGAAGGCAGAACCAGCCGGTCTAGGGTGGGTAAGTCCTGTGGCATTTGCAGTCTAGATGCCTCTGGAGTTTAAGACCTGTGCAGTTTGTTGCAGACAGGCTGCAACCAAATAAATAAATAAAAACAAAATAAATGATAGATAGATAGATAGATAGATAGATAGATAGATAGATAGATAGATAGATAGATAGATCCCCAAATCCCAAACTCACTTAGAGGCTTAGGGGTAAAAGAGAGAGGAACCAAGCCACCTGGGTGGTGACTTCAGCGGGTGCCCTGTGCAGCTCTGATCTGTGTTGGTGGCTGCAAAGCCACAGGCAAGTGACTTTATCACGAATTTACGCCTTAAAGTTGGGTGCCAAATGTAGCACCAGTTCTAATAGGTCTTAAAAATAAAAACCTGGAGTCAGATATTGGGGTAAATTCTGAAAGGTTGTAAAAGTAAAGGAGGCAGACACTAGAGAGACTTCTTATCTCTACTGAATCCTCAGACCAAATGGGCAATCCTGTCCCTATGAATCCTCAGACTGAATGCAATGAGCTCCTGTCTCCTCCAGCTTTATATTCCTCTCTCCGCCCAGCCATATCCTCCTGTCTCCATCCCCGATTGTTGGGATTAGCATTCCCACCACCTGGCTCTGTTTCTCTTCTAGACTGGACCAATCTAGTGTAGCCCAGGGAGACATCCGCCTGCCTCTGCCTCACCGAGTGCTGGGATTGAAGGTTCGTGCCACTACTGCTGGGTGTCTATGGCTAGCTGGTGTCTATGGCTGTCTATGGCTAGCTGGTGTCTATGGCTAGCTGGTGTGGTTGTCTTCTCACTCTGATCTTCAGGCAAGATTTATTTGTTAGATCACAAAGTATCACCATATTCACACATGTACACTCACACATATACACATACACTCAGACACATAAAAAACACATTCTTTGTGTGTTTTTTTGTTTTTTACCCTGGATAAGACAGGACAATGCCCAAAGATTAATTTCTTCCACTTAAACGGTAATTATAAATAGGAACACAGTGGTCTTTTTCCTAAGCACTGTGTAGTTGCCAGGGAGTATTCATGGGGCCTCAAAATCCCACAGTCACACATGTTACCTACCAGTCACTGTGATGATGCCACAATTATTTTATCCACATTTTAGAGTTTGGGAAAATGTAGAATGAAGTTGTACAAACCTATTTTGGCTAACAGTCTTCTTGGCTTCTCTGGCTACTATGGGTTTTCCTTACAATAGAACTAGTTAAAATCATGAATGCACTAGCCCTTGGCCTTGATCTACTAATGGCCTTAGAAGGTCTTTCCTTTGCAGAAGGCATGAGTCGAGTAGTCTTCCAGATATCCGTGGTCATGTGACTTCTTTCTTGCAGTCTCTTCTTTAATCTTTGAAGAAAGTCATGACATTTTTCCCATCACCCTAGTCCTACTGCCTGGAAAGAGCAGGGAAACTAGATCAGGAAGCTCAGAACTGTGGGCTGACCTTTGAAACACACAGCAACACCCTTTGCCCTGCAGGGCCCAAGTCTCCTGTTTCAAAACCTCGGGATGACACAATTGGTGACTCTTACAGGTAGCTGGTTCCTTGGATGCTGAGTCATTGTCAAGAGGGAGGGATCTGATGCCTGGAACAGGAAGGAGCTGTATGTTACATATAACCACAGTAATGAGTACCGTGTGACACTGCAGAGGGGAGACACAGGTCTCAGAGCAGGCCCCAGAAGTAAACTGTGTGTGTGTGTGTGTGTGTGTGTGTGTGTGTGTGTGTGTGTGTGTGTGTGTGTGTAGTACTCACAGAGACCAGAAGAGGGCATCAGATCCCCAGAACTGGAGTAACAAATGGGTCCACGCTCCCATGTAGATGCTGAAAAGAGCATCCCTGCCTCGTGCCAGCAAGAAGTATTGGTAGGGAGGGCTTTGTGTTAACTAAGAAATTACTTTAAAATATTTGTGATTTTTCCCAGCAGACAAGAGAATGATAGTAAAGACAAGACTGTCCTAGACATCAGGTTTCTCCAGCTCGCAGCCATCTTCTCCCCAACTATGTTTGCAAGATGAACACTCCACACAAGACACCTGCTGAGCCCAGGCAGCTTCTGGCCATCCTGAACTGCTCTTGTTTCCACCTCATGAGAGTCCAACCTCACCCATGATGCTGAAACATGTGTTTCTGTGCTACCAAGCTCTTGTATGTATGGAGGGGAGGGGGCTTTGCTCTTTCAGATTCTGTAAGCTGAAATCATTTTGGAAGCTTAAGAACCATGAATTCTACAAGATCACAGAAATGTGTCTGTATTCGTAAGCAGTGTATCCTCCCCACACACAGACAAGACGTGTGTTGAGGACAAGCTGACCCAGGCACAGAGATACGAGCTGCTTGAACTGTGAGGCACTTTCAGTGACCTTATGGTTGAGTGAGTCAACAACTTGCTCCTTAAAAGCACAATATACATTTCAGCATATTTTTTGCCATGAACCACTCAGCAGTGTTTAGGTAGACTGTTTCTGGTAGACACATTGGCATAGGAAACAGTCAGCCAATGGCTGAGGAGATCTGTGTTACCAGCACACACTGCCATCATGATTTGATCTGATGTGCACTCCTGGACAGACATGTACCCCATCTGCCTTGCTAGGAAAACATCAGCAAAATGTCTACTGTCAACAAGGTCTAATTCCCATTCATCTGGATGCACATTTGCCAATGGAGCCCAAAAATAAATGGAAATATTTGTGCAGGGGCCAGACCATGGTCTATTTTGGGTTCTTTTAGGTTCTTCATTGACCTGAGGCTAGGAAAGAATATGTTTTCAAAGACTCCAGATTTTCTCCACAGAACAACGAGTCCTGATTTCATCTCTTGAGAAGACCTTGTTCCTCAACATCTTCTGTTATTGTTGTTGTTCTTAAAATGAGGTCATCACTGTTCTTTGGTAAAATTCTTCCCCAAACTTTAAGTCTTGCATTGCATTCAGGGTTGGTCTGCTTCAAGAAAACAAAGGTCTTGGAAATCAGGGGAAGGGCTGAGCCTTGTAGTTTCACAGGGTCAGAGGCTACTTTTGCAACACAGGGGCCAATCCTGAAAGTAAAATTCTCAGAAGACATAGATCTACAAATTAGTAATGCCATCTCCTGTCCCTATTGCCAAACTGACAAACCTTGGGTTCTAGCTGCTCAGAGTACAATACAAATGATAAAGATCTTCAGTAACACAAAGTAAGCATTCCAATTCCGGGGTGGGGGTGAGGGAGAGGAGTGAGGGCCCAATAAAAGAGTCAAAGCAAGAGGAAAACCCAGCAGGACAAACACTCGGCACGAAGCATTTGTGATGACATCACCAGGCCTCCAACAGGCCTGTACTTACATCCTTCCTCCTACAACACACAACGGCTCTCTCTTGGACTGGGTCTCCCTTGTTTCTGACATCTCCAACATCCTGGGATGCACACTGCAATTTGGGTTTCACCTGTCCAGCTTTGCACGATGACCTCTCTGAAGGGACTCTGTCTGACCTTGCTATACATCGCCTGCCTCACCAGCCTTCCCTGAAGCCTCATCACAAGTCTGGATGACCCTGTAACTCCTACATTCTGCAACACCTCCAAAGCCAACCCCAAGTGAACAACAAAAGCCAAGCTGTGCTTCCAGCTTGAGGCGCGGCCCGCTCCCCTGGGGCCACAGCTACAGCAGCTGCCTGTTTGGGCAGGGAAAGTACTTCCTCGGGTAGTCCTGTCTAAGCTGGTGTGTCCTAGAGGCTCCATCTTCTCAGGAACTCTCTATAAATATTTGGATTGGATTTTCAATTTTACAGCCGGAGTTTTATTAGATTTTCAGTTTTACAGCCAGAGTCTTCCAAGTGTGAGATCGGCCATCAAGGTTCCTTTGCTAGTATTCCAGTACAAAGTGAGCTGTTTCTCTTCAAGAAGACTATTCTCTTTAATAACTACAGTGCCTTTGTCAGCACTCACCTAATTTAAACCTTAAATACACTCATATTTTTTTCTTGGGCAAACCCCATATCATTCATATCTTTCTGCTCTGCTTTTTGCTTTGAATTCTCACTACAACTCATATTAAACACATTGAGCGGCAACCATTCCACAGTCCAAATACTATGTTGTTTTGAATTTCCTTCATCAATTAGTTTTAAATTAAGTTTCACTCAAATGCAGCCAGGTTCTTTGTCAGAGTGTAACACAGTGGCCTCTCTTGATTTCCAAGGCCTTCACTTCCACAATATCGTGGGTGTATGCTGTCCACCATGTATTGTCCTAAGTACAGCAGAGTATCATCAGGCATCGTTACATTGACTTTTTCTCTCCAGTCCTTCTGTCTCTTCTAATCTGCAGCTCCAAACTCTTCCACATTCCTATCACAAAGCAGTTCTTTTTAAATTATTTTTCAAGTGAAAAATAAACACATTAAATACATTATTTCCTACAGTACACAACTTTTTAATTGTACATAGTTCTTTAGGACATGATTTATGACGGTTTGGAATTTATATAGATCTACATGTTAAGGGTTTAATTTCTGATGAAATTCTGAATATAATTATGTATAAATGTGGGGTATTGGTGGCACACGCCTTTAATCCCAGCACTCGGGAGGCAGAGGCAGGTGGATCTCTGTGAGTTTGAGGCCAGCCTGGTCTACAGAGCAAGTGCCAGGACAGCCTCCAAAGCCACAGAGAAACCCTGTCTTGAAAAACCAATAATAATAATAATAATAATAATAATAATAATAATAATAATAATTGTCATATTATTATGTATAAATGTAATCAAAGAGTTAAGACCATTCACATTTAGGAATATTATTGAGAAGGGATCATTATTAATCCTTGTGTCTTGTTGGTTATTTATTGATAGGTTGGATTTTTCCCCCTTTCTTCCCTATATGAGGGATTGGCTGGTTTGCTGCATTGGGTGCAATGGATTCTTTCTTCATTCTCCTGTATTTGTCTGTTCCCCTCATGAAGTCTATTCTGTTGATACTCTCATGGTAAGACTGTCTTCCTTCCTCCACCATGTATGCTGCTCACCATGTATGCCGTTAACTGTGCATACTGTACACTGTGTATACTGTGAACCGTGTAAGCTGTCCCCCACGTATGCTGTCCATCGTGTATGTTGTCCATCGTGTATGCTGTCCACCATGTATGCTGTCCACCATGTATGCTGTCCATCGTGTATGCTGTCCATCGTGTATGCTGTCCATCGTGTAAGCTGTCCCCCACGTATGCTGTCCACCGTGTATACTGTCCACCGTGTATGCTGTCCACCGTGTATGCTGTCCATCGTGTATGTTGTCCACCATGTATGCTGTCCATCGTGTATGCTGTCCACCATGTATGCTGTCCACCATGTATGCTGTCCATCGTGTATGCTGTCCCCCACGTATGCTGTCCACCATGTATGCTGTCCACCGTGTATGCTGTCCATCATGTATGTTGTCCCCCACGTATGCTGTCCACCATGTATGCTGTCCATCATGTATGCTGTCCACCGTGTATACTGTCTACTGTGTATGCTGTCCACCATGTATGCTGTCCACCGTGTAAGCTGTCCATCGTGTATGCTGTCCCCCACGTATGCTGTCCACCGTGTATACTGTCTACTGTGCATGTTGTCCATCGTGTATGCTGTCCACCATGTATGCTGTCCACCATGTATGCTGTCCACCGTGTATGCTGTCCATCATGTATGTTGTCCCCCACGTATGCTGTCCACCATGTATGCTGTCCATCATGTATGCTGTCCACCGTGTATACTGTCTACTGTGTATGCTGTCCACCATGTATGCTGTCCACCGTGTAAGCTGTCCATCGTGTATGCTGTCCCCCACGTATGCTGTCCACCGTGTATACTGTCTACTGTGCATGTTGTCCATCGTGTATGCTGTCCACCATGTATGCTGTCCACCGTGTATGCTGTCCATCGTGTATGTTGTCCACCATGTATGCTGTCCACCATGTATGCTGTCCACCGTGTATGCTGTCCATCATGTATGTTGTCCCCCACGTATGCTGTCCACCATGTATGCTGTCCATCATGTATGCTGTCCACCGTGTATACTGTCTACTGTGTATGCTGTCCACCATGTATGCTGTCCACCGTGTAAGCTGTCCATCGTGTATGCTGTCCATCGTGTATGCTGTCCATCGTGTATGCTGTCCATCGTGTATGCTGTCCACCGTGTATACTGTCTACTGTGCATGCTGTCCACCATGTATGCTGTCCATCGTGTATGCTGTCCACCATGTATGCTGTCCACCATGTATGCTGTCCATCGTGTATGCTGTCCACCGTGTATACTGTCTACTGTGCATGTTGTCCACCATGTATGCTGTCCATCGTGTATGCTGTCCATCGTGTATGTTGTCCACCATGTATGCTGTCCACCATGTATGCTGTCCATCGTGTATGCTGTCCACCATGTATGTTGTCTACCATGTATGCTGTCCATCGTATATGTTGTCTACCATGTAGGCTGTTAACTCTGGATGTGTCCTTCAACACACTGATGCTCCTCAGCAACTGAATTCAAAGTTTGTGCAGTGAAGAATTAAAATATTTTTCTCAATAGATGTTTTCATTTAAATTAGAAACATGCATGCTTCACATGTCAATCACAGCTCCCTCTCCCACCCCTCCTCCCTTGTCCCTCCATCAGGCCCCCCCCAACCCCAGGCCCAATCCCCATATCATTCCCCGGGGAGGGTGAGGCCTCTGCATTTCAGTGTTGAGGAGCAGCAGTGTGTTGAAGGACCCACCCGTGTTGCCTTGCTTCTTACCCGTTTTTTACTCCTGTCTGTGTTGAGCAGCAGTATGTTGAAGGACCAGCATTGCCTTGCTTCCTACCTGTTTTTATGCATTTCTGCATTGCAATTTGCTCATCCGGGGATCTTATGGGGCTGCCTACTATTAAAACTCAATTCCCAGTACCACTCAAGGAGGAGAAAAGAATAACACAAAGCCTAACAAGATACGCAATCACATTTACAGTCAGATAGGAGTGAGGATGGACATTTAAGGGAAGCAGAATAGTAATAAATTAGATCCCACTAATACACCACTATTGACCAAGACCACAAGCTGGAAAAGATACTGTAGAGCACAATGAAAACCATTAAGGGTGGATGTAGAGAAGTTACATTACTGAAAAAAAGGAAGAGACAGGGAAAGGAGAAAAAATTGTGTAGAGCAAAGTCAAAATAGCAAGAGAAGAATTATATGAAAAGGGAGAGGAAAGACCAAAATATTTAAAGGGAGAGGCAGAAGGAGGAGAGGAGAAGGAGGGGGGAAACCATTCCCTGAGAATGAAAATAAAAATGTAAACAAAATCAGATAAAAACAAAAGCGCTTTTAAAAACACAAGATAGAGACCTTCGGTGTAGGCTGGTAGATTATAAACTACTTCCACGTGACCTGGCTGAAGGGAAAAATCAATTCTAAAGAAGAACAGACTATTCCCAAAAGGGAAAGATTAAGAACGCTGGAATCCACAAGGTGACAATGGACTCCACAAAGTGAAAAGCACAAAGAAAAAGCCAGGTGACACAATGAGCTCGCCAGACACAGCTCCAGCTGTGTGGCTACCAGGCAGAGGTGGGGAAACATGAGCCCCGTCCAAAAGGTAATAAGCCAGAGCAGAGCCCTCACAAGCCCCAAATCCAGCCGCAGGCCTTGGTGAGACACCGATTCCTCAGGCAAGTGAGTAGCAGTGCAGAGCATGCCTGTGCCACTCTATGACTCAGAGTGCGCCAACCGGACATAAGCCTGGGAGATATCCTACCCAGGAAGACAGACGACAGAAAACAACTGAGTTCAGCCTGCCACAGCCCTGAGTTGTGAGAACACAGACGACAGGGGGGTACTAGAGCGTTCACCACAGCAGGTTGTAGGACGCTATATTCAGACAACGAAGTGCAGACCCCTCTCAGTGGCTAAAAGCCAATCTCAGTAGCTGAGACAACACTGGATTTTGGCAGCCCTAAGCCTAAAGTGAATAAACTTGTGGATAAACTTGCCACCCTCTGCCTCTTACTGCTGTACAGCATGGAAAGGTAACATCTCTTCAGCAGAGCGAGCAACACTTAGGGACTCTTCAGATTTTCACACGGATGGATCTGGAAAGTACAATATTAAACAAATGACCCAAGCTCAAAGTAGAAGCCCACAAGTTCTTCCTCGTGAGCAGACCCTGGCCTATAATGTATGCGCGTGTACTAACCAGCAGGTGTGTGAGGGAAACCTAAAACTCTAGAAAGATGACCAAGAGAGGGCACCAAGGGATGACAGAGAAAGATGGGGAATGGCGGGGCTTAAGAGAGAACACAAAAGGCCATCAAATGGGGCAAGGGATGAGGGATAGGGGAAGAAGGAGAGTCACTAACATACTTTGTTTTTTAAAAAAGTCCTAATAGTATCTAATCCATATGCTAATTTCATTTTTTTAATTAAAAAGAGAAGACAATAATTATGACTCTCAGGGCAAAGTCGATTGAATAAATTATTCAAGAAAAATACAAAAGATCAATAAAAAACGAACTTAGTTCTTTGAAAACATGGACAAGATTCACAAATGCTTAATCAAACTGACTAAAGGAATGAGAAGTCCCAAGTAAAATTAGGCATAGAAAGAGAGGCTACTATTGGTTCCAATGAAATTCAGAGGATTGAAAACTTAAATCCTAAAAATGCAAGAAACAGGTAAGTTCTGAGACACACATGACTTACCAAAGTTAAGTCAAGAACACAAAAACAACTTAAATAGTTTTATAACAAGCAATGAGGTTGAAGTAGCAATAAAAAGTCTCCTAACAAAGAAAAGGCCCAAACTGAATGGATTAGTGCCTGTATCTACTATCCCTTTAGGGAAGAACCAGCATCAATACTCCCCAGAGAGTTCCACAGAACAGAACATCACAAGCTCATTATATCCCAATGCCATAACCAGATGAGGATGCTACATAAGGACAAACCAGTTTACCTGAAGATGCATTAAGACCAAACACCATGACCAAGTTGATTTCATGTCAGGGATGCAAGGTCACTTAACATCAAGAAAAATAAATGCAATACAGCATTAAGTAAACATGAGAACAGAAGTCACACAATTATCTCAGAATACAGTATTCACTGTCTTTTCATCAGATATCCTCTAAGGAAATAAGAAACATGTAATGATAATTACGTATGGTCAGCCATTATATACACATTTTAGTGAGTGGGAGAAAACTGGAAACATTCCTAAAGGCAGGAATATAACAGGGGAGCCCAGTCTTTCTGCTCTGATTCAATATGGTGCACTAACTCTTAGCTAGAGCCATAAGGCAAGAGAAATAAGGAAGAAACAGCTAGTCCAGGAAGGGAAATTACCTGTCTTTGCAGATGAACGTGGCCTTATACTTAGGCAACACTGGTGACTC